ACTGTTTCCCTTTTTAACCTACTAAAAATGTGAATTTATGGCAAGTTGAGACAAATTTACGCATTGGATCTATTTTAAAAAATCAAATAATTAACACATTATTATCTATTTTTTTTAAAATAATTTTTACGTGAGTCAGCTTCTTAACCCACTCTGCTTTTTTCTCTTCTATCTTTTGCAAGGTGTTGCTCTAACCCACCCATAAACAGGCTAGGGTAATGTTTCTAACTCAGTTTTAAAAATGAAATGGGTTGAGTCAATCCAATTTTAAGCAAGCTTTAAGCGGACTAGACTAACCTACTTGAAAATGTTACAAAGGCATATATGGGCTTACTACATGTATTATTAATTTGTTGGAAAAATTCTACTTCCACAAAGATTGATTATGGAAATATACATACCAAAAAGAAAAAAAATTAATAGACACAAAAGATTTGTCATTGTGTTTGTTTGAAGGGAAGGAATGAAGGGGAGAGAACATTAGTATTATCATGTAATTTGTTAGAATCGTGAATTTCAAGATTTTGTGGTGATTTTTTTATTTATTTTTTGAACCCTAACAAATAATAACTTACAATTTCTACTTATGATTTCACCCATTTGATTACTAATCAAACAAAAAATTAATGATTTTTCATGTAATTTTCATTTGTTATTAAAAAAAATGAATAGTAAGACAAAAACAGTTTAAATTTTTCCACATAACTTCAATAATCATTAGTTAGACACATATATACTTTATTTTATAGTTTAATTTAAACATATATTTTAACTTATCTTTTTCTTCGTATAATGATTTCAACAATTCCTTACAATAGTAAATGTTAAAGAATACTCAATTTATGTTGCATGATGTCTATAAAATATCAAAAAAATTCCCCTTTAACAAAGTTAGGTTGCAAAATCATTCACAAATTATTCTAACAAAAGCTTACCTTCGTGTTTATGCAAAATACGAGTAAGTGTACCTAGCTATCGGCAAGTAATAAAAGAAATAAAAAAAATTGATAGATATCATCTCATGCGACTATGCATTATTACTAAGATTATTAACTTTCAATTATTTAAGTGAATCGAAATTAAAAAATTATTTAAAATAACATGAAAAAGAAAAAGAAATGTAATCAAGGCTAAGAGTAAAGAGCAAAAGAAAAAGAAAAGTATCTATAGCGGTCAAGTAAAGGGTGTTTGATTACACCTGCTTATTTAGCAAGGTTCATGTCTTGTTTCTTTTATCATTTATGTTTCTATTATATTTAATGATCATTAAATATTGATGAAAAAAAATCTTAATTTTATCTCAAATAGTCATGCAATGTAAAGAATTAGAAAAAACATTAATATCTAAAAATTTTGTTAATTCAATAAATGATTAATAATTTAAAATTAAGATTAATTTTAAAAATTTTAAATTAATTAAATTTTAACAACTATAGAAAACCTAACTAAATATATATATATATATATATATATATATATATATATATCCATAATAATATTAATTTCCTCTTATCATGAACTTTTAGATTAAAGCTTACATATTATCCTATTTATTTATTTACTTTATTTAAAAAAAAAAATACCCTAATCTTATCAAAATAAATTATAATTAAAAACAGTCACTTGCAAATAAATATATTTTCAGACATATGTTATCTAACTCATATTGTGCTTTGTCAAAATTTGATTTTAATATATTTTTAGTTTATATACTTGATATTAATTTTCAAGTTTTTGTAAAATGGTCTTTGCAAAAAAATCATTTTTTTTAAATTATCATTGTTGTTAGTAAATATTATAATATTATTATTGTTTAATGACTTTCACTACTATGAATGAACTAAGGTTTAACTAGTAAAATAGTTTTTGTGGATGTTTATAACCATGAAACCCCACTCATTTAGAATCAAAATTGTTTTCAACATTCTCACACGACTAATATAGAGCACCATTAATGTAATTCTATGAGTCATCGGATTACACATGTATATACTTTTGTACTTTCATTGTTTATGCTTAGAATAGTTTGTTTTAGACCTTGTATTTTGGTCATGGGCTCGGGAAGCCCATTGGGCTTTAGGATGACGTCTTTTGTATTTTTCTTTGGGCTTGTATTAGGCCATGTTTCAGGGCATGTATTCAACCCAAATTCCCATCCTCTTTCTTTTCCTTGTTTTAAGGCTCATTAGAGACCATTTTGGACCTTGAGTTAGCTTGCCTATATATAGGCTAAGCTCCTTTATAATTTTCAGATTTTTGATTCATTTGATGCATTTTTCAGCATAGTCTCCTCTTGAGTAAGTGGGTTTTCTTTAAATTTTCTCATTGAAAAATTTAGAACCATACTCTTATCATAAATTCATCCATGTGGTGAGTGTATTGGTGCTTATCTCCAATCTTGTAGAGTGGTGTGCTGCATTATAATTCCATTTCTTTACTTTTCACTTGTTTTTCCTTCTTATTTGGCGCTGGAGAAACTCTCCATACGTTTGCTCAAAATCGTGGCTGAAACATCTCTTAGACGATCCGCCTTTAATCATTCTTAAAGGAAGCTTCAAGGATCACATCAACCATAATAAAATTTATTTAAAAGCTAAAATTTGTTATGATTATTGTTCATATTAAAATACTCTTTATTTAGAATTTTACTACTTCTCTGTGTTATTCTCATCTTCACTTTGAGTATTCACAAATTATATTAGAATTTAAATTTGTTTCAATCTATTTGCAGAAAAGTTTAAATTCAATTCAATCCAATCAAAAGTGGTTTGGATTAGATTGAATAATCTATTTTTTATAATTTTTTTATTTAGTTAAAAAGTAATAAATAATAAATTTATTAGTTATTTTACATTAGTTTTAAATAAAGTTAATTTCTTATGCAAATTATTAAATTTATATAAAAAATTGATATAGAAGAGTAATTTTAAATTATTTTAAAAAGTATACCTATGTAATCATAAAATTAATAAGATATATCTCTAAAAAGTAATAATATGGTATAAATCTAAAAATAAAATCATAAAGAGTTAAGTTTTATAATTTTATTAATATATAATCTTAAAAGTATGAATGATATGTTAATTTTATATAAAATAAAATATAAATATGTAAATTAAGTTTAGATTGGATTAGACCGATTTTAATGTAGGATCCAAGATCCAATCTAATGTAATAAAAAAAAAGTTAATTTAAAGAATTTTAATTTATTTAATTTGTGTGATTTCTATTGAATTGAATCCACTTAGAATATGTTTGTCATTTTGGTTTCTTGTCAATCGATTATTGGTACGTGGTTTTGCGTGTTTATTTGGTTCGATGACTTAAAAACTATTAACCATGCTTATGCAGTTTGATTCAGTAAACATTTCAATATAATAGACAAAAAATTATAAAAGAAGAAGGATTAATACACATGGTGAAGTTAGTTATGCCATTAATAAAAGTTAATTAAAAGATGAAAATTATTGGTTAAACACAAAAATATTATATTATATTGATGACATTAAAAGGTCTACTAAAAATAAGGATTATTTTAAAAACTTTTTTTAAAAGAAATATATGCCGTCATTATTAATAATTTTACTCGAGATAATCGTGGCTTTCTAAAAGAATTATTTATTGGATCAAAGTTTCATCTATCAAGGCTCCTTGCAGTTCATGTGACAATTCATAATTGGTTATTATAAAGAAAATAATGTGACTCATCTATACAATATATTTTTTAGCAGAATCATAAAAAGTAAAGTAATTAATTATAAAGGCTACATGTATATATATATTACTTAAATAGTTATATTTCTTTTCATTTTTTTAAGCAGACAATAAAAAATTGTTTGTTTTTCTTTTTAAAGAAAAGGCTAGCATATATTCTTGATAATAGATTAAAAATTTGATTTTATTATTTCACTTGTGTTACTATTTTATTATTATTTCTAAAGTGCACTCCATGATTAAAATTCCACAATGGAGATTTTCAATGAACTTACTTCTGAAAAAGCGTCTCGATTCATTTATGCGAGGCTGTCATCTCACGTGGGACACCACACATTTGGACAAAAAAATTCTTTGGTTTTTTTTACATATTATTTGTTATTTAATGCATACAGATGTATAAGTAATCATATTTTATATATGATTATCCATATATTAAATAACATTTGAAATATTTATAATAGATAATATCCAAGTAAAAATCACTTTTATTTCAAACTTTTTAGCTCTAACATGACTGAACCAAAATACCAAAACACTCAAATTCTCATAAACGATATTATTATGCAAGATAATTTCACTAAACTATTTACAAACTAAGATTTAATATATTTGAAGCTCATATGATTTAGGAAATTAGACGTACATATGAGAAGAGTAAACCATATTAAGTATAGTTTCTTAAAAAAAGAAAAGTTAAATGAAGAGTACTAATCTTACAAACAATCATCCACTTATATCGATCTTATAATAAATTCTGTACAATTGATATTTTTGTATATATAAAATATATTACCAAATGTTCATTTCATTCACAGGGTAACCCAAATACAAAGTAGTTACAGCACGCGAGGGTTGATTTAGAATAATTTTTAACAATATATGTTCAATATATTTCTTCAAATTACTTGATATAATACTATTTAAAACAGAAAAAAACTAATTAATCATTTCTCAAAATTGGTAAAAAATGAAATAAGAATAAATTTATATATATATTAGTTTCTATGCATAATTAAGTCGTATAAATGTTCGAATCTGAGCCAAGCCTTTCAATTACTTGATATTTTAACATAACTAAATATTTATTTATTTATTTTAGCATGGAGTTGCTTGTACGACAAAAACGCAATAAGGAATCGTTACAATGGCTCGGGTCCCACAAGCAATGACTGCGAGTGCAAGAAAATATCTCCAATACCACGTCACGCAACACGTCATCACCTTTTTAAAATCACAACCACCAAAAATATTGTAAACAAAGAGCTTAGAAGGGTAGTTCGGTCATTTCAATTCCTGGGATAACCAATGCAATTGAATCATACAAATAGAACATAAGCACGGGGAAGATTCCACATCTGTGGGAGGAAAAAACAGAGTGGAAAACATGGAACGGTTGTCAGTGGTGTGGTGCTCGGTGGCGGTGCTATTGTGCGCCGTGGCAGGCGCATCGTGGTTGGAGGAGTCGAACCCAATCCGAATGGTGTCGGACGAGGTACGACAGGTGGAGGCTGAGGTGGTTGGGGTGATAGGGCGTTGCAGGCACGCGCTTTCGTTTGCGCGGTTCGTTCACAGGTTCGGGAAGAAGTACCGAAGCGACGAAGAGATGAAGCAGAGGTTCGAGATATTCTCAGAAAACCTAAGGTTCATTCGTTCAACCAACAAGAAGCGCTTGTCCTACACTCTCGCTGTTAATCGTACGTGTTCCTCTTCTTCTTCCTCTTTCAATCGTTGGATTTTGATATGGTTGTTAGGGATCTGAGTCCCATAGCAAATCATGCGTGTGAGCCACTCAAAGTGTTGACCTCTGCTTTTGAGTTTGACTCATCAACCCCCATGCTTTCGATGTAGAAAAGAGAGAGAGAGATAATATAGCATTTTTTTTTATTGTTTAGATAATGAAAGAAAAAATAATTATTTTTTGTCTGATTTTATTGAAAATAAGAAATAAAAAATGTCTTTGCCTTAATATTTTAATATTTTTTTAAACAGGGGATAGTAAATAAATCAACAAGCTTCTTATTTTCTTTTTACATAATTAGAGAAAAAAAAATCTGAAACTCGCATAATTTTTTTCTCATATATATATAATATTCCCTTATACTTATTTTCAAGCTAATAAAAACTCAGGATAAGTGCTCACTTTTTAATGAACAGATAGTAGGGTTTTTTTTTTTTTTTCATTTTCATAAGTTTCTTTTCGTTTACGAAAATAAGCTCAAAATAGATTATACGTGTTTCAAGACTAACATGATTACAGAAAAAAAAAATCAAAGTTTTTCAATATTTTCAGTACAAATTTTTAAAAATAAAATAAAAATTTTTATAATTAAAAACAAAAAGCTTTTTTTAATACCTAGTGACCTCTAATTTTGTTTTACTCTATGAAATGTATCATGAGCGCTTATCTTTCAAGAAAGACCCTTTTATATATATAAACATAATAAAAAACTTTTTTTTAATGGTAATATTTCTAATATTTTTAAAATAAAGAGAATATTCTATATCTTTTAATATGAAATAATTATTATTTTAATTTTACATTAAATATGTATAAAAATTGTGGTAATTATTGATTTATATTAAAAAATATATAAATATTTTTTAATTTTTAAAATATATGACAATCACCAATATAAATATATTTATCTTAGTAATTAATTTAAGAATAGTATAAAATAATCTATCAAGCTTATGGATACAGAAACAAACATCTTTATTTATCTAACAATCACTTTTCACATGATTAAAATTTCAAATAATAATAATATGATCTTAAAAGCCTGCTAATTTATTAAAGAGAAATTTAAAATGTTTTTTTATATATATTTTTGAGTTTAAGTTTCGTGAATTGTAATTGATTTTCTTAGAAAGAGGTAACCAATAAAAAAATTTGTTGATGATCATATTTTCCGATAGATTCTATAGTAATTATTGGTAAGACTTAAATAAAAGTTATATCTATTTATCACCAGAAAGTATCTTTTTAATAATTTTTATTATTTTATAAACGTTAGATAGAAAGAGTTAAATTTATTCTTAAAGTAATATATGTTATCAAACAGATTTGAGTGATTTGACTTGGGAAGAGTTCCAAAGACACAGATTAGGCGCTGCCCAAAATTGCTCTGCCACTCATAAGGGCAACCACAAGCTTACCGATGTTGTTCTTCCTCTCGAGGTATGATGCCAAGACCCTCTCTTTGTTACTCTTTTTTAAACTTCTACTTAATTGCATTCATCTTTGAAACAAATTGAAAAACGAAAATTATGTATACGATGGTATGTGACTAAAATAATGTAAAAAAATCTAATAATATACTCTTTATTATTTACTAAAAAAATACTAATTTAAAAGTAAAAAAGAATGTAACTCATATAATTTTTAGTTGTTTTTAATAAGTTTTAACTAATAACAAAAGTTGTGTTAGAAAGTGAAGTGATAGTATTACTTAAATAATATTACTTATATTCACCATCAAGTTTTTATTCATAATACATAGGGAGTGTGACAGTTAATTCATATAATATTAATTACTATCTAACAATGGTGTATTTCTTTCAGAATTTTAGAAAGTAATTATTTACTTTGTATAAATATATAAAAAGACATGTTACTAGTTTTAATTTTTATTTATATTTTAAAAATATTAAATATATTTATTTTTTATGTGATATTTTCTTTGTATAAATATAAAAAAAAATTAAGTTATTCCATAAGATAAATAATTCTACACGGATTAATGCAATTAAAATATTATATAAAAAATTAATAATTTTCTGTTTATATTTTTAAACACAATCTCATTAATCCTCTAATGATCGGAATATTTACTATATGGGTGACTTAAGATAATGTAATATTTGATTCCATATGCCATGTGTGCAGAAAGACTGGAGAAAAGAAGGAATAGTCAGCGCAGTCAAAGATCAAGGCGGCTGCGGATCATGCTGGACATTCAGGTTATTTTGGACCCTCAAGCTCATTTGGAAATTAATTCCTGAAATTTAATTTTGGAAAATAACTAATAACTTTTAGAATCTTATTTCTGGAAGATAAAAAAATTGGTGTGGTCAGAAAAATATCTTGTTGCAAAAAGAATTTTCCTTTTATTTTTGTAATGAATAAGGCACACTAACTTGTGATGGTTCTAACCATGATGTGATATGTGCAACATGCAGCACAACTGGGGCTTTAGAAGCAGCCTATGCACAGGCATTTGGAAAGAACATATCTCTTTCTGAGCAGCAGTTAGTGGATTGTGCTGGTCGTTTTAATAACTTTGGCTGTCATGGTGGATTGCCATCACAAGCCTTTGAGTACATTAAATACAATGGTGGACTTGAGACAGAGGAAGCATATCCCTACACTGCAAGAGATGGTGTCTGCAAGTTCTCAGCTGAAAATATTGCTGTTCAAGTTCTTAACTCTGTTAACATCACCTTGGTAATTAAACAGACCGATTTCTCTCATTTCCTCAAAATGAGTTTTCTAATATACTCCTCAACTGCATTTACATGAGAGTGTGTTTGGGTGAGCCATTGCAAATTTTCAATCAACTTGATTTTGTAGAATTGATTTTTCTTCAAAGTAAGTTTAAGGTAACATGATTTATTGTTGAAAACTTGTTTCCTCAAAAGTAAGTTTGTAGTAAAATTCAGTATAAAATTTTTAAATCAATGTAAAAATTACAATTTATCCTGTTGATTCCAACATTGGTTGGAAGATGAAATCAATTTTAGTCAAAAGTAACCGAACATTAAAATTTTAAGAAAATCACGTTACAATGAATTGAAGACAAATCCTTAAGATTTTAAAGTGCATCAAAGCATGCACCTAATATTGTCTTATGTTTGGAGTGCAGGGTGCTGAGGATGAGTTAAAACATGCAGTTGCACTTGTTAGGCCAGTTAGTGTGGCATTTGAGGTGGTGGATGGTTTCCGACACTACAAGAAAGGAGTATACACCAGTAACACTTGCGGTAGCACTTCCCAGGTGAGTTTCTATTAGGGATTTCATGGCATAGTCAAGTGTCCAATAAAAAATTCAAAACTAAATGGTTTGCTAGAAGCTTATGCTTTGATCTTTTGCCAATGCATCATACAAATATTAGCATCGCAAATGTTACTTAACAATTTGATGTGTTAAAAATGCTCAAGTTGCATACTTCTGCAATTCCATTTTGGTGATTGGAGAGTTGTCAAAATCTGAATTTGATTGGCAGGATGTGAATCATGCCGTTCTTGCTGTTGGGTATGGAGTGGAAGATGGTGTCCCATATTGGCTCATTAAAAATTCATGGGGAGAGGACTGGGGTGACAATGGCTACTTCAAGATGGAGATGGGAAAGAACATGTGTGGTAAGTATCAGTTAGAGCCCAATTCTCAATAACAAACTTTGCAAACCTCGCCTTAATACACATAAAAGTTAAAGGACAAACTATCATTGTCCTTTGTTAAAGAATCAAAAGTAAAATCTTTTAAAAATTATTATTAATGCACTTTCATTGTGTTTCCAACGTACCTCTAACATAATTTTTAATAAAAAAATTATTGATCAATATACTTAAAAACAATTGTCCTTTACTAGTTTGTTGATTGGCAAAGTTTAGTAAAGGGAAACAGGTTGTGAGAAGAATTTCAATTGAAATTTTCGTCTCTCTGATCTCTTAGGTGAAACTTGTTGCCTTCCTAGAGTTGTTGATAGAAAAGCTGAAATTCTTAATTTATAAATTTAATATGAATCAATTTGTAATATTGATTTTGCTGTGTATATTTTCAGGTGTTGCAACCTGTGCATCTTATCCTATTGTAGCCTAAATTGCATAAAATATGGTCCCCTGTGACAATCACCCTGCTCGTCATATTCCAGTATAGAAGATTAAAGATGGTCTTTGTATTGTGATTACTGTTCCATGTTGATATGATGTTGAAGATCAGTAAGAAGTTGCTATAAACCACGTACGAATATCATGGAGTAAAACGTTTGTTATTGAGACAAATATGATCATAAATCAGTTAGTTGTTAAATATTTGCAATTTATTTGTGCTCCCCGCTTTAATTAGCAAGTTAAAGATAGCATCCGATACTACTGCGCAATATATCTTACATTGTGAACACAGTCACAAGTAAATCAAACTTTGCTCAGATACTATCAATAGCCATTTTTCTTAAGATTTATCTTAGTTCGTGTAGTAAATGACCGCAACTTAAATGAACTAATTCTTAGTGCATTTAGGATGAAATTATTTATCTCATAAAATTATTTAGACAAACTAAGGGTGAGCAAAATGGTTGTACCGATCAAAAACTGAAAGAATCGAACAAAAATCAAGTGCATTGGATGGATAAGATCATGTTTCAGTTTTTCTAGTTAAAGAATTGTGTATGGATATAAGGTGGAGTTGGGATGACATAAATATTTTTTATCAGTATCTAAACTTGGTTGAGGTTCATACGAAAAAATTAGACACATTTATTTGTGTTATTTTTATCTAAAATTCTTCCATTATTAATATGATTATAAGATATAAAAGAAATATTTAAGATAAAAATTACTTGAAGAAGAATAATAATAAACATAAGTGCTTGGTCACTTGAAGAGTGATGCTAGTACAATTGAATTAGATTCCTTATCTATTATTTATTTAATTAATGTCTGATGTTTTAATAAATGGCAAGAGATTCCACTAACCACTAATAAGTCTTATCTGTGATAATTCAAGACCATTTTTCACTTTGGACCAAAATGATTAGAAAAATCAATTCTTTATTACTGTTTATTCTATTCACTCTTCTCCATTATTTTTCTTCCCCCTCTTCATCATCCATCCATTGCAACAGGAGGGGAGGGTCAATGTTGTGCATCACTCCATGCGAGATAGTCAACAGTAACAAAGAACAACCATCTTTACCGCATGCAGAGTCGAGATGATTCAGACCTCAGTTGTCAAAAATCCCAAAAAATAAAATAAAATGTGTATACACACAGGAGTAATTACCAGTAAGAACAAATTTATCCCATCTTAACTCATTGTTTACCTCAGTTGTCAAAATGGTTTATGTATACCCGGAAATTCAATCGTAACTTTCTATTTTTAAATAAAAAATTAGTAATTTATTTAATGTGTATCTAAAGACATATCGCATATAATAGTTCTAAATAAGTCAAACATGATTGTCAAAGTAGAGTATACATGTATTTTAGATTAAAAAAAACATATAATAAAATATTAATAATTATTAAGTTTCTATTAAAAATTATAGCATTTAATATTAGTAATATAACGACTCTTGTAATTCTATGTAATTTTTTTAAAAAAATTACTGTAAATAATGTTTTTATTGTTTATCTTTCCACATGCGTTTGTAAAACTGAAAGAATTAATGTATAAAGATAAGCATCGAATGGAAGTTAAAGATAGTCTAAGGTAACAGATCCTTATTGAAACTTGGATTGGGAATTGGAAAATTGTGCAGCCACCTTGAAGACACAATACCACTAACCTCTCTCACTATCTTCTCAATCACAAAGCAAAAAACTCAAGATCCTAATATGTGAAAGTATTTTGTTGAAATTAGTATTGACGATAAAAAAGAAAAGAAAAGTGTAAATGCAACTTTGCAAGGCACGAAGAAGATAATTAGGTTATGTGGCTAAGAATAAGACTACTCATATAGCCCATCATAGGGATAATTGTAAGTTAATTTATAAATATTAAAATGTAGGAAGTTTACTTACTAATGCAAAAGAAAATTTGATCCACATGCTAATAGTAAAGTTTTATCTGACTTGATTATTTCATGCGGTACTTCATTAACATTGTTAAGTAGGGTATTTAGAAAATACTAAAAAAATTTTAATGAAAAGAGTAACTTCATTATTAGAAATATTGTTAAAATTGATGTGATGAAAATTTACGAGTTCAAAAAAAATTAAAATTATAATTTATTCAAATTTCTATAAGAGAATGTTTAGTATCTGGTATTTTTTTACTTTTTTAAGAATGCCACTTTAAAAATTTCTTTACCCATGTTTAGTATAAGATATAAAAAAATATTCTCAGGAACGTGAAATTCTTAAGAAACTTGAATTATGAAGAAATTGAAATTTTCATTTTTCCACCCCAATAGGTGGATATTCTTAACTTAATCGAGAATTTAAAAATTTCAAATAAAAATACTTCCTTTTATCCTACTTCACTTTACCAATTCTAAATTATTTTTGTATTCTTCTCTTTATTTCACTAGTCTCTCTCACACTCTCTACTTTTTGATAAATATATGCTCTTATTTTTGGTAAATTAAGGATATTTTTGTAAAAGTAATAACATTTTTAGATACATTTTTTAATACTAAACATGGGAATAAGAGAAAATAAAAAGATTTCTAAAAAATTTATTTAGTAAATAAATACGGATAACAAATTATCCAAAAAACACATTTCCGAAAATCTCAAAGATTTCAGATATCAAACATTCCCTAAGAGTTAGCTTCACTTCTAATATTTGAAGTGTAAGAACCAATCACAGTTTATATCGTTAATTGCATCGTTATGTTGATTCAAATAACCTTCCCTCTCCCTTAGGGCCCAAGAACTACTGCTTAAGGTGTTGAAGTATTTCATTGACTAGTGCATTAAGAAAAAAGTTATTTACCTTTCACTTAAGATAATGTATCTTCAAATGATAACTTGCAATATATTTTTTAAAAATTAACATTGTCAAATAGTTTGTTGCTTATAGAATTTTTTTTCTCATGTCTTAGAGAACATTTGGTATCGTCAAATAGTTTGTGTTGATTTAGCATCGGCTTTTGAGTTCTAGAGAAGTATTGAAAACTTTTATAAGATGAAACGGTTGAAGTTTTCTTGTACAAACGGAATTAGTTACATAGTTGTACAAGTAAACACTATTCACAGAAATTTTTTTTATTTGTACAATTTAAAAATATTTTACTTTATGTAAAAAATTATTAATATAGCCTATATTTAATTTTAGATTATGATAACAAGGATGATGACAAAAGAAAGCTTATTTCAATTGAAAATACTAAACATTTTCAAGAAAGTTGAGACCACTTCATTTTAAAACTAGAGATATGGATGGAGATATTGCTTTTTTGCACATTAAACAATTATAATTTATACTCGAATGCTACCTTAATGAATGGATTGATGACATTGTTATGTTCTAAACTTGTTAGATGGACTGACGATGTTTTAAGTTGTAAAGTGTTTGAATTTATTTTAATTTATTGGATTGGAAAAGCTAAAATTTTTAAACACTTTAGACTGATTTTTCCTCTTTCTTTTTCCTTTTTGGATATCGAAACATGAATTGAGCCCTCATTTTCGATACGTGATCTATAGACTAATTTTTATGTTCAGTTCTCATTCTGCTTTCTTTTTCCTAGATAAAAATAATTAGTATCAAATATAAAAGACTGAAAAGAGTTGTATACACAAATAATTTTAGATCTTTTTTTTCCTTGCTATATGTTTATATTCTCGAAGTGTTGTACACACACCACTGCCCCTTCCAAGAATCCAGTGGGACATTATACATGTAACTTTTTTTTTCTTAGTTGGTATGCATTGCAGTATTTGCTTTTACAGTAGCAGTTTTTGCAGAATTTTATCCCCATCCGGAGCGCTCCTAAGTTCGAACCAAACACAACCATGAAACTTTATCCAAAGTAAAATTGATGACGTCATATAAATAAATTGACACCAACAAATTGTCATGTAATAAGAAATAAAGGTTTCTGTAACAACTTGAAGAGTTCCATTTAAATATTTGATCCATGTCCTTGAAGAATCCATAAAATTTCAAGTTAGCGGCCTACTAACATGATTCTCTTTTTATTTGATTTCTGACTAAAAAATTTAAATTAATAGAATTAACCAACTGCACAAAGCAAGATTTAAAATGGAAGCAGAGACTTCGAATTTAAGGACCAGCCTCCTTATAGCCAAAAATAAAATTCTCGGAAGACATGTGGTCCATGAACTATCATCCAAAATGTAGAGGATTTACCAAATCAGCCATACAAAAATGCTGATTCTTTTCTTTTTGAAAGAAACCTACTTTTCTTTTTACACAGAAATACAGTCTAAAAAGAATCAACAATTTCAGCACAAGGTCGAAACTCCTTGGAATCATGTGAACCAAAAAAGATTAATAGAAAACCATATTCGATGGATGAATTCAAATCCAACTGTCAGCCACATCAGCCAATGATAAATTGAACTGCAAGCATGAAATCTCGTCCAACATGACATACCTTAGCTTGTTACACATCATTGACATCCAGCATGCTTTAAGCTTTCTGACAACCAGGCTAAACTCATTGACTAACCCACATCCATGTCATGTTGAGGATGGGGAAGCATGAAACGGGGGCCTCTCCAGGTACTGCCAAAACCTAGGACATGCACTGTCTCTTAACCTGCAAGGCCATAAAAATCAAGGCTTCAAGGATTTGGGCAGCATCTATTACCCCGTGGAATTGGGAGTTCACACACACAATTTAAAATAGAAATGCCAGACCTACCAAAGGAAAAATATGCAACAAATTCCGCGTTAAGTAACTCATTAAATTGAAAAATCTTGGTGACCTTAAATTAGACCTTAGAAAATCCAGATTATATTATAAAGCATTAAACATGATTAACATTCAATTAGGGCGAATTTGAACCTATTTCCCCCCAGCATGTCATTATAATTTGAGGTAAAAAACCAAAAATATGAGAAAAGCATTCTCCATATTGATAGAAAATTTATTTTTTTTGCTCCAAATGCAGCGTGTATAATTTAAAGTTAAAAAAAAAAAAAAAACTGGTGGTCTCTTGTACTCATGCAGAAAAAGAAGTTACTAACTTAAACCTAGTAAGATAATTCAAATTCCATGAATAGACACAAAGGTCCTATGATATCACGGCCCTTGTGTTCCAAGGATCTTACCATGCAGAAGTCAAAGCCACCTATTCCAAAGAAAAAGCTAATTCGTACTATACGAAATAAATCCTTGACAAAAATGCATATAACCCTTCCAACGATAGGGTGCCAAAAATTCCCCTATGGCTCCCAACTCAGTTCACTAAACATTGCAGATGCATGTGTATAAAACAACCTGTAAGGAATCAGTACACAGTTTCAAGGTGTTGAGTTGTTGAGTTTTGTACCACAGGGATTTCTTCAATTGACCTGAAGTTAGAGAGGGTTCCCAGTATCTTTTGCCAAAATTTTCTACATGATCATGGACAAGGATAATCTTGAAAAATTTTATGAGAAAACCACCTCCCATCATGTAAGTTAACAACTATTGATCCTAAGAACACATGAATTCCTTTAGGTCCCTTTTCAAATATTGTCTCTACAAATCCTCACTAATAATCTTCCTATCTTCTTAAAACATACTTTATTTTACCATAAAATTTATAAAAAAAGAAATATCATTTTGTTCAATTCCATTCATGGTAGAATTCAACCTACTCTCAAGTAAATGCACCTTCATATGAACAAAGAAAATCAAATACTAGCACTACATTATTCGAAAACGAAATGAAAATAGAACCAATTTCACTTAAGAAGCAAATTTTCAAATTTGAAGAAAAATTAAAAAATGTATTCAACAAAATTATCTGGAAAATACCTAATTCCAGGTTCAGAAACAGAACAGCAGAATCTTGGAGGGAATCACAAAGCAAATGTAAATACTGATAATCTCCAAAAAAAATAGACACCCTGCCCAATGATAACATTCCTTTGTTCCACATGCACCCATTACATAAGGCATAATGGTAGAAGGCCATGTCTAACCACTGTTCTGCAATGGCACTTCAATAAACAGCAACAGGCATTTTTATATTTCTGCTTTCATGGTAAGATTTTTCTAAAGATGAAGTACCCGTGGTCAAGCTCTGACCAAGAGCTTTCTTGAAGCGGGCAGCTTCACCAGGCATTCCGGCCTTTAAAAGACAGGATCTTAAATTATTTACAGTGATTTCATCGGGAGCACAACTGACTGCCAGCATCTTATCAAAGACACCAATTGCTTCACGCATTCTCCCTTTCATACAATGCCCAATAATAAGAATTGTATATGTCAACTTATCAGGCTGGCACCTATTCCCCTCCATTTCTTCGACAATTTTATTAGCCTCATCAACATTGCCAGATTTGCAATATCCATCAATAACAGGATTATAAATAAATGGCCGTGGAACAACGCCACTCTGATTCAATAGTCTCAAAATGTCACGAGCTTCACGTAGTCTGTTATTATTGCATAGGCCACTAACGAGAACAGAGAACGTATACAAGCTTGCAGAAATATTTCTACCATTCATTTCACGCCACATTTCCATTGCGAGTTTCACCTGTCCAGCTCGAAAATATCCATTAATCAAGGAAGTGAAGGTAGCAACATCAGGAGGACAACCACAAAAAACCATCTTCTCATACATGGCCAGCGCAGAACCCATGTCCCCCAACTTACCAAAGCCATCAATAAGAGCATTAAAAGTAAATGTATTAGGCTCAATTCCACTCCTAACCATTTCATCAAAAAGCAAACTCCCTTCCTTCATCCTACTCAACTTGCAATAACCCAATATCACCGTCGTGTAACTAACAACATCAGGAGCCAACTCCCGCTTCAAACAAACTTCATTCAATAAACCTCTAGCTCTATCTACCTCACTAATTCGACACAGTCCATTCATAAGAGTATTATAACTGATTACATCCGGCAAACAACCAAAACTCCCTAAATTCTCAAGAAGCCTAAAAGCCTCATTAATTTCCCCGGCCCTGCACAACCCGCGCATCAAAATATTAACCGTGTGCGTCACCGGTCGATACTGCAACCTAACAAGGTCCCTAAACAGAACAATAGCATCACCTACTCTATTCTGTTTAATCAAAATGTTGAACAATTCATTATAAACAACAACATTGACTCCAACAACACCATTGCACTGAACATCAACAAGCAATTCCTTGGAAACATCAAACCGACCGGCGAGCGCATAGGACGAAACCAAAAACCCTAACAACCAATTATCAGGAACCTGCCCATCACACCTCATCCAATGATACACCAATTTGGCGGAATTGTGAAGATTGGATTCACAAAGAGACCTCAAGAGAAAACTGTAAGTCCAATAAGAGTGACTGTTAATGCGCAACTTGTCTCTGCTGAACTCGAAGAACTTGAAACCCAATATAGGAACGTTGAGCTTATTAACGACGTCGTAAACGAGCGAAGGGGTTAGGTGCTTACTGAAATAGCCGAAGAAGCGTTCGAGCGAGTTGGAGCGAACGAAGATGGTGCAAGTGATCTTGACGAACCAGGCTTCGGGCCTTCTGATCGAACCCATGGGCTCCCAAGCGATAACATCGGTTGAGTCGTTGGCTTCGGCGCAAATGCACCCGGTTCGGTTTTTAATTCTGCGGTTGGGGTCACGGTTCTCCATCGGAGCCACCAAATGCATGATGAGGCTCGAGCATCTTACACAAACGGTGAGGGCAGAATCGGAAACGGAATAAGAGATTGAAGTTAACGATTAAAAGGAGAACGAAGGAGACTGCGTTTCCGCAAGAGTAGCTTCCTCTGCGTTAGGATTTTGGCCTGTGGCGCCCACATCTGCACTAGAGACTTAGCAATCAATTTTAGTATTTTATTTTTTTATTTTTATATATAAATTACATTCACTTCTTTTATATTTTACAAACTTCCAGTTTATACATTTTTTTAACATTAATTGTATAAGAAATCAAGAACAATTTATATCATTAAAAAAGTATACTGTATTATATTATTACATAAATTAAGAAAATTTATGTAAGATATTATCGAATAAAATTTAATCAAATAATGTGATTTTCTTTAATTTTAGGTAATTTTTATTTATTTGTAGAATAACGTTAGTATGTTTTTTATTCAATAAATAATAGATAAATTTCTCTAAGATATAGCCATAGAAATATAATAAACAATGATTTTTCTTTTGAAAATTTTGTCAAAGTGACGATATATTTTATAAGACTAGTTAAAATTAATGTTTTCGTTAACCCGTGAATTCAGACTGGTAGGTACTCTAGTTAAGTCATACAAACTGTGTTCATCATAAGAGAGATAATTATCTCTTTAATTAATTAATATTACTATATATGATATGAATATTTTGTAGGATAGGAAAATTTTAAAAAGGAAATGTTACCTCTAATTTTTAGGACTGGATTTAAACACATACAGGCAATAAGATTTTATTTAAAAAATTTAAAAATATTTTTTTCAGTGAATTATTACTGCTTCTAAAAATATGAACAAAAGAAAAATAATTAAAAATATTAAAAATGCATTTTAAATTTAAAAGATCTATTTCTTTATTTAATTTTTTAATTTAATAAAATATTTTTTATTAATAATTATAAGATTTATCACTTATATAAAAAAAATTTAAACTTAAAAATAATCTTACAATATATTCTTAATTAAGTATTTTAAAATTTAATTTAATAATATTTCTACAGTGTACTAAAATTTTAATAATAATAATTAATTAATTTTTTTCAAAAGAAAAAATTGGGTGAAGACGACGAGTGTTTTGGTGAGGGGGATTGAAGCAGCTGCAATTCTGCAAAACTGAACGCTGAAAGTCTGAAACAGAACGCGTGGATCCAAACTCTCTCTTCTGCGATGGCAACAGAGAGATACGCTTCTCGCCCAACTACATCGTCCGAAGAGAACGCTCTGTGAGTAAAAACACTCCAATTTCTCAACCTTTTCTGTTTCTGTATCATGGATCATGCATGCATATGCATACATAATCACTCCTGTTTTATTTTCATTTTTATGTAACCTTAGCTTTCTCGATATACTGCACGAGGCTCCTCTGTTCGCTCACCGCAAAGCGTCAAGGGTTGTTGCTAGTGTTTTCTATTGCATACTATTGGCAAGTTTGAATCTTTTCCTCATTTCAATTAATGGGTCGATGGCCGATTTGCCAACATTTCATGATTATGATTGAATTAAATTGAATTCTAAAGTATGATTTTTTTGTGTTTGGCTTTGATTGTGGTGTGAATTGCTTATTTATTGGTTCTTTCCATTTTAGGCAGGTTATGCTGCTTTGGCCATAGGAGCTCAATGGATATTTCATCCCGTGCAAGGACTTATCTCTCCCGTTCTTTGTAGTTGTGATGTTCTTCTTTTGCTGTTAACAGGTTTGCATTGCTGGAACAACCTTGAATTATGTGTTCTTAATTCTTATTTTAAGATAAGCATTTTTTTTATTGCTGCACTGTGTGGTAGCATGTTGTGGATGCCTTTTGCTATTGGGACTTTTATACTTTCTGCTTGTTTGAAAAGTCTTTCTTTTCTGATTTCCCCCCACTGGACTCCAATTTGTTGCCTTTATCTCCACTGGGATCTTCAGAAGAATTATATTGGCTAGCTGATTTAGCTTTTCTCTAATGATTGATTTTATATCATATTAATATACTATGTTTATTTTTTGGTTAAATTACTCTGTAACATTTAGTAGAATCAAACAAAGGTGCAGACAAATGCTTTGGAGTTTACATTATCATTAATGCTGAAGTATATAACTAATAATATTATTGTATGTAGCTTAATAAATAGCAGTTTAATTTTATATTTTTACTGCTTCAGGAATCTTTCAACAATATCTGGTTTATCAAGTGCAGAAGATACGGTTGCAGGTAATTCTTTGTATGACTAGTACTTCATTGTTACATAGTTTCTTAATTTGTCTATATATCTCATGTGCATTTATACACTGGGAATTTGTTTGGAATATTTTGCAACTAGGACTTGGAAATCTAAAAGGTCTTCAATGGTGCGAAACCTATAAAATAATAGAATTCCTAACAGAATTTTCGCTGCATAGATCTCTTAAGGTTTTAGTTTTCTTTGTTGTTGTTTTACTGTTTGATTATGTTTTCTTTTGTCATAAATCTAATTTTTCAGGGATATTACAGTTTCAGCCAGAAGTTGAAATTTATTGTCCGCATACCCTTTGCTATTACTGCTTATGGTATGTATTTTGGTATTTCAACTTTTCTTTCAGATCATACATAATGTGAAGTCAATTGATATTATGAGTATTTTGATATTTATAACAACATGGATAATTTACATTATTTGAGTTGTTAATTATAGTGTGAACATTTTTAAATACTTGATTTAACTTCAGGAACTGCTGCAATGCTACTTGTTATAGTCTGGAAACCTTACACTGGTTTTGTGTCAATTTCTGCACTGTTGAGGTATATTCTTCATTTGGTTATGCTTGTCTACTTCATAGATTTTTCAAGGATAGATTAAATTGAATTAAAAGGTTGAAATATTGGGAAGAGCATGCCACTTCTAAATATGAAGGACTCTATCCTTGATCTGAATCTTGTTATCAATACTAGGTGTCAATGACTTTTGACTAATGTTTGAGTTCTACAGTATTTTACCATATTTTATCTGAACAGTGCATGATGGCATGATGACATGAAGTAAGGCTTTTTGGTATGTTTGGTTGAATAAGTATACGTAAAATAGTGTCATATGAAGAATGGTTTTACAAGTAGATAGTGATGTTCCATATATTGCTATTTACTGAGTTTCTAGCTGCGGTATATGTGTATTGAGTAGAATATACAGAGCTTGGTTGACACTTTACAGTATATAGCATGCTTTTATCTCCATATCCCCTTCCACTTGTCTAGGTGTGTTAACAGTTGTACTTTTGGCATTGTCATAATCTAATGAAATTTGGTATTTCAAAACTTGCAATAATTTTCCTTGTAGAGAATATTTTAATGTAATTTGTTTAAAAAATGTTATTACTCTCTTATAATCTCCCATGGTTTGGTTTTATGGCCTAATGATACAATTGTTCATCATCAAGTTCTGGTTCCATGTGGTTCTTCCGTCAGTACATTCTTTCTTTAGTGAATGACTGGAAATTAGTTCACCTTTTTTACACTACCAAGATGATTGTGTCATTTTTGTTGCTTTAAAATTGAGCAGGATTATTATGGTGGTTGAAGCAGCATGTGCTGGATGTTTTATGAGTCTTTACATTGGTAAGCTTTATTTATTAATTTTGGGGGGAGATGTTTTGGATGAAGCTTGAAATTTCATATTATAATTTGTTCCTGTTGACACAGCCCAAAAATCATAGCAAAAAAATGTAAACAAATTTAAGAACATTTAAAGAGAGATGTTGAACCTTCAGGTGCTACAGCCTGTTTGGATTAAAAATCTAGGAAAATGTATTGATAGATTGTGCTTTTGTATTGGGTAGATGCAATTATAGATAAAATTAAAAACAACTTTAATAAATTTGTATAAAAAAGTTATAACAATGTCTTGAGAGTTGGGGGGGCTACAGCCCACCAGCTCCCCATTGGATGAAATAAACTGCACAAATGTAATGCATTCTACCTCTATACACTTTTAATTTAAGTAGATATTGATATGTTGTGCTTAAATTCACCACTTTTATAATTATGACTTCTGAGATCTCTTCTTTGGTGATAATAGCAGTAGTAGTATTAACTCATCCTTTCAATCTACATTTTTTGTGCAAACAGGGTACATACACCAGTATAATTCGTTGAACTCACATCCTGATGTTTTGAAGTCCTTGTACTCACCACTACAACCATCAAGTTCTTTGGAGGGTCTAAGGCAAACATTTTGTGATTAAGTTTCCTTTTTAATTTACTTCATGACACGCTCCATGTTTGATTTTCAAACCAGAAAATGGGGGAAAAAATACTGCTACAGCAAACTAGTATTTTTGAATGCATGATTATCTTCCCTTTATCCATGTGATTTAAAAGATCGTGTTATGCCAAAACACTAATGTAAATCACGTGCAAACACAAATCAAACTGTGGACTTGGATTGAAAAGAATGTGAACACTATAATTAGTATATCTTGATTCAATAGGTACCATGATGGTAGGCTCTCTGATCAGCAAATGGCTTTGCTGCAATATCAGCGTGAAAATCTTCATTTTTTGAGTGAGGAGGTATGCAAAGATTTGAAGCATTAATTTACCGTTGATTATATAAACTATAATTGATACTTATAATGTAGACATTCCACCAATGGTAATTCTTATAATTAGTTCGCCAACATTGAGTCTTTGCAGATTCTTCGGTTGCAAGAGTCTTTAAGCAAATACGAACGAAGTGATGATCGGAGCACACCACAGGTAATAATTAACACGAATAGTCTATTTTTCTTCCCAGTCTTCTTTGCCATTATGTTAATTTATACAAATTCTCATAGGTTATGTTTATGTCTCTTTCAATGGGCATTGTTGTGGTTGTATCTAGATAAAATATTTAACCTGGTATTGTTTTTCTAATCAGGGAGATTTGCGAGTTATGCAATAGCAAATAATCTTCTATTGAATTAGTAGTATAGTTGCGGTGCAATCCGATTCAACTTGTGACATAAACCAGAGTATCATGTCAAAACTTATTCATTTCTACATATTCAATTAGCAATCAAAATCCTACCTGCTAAAATACAGTTCTTGTTATAAACTTGCACACAATTACAACAAGAACTACAGTTCTTTTGACTGGTAAGTAAATTTTCCTGATATTGTAATATGAATCAAGTTGAGGATGTCTACCTTAATTTGCGTTGTTAGCTATCAGAACGAGGTTGCAAAAATTGCTTAAATCGTCAAAAACAGTAAATAATGGTGGCAATGTTTTCATTCTTTTCCTTTTATTGGGGGTAAAAAATTGCTTATATTGCAGGTTGACCTTGCCCATCTTCTAGCAGCTCGTGATCAAGAGTTACGGACCCTTTCTGCGGAGGTAATTACTATGTGATTTTTAGTGTTAAATGTCTGTGCAGACAACAAAGCGCAGTCATCATAATATAATTTGCCTGTCCTGTAAATTAAAATTTGAAATGAAAATTTCTGCACAAACTAAAAGGACTCATTTGAATTGGAAATTTATTTTCAGATGAACCAAGTGCAATCTGAGTTAAGGCTTGCCCGGTCATTGATTGCTGACAGGGACTCAGAGATCCAACATGTTCACACGACCAACAAACAGGTATCTTGCAGAATTTACTAACTAGTATGTGGCCTTTGACTATAAGGTGCTTACAACGGAATTGTTGCAATAATCGTAACAGTATGTAGAAGAGAATGAAAGACTAAGAGCTATTTTAGGTGAATGGAGCACCCGGGCTGCCAAGGTATCATTCATAATTGTAATTATATGAACAGCTATCAAGTGTTCAAATATATTTTTTGGGTGGGCTTTATCCTTGTTATTGTGTCTGCTGAAACCTTTTATTTTTTATATAATGAAAGCTTGAGCGGGCACTGGAGGACGAGCGAATGTCAAATCTTGAACTACAGAGGAAGATTTCAACGCTAAGAAATCAATCACATACCTCAGCAGAAACAGCCGAACAAGGTGTTTAATTCACTTGCCAGGCAAATCCATTTAAATTCCCAGTTCAGTCGAGCATTTAACCTCGTCGTTATCACGATTTAAAAGTAGTAGACGTGTCTACAGTACCATCACCACTATAGAGAGATCCAATGTAAATGTTAGTTCAAATAGGGCCTTATTTTTGTTTGTTAATAGAAATATTTGATGTAATTTGATTGAGTTATCGTGCGCTATTCTACTCCATATTTGCACACGCATTGAAAAAAAATTGCGTTGCAGCGAAGGAAGTCTGTACAATTTAACTTCAATGTTCGATAAAAACAAAAACCAAACGCAAGCCAACGGAATTCTAAACGTTAATCAAAAGGTGGCTCAATATTGATCGTTGCTGCATAGTTACTAGTTTCCCGCATATTCTTCGAGGAAAATAACAGTAGTGCTCAAAAGTGTTCCTTTTTACCATCTCTAAGCAAAGGAAAATTAAGGCATGCACGGCATTGCCCAAACCACTTAGCCCACGAGAAAAAGCATTACACAAACCTTTCTATTGTGTTACAATGGGCTAACCTGTGAAAATTCATTCAAGAAGAGACACCTGAACACATTGTTGAAGAAATCACAACCCTTAGCAACACCTCCCTCTCCAACCACAATCTCCATATCATATTTGCAAGCTCTTGTACAGTCCGGGCAGTAAGTCACCTGGATAAAAGGAAATGCAAGTGTTACACAGAATTCCATAATTCACCCAGCAAACATCCTAAACAAATAACTCAATACATGAACAGAGGACCATTGCTTCTTATACAAACCTCTAATAACTTAGGTTGGAAAGAGCTGTCCAACATGACATCTACCCCGTACATTGCCCTTGATGTTGGACTATGCATCTCAGGATGTGCAGCAGCTGCTGCTTCAAACACTGATCGAATCATATTCCTTACTCTTGCATGTATGTCCAACCATTTAACTGAAAGAGATACAGGGCGAGGAATTTGTATCAAAAATTCATTCAAAATGTAAACCATGCTCTGGAAGCCTCGAAAAACTCATTTTTAAATGCGGCAGAGGATATAAATGAGGCAGTCCCATTACCTTGATGTTCTTCTTCGAATTCCCTCACAAAATCCTGAACATTCTTGTGATTTAATCTTCCGCGATAATTCTGAGATCACACAGACTATGTTAAACTTGTTTAGAAAAGGAAAGCACTAAAATATTAATACTTCAATCAAGTTTTCAACTGAATATCTTGTGGTACTCGGGACATACCATAACAGTGAAGTGAGTTTCATATTCAAAAAAACTACTTCGGTCCAAAGAATATTGGTTGTTGGCTATCCTAACCTGAAAATAAAATATAAAACCTTCTGCCATTAGAATCTTTATGAATATCACAATAAAATGAAGAAAAAGGCTTAACAAACTTTATTCAGAGTCTTAAGTTACTCATAGTTAGAGCCCAGAAGAAGAATCAGTATACCCAGAAACAATCTGACAGGAATATCTCCAAAGGGTGCATGCTCCGAACCAGTACTATGTAACGGAGATCAAACTTTTTCCCTTGGAACAAAGCAGGTTGTTCAATATACTTCTGGCAAATCTTAGGACCAGTTTCCATGAGCCGGATTATTGCAGGTAAATTATCAGTTACAGTAGTATCAATAGTTCGGGCCATGTTCCAGGGTTTCAAGATCCAAAGATTGTCTAGTCCTTCTCTTTTGCGTACACAATAGTCACCAATAAGTTGAGACAGATGTGTTTCAAGATTATAAGTAGGCTGCAACCATTGAGGAGATCCATGTGCCTGTAGCAAGGTAAACCAACCCCCCTCCCCCCCCCAAAAATAAATAAACAGAAAAAGAAAGAAAATATGATTTCAAGTTATCTCAAAAAGCCTCACTTGGAAAAGAAAAGAAAATAAATTTGTTGCATGCCAGGATGAATAAGTATGGTTCGATTGTATTTCACTAGAAATGGATAATGGACATTGGTCCCTCATTTAGGATAATCTCATTGGCATCATCATACAATGTCAGTTAACAATTATTACCTTCTGAATTGTCTCTGCTAAATGATGTTTCATAACAAGACATGCCTCAAAAGGAAATTGATTAATGTATTGCTGATCCGTTATTCCCGTGGCCCTTTTGGTATCCTCATCTACCTGCACACTTGTCCATATTATATCTGCATCTTTTGGTTCCTTTGCTATATGCATACAAACATTCACAAAAAAAGAAAGTCAACAATAAAAAGTATAGCTTTTTAAGACATAGTGACAACCACAAAATATCATCCAAGGTTGAAATAAAACAAGGAAAGTTCAATAAGCACTTAACATGAAGATTGGCAGATACTCAAAATGTTCCCAGTAACGTAATAATTTGACTATTAATTATGAAGTGTTACAAAGAGCAATAAAAAGAATTAAGAGAAAGTTAAAGCGTACACGTATTAAACTTACTGATTGCAAACTCAGGATGTGTCAAGTATTCCTCTACATGAGGTATATCTGTGTAAACACGCAAAGGACACCTATCAGGTTGACAAATACTTCTCCCGGAAGACTGAATAGTGGGAGGTAATAAACTCGTGGATTGCAATTTCTGATTGTGCTTCTCATATGCCTGGATGCAGTATATCAATTAGCTCTAATACAATAGATTTTTAACCATAAATCAGAAATCACAATCTATCTAAGCAAAAGAAAGAATACTTGAATAAAATAGTTATGTGGCGTGTGGAACCATGCAGTAAGCCTGGCAGAACGTTGTTTATCCTCCCCAATACCAAGAAGAAAATCACGAGTGCATTCATCATCCTTCTGAACATTCTGCGTTGGCCATAGAATAGAAAAGCTGAAGAAAATGGAAGAGTCATTACTTGTATGATTAATTTTGACTTAAGTCTTAAACATGAGCAACATAGGTGATGAAGGCAAGATACAATAATGAGCCAGAAATAATGATCAAATAGGAAGTCTTCCATCACAAAAACAAAAGCTGTTAGACATTATCCAAAGTACAATTATATGGTAAAGCAGCAGGTACATTCATAGAGCATGAAAATATAACCTCCATATCAAACCACAAATCTGAAAATAAAAAATAAAGAAGATAACCTTACAGCCGATGCCAGATTGCCCTCTGGCATGAAAAGAAAAGGTGCCACTCTGAAATTTGGCTTGTCACTATGCCGTAAAGCTGAACCTAGTTCATCCATCACATACCTAAAAGAATATCCGAAACAATGCGCTGTTCAAGTGGTTTAGCATTGGGAAAAACTGATCATCAATGATTCATGTGACACTGCTATTTTTCTTTTATTCCATTAACTGTACTGAACCCAACAATTTGAGGGGTCAAACATTGATCCAATGAATCAAGTAGTATTAAGATAATAAGGTATATATCATACAATCTTGATGAAATGTAACAAACTTAAAAATGCATATATTAATCAAAAGAAAGTTAGTGCTAAATTAGAACAAAGAAAGGAAGACAAGTAAAATGCAGGTCATACCATACAGATGTTTCATCTAACTTTTCTTCATCTGCAAGTCTATAAGTCATTAGATATTGCCACATTGCATTTATAATACGGTCCGCAAGTGGCTCATCAGGAGTCCATTCAGGAAGTCGAGGAAGAAGCATGGAATCAATAACATGCTTTCCAGTTTCCAGTATTTTAGATGCACTGATACCATTTAGCTCAGAAATGTTCGGAAGAGATTCCAGAATTTTAACGGCACTCCCTCCAAGTGGACCAGGAATATCCACCTGAAAAATGCTCAAATTATCAAAGACCAAAACACTGGTCACAAGAGTACGGAAATAAATAAAAATTAAAAAAATAACAAAGGAAATTTTGGGGTGCAAATAAATTGTGGTAATGTAAATCAAAACTACCTCCAATGAACGTAAGCAAGGGAATCTCCTCAGCAGATCTAACAAGTCACCAACTGAGTTTTGCTCCAATGGATTTCCACGTATGTTCAAGTATGAAAGAGATGGCAAACAAATGGGTGAAAATGCCTGAAAAAATGGAAAATCATAAAAAAATTAAGATAAAAACAAACACATTTGGGAGTAATGAATTGGTATAAAATGCCACAAATTAACATATTTCATTGATTATGCTTTGTGTACCATTTACTATCTCCTGGGTAAGAGATAGAGAATTCCCAGACTTTTTAACTCAAGCAATCACTTTTGTTCTAGTGAAACAATACATTCTAGTCTTATATCTATACTTTAGAAACAACAGCTAGGACCAAAATAAAAAAAGCAATGCACATAGAAAATAACCACAAGAAACAGTTCAACCTCGTTGATTAAATTGGGAATGCTTCTATTTGAAAGGTCAAGAGTAGACACACTGTGCAGTGTATTGTCAGCCTGATCAGCATTTCCAGGGTTATCCTTTCCATATATCCCTGCACAAAAGCCCAAGGCCCACTCCCCAAAATTGCTTGTGAAGCTTGAATTATATATTTCTAGTTCTGGCAACTCCTTAAGAATTACATCTACAAGCTCACCATCACTAGAAGACAGAAATAAACCAATTTAGTTCTCTTCAACAGAAACAAGTGACCAGACGAAAGGAACACATGGTTTAACTATCATTTTTTCATAATATGAGAAAAGTTACCAATTTTTAAGAACCGGGTTATTGTTGAGCCAGAGTCCTTTAAGATGCTTAAATTTGACAACTTCTTGAACAACTACTTCAGCTCTGTTGAGCTTGTTTCCAAACAAGCTAAGTGCCACTAAATTCTGAAACGATGGAAAGGAAAGAACAATGCATTGAGTATTCAAATTATAAAAAATGATTGACGACAATAACAAAGCATAACAATAATAATTCAATAATCATATGATATTATAAATTTAAAAAACATAAATAAGAAAAAGTGTTACAAACCGGAAACCTATTAGGCAAAGCTAGAGAAAGAAGCATTTCATCATCAATGTCAAGCCCTTCAAGCTCCAACCATCTCAACGTGCCATCTCCTTTCTCTTTTGCTTCTCGAACATCACTCTCCAAAATATCCACAACACCACGCTCACCATTCACTTCAGCTTCAGCATCACCATCATCATTGCCATTCAAATTCACGTCAATATCCACACACATCAAGGAACCCATCCTCTCCGCCAATCCTGGAACCTCATGCAGCTATAAACACAAAAGAAGAATGTTACTAACAAGAAAAGAAACCCTAGGAAGAGAAAATGAGGAAATGGAATTGGAAGAAGGCGAGGACCTGCTTATATGCGTCGGAGAGTCTGAAAGTCCATGCGTGATCGATCAGGAAGACGTTGGAGTCCTTCCCCATGGATTCCGAGGTGAGAACGAGGAGCCTCTGACGACCTTCTTCGCATGGCTCGATCTGGAAGTGGTCGCCGCCGTCGAAGGTCTCGCCAGATAGCTTCTCGAAAAGTCGGCGGTGCAGTGTCTCCGGCAACCCTGACGCCGCGAGTGGCAGCGCGTGAACTTTCACGAACTCTTCGTAAGTTTCTATTCTCTTGGTGGTGGTGCCGCCCATGGCCACCATTCTCGGGAGTGTTTGTGCAAGTGATGGTGCTACTCTCGCTGCTCCACAGAGTACTCTTCTGATTCTGTAGCTCCTTTAACCGCCTCGTATTAATTGGGCTGTGGCTTTACATAAGCCCATTATTTTACTAATAGGTTTACATGGGCTTATGCTCATTATGTCCATATCCAAACCATGCTGCTTCTTTGACCAAAAACAAAAAACTTGGGTGGTATTCTCAAGGATCATTAGGGAACCTTTTTGCATGTTACTTATTATAATCTTGAATCTTGTTCTATTACCAAAGAGGAACTGTGGGCATAATCATTCATGGTCTTAAGGCTAGGGAATTCTGGAGGTTTCAAGCAATCATCATCGAGTGTAATTTCCAAATGGCGTTACTAATTAGACTCCTTAATCTACTGGTTAAAAAATTAGTGTATTATTATATTTTTTAATAAACAAAATTTAAATTTTTTAATTGATATCTTAAAAACACTGGTTAATATATTTCTTCTTCCCAAAATGCCATAAGATTGTTAGAGTATGCTATTCCTCATGCAGGGTTGGTAAAATTACTAAAAAGTATATGATATATGTGTAATTAGTAGGGATAATATTGTAACTTTTTTATATATTATATGGGATGATCACCCTGGTCTCCAAATCTATATACCATGGGAACTCAAAAAGGATAATCTGAAGAATTTCGCTATACCTAAATGCCAGAATTGATTTTTCAACTGATTTCTAAAGAAGTATGCAAATTGGTTTTTTCTTTTCTCTAATAATCAAACTACATCAAGTGGTGAAATTGGAGTGGATTTGACTTTTCTCTCTCAATAGAACAAATAGATGTGGTTGGATTGGGTGGGGTTACATATTGTGGTCAAGAAGATATTGTCTTTACTCACAATGAAATAGGAATCAATAATTTTTTAAATTTTACTTTTAGATGTAGCAATCAAGAATTTCAAATGCTAGACTTGTATCAAAAATGTATAAAGCCATTCCTTGTTTAAAGACAAGGGTATCAATCATGTTTCTCCATAGTGAAAAAACAAACAATATAGGGTCAAGGGACATTGCAGTGTCCCGCAGCAACACCCTTTGATGTAGGGCTCAATGAGTTTGGGGAATCTAGCATATTAGTATATTTTGCTCCATATAATGATGTCTTGAGATAGTAGTCAATAGTATTTTCTCTAGGACAATAATGATCTTCTTTTAGCATGATAAATCATTAAATTTATTTCTAAGAGTAAGTTTAGATTACTTTTTTTATTTAATAATTTTATATAGACATTCATTTGTATGAATTCAATTATTAATTATATAACATTATTTTTGTAATAATATATATATAAAAATAAACGAATTGAATTTTGTAGTCATATAGTCTTATAGCATATGTTTATTTATATTTTGAAAAATATGCTATACATTAAAATAAAGTTGTTTGATTAAATATTATTTTAAAAATTTTCAAAAATGTATAAACTTGATTTACTTTTTCTTAGCCATAAAAGTTTTATATTAAATTTTTCTTAACCATAATTTGTTCCATTTTTTGAATTAAAAGTCTTTATGTTTATATAATAAACTATAATCTTCATTGTTGACAATAAGGACATCTTCAATTACATTTTGATTTTTATTAGTTTTCTTTTACAATGGTGACAATTTTGTTCATTATTTGATTAAAAATTAATAATTTAGGACCAAGAAATAGGTGATGTGTAAGATATAGTGATGCGTTAACGAATTATGAGAGGTATTAGCAAATAGATATTTTGGAGAAAAGTAAATATGAAAGCGTGCGAGAGAGGGAGGAAGCATGCGATTTGTAAGATTATGTTGTAATAAAATGAAAAATAATTTTTTTAACAAAAAATCAAGATACTTTTAAATTATTGATAACTAAAATATACTTAAAAAAAGGTTCCACTTAATCTAAAATTTAGAGTATTAATTTTTTAGGAATATTTTTGCAACATTATCAATTTAAATATATTTAATAGACAAAATTATAATTTTATTTGTCTATTTACAGATAATGTGACATTATTTATTAATATGAAAATATTGAAAAATAGATAGATCCATATCTATATTGTACCAAAAACAAAAGATCTATGTCTATCCATAAATATAGATACGATGAACGTACATGTAAACAGTAGCTGACATATGATAATATCTTATCCTCAGTCACTGTTTTCTCTGAGTCAGATTCAATGTCAAGTTTGTAACATCAACACAGTATCCATATTCCATAGATAGCTAAATCCGTTGCACAGAAAATTCACGTCAACTTGAAATTACCTAAACTCACTCAACAATTTATACAAGGCATTAAAAATAATTAACTCGATAAATATACAAGTCCATGATAAAAAATAAAAGAAAACAATATAAAAATAAATATAACATTTAATATAATTTTTAATATTTTTTTATTTTTTATTTGATTTAATCTAAATCAAATATATTTGAATACAGTAAATGAGTCTATTATTCAAAAAAATTTATATATAAAAATACTCAAACTCAAAATTTTTGTTTAAAATACTATGCTTTATAATTTTATGATTTTTTTTCAATTTTTATAATTTTAGTCTATAATTTTTAAAAATTAACATTTTAATATTTTAATTGTTAAATAATAGTTTGACTAATAAAAAGAATTACTGCATGTTGGTTATTTAAATGGTCACGATAATATAAGAAACTAAAAATCTGAATTGTATAAATCTAAGAACTAAAATTATAAAAAATACAAATACAAATAAAAATTTATATAATATAATTAAGTGTCTTTTAATATTTACAATTTAACTAATATGAAAAATAAAAGAGAACAGTATAAAAAATTTACATCATTTAATATAATTTTCAATATTTTTTAATAACTAATATGATTTTCAATATACTAAAATATATTGTGAATCTTTATAATTTTCCAATTTTCATTTTAATTTTTTATAATTTTAGTTATAACTTTTTAAAATTAACATTTTTATAGTTTATTAACCATTACACAATACTATAATTAATAAAAATAGTATAAACATAAAAACTAAAATTGTAAAAAAATTTAAAAATATAATAAATTGTTTTGTAGTATTTCCAATCTGACGTTGAAAATTTTCCAACTAAATTATAATGTCAAGAAAAATAATAATAAAAAAGGGGGTGCAATCTCAATCATATGAAGTGAAACAAAATAAAATAAGGCAGATAGGCACACCCAGTGTCGTGACTCACAACTCCATGGCGTAGAAACACGATGATGATTGATGAAGTGTCTTCATCATTAAAGCCAATTCTCAAACTTGTGAAGCTTAATAGTGCCTGATTCTTCTTCCTCTCCTAAATCCTTCACCTTTCTCTCTCTTTCATTTCAATTTTGTTACCCTTTGCATCCATGCCATATTGGAACAACCAAACGGGATTGTTCCTACACAAGTAAATTCAACTCTTAAGCTACAAAAATATAAACTTTTTTAATTTTTTCTTTTTGGGTTTTAATAAGCCCTTGAATCTAGAAGAATAAACATGCCTCTCATGTCAACGATTCCAATTCATAGAGCCGAATTCCATGCCTTATTCTTCAATGGGTCTTCAACCCCTTATAAATACCCAAGAATTGCTGCTTCATGGACCATGTGAGTTTCAATTCTCTCTCTCTCTCTCTATCTCTCTCTTGTTTGAGTGATTCTTAGTTTGTTCTGTACTGTGTTTAACATGAACAGGGCCATGGATTCGAAATTTTCACCAACAATGAAGAATAATAATGATGATGTGAAGAAAAAGGAGGAACTCTCTGTGCAGCTTTCAACCCCACCCGTTCCCAAAGTGGAAACCAACAATCTTCAATTTGATCGCTTGCAGCCATCGGATCAAGAATTGGTTCGAGTAAATAGGTTTGAGTTTGGGCAATTTGTTGCACGAGAAGCTGTGCTTGATGAAGAGTATTGGGTAAGCCACAATAAATTGTTGGTTAAAAAGAAACCGTTTTTGGGCACACAATAAGAAACGTATAGTGAGTTTTTCTCATAAATCACAAGGTATTAGACAATCTAATGCATTTGATTACATTAAATGCTATAATTTTCAATAAAAACGCATTACTTCTACATTTCTTATGTGTGCCCCTGGAAAAAAGAAAAAGAAAATATGAAATGTGTGTAGTCATGTGTAATTTATGATGCTGACCTCTTTTCCTCACATTTATGTATTTTGATTGTTTTAAATTTTGTGGTAGACAGCAGCATGGCTAAGGGCAGAAAGTCACTGGGAGAATCGAACATATGAAAGGTAAGACATGGTGCATACATCAGGAAAGGTCAAATGTTCTTTTGGTTGGGATAAACAAGGATTATGAAGAATGAATGTGGATTGTGAAAGAATATGTTGCTTTCATTGTGGTTCAGTAAGTCCTGTATAGTATGGTGTATTTTGTAAACATGTTTGCAGACTGTGTACCATTTGAATTAGATGTATAACATTAGTACTGTGTAACATTGGTTCAATTAGCAGTAGATTATTGGAAGAAATCTGAATGACCCTGCCAATTGTAGGCCTAATTCATTTGTATTGTTTCACAATACATATAGAAGCAACTGATTCTCATTATGTTTTATCCAGATATATTGATAACTACAAAAGAAAATTTGCCGAGCAGGTAGGAGTTGATTTTTAGTTTCTTTGCTTCATGTCTGTACTGTATGCATTGGATTTTGTTCATGAAAACCTTAACGAGAATTCCTATTGCTTAGGAATTTAATGCATTAAAAAGGCGGTGCAAGGTACAATATGGGGATAGCTGCACATGCATTATCACGGTAAATCAATCTCATAGATTCTGATTGAATTGAGAATTTAAGATTATAATACATACTTCAAAGTTCTGATTTAGTGATTAAAAGGATACCATAGTTGATTGTCCCTGAGTATGTCTCAACTTATGGTGTTTGGAGTCAAGTTTAACAGGTGAGGAAGGAGCAAAAGAATGTAAAGCACTCAATATTAAAAAGTGTTGTAGGAACCCTTGATTTGAATATCCGACATTTGCTACAAGGAGAGACTTTTCCCGGGGTATTACACTTACCGTCTTACCTGTTGCTCCACCTAGATTGATGGTATTGAGCTTTTCGCAACTTAATCATTTCTGTAGGAACGCGTAAAGGCTCCTCTTTTTTGCTGCATCAACAGAACACCACCAAGCAGATATGGCTATATTGCAAACTTATGCGTTGCCAAATCTTCTCGCCGACAGGGAATTGCAATCAACATGATGTATTTTGCTGTTGAAGCTGCAAAATCTAATGGTAATATGAACTTTGAATTGAGAGTAACTTAAATATAATTTATGTCTGATATAACTCATGAAATAATACTATAAAATTCACCTTATTCTCCTGGATTAATTTAGCAGGTGTGACACAGGTGTATGTGCATGTGGACAGAAATAATAGACCTGCTCAGATATTGTACCAAAAGATGGGCTTCGAGGTAATATTATCGTTAGTTCATATGTATTACCCATTTTCTATAATGGATTACTGCTACTTGTGAAATGCATTAACTGTGGCAGCTTCCTCACCTTTCTTAGATGGTTGAAATGGCAAACTCCCGGTCGTTACTTGAGGAAACATACTTGCTACGTTTACAGACATAAAATACCAAAGATTATTACTTACGCTTCAATTGGATTGCTTCGAAACAGTTGCACATTTCAAAATCCGAATAGTTCCTCTAATCATAGAGGTATAAGCTTTTAGATTATGTAAATGCATGTAGATGTTTACGTATGTACCTGAGGGAAAAAGTTTCCTTTTTTAATGTATGGACATTTCATTCTGCAGTTCGTATAGGTGTCTTGTATTCTTCCTGCAGTTATATTTGACGGGAAAAAAACTCGTCATTTGAAAAACAAATTCAGATGTATTGGATGTAAAAAGGGTTTTAATCGCAACGTTGGCATTATTTTCGTGGCTAATGGATCATATTTCTCGATTCTGTAGTGTCTCCCTTTCCTAGGATTTACTTCATTTAGAGTTTTATTGGACATTGTAACCAGTTTTTTGTATTTTCAGAGACGAGTTAATGGAATTATTTCAAAGGAAGAAAATTGACTTCGGCTCAACGGAGGCTAACAATGGTCAAACGAACATGCTCTTAGATCTAATATTTCTCATCGCCCCCATCATCTTAGATTTTGTTTTCACTTATATAACACTTAATGAAAAGGATAAGAATTAAAATGACCAGCACAGAAAAAGAAAGTACATTATTCTTTCTACTTGACTAAACCGGTGTTCAATATGGAGACAATACAGTACTATTTATTGTTATTCTAGACTGCTACGCTAATTATGTAATGGTGTGCGCTTGTGCCTCATTTGCATATTAGCCCATCGTGTGGCTAAGTAGAACCTGTTAGTTTAATCAAAAGCAATTTCGCGTACGTTTTATTTTAAACTAATTATTCTATACTAAAACACATACTAATTTTTCATATCAGACCAATTATGGGAAAACTCCATAATTACTAAGGCCATCAGGCCCAAATATACTTCACGAAGTACCGCAAATAACTTGTCCGAGTTGAATTGCCGTAGTATTCCAATACCCATCAGATCAGGTTATTAAACAGGTAATTCTCAGATGAGTTTCGTGCTAAAGAAAAGAAACAAAAAAAAGGACAATCCAGTTAAATGACAAGAAATTCAAGAGCCAAATGCGTTTGTATCCATCCAATATTCTAAATAAATTAGTTTGATGTTCGGTATATCAAGGAAACAATAAAATGCTCAAGCAGAACAGTTGTAAAAGAAAAAATGTTTCATTCAGTTAATATTCGTTTACCAGACCAAAAACATACATGACAAAACGGGCAGCTCAGACGTCAAGTCAAACATCTCCATCAATTGAAGGCATTTTAGCAAAAAGGCTTTCGTCTGATCTGGTTCTACTAGAAATATCTTAGACATATTTGTGCCAAATGCCTACATCATATATTTCAATTTCCATTCTAATATACCAAATCTACGGAGACTGATGAATAACTCAAAGCACTTTGATGAGGATCCGGAACTTTGACATGTTGCAATACAGGAGACATCTTCAAACCAATTATCTGGATCTGTAGGTTTGAGTGGCCATTAAGAAATACATCTGTTACCTGCATAAATACATAACATTTATTTATATAGACTCGGTCATTCATGTCATAACAGTATACATACAACCACAAAAAATTGAACAAACAAATCATTGAACTAGATATTTTTATAGGAACACAATAAATTGATCACACAAACGTTTATAAGTGAGTTTAACGATAGATATATATACCTGAGTGCATCCAAAAAGTTTAAGTAACCTCAGCGACAGGCAGCTGTCAACAATCAAACCCAACGCATTGTCTGTCAAATTTCGGCACCACGATAGATCTAGCGAATGCAAATTTTTCGCATGGTTTGCAAGTGACAAGGTTGTATGGTAACCAACCTGGATTAAATGAAATGAGCCAGTCCGTAAGTGAAACAATATATCTAAGAATTAGTAGGCTGCAAATAAACCAATAACTGAAAACCCAAAGACAGAAATATTCAACAGTGTCAATTAGGTAAAACTACAGCAAGGCCCCTAAGGTTGGGGGCAATGCGGGGAGAGGGGGAGGCTTTGCCGTAATGTAAGTCATTAATTCCAAGGAAGAACCAGATAAATGATACAATAGCATCTTCATTCTCGATGTACATTTACAGACGAGAGAATAGAAAGAGATTTGACAGAGAAAAGCAGGAAAGGATATATTTTTAGGCTAAGCCCAAAATGGATTAGTTAATCTTTCTACAAGCATACATCATCTCTTCCAGCAAGTCACAATGTTCAAGTACTAATGTGTTAATGTCTTTATATTGCATGATACCTATATCCCTGCAAACCAATGGTGAGAAAATATGGGCCACCAAACAATTTACCTTCTTAATGTTATTAAGTGACAGTTCCTTCAGTGACTGTCCAGTGGTCTCCACAAATGCAGCAATTGCTTCATCACTACAACAGCAAAATAGTATAGTAAGGTTAATTTATTCATCAGTTGGAAGACATCAAGTAAAAATCCCCTCCAAGCATAGTATACATTCATGACAAGATCATAGAATAACTGATTCTCAAACCCTGAATTTAAAAGAAATGTTTGTATCCAATACTTGTATTTAAGTAGGTGGCAATCAGTCAATTAGTCAGAATCTTACGCGTTCTTCATAGAACAGGTAATGTACACAGACTCTAAACAGGGCCCTATCAGCAAAATTTTTGGGATCCAATTTAGGGTCTTTATTTCTGGTAAGAGACCTATTTAGGGTCTTTGTGTCTATCTCTTATCACCCTACCATGTTGAAAGCAAAGGCGAGAGAATCCAATCCCATTAATAAGAGGCAAAAGGAAAAAAGTATAAAAATTTTAATTTCTGGTAAACCAAACAACAGTTAGGCAGTGCACTGGAACAATGATAACCAACTTATTCAGAAGTTAGAAACAACTATGACTCACTTCTTGCAAAGAGCAGACTGATCACAGACAAACAAGCATGTGCTCAATAAAAAAGTGAGGGTAACATGAGTGTCTTAAGGTAAGAAAATAAACAAATCAAAAGTACTGATAGCAAAAAGAAAAACACACCTGAATGAGTTACGGCAAAGCTTCAGGGTATTAAGTGCATGACAACCATTAGTAAGATATCCAATGGATAAATCCGTTAATTTGCACAAGTTCATAAGATCAAGCACACATAATCCAGGACAGTGCTCAGCAATGACTTTGATTGATGCATCAGTCAAGTTTCTGCACATTGAAAAATATAAATCAACAAAACTTATGAGAAATAACTTTTAACAATGAAAGAAAATAAAGAAATTACAATTTGGAGAAATATGTACTGTTTTGAAAGAACTAACGAAAAACATAACTTTTAACAATGAAAGAAAATAAAGAAATTACAATTTGGAGAAATATGTACTGTTTTGAAAGAACTAACGAAAAACACAATTAAAATATGTTCAAAGAGAATAATAAACAGTTAGCTAAAAAAAGTAACCATAAATGCCAAATTGGATTTAATTTTTCTTTAATTCGAAAATGTATTCACCAAACTTTTTAATATGTTTATTCCCCAAGAAAATAATTCTGTGAATGTATCGTGTCTTAAGGAGATTACAGACACAAAACAGAATGCTATATCATTACTTACATACAGTCCTTCAAAACAAGCTCTTTCATGTTTTGCCCACGTGCAACAATGTAATTCTTGACAAATTCATCACAAACAGTTTGTATACCAGCTACTGACAACACTTCTAAATGTTCAAGCTCCATTAGCGCAGGCACAACTAGTGCAGCATCAATGCCTTGGCAATCATCAAGGTACAACTCTTTCAAAAGAGATCTTAGTGATTCAGCTAAAATATAAAGACTAGCAGATGTGAGAAGGGAGCACTGGCTGAGATTTATTGATCTAAGTGCTGGAGCAGAAGAAACAAGTGCACGCAAACCCCCATCTGAAAGACGACACCCACCACTAAAGGATAGAGTAGTTAATCTAGGTAAATGCCTTGGTGACTTAGCCAAAGTAGCAACTATTACATAATCTGGCAAACAGCGCCCACACTGGTCAAGTTGTAGTACCTATTTCACAAGTAAATAAAAATAAATAGAACTCAGTTAACATAGGATTTCAAAAACAAACTGACAAGAACCTAATAAAAAATTCAAAAAGAAAACAGGAAATACAAAAAATAAAAGCTAGCAAATACTCAAAAGCAACAAAAAAAAAATCTTTTAAAAAGGTCAACAAGCTTTCCACCACTAGGCAAAGTCAGCTACATGTATCAACAATGCCATAATACTATGTCATGGTTCATAAGTCATGTCTATAGACAAAATATTAACCTCTAAATCCTTTTCAACAATTATGCCTAAAGTTTCCTCGGTCTGTTTCTACCACTAGCAACCGGGCTACCCTTCATCTTATCTACTCTCCTTAATGACTAATGAGGTTTCACCAGGTCTTCTCCACACGTACCTAAACCACCTAAGGCAATTTTCTAGCTTCATTTCTGCAATAGGTGCTACCCAAACGTTCTCTCTAATGCACTCATTCTTTATCCTATTTTGTCTAACATGTTTACTCAACCAACAGAATGAACATGACCAAAATATACAAGTATTTTACCCAATGCAAATGATTACTTTAAAAGAAAAAAAAATAATAGAAATTTTCCTGTTAACTTCTCAACATGAAATGCTAGCTGCAAGACACCATCACACTCTCTTTGTTCTCCTATGTTGAAATGCTTACAATGCTAAGGAATATAAACATAAAATGGGCAAACCGTAAACAGACTACTAGTCCATAGAACATAGAATAAACAAAATACCACAAGGCTAAATACCACAACATTATAATCACAACATTAACAAAACCAAATCAAAACAATTATATCAGAGTTGCTCTATTATAGCCTGTTTGAATCATAAAACCATCCTCAATAATGATATCCATTATCCAACATAAAAACTACAATAGAGATCTAACATCCAGATAATATAACAAGGTTCTAGCACCAATAGTAGCTAACAAACATAAATCAGATGAAAGAATTAACTTCGAAACACAAGCCTAGAGCGCAGGAGAAAAACAAGACACACTGAAAGCCGTCAAATAACTCAAACCACATACCACCAAATTTGAAGTGTCACACATTTGAAAACACTCGGTAAAATGTTCCTCCGTCAACCACGAGCAATCCCTTAACCGAATCTCAGTGGGAGTTCCACGCACCAGAAGTTCAAAAAAGTGGCTGTTCATCTTCCTCGAGTCGCAGAGCAACTGGCTAAGCCGGTGTCTCAGAACATCAGGCACACTCTCCAGCGAAACAATTGCATCAACGTTCTTCGAGAGAATCTTAAGGCACATTTCTTGCAAAGACGGAACCGAAACGCTAACACCAGCATTCCCTACCTTCGCTTTAGGAACCCAAGAAATAGATTCACATAAGTTCGTTCGCGATGTATCGCGTCCCATTCCAACGTTCTGCAGTTTCATCCCTCTGTCTTTGATTATTTTCATAGCTGTGGAGAAAGGACCAGGCCAGTCCTCAATTTCGTCATGTGGCTCTTCGAAAACCGGAGGTGGGTGGTCATCGTTTTCTTCTTCCGGTTCAAAATGAGCGAACCGAGACGCGTTCTCCCTCGCTATGTCGTGGAAGCGTTCCATGTAACCGTTCCTCCGGGAACCGGAACCCCGCTCTTTCGTGATAGAGCTTCTGGAACGTTCTCGAACATGCGAAGCTCCATTATCTGCATCTGCAGTAACGTCGACGGTTGAGTTCTCCGCTTTGGATTCTTCCCGCGAGGAGCCATCAACCACCACAGCTTTTCCTTTCTCTTCTCTGCTGAGTTGTCTTGTTCGAACTTCACCATCCACGTCATTACTAGTCTCCGGCGAGTCATTCTTCGCTTCACCGTTTTCACTTTTGTAATCGTTAAGTGAATCGTTGGCCATTGCTCGCTTGAGAACTTTTTTTCCTGATCTCAAGTTTAGAAAACCCTTTGCCCTTTGGTCAACATCGCGTTCTGAGCCGGTTAAGTCGGTCTTTCGCTTCCGGTTGCCAGTGGAAACCCTAACGGAGGAATCGGGAGTAGTGGCGGGGGGGGGGGGAGGATCGGAGTCAGAGAGGGAGGCGAGGCGGAGGCTGCGGCGGAGGAGGGGGGAGGTGAGGGGAAGAGAAGCGGTGGCGGAAAGGGAAGAAGATTCGTGGGTTTGAGCTGGAGTGAGAGGGTGGATGTGGTTGGATTTGGAGGGTTTAGGGGTTGCTCTGGTTTGAACCATTCTACTATGGAAGAGGAAGGATTTAGGAGGATTTGAAAATGGAAGTGAGGAAGAAGAGAAGGGTGGAGGGAAACTATAGATTTGGAGGGAAATGGAGAGAGAGAGAGAGAGAGAGAGTATTTAATATGGAGAACGATGGTTGGCACCGTAAGTAGTAACCGCACACTTTACACAGTAGAGAGAGAGAGAGACGACTCTTGAGAGTTGAGAAACTTGTCCAGTACACTTCCCCGGAACCGTCGGTATTTCCCGCCATGCCATATCCATTATTATTTTATCTCTCTTTAATTTTAATTTAATATATAACTTTAGTAATACACTAAGATAACGTTGTTCGGAAAAAATTAATTTAAAATGTCTCAGTTTATTAAATAAATTAAATAAATAATTATAATATAAATATTTATATTCACAACTTCATTATGTTGTTTAGAAAAATCTTTCAGTTCTGTCAGATTGCTAAAAACAAGCATTGAATCAGAAAGCACATTTGGCAAACTAAGAAAATAATCACTGGCCCAAAAATTCATTTTCCATATATCTAGTCATCAGAATGTCAAAAATAACAACAAACACCAGAAAACAATGTGAATTATAATTGCTAGCGAGCAGTTGCTAACAACACGGATAATTTATAAATCAAAATATATAGATATATTGTTAATTTAGTATTAAGCAGTAATTATTAAATAAATTAATAAATTACAACATACATGCAGTATGTAAGTTACTAATATACGAGACTAATTTATCAATCAGCCTGTAAATTAAGACACTTAAGAAAAACACATCGGGGTTAAGGACTCTTCAAAAGAGATAACAAAACAAATTTTTATCAATATTTATTACGATTTGTTAAAAAAAAATGAAATTGTACACTATAAAATTAGTATTGACTAGTAACATTCAACCGAATTTTCATAAACATAATGACTAAGTCGAGTTTTTATAAACCAGAGAACACAGTCTCATCTTAATTATGAATTTTAAAGAGCATCTAATTAATGCTACACAAGGTCAATATGACCGCGTTCCACAAACTGGTCACGTAGATAAACTATCTTCAACATGGGTGATGCTAAAAAATCCTTTATCTCGACACTGAAAGATTTAGGTCAAAGAAATGAAAAAAGCAAAGGGGGAGAGAGAGGGAGAGAGAGAGAGAGAAGAGACATAGTAGTAGTGGAAAGAAAGAAAAGTTGAAATAAGATGATGGAAACTGAAAAGATTAGGAGAAATAAACATCAAAATTAAATAGACAAGAAAAAAAGAGCAGAAAAATTAAGAAGGTTATTTAGATTTTAGAGTTCAAAAGTGTTGTTTTGGTCTATCAAAGTATTTAATATATATTTATTAAAAGTCTCTTTCCATATGTTTAAAAACAAACGCGTGGAAGTCTTCAATCAAATTAATAATCGGTTAGAGTTTTAAACATTGCATTTATTTTTATGGAGAATAAGCAAGTATCTAATAATCATTTTTAAAGTTTAATACTATGTATTATTAGTGTAATTTTTTTATATTATCAAAATTAAAATACATAATAATATAAAAAATTATCATTGTTAATGTATTATTTTATATTAAATAACAGTCAACATATCTTAAATTCTTACTTTATACTGACAAAATCATTAATTAATTAATTATAGAGAATTGGTATACATACTTAAAAATAAAATAATTGTACTGTGCAAATTTTGTTATATTACAAACTATAGGTATTAATTAAACTTTTAATAAAATTGATTTAACTTTATTTAGTCATATAATTTTAATAAGATTGAATTAATTTGGAGATACAAATAATATTATTAATTCCTAATTGTTAAAAAGATATAAAATTTTAAAAGTGCTTATTATAATATTTTTAAACTTTAACAACATTAATTTTTTAAATTATATTAAAATATTAAAAAATATTTATTTTAAAATAAATTAAAATCAATGTCATACTCCTCAAAATTTATCAATTTTAAAAATATATATACACCAAATTAGGTTAAAATAATTTAAATTATAATTTAAAAATTTGTTAACTTCAATTCTAAAGACTTAAAATAAATAATTAATAATAACAAATTTTTATTAAAAAAATATTTATTATATTTTTATAATTTTAATATAATAACTGTATATTTTTTTATAAATATTTTTTGAATATTTAAACTCAGTTCTTGAATTAACAAAAACTTAATTTAAATCCATCGAGTATGATGTTTAAAATTTAAACATGATCAGAAACAACTTTTAACAGTATCGAGTTAAGGAAGAGGGCGGTTGATGAATAGTTGTGATAAAAGGCGGCGATTGTACGGTGGCGATGATCGTACATTATTTGTGGATTTCAACAGTAACTAGTAACTGCCACTAACTACGTTGTTATGAATCACGAAACTTATCACAATCGAAAGTGGAACATGTCTTTCTATTTTAGTTGTCTTGTGTTAGAAAATAAAAAAAAACCAGTTGGAAAGTAACTGTAAAGCAGAAAGGTGGGATTTAGAACGCGCAAAAGAACAGAAAAGAGAGAGAGAGAGAGAGAGAGAGAGAGAACGAGTTAGAATTGAAAAGTTGAAGAAACAGCAACAATCACTGCATCTTCAATGGCGATGTTATCTGAACCCAATCACTAGCAGCAATAAACGACATATAAAGAGATCACACGACATGGCTCACAATAACAATAACCCCAACAACGTCGTGGATGGCTTTACTCACCGAGTCAACAGCCCGCGTTACACGGGTTCAATGACTCGTCGAGCTCACTCGTTCAAGCGCAGCAGCAACAATAACAGTGGAAGTGCTGTTAATGAGATTGAGCTTCAAATCAACTCACCTAGATCCCCCTTGGGTTCTGCTACTGCAGCTGAAGGCTTGTCCTTGGATCCTGTTTTGAAGAGGAAGCATCATCATCATCATCGTGTGAGCCATAAGGAGAGGAACAAGAAGCTTGGACATTGGATGTTCTTGCTGTTCTGTGGGGTGTGTTTGTTTCTGGCTCTTCTTAAGATTTTTGCTTCTGGTTGGTGGTTCCAATTTGCAATAGATAGCGGAGATGAATCCATTCAGGTTTGCATCATGCCACGCGTCTTAAATAATCATCATCATCAATATTGTTATTATTATATGGTGATTCTTAGCTTGTTCTGTAATCATCATTGAGTTGTGTGTGCTGCCGTGAATCTTGAAAGACAATCTTAAAGTTTTATTTTTTTGTTAAAAATGGAAGCTTTATTATTTGAAAGTAATATAAACAATTAGTCCCAGAACTTATAAGTATCATTTTAGTCTCAAAAATTACAAAAACATCGTTTTAGTTCTGAAATTATCAAATATAAGTCATTTTAGTCCTTATTGTAATGATTTCAGGAACCAAAATGACTTTCGTTTTATAACCTGAAGGATTAAAATGACCACCAATTAATAATTTTAGGAATAAAATGATATTTTTGTAATTTTAATAATTAAATTGATTGGTGCTCATAATTTTCAGGAATAATTTGACGTATTACTTGTTATGTGTACTTGATTACTACTACAAAGTCTTTCTTTTCTTAAAACTTTCCAATACTACAAGAGAATGCGTTAACCTCTTAGCTTCATATGATATAGACATCCATTGGATAGTGGTATTAGTGTTTTTGTTGCTGTTGCTTTCTCCTTTCCCCTCCAAACATGGATGGCTGAGTGCGGAAAATTTTGTTGAATTTTATTTATTGAATTCGCGAATGAAAATGTGCAATTTTTAGTGTCTTGCGACAATACCGGTTGTCTCTGCTATGCCAAATACAAAATTTTCTTTGGCCTTTGCCAATAGAAATGAACGTGTCTGACGTGGTTGCTGTTTTGAGAGAGTGAGACTTCTGCTTATTCAGTTTAAACGGGTTACTAGTGATTAACATAGCTAGAAGCGTGAATTGGCATCTCGCAAAATACAGTATTTCTTTTTCAGCTTATACTTCATGAATGAACATGCTATTTCTATGTTACTAAGTATTACAAAGGCTAAACTAAGTAAATCCATCATTTCACCATTTTATCAGGAACAATTTGATTCCATTACTAGTCAAAATCTGAAGGATCAAAGTTCCCATGGTTATGCATTTAGGGAGGGAGCAAGTGATGTTGAACGAACTCTAAAGATGGTAGCTACAGGAATTATTGATAGCCAGACTGGCATTGCTGAAGTAAGTCTCTGATCTATATCTCATGTTCTCAGGTGAATTATTCAGCTAATTATGTTTGTTTGTCAACTAAAATAACAAGGTATATATGAAATGAACAGAAAATGATTTAATGGTGCATTCAGAGATGTCTTTACCTTCTCATTTATTGAATTTTGCTTTTTATTCAGGAATCTGGTATATGGTCTAATCCCAACTATGAGAATTTCTCCCAATGCATAGACCTGCAAAGAAATCATAAGAGTATGAAATTATACTATTTTTTTCTTTTTGGTTAATATGAAATTATACTTTTGAGTATACTCCTTCCTCCCATTCACGTTCCAAGATTTCTCTCCTCTGACTGCGGAATTCTTTTTACAGAGCTGAATGTGAAAACCAATGGCTACATTCTTGTAAATGCTAATGGTGGCCTGAATCAGATGAGATTTGGGGTCTGTTTGTGTTGGTTTCTGATGAAATATATTAGAGAAAGTTAGGCAGTAAGTGTAATCTAATGTGTCAATATATTCTGAATGCAGATATGTGATATGGTTGCTGTTGCTAAGATTATGAAGGCAACACTTGTTCTTCCTTCTCTCGATCACACCTCCTACTGGGCTGATGCGAGGTTGGTTTATCTTTACTTCCTCTTGTACTATGGTATTAGAAAATTGAATTGATAGATATATGCATAATGTCCTTGTTTCTTACAAGCCCTAAGCTTGATTTAGTTAACAATCAATGCCTGATTATTGATAAAAGATTTGTGGAGTGTTGAACTAGTTTTAGTCAAGGAATTACATGAAACTAAGAGATGATCAAATTGCTATGAGAAATGAAGTAGGGATAAAATTAGCCTGTTAGAACTTTTGCTACACTTTTGAGAAGGGTCATCAATTGCAGTCTTATGGCCAACAACTTTTTATAGACAAATTTCATAACTTTCACCTTAAACGGAAAAAGTGCAGATTAAGAGAGATTTAATTGGTGATTAAGAGAGATTTAATTGGTCCTTTGATTCCCTTTCTCCCCATATATTGTCCCTTCAGCTATCATTTTACATTTTTTATTTCATCAATAATATCTGATATACTTTGATAATTGTCTCAAATGCTGTTTTGAATTGCAAATAAGCTCCAATATTTATTACTCTGTAGTTAATTGGTTTCAATATATTTGCAGTGGCTTCAAGGATTTGTTTGACTGGAAACATTTTATTGAGACACTGAAGGATGATATCCACGTAGTTGAGACACTGCCACCTGCCTATGCTGAAATTGAACCTTTCCCAAAAACGCCAATATCTTGGTCTAAGGTCAACATAAATTGTCTATCACCGATTATTTCTTTTTGAATCCAAAAAGATATGGTTAATTAATCAGTTTATTGTATTATCATTGAAAGTATGATCTTTCAGGTAGTCAGTTCCAGTTTATAAGAAAATGAGAGTATGAAGTGATGGAATTATATTTTTCCTCATATTCATTGAGTTGCTTTGAGTCATATAATGATGAGGATTTCTGGTTTTCCATAATGTTTTAATGACAGTTAACAAATCTACACACTTATTCACAGGCCAGTTATTACAAGACTGATGTTCTTCCCCTCCTAAAGCAGCACAAAGTGATCTATTTCACCCATACTGATTCCAGGCTTGCTAATAATGGAATTCCAAGTTCCATAGAAAAACTAAGATGTCGTGTAAATTATAGAGCATTGAAATATTCAGCTCCGATTGAAGAATTTGGAAACAAATTGGTATCTAGAATGCGACAGAACAAAATTCCGTATCTTGCACTTCATTTGAGGCAAGTTACAATTCTAATATTTTTTAGTACAATGTGAAGAATGGATGTTCTTCTTCTCTTCTCATCTTTCTTCCTTGTTGTCCCCTTAAATTTTGACTTTTGACTTGATTATCTTCTGCTTTGATCATATAAATTCATAGTTCAAGTACCACCAAAATTCCTTTGGTGATTACTTGATCATAAAATATTCTAGTTGAAGGAGAATGCTAACAAATGCCTTCCAGGCATTGGTTAGGGAATCAGAAGTAGAAAACTTATATAAAAAAAAATGTTACAAAATGCACCCTTCCGTGATTTCCAGTACATCCGTATCTTGATTTCTGATATATTTATTTTTTCTTAATCAGTGTTCTAAGAGCAATGGTTTCTAAGACCCGCAGTATAAGAATAGTCCCAAGTTTATGCTAGTGTCAGTTGATATCAACTGATAAACTTAAGATTTTTTCTCCTGCAAGAAGTGTTAAATCAAATACTTTTCCTTCAATCACTTTTCACTATCTTCTTTTTATTCGTAGGTATGAGAAGGATATGCTTGCATTTACAGGCTGCAGTCACAATTTGACTGCAGAAGAAGATGAAGAACTACGACAGATGCGGTATGAAGTTGGTCATTGGAAGGAGAAGGAGATTAATGGGACTGAGAGGAGATTGATTGGAGGTTGTCCATTAACGCCAAGGGAAACTTCCTTACTGCTTAGAGCACTTGGTTTTCCATCACAAACCAGAATTTATCTGGTAGCTGGAGAAGCATATGGAAGAGGAAGCATGAAATATCTCAAGGATGATTTTCCCAACATTTTCTCTCATTCCTCTCTGTCTTTAGAAGAAGAGTTGAATCCTTTCAAGAATCACCAGAACATGTTAGCTAGTATAGACTACATTATTGCCCTTCAGAGTGATGTATTTCTTTATACTTATGATGGAAATATGGCAAAGGCAGTACAAGGTCATAGGCGCTTTGAACACTTCAAGAAGACCATCAATCCAGACAAGTAACATATTCTTAACTCATTTCTTCTGCATTACTAATAGCTTGACTTTTTTTATCGTGTGCATTCTATTAAACTATTTAATCATAACAATATTCACTCTACAATTCAAAATATATAAATTACAGTATATTAATTTGTCAAAGAATGAAGTTAGATAAGATAAGTATACATGTCATTAGATTGTTCATTTTGAGATAGAAAAATTGACGCAGTGAAAATAGAAAACTGATCTCTATCTAATGAACAAAAGAAAAGAATGTGTATATGTTGAATAGAAAAACAATTATTAAACTCACTGGATGATGAGACCAGAGACTTCTCTCAGGCGAGGTCGAATAGTCTAACACATTATAAACTATTATTACTAAAACCTAGCAATAATATATTTATCATTTGATCATGTAAAAATTTAATTAATAATATCAATTGATATTAATAATATATATATATATATATATATATATATTCTAAATAATTGATTAATATGCTGATTTATGGTAAAACGAGATATTAATATTAATATAATAATTAATAATATAACACATTCTATTGCTATGCAGGATAAATTTTGTGAAACTAGTTGATAAGTTGGATGAAGGGAAAATTTCTTGGAAGAAGTTCAGCTCTAAGGTGAAAAAGCTTCATGAAGACCGTGTTGGTGCTCCATATCCTAGGGAGCGCGGAGAATTTCCTAAGCTGGAGGAAAGTTTTTATGCAAATCCTCTGCCAGGTTGTATCTGTGAAACAAGATTGGAGTAGGGAATTGGTCAAAAGCTGTCTTTCATATAATGGGCATTTCATAACTCTTCAGAAGGTGGGAATGTTGATTTTTCAGAAGTTGGGTTATCTGATATGGTGCTATACATTGCCCTTGACGTTGGACATAAAAGGATCAAGGAAAAGTGGTAAGAACTGAGCAAATCAATTCACCTGCACTTCAAATTCAAGTATCAAGCGCATGCAGATCATGTATACTGTATAGTCTATACCATTCACCATACCTTGTCAGGGAAACCTCATCCTTAACCACTCTTGTAATGAAAAGTTTTTTCTGCCTTTTCTTTTTCATTTCTAGATTTTAAAATTATTCAATACCTTTTCATGTCAAGAAAAGAGGGTGAGAGTGAATAAGTTTTATAGTTCATTATTCAACAATATAAAAGATCCTGATTCTATGCATTAGAATTATTTTAAGCATGTATCCTTAGCAAGTCATCCATTTTGCTTATTTTAGTTGATCGAGATATTGTTCACTAATGATAAACTTCATATTCATATAATTTGGCTGCTTTAATTGTTTGCTGATAAAGTAAGAGTTTAGTGAAATAGATAGAAACTTGGTCAAAATATTATCGTGATTCAATTGTAGTTGGACAAGACAAATATTAACTCATTCTCAGTTACTTCAACTGTTTCAAATTATCTATTTTTATTTGTTATTTTACCATAGAGCAGTAATTATTCGTTTCTAACTATACCTTTATTTGTTATTATTTGACTCAAATACTAATTAATTCAGTTACATTCCAACTCTTTTACTAAAAATATTTTAGTCAACAAAGTTTACTTCATAATAATAATTAATGCAATTAAAAAATTTCTTAAAATATGTGCATTACTTTAAAGGCAAACTAGATTTAATTCATGCGTACGCATAGATTGATAAAATTAATTTTGTTGATAGTTATTTTTAAAATATTCTAAACTAACAAATTATAAATTTAATTAAAACATATTAATAGTGTAAATATTTTTATATTGTCATTTAATCACATATTAATAGACAAGGAGTAACGCTGTCCTTAAACGTTGTTTAATTTGAATAATTATAAAAAGCTTTTAAAATACTTTAAATCTTTTTATGAGAAAAATAAAACTTGTAACTCTTATAATCTTTTTCTATTTTATCCAGAAAACATGTTCATTGTTAACATATTGATAAGTTATATTCAAGAAATTGCTCAAAATGTGTCGCAAACACTTACACAGGCAAACTGCCAGAAAACTTTGTATTGATATGAATAATGGAAGTGTTTTTGATAACCCCCTTAAGTCTTTGACATACCATGTTTTAGCACTAATGATTTTATTGTTAATATGAGAAGAGCTAGTTAGCATCAATATTAATAATGCAAAGAAACTGGATAATAATTAATGTAATATCTATCAAGTTATTGGACGAAAGCTCCAGTTGCTTGTTCTTCTCTGAAAGCCATTGTTTATATGTTCCTCAAGGATTATTAATAGTGGAAAGGGGGGTTGAGGACTTTGAAACATCTGCTAGAACATACAAAGCGTCAATTCTTCTCTTATTTTGCTTGATTCACACGATTATTGAGCAACCATCACAACAATGGACAGAACAGTACAAGGATGGGCTAAAGAATTTTCATTTAGCAAGTATTTTACAAGGGCAAGATGAGAGCACAAAAATGTATACCCAGCATTCCAATGTCTAACCTCCCCAAAATAAAGGGAAAGGAAAGAACAATAAACTATAACTGTATAATAGATTCAACAAGGTCCTCAAGAGGTGCCAGCTCTGCTTTGTCGATCAAACGGAATTCCTGCAACACAAGATGGCAGCATCTCAGCCAGTAAATTCAACAAATTCATAAAAAGATGATAGCAATCAACTTGAATTCAAAAGCACGTTTCATATTTTTGCATTTGAGTATTGGATTTGAACCTGCAACCTTTAAGTCACAAGGCAGCAACCTTTTCCATCATTCAACCAACTCAGTGCAAAACCAAAAGAGATGGAAACAAATGCATCAATGAACTTCTGATCTCTATAACCACTTACCCAAGTAAACAATACAAAATGCTTGAAGCAAGTATTCAGGTGAGCCTCTTCCTTCAAACTCACTATCTTCTGAAAATGTGAGTGATAAATATGAGCATATACACGGAATAATCGCTTGAAAATTGTTTTCACCACGTCTCGGAAATTTGGTGGAAAAGGAGCCCCTACAGCAATGCCGCAGTCAGTTAAAACCGTGCTATAATGCATGTAATTAGCAAAAAAAAGAGTCCAGAAAATTCAGCTTACTGGTATAAACTATCTAACATACCTAACTTTTGAGGGAAAATTGTTTCATCATCTAGCTGAGATTCAATCCAATCCATCAAATACTCAACATATTTTGGAGCAGATACCTCTATTGGTTTCTTGATAGTGACACCATCAGCCCATCTGTACTCATACCTGTAGAGTTTAATGCATTAAGAACGTGTCTCATATATATGTTTAATGTTGTTCACAAAGATTTAATTCGTCTATGTAAGAATATAAAGCTACGGACAAATGACAAACTGGACAAATATTAGAAAAAGGAAAATTGGCATAGAAAATGTGTATAAGGGTGGTATAACCTCAAGGGACTTGGTATGCTCTCTTATTCACAATGCTCTACGTAAAATATATTTTCCCAGTTTTGCAGTTGAAATTTGTTTCCCTTTGCCACTCCCTAGCATATAGCTATCATCTTGGAAAATATCTTCAGCTACTAACTATGCACATTCAAAACTAGAATCTCCCATGTAACTCCATACCCACTCTGCCTTAAGTTAGGATTCAAATTTCTAACATAACCCATTCCTCCAACATTCAAAAGGTACAGAAATTTGTACATATTGACTAAAACCATATATCAATACTACCTATAATAAGAAGTTACAATTTTTTAAGACCAATTGCTGTAAATACATAAAAAAGAAGAGTTGGTTGAAGGATCAAACAATACTTTGGTCCTGCAGTCATTGTAGGACAGTTATTCGGCGTGCAGAATTCTGTAAGTGTACCAAATAGGATATTCACTTGATTAAAGAAGTCTACAGCTGCACACAAAAACAAAAAAAAAATGCCAATGTGTAAATTTCATAAAAGCAATTTTGCAGTAAAATATCATTTAACAATGATAAAAAAATATGGAATAGAGAAGGGCGGGGGGTACACTTTATAGTAAGAAACTTCAGCAGTATATGCCAAAAGCTAAATAGATTAAAGATTCTTACTGTTCACCGCCAGCCACTCATTAATATCTTCACCAGGAGGCAGCTTAACAGCTTCCCTCAAATTCCCACTACCCAAGGTGGCATCGATGTGTTTTTGAAGTTGAGCACCCTGTATTTCATAATCAAAATGCTTAGAAGGCTCAATTCGTCAAATATAAACCATAAAGAAAAAGTAGAAAACAATCCAGTAACCACTCCACAAGAAGTAAAATGACCAACCTTACTTCCAGATGGGGCACTCTTTTTTGGACGAAATGTTTTCTGGTTTCTGCATGGATCAAAGTTTGATTATGTTTTGATTTGGCACATATAATATGATCTATGCCCTATAAATGGTATATGGGGATTCAACTTTGTCAAACATGGTTTTGAAATGTTTATTGTTGAAGGAAGTTTTACATGCTCACAAACGTTAAGAAGTCCAGTTTTGATGCCCCATTTCACATAACTGAAACTTAAATTTTGACTACCTAATATTCGCCATTTCACATTTTTGAGCTACCTATACATCGCAGAAGCAGCTAAAATTCATCAAAAGCATCCTTGTAAAATCAAGTCAAGTAAAACCCGCTGAGAATCCGACACGCAAACATGACATCATAGCACTAACAACCCAACAGTATCTTTTTCAAATTTCCAAAATTTCATTTTTGGCACAACACCCAATAGTAATTTCACACCCAGTTTTAAAACATCAACATACTATTTGGGTGGGGGAGAATGAAAGGGAGGAGACAAATTTCAGTAAAAATCCCTTGTTTGATTCAAAAGTTCTGAAGGAAAGGGAGGTAATTTAGATTTCTATTTGAATTCTCTGTTCTGAATCTCTTGAACAATTCCTGTCAGCAACTTCAGAATGAGGCAAATTATTGCCATAGCTATGATACAAAATAACCATCAAATTGAAGCATATAAACACCATAGCCATATCATCAACACAGGTAATCATTGTGTCTATTGTTTTACTATCATATGATCATCCATCCAATTTAACAGAACATAAACAAAGAGATTAAGAAAACACTAAGATCAATCTAAAAGGCAATCAAGGGCAGCCTCAAAACAAAAATATCAGCTCATCTTCAAAAGGGTAAATAATAAACACACAAAAAATTATTTTTTTGTTTTTATAAACAAAGGGATGAAACCCAGAATCTATAATGAATACAGCAAGCACAAGGGAATTGAAAGAAGGAAACCTGCTTCCAAGACCAAAGAGACTCATGGTGTCAAAATCCCAAGCGTCTCTCTTTCTTGAAGATCCAAATATCGAAGGCTCTTCGAATCAAATAACAAAAACCAAAAACTGAAGAATGTCCAAAACGAGTTTACATATATAGACACAGACAGAGAATCCTTAACCTCCCTTATTGCCAGTCTGTCATTTCCTCCGTCTCTCTCTCTCTCTCTCTCTATTGAGGGAGGAGAGAGAGAGAAAGCCAAAAACTCCATTTGCCAACCTGCGTTATGCTTACCTGGCTGACTCTGCCTGATACTCTTCTTTTTTTTCTTCCATTCTCCTATTTTTTCTACCTTATTCTTGTCCTTTTTTTTTTTATTTTTGGCACATATTCTTCTCTTTAATGTTCTCTTTTTCCTCATCTTTTTCTCTCTCTTTTTATTTTAAGAATTTAATAAATGAATAATGGTGTTAAAAAAGGACAAGGTTAATAGTTGTAAATGAATTTAGGCATAAACTTAATGGTGAATGGAAGCATAAAAATGAGACATTCTTTTTTTTTTGTTCCCTTAAAGATATCTATGGTGGTGGGCTTTTTCTTTCTTTCCGATTTTTGGTGAGTGGTGGTGGGCTTAGTTTGAATTGTTCCTTTAGAGGTCTATTATTAACCATTAACTGCTATTAATTAATAATTAATAAATATAAAAAGATTCCTTGTCCAATTTATAAGAATGGTACAAGTTATCATAATTTTTAATCTTAACTCTTGCTGGTGGGAGCAAAATTTTACGCCTACAATTTAGATTACAGTGAGATCGAATAAACTTGACATCATGTTCCAAAAGGAAAATAAATGACTAATTTCGGTGATATTGAAAGGTTTATTAATTCATAATTTCTCGCATTAGAAAATGCATTGCATTGGGATTTTTTTGCAAAATATAGTTATGAAATATGTTGAGAGTTCTCTGTCATCCAATCATTTACAGCTTGATGCCAACTTGATGAGCATATATTTTTAATTTATATATGTATTTGGCACGAGAACAATCATAACACCATATGTTTATTTCACTCATAAAAAGTGTTGTAATTTCTTTATGAAAATTATGCACTTTTTTTATTATTTAATATAATTGAAATTAATATTGTTATTTAATATAAGGTTTTGTTCGTATCATTTTACATGTCATGAGATTTTTTTTTCTTTGCCAAAATATCTCGTTTAATATATATATATATATATATATATATATATATACATATATATATTAAAAACTAGTTCATTAATAAAAATAATTAAAGAAATTAAAACTTTAATTTGATTGATAACTTATAAAAGGAAGAAATTATCAGCAAAAAAAAGGAAAAAAAAATTAAGATGTTGATATGTTTTGATTTGATATAAAAACTATAAATATATGCCACAAAATAAGAAAAATATTATGAATAAAAATTTAGGAAAATATCTAATTATATAATTTAAAAAAATCAATTTTATAATTTTTTTTTCATATTTTAGGATACAATTCATTTATCTTTTTATTTAATTTGGTCGCAATCAAGTACAGATTTAAAAAGATGCACGCATTATTTTGGATCTCTCTCTTTTTTAATATATAAATACATGTTTTGGTTTTTTTCTATATTTTATATAATTATATTTATTAAAGGTCGTTTGCCTTTCACTTCCTCTCTTTTTAATGTTTCCAGCCTGTCCACACTAATATAAATGTGTATATTATTCTATATATTGATTATGGAGAGTTCCCCTCTTATTTATTTTTGAGAAAATTGTTAATATCAGATTTTAAGATTGATTTTAAATATTCATAAATGATAAAAATTGATTAAAAACAATATTTTTTGATATAAAATACTACTCTGGAGACTGATTAAAAAAATTATTATCAATGCACCTCTTTCATGATTTTAATGTATTTTAAGTAATTTTTAATAAATAATTTATATAATATTTATTATATAGATAATATAAACAAGTACTGATCAATACTCGGATAGTGATTAATAATTTACAAGTAAATTTTTTTTATTAAAAATCATTAATGCACCTCTTTCATGATTTTTAATGTATGTTAAGTATTTTTTTTAATAAAAATTTATTACTTTAATTTTTTAAAATCAGTATACGATTAACAAGGCTTAAAAGATATAATAATAATTTTAGTTTTAATAAAAAATATTTTTAAGCTTAAAATGGTTCCTAAAAATTAATATTGAAAAAAATCGTTATTAGTAGAATTTAAATTATTTTCCTTCTCTTTTCCTTTTCATCATATTATTTATCATACCTTTCAGTTTTGTTCATTTCCCTTTCTTTCTTTTTTTCTATATTCAAAGATAAGGTATACATTGTACACTCATCATTATTCCTTTATTTTTAACAAAAAAAAATTCTATTTAAATTAGATAAGACTTTTATAGACTCCAAAATTATCTCTTTAAATATTTAATGCACCATGCATACTTTAACAAAAGTTTTCACTGTTAGATTGGAATGGGAAACGTTTTTGCATGTAAAATGAACAGTTGTAATATAATATTTGAGTTTACAAGGAACTTCCCTTTTTCTTTTTTTTTCCTTTTCAGTCTAAAACACCATGGATGGGTTAATTAACCTCTGTCTGCATTGTGATGTGGTGAATGCAAAATGATATTTACGTTAAATTCAACACCTGTGACTAAAATTATGTGACTTTTTCCAAACTATAGCGATAAAATTTGACTATCAATGAATGTTCCATTCTCTTCGTACACAAGTGGACACTGAGGATCTATTTGCTCTAATATTTAACAAAATTAATTTTAAACTATCAAACATAGTTAAAATACTTATTCAAATTAATTTTAAAAAGTGGTGCAAATTACATAAATGGGTTGGTAGTCTAACGTGGAATGTTATGATTCTACGATCCAAGCCACAACAATGGATACAGTTTCTTTATCCATTAGACAAATCCTAATTCCAAACCCAACTCCATTTCGTTTTCTGCTGCAACTCACAAACCAAATGGGAGATTGTTGCTAGCAATGTTCTTCTACAATATGGTTCAGATTAATGCGAATATATATATTTATAAGCAATAAGTATTTAATTTATTAAAATTAATAAAAAATAATTATATGTTATAAATTTATATTTGATAATCTACCTCAGAATCATTACAAACTATTAACAATTATCATGACATTGCCACTACACCAGCAACAGCTAGCGTTTGTTTTTTTATTTTTATTTATATTAGGTTTTGGATAATACATCTGCATACACTTTAATAATGAGGTTGAAAAGCTGGAGACAAATGAATTGCCTTGAAATACTTTCAAATTCACTTTGAATATCAAATATATACATACAAGTTAACGATGTCACAAACATGAAGATCGATTTTTTGCATGGTAACCAGAATTTGACAAAAAGATCCAAGAGCCCCGGTAGCATGCATGTGAAAAGGTCTAAACTTAAAACATTTATGTATTATTACAAGAAAACACGTTGATTCTTATATATCCTTTATTTTCTCCTCTTTAATCTTTATATAGACAATGTTAGTTTGATATGGTATAACTTCTTTGGAATTCTTTTGATCTCCAATTCTATTGTCGGAAAATTTTCCCAATTTTTGCAAGTATTTTGGAGCTTTTCATTAATTTTCCTTCAACTTAAAAAAAAATTAGTTTTAAATGTTAACGATAACGTTGTCGTTTTAATCCTTTTTTGAACTTTGACATAAGAGTTAAATAATTTAATGGGCTCTTAAAAGTGATAATTTGTTTAACTTTGTTCCCTAAAATGTGTACCTCTATACAAATTCATCTCCAAAATAACTTCATAGTAAGATAATATTCCTTCATCAATCAGTGTTAATGAGATATAAAGGAAACTGCGATGTAAAACATTAAGTAAATATTTTTGGCCGATTAAATTCCCTATACAAAATCTCTTAATAGATATTTGTCAATTTGGTACAGGAATTTGGGGGATTACACAATCACACACAATTATCAGGGTGAGAAAATTGGTGTATAACGTATTTTTATGATATTTTTCAATTAAAGTTAAATAGATTGATGTCAAATTTTATGTATGTCTCAGTTAAAAATTGTCTTTTTTATAATGTAAAAATTACATTAATTTGAGTAAACTAATTTACAAAAATTTACATTCGTTCACTTAACATTTCCACATTAGTGATTTCGTTATGTTCCAAAAACACCGACTACCTAGAAAAATAACAATATACGCTTTTAATAACTTTAAAGGAACAGAATAATAACTTTTCATTTCTAAAGACCAAATCATATATTAATCCTTAGATAACATACATCTGGCTAATTCCAATCCACTCCAAACAATTTGAATAATATTGCATACGATATTTACGTATTGAATTACTATTACAGCAGATGTTTTATTTCAAATATAAGTGGACATAAACTAACCATTTGCTCCATTTCATGGCAATTATCAGATATGCAACTTTATTGTATTTTTCTTATTTTTTTTATACAACAATACTTGATGAAATGTTTCACGCATTAAAAGAAAAAACATGCAAGAAAATACCGCACATTTATTCATCTTGTAGTACAAATTTCTTAAGTAAGAAATCATCCATCTAAAAGAAACATGCTTGACAACAACGAGAAACAATACAACCTAAACCAGATCAGTGACCCGGTTAACCAATCCTACTAAAGAAGAAGAAAATCACACGTTTACATGCGTGCTAAACCCAAAATGAAAACCACACGTACATAACAAATAAATTGAACAAAAGAGACACCACTCTCGAGACCTATGTGTTCTCATTTCATTTAGTTTAAAACTTCATTAATTAATTTAACCTGATCCTCCAAGAACACCCTTAAGCTTCTTAATCTGAGCAGCATCAAGAAAAGTGGTTTCAGCTATCAAATCAGTGGGGAAATCACTTTTGAACAAAGCAAAGTCGAGAATTTGAAGGCCAGGGTTGGCACTGCTGAAGCTCACAAAAGCCAAAGCTGGAAGGGCGCCAGCATTGATTTGGAAGTGCAACAAGCCTTGAGGGAACACCATGACATCACCCTTTTGAAGAGTTTTAAGGTACACAGTGTTATCTGAAGAAACAAATCCAGCACAGATTTTCCCTTGCACAACAACTAAGATTTCTGAAGCTCCAGGGTGTGTGTGAAGTGGGATAACTCCACCCTTTTCAATGTCCAAACGGGCAATGGAAATTCCAAGGCCATTCACTCCAGGAAATTGTGCATCAAATGCTGGGGACACTGCAGCTTTGATGATGTTTGAGGTGTTGCCAGCAGCGCTAAGGCCAGTGTAAACAAAATCATCCACAGTAACCTTTGCAGGCTTCTTGCAAGAGTACCCTGCAGGCCCATTAGGGCCAGTCAAATCTGCTACACAGAAGTCTACAACAGAAGCATGGGAGAGGGAGAGGAGAGAACAGATAAGGAAGGTAATTAGAAGCATTTTCATTCTTTGTTGATGGGTGTGTGTGCGATTTGTTTCATTATTTATGTGAGTTGGAGGGTGGATCTTTTGATAAGATTTACCATGCCATTGAGTTTCTTCAATATGGTTAAACGTATATGGATAGAATTTTCTTTACCTGTGTTTGGAAAAGACAGATTTTGAGCTAAGATTAGTGGTGCACGTGAATGTCAACATTTTCCTTTCTTGATAACGACAAGAAGGGTCTTTTTTGTTTGATTCCAGAAAAGTAGAATCTTCTGCGGATCTTCTTAAGTGCTCTAAGAAAAATCATAGTTTTTTTGGAGTTCCCCGTTACTCTATAGTGATCGTTGAAATTAGCCTTAGTCAATAGTCACATATATGTGTAAATCATAGGGCTTTTTCGTTTTACCTCCAGAATCAATTCTTTTTACTGTAGACAATAATGCAAAAATTTAGGTTGAGATTGATTTAAGCCGAATTTCAATTACGTTTAACGGTTCAAAAAATAATTTTATTTAACTTCTAAGATAAATGGGCACTTAGAACGAAGGAACGTAAACAACAGGAAAAATACATGCTTAGGGGATAAAAGATTGTTTTCATAAACTTTGTTGGAATACATAAAAAGTAATGAAGTTTACAATTGCACCACAGATTTTATGCCTTTCATTCTCTATAGTCTTTAATAGATAACTATTAAGTTCCATTGAGTTCACCGTAATGCTTCCTCTTCTCAACTTGGGCCAAAGGAGTGACCAAACCGTTGAAATAACTACATCAATGAATGTGAGTATGATGATTAATTTATTAGTATTAATCTTACTGTTATACAACGCAGTTTCCGAGTAGCTGTCACAATTACAAATTCAAGTTACAGTGTAGACATTGAATGCACACCTATTAAACAACCTCAGTTGATATGAGAAATAAGAACAAATAACATTGTTCTTTATCAAATAATCAAAGCAACATCTATTGTAAACAGCCCAGGACGTTATTGTTCAAGTATTAAAAAAAATAAGATTACTCAATATTCAGTAATCCTTGTGCACTTAACACAAGCTTGTGTATGTTCCAGTAAAATTCCTTATGAAATTCCAGGGTAAATAAGAAGAGGTAAAGAAAATGAGGGTGGTCCACAAGCACATGGCGTGAGCAACAAATGACGATCATAAGAAGACGTTTTGACAGCTAGAAGGACCCCTCTGCAAGTCATGCTGACTTTAGATTTCATGCTTGGCTGCATTGGCACATCTATTTGTGGTCATCTCAAATTCCCCATCTTCAAGGGAACCTTGTATTTACTGAACTAAGTAAAACCATGAAAAGGTTATCCACATTTTTTTTTCCCCTCTTGACTTGAGTACACCATCATTCTATTACCAACAAAACTTAAAGTATAATATCAGAAGTGTTTTCTAATGCTGTTTTTTAGTTAAAAAAATTTCCAGTCATATATAGCAATTTTTATTGTATGAATTTTATTAATATAAAACTTTAATCTTAACTAAAAGAAAGAAGACTAAAAGCACTTGTGGTATTACACTTTTATCATGTATATTTTGCCTTAACATATATATCTTGCCGTGCTTGGCGCTCAGCATTAATTGGTCCCTTCCCGTAACATACTAATTATGTTGAATGCTCACACTGCAGCTAAGGATAAGTTTCTCATTCGCCATCAACATTGGCCATTCATTGTAATTAATTCCATTTAGAGCCAATAAGGGTGTGTGATTGATGTCACTATCATTGTCATAACGTTAGTTGTTCATGTTGTTTGTGTCTGTGTGAGATGCTACCAAGAGTGAAGAACTACCCGTTGCATAACTCTTGGATTCTAAGATATTTTTGAAGATGAAATCGATGTGTCGAGAAAAAGATGCAGATTGTGATTACGATACATTCCGCATACGTACAAATTACATATGAACTGTCATGTGCTTTCCCAGTTTGTAAAGTTTTTGAATTCATGGCAAGTTTTTAAGTGTGAACATATATATATGTCACTGCTATTTAGCTAGCAATAAACAAAGAACGTAAAAAAGGATATTAATCAGAGATCATGTACTCAACTAAGAACGTGCTTAAAATATTTTTTATAAAGTAATCCTTAGTCTTAGGTTAACTTAAAAAATGAGTTTGATTCTATTTTTTAATATAATATTAGAGTTTATATTCAAATTGAATGCTAAGCCATTCAAAGATATTTAATTCTACGCGTGAGAGACTCTATTAAAATGTCTCGTATCAATTTGAAATATGTTCAAGTTACTTCTTGTAAAGTTAGAGTAATCCTTGTAAAAAACTTGAACTAGATTATTTGTTTTTTTAATATTAAGTTTATACCATCACCAACATTCTCATATTGGCAGTGAGATTTTAACTCGCATCCTAATAAATTGAATCAACCTTTTTTAACTAATTACACTTAGTTTTAGTAATTAAATATTTATTTATTTGATCCTTATAAATTTTAAAATTTTCTAAGATAGTTCAAGTCATTAGTTATTAATATGTGGTACAAACATGTCAAATCACTTAAGGTAACAAGACAGTATTAACGTAATATGATTAAAATATGTTATATCATAACAACTAATAACAGACAATTTCTAAAAAAATAACTACGAGAATTATAATAAACAAAAAATTAGAAAATTAATAATAATTTAATCATATTTACATAAAATAAAAAAACATTTGCTTTTTTTATTAAGGAAAAATGGATGGGGTGGATATGAATATTATCATGTACATATATGAAAACAAATAACTAAATCAGATCAACATGCAGTGACCTTAGAAATCGATTGAAGAATAATGCTTTTTTAATAAAATTGGGTTAATTAAACATATTTTGAAATATGTATATGAAAATGATAAATTATACATGAAAACTAATACATATGTGCGCGTTAAAATATCTGAAATGTTAATTGAATAGGTAAATTCAAATCTAGAATGCTAGCAACCCACAGAATATGTAGGTTTTGATTCTTTTAGTCTCACTCATAATTTTATAAGTATTAATAAATTCAAATAATAAAGTATATATATAAAATTTGTCTAAGCAAATCTTTTACTTGGATTCTAGTTTTTGGTTATGTGGCTTCAAATTTTGTTATTTGGCAATTTTAATCACATTGCAAATTAAAATTTACTCGGGCGCCTACATACACCGCACGTAACTTTTATTGACTGGTCAATCTTAATTTTTTAATATTTTGAGACAAAAAATATAAATAAAATTTGTCTTAACTATTGTATTAGTAGTAAATATTTGATTTTAAGAAAAGCATCTATCGGCACTTTAATGTCTTTATTACCAGATTTTGTATAAAATGTTGTTATTATTAATATAGTTATAGTAAAACAAAACATTTCACTTCTATATTTATTGGCACGGTATGAGGCCAGCCCAATCATCAAATTTCAAAAAAGACCTATCCATTTAGTTGTAAAAGTGAGCTTGTAGATGTAGCCCAAAAGACTACAAGCCCATTGCATCAATTCAATCAAAGCCCTTTTGACAAAAACAAAATACAACCAAAGCCTTTTGACCCATATTCAATTTCAGTTAAGCCTCAAAATCATAAATAGTCCTCTTGAATAGTTTAAGGACAAAAATTATATACTATTTGTTAGGTTTTGTTTTATTATTTATTAATTAAAGTTATAATTATATTTAATGTTACTATATATTGCCAAAGTTAAATTTTAATATTATTCAGAGAATAACACTAAAAGCACTGATAGTACTACACTTAAGTTTTTCCAGCATAATTTTCAAAACATTAAAAGAGAAGTTACAATTTGTCAACTTTGTGTCAAAAAGTTTTGCTTCAAGAGGCAAACTAATTAATATGATGTAAGAAAAAGAGTCACGAGAACTAACTAACCACTGAGTTTTTTTCTAAAGAGCAACTACTAAAGTTTGTGATATGGTAGGTTCAATGTCTTGTGCAGTTACCTCTCTTAATTTAGATGCTCATCGAAGCAACGAGTCTATAACACTGAGATGCATCATTAGGACTAAAGGGATCTAACTTTTGCTAATGTGGACCACAAATCCATGTGCTTAGGTATGACCATGCTAACGCATTGCTTGCACTGTGCTAGTGAAAAATTAAGAACAACAACTGTGTTTTTTTCACTTGGATTCAATAATTGAGACATGAAAAAGGAGACACATTCATTATTAGAAAATGGGCCGCATGTCGCAGAAAGTTGTTAGTTTCATGCCATTTTCAACGCAGTGTGCCTAACAGGCTACAACAAAGCATGCCATTGATAAAATAAAACTCCATTGAAACATGAAATCAATTGAGTGAAAGGGAGTTGGAATTTTTTTAAAAAGGATATAAGGATATAATCTCACTTTTGGTTTTGAAATACATAATATGAAAAACAAAATTTATTAAGAAAAACATTGACTTTAATGTTTCATTGTTTTTTTTCGAAGAGTTAATCACTAGAGTGAAAGAATACAGGGAAAAACCTAAAAAAATAAATTACATTTAATGTTTCATTGTTGAAAATGCATGGAAAATAAGTGCATAATAAAATTAATAATTGAAGTGTAAGCATAGATTAATTTGAACAACTTTTTTTAAGGGAATATAAAAGTTTTCTTAAAAAATATATATTTTTAAATCAGGGCATAAATCAATTCTTAGCATCATTGTCTTAAGGGAAGTGGCTATTGTGCATGTGCATATATAATCCCAAGTTAAAACAAAGACAGAAAAAAAAAATCATGTCAGAGTTTCATTAAGGGGAGTCAAGAGTGGGTACTTTCTCTCTGCTGTCTCATAAGCACTGAGAGAGTTCGAGGCTTTGCTATGTGTCTAAGGGACCACAAGACATTATCATCTCAAACTCTATCATATATGAGTTTGCTCTTGTGGGTGTGGACTATATGCTGCCCCACCAAGCTTATTCACTTTAAAAAATTAAATTAAAATACAATTAAATAATAAAATATAATTTATTTTAATTTTATAATTATAGTTATTTAAATTATCAATAATTTTTTATTTAAAATAATAAATATAATTTTATTTGATATAATGACAAGAAGATATGTAAAAGAATGGTATAAAATTCGTGTGGTGTACATTCTGAATATTAGACGCCTCCAATTGAGTGCAATTCCTGGTTTGTTGAAGTCACGCTAGGGCGCCTCATTTGACCGTAGAAGAAATCAAGCAGGATTTTTGACAGCAATTGGGGATCAACGGGTCCAACTTAACCTATGACAATTCTTCTTCGTCAAGAAAATCGATAAATTATTATGTTTAAGAAATGTTTAGATCATTATGTAACTATTGACTGGCTCTTCCAAAGGACTGCAACTTATTAAGATACACGACTTTTTCCACGTAATTAAGAAATATAATATAGAGATAATTATCTTCTTTATGTAGGTCGATAGAAGTTGACTTTTTAATTATCTGTATAAAAAATATTATTGAAAGATATCTTTAGTGTATATATAGGCTTAAAATGTTTTGTTTCCACTATCCATATAACAATGACTCCACTTAAATTAAGTGAAACCAGATTTAGATTGGAGAATATAGGTTATCTAACTACTTAAGCTTAGGTTGCTGACGAATGTAAACTAGTGAGCTTCTTATTAATATTTCTGTTGACTATGAACTAGTTATGTACTATTTTTTTTTCATTGTTTTCCTTTTGAATATAGACTAATTCCTCCGATCAAATTATACATCACACAAAATTGGGCACATCATTAATATTTTTGCCGAAAGAAAAGATCAAACCCGTTTTCATTAAAGATACACCAACACTTTTATATTGGTCCTACTAGTTGAAAGATCTTTGACCCCCTAACGCGTTTATAGAACAGAAGAAAAGGGATCAAAGATTTGATGAATAGGAACCATAATGCTCCACAGCCATTAAGAGTTGCAAGCTCCAATCCACCCATTAAGAATATTAGACCATAGTTTTGCGTGAATCAAAGGTAAAAGTAGCTGTTAAATACGTTAGTCAATATAGATTCTCTTATTTTAGCTAGTGATATTCATTTACTTTAAATACACAATTAATGTGTGCAGGTAAGCGTAGCAATTGCCATCTGGTTGCAGCTAAATGAGAGTGTTCTGATTTTTTTAAATATATTATACGTATTAAAATTTTAAGTTATGATAAATGATTAAATTTACATAATTTTGTGTCAATTAATTTATTTATATCTTGATCCTTCTATGTTTTAAAAACAAACCGAAGATATTCTTAATTTGCAAATGCCCATGTTCCGAAACGTAAGCAAAATGTTTACGATACTTCTCATGAACTCAAAGTGGCAGTGTATCTCATCTCAAGCAAGCACAGATCAAATCAAACCATGCACAAACACAAGCTCAGTGTAAAATAAGAGTTAATCAAATGAAAGAAACATAAACAAATAAATAAAAAGAAGAGTGTAGTGTGCAAATGCGGCACTACGAGTGCAGTGTACTCGGTTCAGAGAATCCTCCGCAAAATTTTGATTGGTACTGTTCTGGCGTCAACCATAGTTGGAGATTTCTGCAGTGTTCACATCGTATCGTCCACATTCTCCCATCTCTATGTTTTGGCACAAATTTTTATTATTTTGACTTTTCATCTTTTAAGCCTGTTTCTATGTTACGTAAGTAAGCAGTGTTCATTTTGGGTCTTGTTTTGTTTTTATTTATAAAGCTATAGATTGAGTATTATGTAAAACTTAAAATATAAAAATTCATAACTCTTTCTTATATATAATTTATAATTTTAATAAGCCTTAATCTTGTATCATATTGCCACTCACCACTAATCATTATTTTACTGAAAAAAGGTCCACAAGCCACCATGTTATGTATACATACATACGAATATAAAATAGTACAAAACCAAGAAAAAAAAATCCAGTTGTACTGCCACTGAAGATAATGATAATGACGATACGATGTTATTTATATATATATTTTTATCTGAATCAAATTTTTAATCTATGTGTGTTCAAGTGGAACTATTTGTAATCAAAATTATTATTTCTATTTAAATAATTCAGAGTAATAAAATATCAGTGAAATAAATATTATATATGAATAATTGTTTTGAGACAAACTATAAGGGATTATTTGATTTGAATAAATATTTTTCCATTTTAATTTTCAATTAGAAAAATATAAAATTAGATGAGAGACCAAACTCAATAATATAAAAGTGTCCCTCCGAAGACTTGATGGTAACATAGGAGCATCCGTTTGGTTAACTTGGCTAAAACAGAGAAGCACTTAATATTAGTTAATGCAGAGAGATGCATTTGTTTTAATGCAACTGTGGCTAAGATGCTGAAGTACCCTTTAAATAAATGGAACAAACAAAACAAACAGAGTATAAGCGACATAGTAAGGAGTAGGGGTCCGAGGGAAAGCGAGGCTTGTCCTAACAGATTTCATATACATATATATACATATGTCTGTTGATATGTTCATGCAATCATGTTTGGCATCAGACAGGGAAGAAGATAACAATGTGTGGGGCATCATCAACATCACCAAAGAACAACTTTGCCCACTCTCATCATACTCACGTTACGTCATTCTCATTTCTTTATCCCATTTTTGGTGAGGAAGATAGATTAGGACAAACCAGGTTGCCCATTCTCAAATTGGACACTAAATTTAAAATTATGTTTGTAATGCATCGTGAATGAAATAAAGAAGGTGAAAAGAAAGGAATACAAGGAAGTAAAATATTATTAAGATAGATAAAAATAAAAGATTTTAAATAATAAAAATAGTTTTCTATTAATTAGAGACACGATGATTATAACTAAATGAAAAATACCATTCAATTATGATTTTGTGAGTCTCGAGTCTCTTGTTAGTAATACATATTAATGTATTTTTTTTTATAATACATTCATTTTTTATGGGAGACAACTTTATTTAAACCGGGTAAAATTATTATGAGAAAAATTTTCTTCATCCGAATATTTAATAGAATTGTATATATTATATCATAATTTTTAAAAATTTTAATTTATTAAAATATACAGTTTAAGAAATTAGAGCCACGGATTAAAGCTAAGGTAGAGATTAACTAAGTAATTAAATAAAAAGATATTTCTTTGTTAAATTGTGGACCTTTGACCATACGACCAGATCTGGTGTGATGTAGTACATCATGCATCACAACAAAGTCTTCCCTTGGCATTGACCCACATGCATTTGATTCTCGTTTAAATATTAAATATGGATACTTTTTTTAAAATTATTTTCATTTACATGTTGATTAGGATCAAGATTAGGATGAGTGTGTATTAGACAAATATGGCTTTGGCTTATCCACACTTGGTGCAAATGGCATCTTCATACAAGGTACTGCTGCTTGCATTCAAACCTAAGAAACAGCCTCTTATGGGCCATTGCCATGGGTTAATACCAGAGAACAATATTATCGTTTAATTAATTATTGATTGATAATTACTAACAAAATTAAGTTCATTAATATCATCCTACTATAGTGAGGGCATTCGGTTCCATGGGATATATTTAATTTGATATAAAATCACATAATTTAATACAAAATAATACATTCTTAAAATATAATTTGACATATATCGACAGATTACATATTATCAATTTTCTTAATTTTTCAAGTGAAAGAATGAGATTAAACAAAAATGTTATATTAAGTAAAAAAAGAAAAGTAGGTACGGGAGGAGAGGGGGAGAGTCAGAATGAGGCAGCATCGAGCTATCCAAACAAAAGACAGAGAATGCAAAGAAATTAGAAACTGACGTTCCTGTGGTTGGCCTGTAACACTCTAACATCAACACAATACTCGCTCCGTTCCGTTTTGTTTTTTTCGTTTCGTTTCGAGGCGCACGAAGCTCGTACTCTATGTCAACACCCTAATTACTGTTACAAACCCTTTTTTTTTTCTTTCTTCCTCTTTCCATTTCCAGGGACCATTTCCAATTCCAACATTAATAAACCTTAAAACTTTCTTTGTTATTTTCCTCCCAAAGCCAGAGGAAAATAAAACTACCTGAAAAACTTCTTCAATTAATTCATATTAAATATTTCTTCTCTCTCTCTCTCTCTCTCTCTCTCTCTCCCTTCAACCCCAACCCCCCTTTTCCTTTCCTTTTCTGAAAAGCCTTTGTCTCTGCCTCAATCCTCTCTCTCTCTCTCTCTCTCTTTTCTGTTTTCCCCTTATTCTGCTATTTCGAGGTGAGCTTGTTTTTTTTTTTTGTGTGTTTTTCCCCCCAATTTCAGCTGTGTATCTTCTCCAATAAATAAATAAGTTCAGCTGTGTATTTGTTCATTTCGATTTTCCCTTTTTTTTTTCTTGGATGAGAAACAATGATCAGAATTTCATCTTTTACCTTGCTCTGTTTCCTTTTCTTTTTTTTCGTTTCGTGGTGTTTTCATTCAATTAAATGTTTTTTTTATGCATTTCATTCAATTTGTGTATCGGGTTTTCACCTGCTTTGTTTTTCAGTGGTGTAACATACATAGTAGAACATGAAACAGAAGATAGTTACTGGTTTAGCTTTGAAGAAACTGTGACTGTGACATGGAATAGTATATGTTATTAGTGCTGAAAATGATTTTTATTTTCTTTTAATACTTAAGCTTGTCTGTTGAAGGCAAGTTATGTGTGGAAGCTTTTGGGGATTTAATGCTTTTTATGAAATGATGCAATTGTGGACCCGGTTTTTGCTTGGTTCGTATTTGATTTGTTTTATTGTGGATTGCTATGTGTAATGAATAAATTTGAAGTCCTACCTTGAAAAAAGACTTGTTTTCTAAGCTTATCAATAATCAGTTCTCGGGGATCGGTGACTCGATGGGAATGGTATAGTTGTTCATAGTTGTTCCCATGGTTTAATTTCTTTCCTTTGTTTATATTTACCTGCGTGTTATTCTAGCATTCATAATTTAGAATGGGTTTTAGATTTATTATAGCTTTAGTTTGATGTTGCTTCTGAGAGAGTTTTACTTATCTGAGTCATTGTCATGTTTAGGAAAGAACAAATAGCTGGAATGGCGAAGGAGGAAGAGTCGGGTAGTCCTAGTTGGGGTGCTTCGTTTTTTATGCAGACAACAGAGGATGTGGCTAGAGCTGTTTCTGCTGCTATGAATTCTCCAAGGCCATCTGTGATATATTCATCGAAAGATGATCATGGTGGTAGTCAACTTCAAAGGCTGCAGCATCAAGTTAAAAAAATGATTAAAGGATTTTCTCGCCCTTCTGATGTTAAATATACAAATTACAATCCAGAAATCTTGACAACACAGAAGCGTCAATGGGCTGCAAACTTTCAGTTGCAGAACATGGTAAAATCTTTTTATTGAATGCATTGGAATTAGATGTTCATTATACTCTTTCTATCATAAACTATAAAGAAACTTTTGTTGGTTGTTACTGTAGAACTTTTGGCCTTCAGTTTTAAATGCTTTTTGCCCCCCTTCTTCTTCCTTTAACATCAATTACTTATTTGAACTAGCAGCTGTTTCCCCTCTCACCTTAAACCATTGTATCTACATTTGCTTCTTCTTGCCACATGCCATTATCCATTTTTTCAGCTTTATGCTTTCTTTTGACTAAGCATGCAAACTCAAACTGATTTGTCCCAGGATTACTTCTCAGATACTGATACACACTCCCTTATATTTGGGTTCACAGGACCATAGGTCTTGGAAGGAGCCAACAAGGCTGTTTGAAAGCATGGTGGTTGTTGGACTTCATCCTAATTGTGATATTCAGGCACTGCAAAGGCAATATTTTGTTAGAAAGTCTGAAGGCTCTGGTAAATTGAGAAGTGCACTTGGTTATCAGAATCAATCCCGTGTAGAACCCAATCTTGAACCTCAGGTTTTGTAATTGGTTACAGAGATTGAATTATTATTATTATTATTATTGTGATAAATATTCTTACTGCCTCTGGTCCCAATACAAATTTTTTTATAGCAATATTACTGCTATGACAACTACAACTTCCATTGACTGCTGTTTTTAATGTTAGTTTTTCCTTCAAATGTATCAGTATCATGAAAGATGTATATTCAAATTTTTTCCCAGGTCTTATTTGTTTACCCTCCAGAAAAACGGCTGCCTCTTAAAGACAAGGATCTTCTCTCTTTCTGCTTTCCTGGTGGCATGGAGGTTAGGTGTATGCTTAATGAACTTCTAATATTTTCCCCTATCCTTTTTATCTCATTACTATTACTATCATCATCATCATCATTATTATTATTTTCAGATTAATATCAAGAACAAATTTCTCTAGCAATAGGGAGTAATTTTGACCATAGTTATCAAATCTCGAATAGTGGTCAATCCCAAAAATGCTATTGCGGGATGACTGCTATTCTGAAAATTTTCATATAAATTACATAACTAATGCTTTATATAAAATGGTAAAAGAATTTAGGAAACAAATACTAAAATTCATGACATTTTCTAGTTAAGCAAAATATATAAGTATATAACAATAAAAGCAAGGAAATAAACAAGTTTAAGCCTTTAACTCAATGCCTTTAAAGTAACAAAACATTAAAAACCAATTAAAATTGAAACTGAATGAGGAGAGATTTAGACAAAATAAATAAAAAAAGAACAAAATAGCTGAAAACTGAAACCAATAAAACACAGAAAAAGATAAGAACAAAAAAACAAAAGGACAATGAGAGAAGACCAACTTGCTAGACAATAGCAAAACAAAGAGAAAAACAGAGAATTTGGCAAAAAAATGCAGAACAAAAAACGGTGGTTTGCCATAAACACAAAAAATTGGCTGGAAAACACCAACAGTTGACCAGAGAGTAGTTGGTTGATGGGTTCCACAATATTAATGGGTCAGAGAAAAGAGCGTACAAAACTGCAGTCATAATCGGTTTTTTTAAACCCATTAAAAGCCTTCTTAGTTTTGGCCCAAAATACCCTGTACATTGTTCTACAACGTTAAGAATGTAGGACATTTTTGGGTTTTCAACAGTAGCAACCATGATGCATGTGAAAAGCTGTGATTTCCACCACTAGTGACCGAAACACTGAAATGCAATGCGACGAGCTCAAAATAACGGCTGGCCATTGTGACATGATTTGACGCTGCTGTAGCAGTGCTCTTTGGCACTATTCGCAACCAAGATTTTGACAAACAAAAAAATTCTGGAAAAAGTTGTAGCTTTATGAGAGATATTTCCCCCAATTTGATCTTATTGAAAAGACACTTTTAGTTCATAAAATGGTTTCAAACTTTGTCTTCCTATGTCTATCTGTCTGTCCTTTGTTGTGTTTTCTTTTGCTTTTGAGATTGAATTATTTTTATCATTAGTTTGAAACCACAGAATGTAATTAGTGCCATTTTGGTATAGCTGAAAGGGCAAAGTTTGGGGTTGGATAGGGTAAAGGTTTAAGTCTTGACTCCCATGAAATCTTGAAAGACTAAGAGAATATACATTTACTTGGATTTGGTACCCACTGTTGATGTATACAAACAGCATCCTGATGAATCAGAGTGATCAATATTGCTTGTAAATTGTAATTAGATTTTTGCGTTGATTTTAAATTTTAGTTGAAGTATGTATATTGCAGTGAACTTCTGTTGTTTTATTTATGGATTTATCTGTCCTGTCTTAAATTTATTTAACTTACATGGAGCTTATACTTAGGTTTTACTTTTTCCTGGATGTCATTTTAGGTTAATGCTATTGAGAGAACCCCTTCCATGAGTGAGTTGAATGAAATTTTCTTTGGGCAGGTATTTATGAAATATTATGCTTCCATTAATATTATGAATTATGCAAATTTTCATGGTTAATATTAGATTATTTTGCCTTCCCCTTTTATGTATTTGACCAATTAGTAGCAAACCATCTGTGATAATATTAATATATCGCTTAGTCAATATTATTACCTTGTGTCTATAACTTCATTGTATATAGACCTGTATATTAGAATTGGAAACCTGTGCACTTAGAAGGCATTATACTCGTCGTAATTTCATGAATATGGGAAGACGTCATATTGCCATTTCCTGAAATTTAAGACACCATGTTAAACTATCTCAGCCATTCATTTTCATGATCTTTATGATAATTATCTTGCTTTTAGTGGATGTCTTTGTCGACATACAAATGTTTCAGAATCTGGTTCTGAGCCTTTTATGCTTGCTTTAAGTGAAACTTGTCTTTCAAAAGGCTTTGTAACTGTTTGTGCCACCAACTATTCAGGGTCTTGTTATCACTTTTTTTGGGTGGTCATATACCATGTCAAAACTTTGTTATTGAAATTTCATTTCCTTGTAGGTGTTGATGACCAATTTATTTGATGAAATTGGAAGGATCCCCATCTTTTTAAACACTGATGCCAGCTGTGTTTGTTTATTGATTTTTGCAGGAGCACCTTAAACAAAGGGATTTGTCTTTTGTATTTAGGTTACAGGTAACTGAGATGGAACTGTTGCACTGTTTCAACTATCTTATTTTTCTTATTTTGCCTGTTTCTCGAAGGGCTTTTGATGACTCTATTAATATGTGAACTTGTGCTCTCTCTCTCCCCCTCCCCTTTCTTTTTCTATGGAAAATTAGAAATTGGATCACAAGCAATTTTGAAATGTGTCCCAGAACTACATATATTTCATGATGGGAATATACTACTTATCTATCTAAACTATTCCCTTCAATTTTTATTTCTAAATTATTCTTAACAAATGTTGTTTGGAAAATAACTGAAAAGGAGTATTGGAAAAAATATGTGTTGAGGATTATTTAACCACTCAATTGTTTCACAATATTCACAGAGTGGTTAATAAGTAACCACTTATGGACTTAATTGACTTCTCTAGTGTTAACTTTCTCCTAAGGTGCAAATATTGCAATTGAGAATTCTTTTCTCCAATTAAAGGGGTTTTTGGCTGAACCAGCATTAGTTTGGATTCTTTTGTGGTTGTTTTTAGACCTTATTTTTACCTTGGTCTACACTTGAATGATAGTTTTACGGTTTACCTCTTTTGGTGCAAAAATGACTCATATAATCCCATTCAAGCCCAAAACCTGCTTCTAGTTTACCTGTGCTAAGTATGTATGCCTTAGATATGTTTTAAATCCCTACATTTTCACATTTGATTTTAATCCTAATTTTTTTTTTCTATATAGTTTTGGATTGGTCTCTATGTTTGTGCAACTTAGGTGTTTTGGTCCTTTTTTTACTAATGTGGTCACACAAATAATCGTTGTGCTCTGTGTTAACCACATTGGCATTTAGTGGTCAGTAGGGGACAAAGTTGCTGACTTTGAAAAAATCAGGGACTAAAAGCATAAAAAAAGTTGGGAGGGACAAATAAAAAGCTTGTAAAAATGTAGGGGCCAAAATCATATTTAAGTGATTTTTGTAACATCCTAAAATTAACATGAGATTTCCCTGAGTTCTGAGGGAAAACATTTTTTGTCCGATTCTATTTGCAATAACCTTGTAAATCGTTAATCCTTCTTTTCTTTCCAAATTCACCTACCAAATAAACAATGTTTTAGGGACCCACTAGCTGCTCATTTGTGTGATTTTTTCTTAAGTTTGAATACAAAATAACTTGGCCCTTAACTGTTGATCTCCATAACTTTTTTTTTACCCATTTCTGTACTCAATGTTATTTTTTGGGTATTTTTTATGCCACAGGGTGCTGATAATTCAACACTTTATGGGTGCTGTGTCTTAGTTGAAGAGCTAGTGCAAAAACCGTCTGGATTTCTCTCCCTTATTTCAGATAAACAGTTGACTTACTCCTCTTTGAGACGCCATACATTTACTACACAGAGATGTTATTGCATTCTCTCAAGGCTGCCATTTTTTGAATTGCACTTTGGTGTATTGAATAGGTTGGTATTCATAACAATCCTGAGTTCCCTCTCCTGATGAGGGGTGATATGTTGATTATATCTGCTATCATGTCATTTATTGTACTAAGTTTTGGAAGATTGTTAGTGTTAACAAGTGGTCTGTTGTGTCATGTATGCACCATAGGATGCGGCATGCCAAGTAACTACCTCTGATCTGGCAAGGGCTTATGGGATTAACGTGCAGTGCTTTCTGAAACCTATACATACTAGTATTTTGTGTGCTTTGTGAAATGTCAGTCTGGCTGCTTAAATATACTAATATGCACTTCTTTCAGTTTCTAATGGGGACAGATAAATGAATATTTGCATTTTTTAAATTAATGACTAAAATATGTGGTTGGGAATTGAAAAACCAAGCAAAAAGCAATGTTTAATAGCAAGATATTCATTTACTTGAGCTAAAAATGCACACCCCAACATGGTTTCCTGGAGGCAAAAACGCACGCTTTATTGATATCCAAAGCTTGAGTGGTGGTGCATTTAACATATTGGCTGCAAGTAATTGAAAATGGTACAAGCTTCCCAGGAGCTAAGATGTAGTTTGTTGTTGACATAAATTTGGCTTTGTGCATAGAGGAGTAAACTTTACTATTGTACAAAGTTGCTTAACCTCTTAAACTTCTCTGTTGTCTTTCTTTATTTGACCATCAGCTTTAAATTTCAAATGCTTGTGATTACTTTTCATACCTCTTGCAAGGCCTTCTCAAATAAAGTGAATATTTACATAGTGGAAGATAAAGTGAAATATTTTTCACCATTTAGATTCTTAGTCTCTTAAAACAAGTAGATCGAGACTCAGAAAACATTAGGAAAGACCATGAAAAATGACACAGGATTTTTGATAGAGCCCTATGGAGTTGACTGATTCAAGTAACTGACTCCAATTTGTGGGATAAATCTTGTTTTTATTGTTGTTGCTTTAGTTTTTGTAGCTTACATGATGGCATGCTGTTTGTTATCCGATTATTTGGTAAATTTATTTGAATTAGGCATATTATATGCTCTTATTTATTGTTATGTGTGATATTCAGAATTGTTTGTCATCTAGCATGTCAATGTATGCTATGAATTTATGCTTTTTGCTCATCTTATTGTGCTGATATCTTTGTAGCATCTTCATGCAAGAACGGCTAGAGCGGTTGACGAATAGTGTTGGAGATTTAAATTTAGTTGTTGAAGGCAGTTACGAGGAAGAAAACTTAGGGGGAAATTCAGAGTGTGTGTTGGTGAATGATAGATTAACAGAAGACAAACATGATGAGAATCTAAGAATTTCTCAATCAAGCCTTAGAAATTCCTCCACTGAAAAAATTGAGGGTGATGGTAATAATCCCGATAAACAAATGGCTAATGGGGAGCTGCATACATTTAAGGAGAGAGTCAATGATGACAGTGTTGTGCCAATTGATCCTGAAGCTGTTAGAAAGCCTGTCAAAGAATCTGGCCCTACAAATGCTGAAGATAGTGATCTATATGGAGATGCTTTTGTAACTAACAAACAATCTGAAGAGAAGCGTTTACCAAATGCTATTCTGCCACTCCTACGCTGTTGCCAGTATGAAAGCTCTGAATCTTCCTGCAGGTACATGATGTGGTTATTTTCCAGTGCATTTAGATTGTATTTATGTGATCTCAACATTATATACTGGAGCTTACTGTGCTTTAACTGATGTCATGGATGTTTTCTTTCGTGGTCAAATCTGAAAGTATCAAGGAGTTTTGTACATGAATGTTTTATGTCTTGTTTGATGTGCTTTCTTTCTTCGTAGGTTCAAAGAATTTTCTTTGTTACTTGCTTATTCCTTGACATTATTTGACAGTAGATATGTTGGTAGATTTTGATTTAGGCAAGGTGGGAGTCATAAAGTAGTATTTATCATTATTACTAATATGTTTTGTGGAATATTATTGTGCATGATGCATGGGATTCTGATGCGTTTATGCAGTTTCTGTATGTTGTATTTTTGTCCTTTTGTCCATGCAGTTTATATAAAACATATGGCCTGTTTTATGCTGTTTTAAAGATTCACCTTGTGAAGGAAATTTTAGGAGTGATTTGTTTTCCATTGCTTGTAAGGGAGGCATCTTAAACATATAATCTGCATTATGCAGTGTTCAAGGTTCTCCTTGTGAAGACAGAAATTTTAGGAGTGATGCTGATGATACTGAGACTGAAGATGCTTCAATCTCTGGCCAAGAGGATTTAAATGACCTACATGATATTCTTGAATGGGCTAAGGTTTGTAATTTTAAACGCACAATGTAATGTTATTGTTTGGTCCCTTCTTATGATATTTATAGCTGATGATATTTTATCAATTCCCAGGCAAATAACTGTGGACCATTACAGATTGTGAGTGAGTATTATCACTTAAATTGCCCTGCAAGGGGCTCAGCACTTAGGTTTCATCCTTTGGAGCACCTGCATCCCTTGGAATATCACAGACCAGATGAGTCAGTTCTACATGTTACTGGTTCAACTGTTGATTTAAAATCTTGTAGTTCAGGTCTGGAAATAGCAGAGGTATGTTATATTAATTATGATTAGATTAAATTGCCTTTTCTCTATGTAATATTTAGGATTTATGTTTTCTGGTTTGTAATTGTATCGTGTTCAATGGCCACATACTCATAGAAGTACTTCATTTTTGTTTGTTCGTCCCAGGCACATAACTCTCTTCTGGCTGAGGAGGAGGCAACTGCATTATCTGTATGTGCTATAGCATGCCTATGTGGTACCTTGAGACTTGAAAATGTAAGTTCTGTTTGGCTTGTGATTTTATTAAATCCGTGTTCTTCTACCAAATACTCTAAATATCATGTATGCCTGATGGTAAGACCTGTTATTTGAGGAGATTTATCACTCTATTAATTATCATTGCTTAATTTAAAGATATCTGATATTAATTATTGATTAGCTCTCTTCAACTGTGGTCAAATTAAGGGGAGATTATGCATGTTGGATATGATTTAAATTCATTAGATAATCACTAGAAACGAATATTAGGAAAACCATTTTGGAAAACCTGATTTGCCCGTTGTGCCATTCTCATTGAATAGTATGTTAACAACTTAACAAATGGAGAGATTGTAGGTGATTTTACATTTATTACAACAGACTTACAGGAAAGCAAATCAATTCATGAAATTAGAATCTGTTCACAATAATAATAAAATAATACAGCTGTAAATAGTTAAAGAACATCTGTTTAGAGTTTAGACAATAGTGTGACAGCCTAGATGGCATTAAGATAATGCTGATCTAGTTGAGCCCTGGAATTGAGATTTAATAAATTGTGTGTAGCAGTTTCATAATGTTTGTCCAGGACTTCTACAGCTACATGTTGGTTTGAATGGTTGTATGTTCATTCTGCAGGTGTTAACATTCTTTGCTGGAGCTTTACTGGAAAAGCAGATAGTTGTTGTCTGTTCTAATTTGGTAAGTCTTGTGCCTCAAATTTGATATTCTGATGATCATTATCATTAACCTTCTCTATTAAATTTTTATATTGATGCAAATGATATCTGGGCCATTGGTTATACTCTTTTACATGATTTTTTCCCTTCAGATTCATTATTACCCTGTATAATTGGTTCCTATCGTAATTATAATTGTATTTTAATCTCTTCCCCATGATCTATTAGTAGCATTAGTGCTTGAGTTGAATTTTGGTTTTCTCATTATGACCTTGCCGATGAACTCAGTACTAATGCATATTTGATTTGCCATTTTGCTGCTCATTTTTAATGTCTTTGACTTCAAGTCATGTTAATTGTTTACATCTCGCAAATGTGCTTTTCCTCTTTTTCCAAATTAGTTACATTCACAATGAAATATGGATAGCAATAAAATGCTTTAGATCCAATCATTGATTTGCTGATTTGGAGAATTTGTTGATATTTCATCACGGTCCTTAAGTGAAAACATTTTGCTTCTTTCATGACCAGGGAATCCTATCTGGTTCAATTTTATCAGTTATTCCACTGATCCGGCCCTACCAATGGCAAAGCCTACTAATGCCGGTTTGATTTCTCTCTCTTTTCAGATTAAAAGTCAATATCGATTGTCTTAATTTTAATTTTACTTATCCACTTTAGTATTTGATAAGAATATAAATTCCAGATTTTACCAAATGACATGCTTGAGTTTCTGGATGCCCCTGTCCCGTACATAGTGAGTATTCTTGTCTTGCTTTACTATTACGAATAATATCTGATTTAATTTAGGAAACGATTATTTATTTGTTTTCATTTTAAATCCATGCTCAGTGCTTGGTCTTGTACATGCACATAGTTACTTAAATGGTGATATTGATTAGATTGTGTAGCTTGTAAAACCCGTTCAATATTATCTTTCACAAATTTGAACATTAAATTAGAATGGTTACTGTAGTGTGTAGTTCTAAATTTGGTTTAAACTTTCAACTGTTTTTTATCTTGCCCTTTTCTATTGATGTGCCATATATGATCTGACTTGCTCCAATTGATTCTCTAGGTTGGTATCAAGAACAAGACCAATGAAGTTCAGTCAAAGTTAACCAATAATGTTATACTCATTGATGCCAATCGAAACCAGGTCTGTATCTTTTTCCCTTCTGTTTTTTTCCAATGCTATAAAACCAAGTCTCCTTCCTCCCTGAGGGTGGCTCCTCAACAATATAGTATTTATTGAGAAATAGTATACATGACCTCTTCTTTCCTATTATCTTGTAAAGTTCATGGTTGCAATTGAAGGAAAACATTACACATCGTTGAATTCTTCATTATTATCATTTGCTTGTGATATACATTAGTTTCATATTCTCTGTTCTTTAAAAAATATGATATTAAATTGACATCCCTTTTAGAATTTTTGGGTGGTAAAATTCATCGCTTCTCAAAGAAACAAGTCCCAACCCCAAATACAAAAACAATGAGAACCCCAAACACCCATTTGCTCAAGTATAATTCATGCTAGTGCGGACATCCTTTAGGATATGTTTAAGAGCTGGGAGGGGAGGGCAAACATTTTTATTTTTAAATTAAGAAAGTTATGTAATGTTTACAAAAAATAAATAAAAGATTAATACATTAGGTTTATGCTAATTTATCACCTTATTTAAAAAAATTATGGAATTATTTGGAAATGAAAAATTTGCCCCCCCCCCCACCTCCTTTTTCTGAAACATACCCATAATCTTGTCCATAAAATTATTGGGGGCTTAGCTTCTACAATTATTTGCTTTTTATATTGTTATATTTCAACTTCCATCTAAATTTTCAATTTACAGAGAGATACCCATGATTTATCAAAATACTGTATTTTGGTTATAGGTGAAGTCATCAACAATACCTCAACTGCCAAGACAGAAAGAGTTAAGCGCTTCTTTACGTCCTTATCATGCAACTCTTGTGGGAGAAAGTTACTTGGGTAGGAGAAGGCCAGTGTATGAATGCACGCAAGTGCAGGTGTGTCCATCTTTATTATCTCATCATTATACATTACACTCCCTTATCTCCTTTTTATTGCTCTGTGCTTGTCTCTCCCTTTTTGGTCATTTAATATCTTGAATATTACAGATGCTAGTCATGCTTGCATATAATTATGTCTAGTATGTAATAGCCAATTTTAAGGAACTAGTTATTCATTTATATAGTAGTTTGACTTTCAAAAACTCCAAGTACTTTGTAATAAGTTTGTAGTATACTTCCATGTCAAATTTTCAACAACCTTGTCACCATCATATTTATGTCCTCATGTTTGTTGTTTTTTCCACAGATAGAAGCTGCCAAGGGGTTCTTATCGGTGATAAGGTCTTATTTGGATTCCCTTTGCTATAATATCCGTTCTCATACAATAACCAATGTACAATCCAATGATGATAAGGTCTGTGTTTCTGTTACATTTTGATCTGTCATCTGTTACTTTTTTTTTTCCGTTATTGTATTGTTAAGCCCTGTCATTGGAGGGGTTTGTTTTTAATGATCAATTGATCCACTTTTCTTTTTATTTTTGGGTGGGTTGGTAGGGGGGGGGGGGGGAGGGATTGTAAGAATACATTGTGAAAGGGCCCTAATTTATAGTTCTTCCTTTAATCAAAGAAATATCATTGTTCTTTAGAGGGAAATTTTTTTCTAATCACCGAACTGCAATACCTTCTTTTCAAGTCCAGTGACATTACACAATAGTTGAAGTTTAACTGTACACTTTTGGTTTGACCATGCTTGACCTTTACCACTGTTCTCTTCGGCTCTATGCAAATGATATTTGGCTTTGCCTTTTGCTCAAGCAGGAAGCAATGGGAGGTAGATGGTAGATGATCATATTCTTAACTCTCATGTCTGAAAAGCAAAATTAAAAAATAGAAACAATACTGTGTAAATTGAATAATTGTAATTCATAAGCATGTCATCCCTTTTATTTTGTAAACATTAACTTGCATTGCAAAAATCAGATTTCAGCAAGTATTTGAACATATGATTGCTTGTGCCTTCAGGTATCCTTGCTTATGAAGGAGAGTTTCATTGACTCATTCCCTTACCGAGACCGGCCTTTCATGAAGGTTTGTTTTGTGAACTTTACATCATGTCTTATGCTAATTATTTAAAAAATATATATTTTTTTTTTACTTTATGATTATCTGAACTGACTTGCAAATATATCTAATTTCCCGGTAGTCAAACCCAATTCCAAAATCTATATTTATTATGTGAATATAATTCTAAATTGTGATTGTCATCTTCTTTGGATCACAACTAGGGCACTGTGTAAGTAAGCAGTTTTGTGCTGAGCTTTTCTAGCTAAATTGACAAGACAAAAAGATAACTTGTGAAAATTGTTAAGGGGGGTGGTTCACTCTCGGTGTAAAGACCAACAGGTCTCCTTATTGGTTCCTGACTTGCCGGTTTTGCAGATGCATGACTGCGAGAGAATCATTATCATGCTTATATATCTTTTTGGTGTGGTCTCAGTTGATTTTCAACTATCAAACATGTATGTGGGTTGATACATGTTTTTTTTGGTTATCTTAACACCATAAAAACCAGTGGCAAGCTTTCTTCTACTGGCATCAGGCCAGGCGGGGGCCTTGAAAGTTTCACTGACATCTTGAGATCCGTGTTTAAACTTTACCATATGTACGTCACGTGTGCTCTTTTACACTTAAACATTTGGGTCAGTTAAATGGATTGAGGAATTGGCTTGTGCTAACGTCTAGCAAACGGACTTAATTGTTGAGTTCTCAACTGCGTGTATAATGAGCAGCAATTTTTACACACGGATTAAATGTTTAGTACAGTGCTCACTAGTCAGTATGGTTTGATAATTTAGTTATGGTTGTCTTATTTGTGTAATCAAATAATGTATTTTTATCTTTGCATGGTTTTTATGTTCTTGGGTATCATTCTCATATTACTAATTTGGATTGTTTCTGTGTTGCCTTGTGTTAAAACAGCTTTTCGTGGATACACAGCTCTTCTCTGTACATACAGATATTGTTCTCTCTTTCTTCCAAAAGCAATAGGAGTGAAATGCAGAACATTTGGGAATATACTGCCTTGCAAAGATTGAATGCAAGTTCAGTGTTGTATAATTTCTCTAAATTATTAATGAGCTAAAATTTTCTCCCCCATATAACCCAAAATTTCACCAGCTCGCCCACTTTTCTACATTAGGGATGCTGCAGAACCTGTAGATAATTAGTTAGATAATGTATCCAACCTTAATAAGTGCTATAGGGTTTCATTCTATGTAAATGACATTTTTTCACACACCAAATGTAAAAGCTTTGCTTTATCTCACACTGAGAGCTACCACTTTCCGTGTCACTTGAATATGAACTTGTTCTCGATGAAGACCGAGTTTGTTTGGATGATTTTTAATATAATGCAGAGCTTGCTAACAGAATTTCAACTCTTTTTGTTGAATCATAATATTCAGGGGAAATCATTGAAATTCATTATCAATATTGTGACTTAAGAGTACGCTTGAAAATTTTAATGAAGTTTCATAATGGTTCAATCGAGTTAATAATGATCATATTCCCCCTTGGTCACGTGTTTAAGTTAGTGTCTTTTAATGATTTGTTCATGGGAAAGTTGAGAACTTACAAATAGCATGGGACTCTGTTGAGTGCAACTTAAAGCACTACTGGAACTGATTCAAGAGTGGTAAAAGTAAAATCTCCATGATTGGTGTTCCACAGCCCCTAACAAATGGGCGGTTGCAAGTAGACATGGGACACTTCTCTGGGGCCTTACCACAGACGGAAACAAACGTTCTGGTGCTGCATTTGGTTCTCATATCAAATTTTATTGTCAGATTGATTTGCCGTTAGAAAATGAGTTTTTGCATTTTTTTTAGTGAAAAAATTTATATTTTTAACAAAATGTTAGTTTTTGTAAGTATTTCAATTTCATTTAATGATTTAAAATTATATAAAAAAATTACTTTACTACTTTATAACAAACAGTCCCATAGATTTAACCAAACTCAGGCGAGTTTAGGTACTTTGTTCACTTCGTAGATATGACTGATTCCCAACGGGAAAATTGTTGAATGCAGTGTCCACTAGATTGTGAGGATGTGAGCCCCATTTTATCATATCTCAACTCTTTGACAGGCAAGGATTAAAACTGAAGCTAAATAGTTAAATCATGGCCATGGGATTGTTAAAAATACACGTAAAGGCAAGTCACATGCAATGTCAAAATCTTCATAAGATTTTCTTTTCCTCATTATTGCTATTTTTTTAAAATAAAAAATATATCTAATTTCTAAAACTTCAAATGGGGCCATATCTCATGTCATATCAGCCTTTTCAAAACTTCAACTTACACTATGTAAACAAAACTGTTTTCTGTTTTAGTCAATAACAATTTTTTCTTTGAACTAAGGGGAATGTTTATTGTTATTCTTGTGCATTTATTATCATTCCTTATTTAAGATTTTTATTTAAATGTTATTATTATTATATTAATTAACCGATAAAAAATATTTTATACAAAAAGTATTTTAAAAAAAGTGACAAATATTTTAGAATGACAATATACTTACTCTTGAAATAGTCATAGGGTTCATTCTATATTTAAAACCTGACGTGGTCAAGTTTTCAACTTAGTTCAACAGCGGAGTTTTAATGATTTTCAACTTGCAGTTGTAAATTTCGACGCAAGTTGTTCTTACACAGATACAAATTGGAGGAAAATTTATTATCTACTTGCCATTGCCATTCCAAGTTGGGGAAATGATCACTATTCACCAAGCATGAGCTGAGTGTAAGATCGCACGTGAGAATTGAGAGTGTGGTCCAAGTCTAAGATGAGACACTTTGCTCCACCATTTAAAGCCAAGAATGATGTGAGACATTATTAACGTATACTAAATTAAAAAATTTCTACATGAAACAACCAAATTGTTATTTTAAAGAATCACACGGTGAACACTTTTAAACGTGAATAAGGTTTTATTCGGTAAAAGTAATTCAAAGCTTACAACTTATACTAGATAAATACCTGAAAAAGCTTATAAATATAAATTTTTTTAGTTTATAATCAAATGATTGAAAGCTGTGTGGTGCACAATTAGGTAAAATAATTAAAAAAAAAGTATTAAAGTCAATTTCTATTAGTGTAAATAGTGCGAAAGGATGAAGGTAAAAAATAATAATGAAAAGTTAGTTTTTTAATAAGCTGAATGTTACTTAAAGTAATTTTTCATAAATTAGCTTCTAAAAGCTGTAATATATATTTTTTCTCTATCAGTTGAAAAAAAGTTATAAATTTTTGTTACTAAACACATTTTAAGAAGAAAGTAAGAAGAGTATAATTGTGAACAAGAGGTTAATTACGCCATGAATAATGTACATGCTTTTAAGTCACTTGGATATATAATTTTATAAAACTAATGACAAATATTTTTAAATGACCTATTGAAAATATAAAGATGTTGGATAGTACATGAATTATGAACGAAAAGGTAAAACCTTAAAATCATAAATTACCAGCGACACTTGTTTTTCCGAAAAGGAAAAATCCAAGTTTGCCATTTTCCAGCAAATGCTACAGCAAAGATACAGCTCCTGGCAGTTACATTAATGGAAACATTTGATGTGTCCCACATTGCTTGAGACCTTTAAATTCTTATATATGTTAGTGTTCAAAGTAACATGGTAGTTATTTTGGAGCTTTGTGCTTTGATAAGCATTTGTATATGTCATGCTTAGAGAGCACAGGTGTTGTGCTTTGATAAAGTGGAACGAATAATGGAAGAAGTACTGATACACTCTTTCTATCTATAAATGCTTTCATCAAACTTTAAAATCGGAAATTGCTGTCATTCAGTCGCTTCCTCTTTATTCTATGTAGGAGTAAGACTAGACAGAAACAAGAGATACTAATGATATACTGCATCATATTCTAATGATTTGTTAAAATAGCATGTAGTGTTGAAGTAATACTATATCATGTACAAATACTTTGGTATATATAAAATCTGGGAACAAAATTAAATGTCATCTCTCAAGTTTCAGTTTCTAATAATTTCTTTCAAAGAATAACTAAAATTATATAAAGAACGAAAAAATGTATGAACGAGGGAAGTAAATGAATGTAATAATTTCTAAGTAGTTAACAATGTTTATGTCTTCATTCCATGATATTTTTAGTGCATGAACTCTTGAAAGACATTGGAGATGAAAATTTCAACTACGCTGTAGTAATGAATTTGGAATGTTGCTTCAAGTATTTAATGTAGATAGATGCTGAATTCAAATTTCCATATATAAAAGGGTTTTTTTTCTCTCTTTCTAAAGTCGTAGGAAATCAGTGTTGTTGGCTGAAACAATTATGCTTGAAACTTTCCTTAGTTGGTGTAAATAGGTAGCACAACAATAAAAGTTAAGTTTACGAAACTTGAAATAGCTTTTGCATTTGAATTGACTTAAGTCTTGAACCGACGGAAGAATATATACACAGGAAGCTCTAACCATTAGGCTTGAGACTAACAAATGATCTTCAAACAATGTGACATTGGGTTATGCCTTTGCCATATTTTTCAGATGCTATTTTTTAAAGCTTATTAGACAAAGTAACTTAAGAATGAATTTATAAGTTTTTTTTTTACCTCTAAATCAATTCATCCAATCATATATTTATTTATATAAAAACCAAATCGTCAAATAATCTTAATTCTAATCATAACGACAATTAATATCGACATAACAAATATTACAACTTGATTATTTTCACACTCCTTTGTTACATTCACCTTACAATCATTTTTATTTTAATTTTATTATAACATTTATTACATATATCACTTTTCACCCTTTTTCATCTATTTTTTTTTCTTGCATGGAAGGTGTATACACCTTCAAAGGATGTGAAAAAAAAATATAAATATTGTGGAGCATATTTTATCTTTCAAACAAAATCAATGTCTTAAAATACACAAACAAATGAAAGTTTAAATAATTTATAAATATTTTCTTAACAAACTGCTTAGTATTTTCTAAAATAAACATGAAATACAAATAAATATAATTAGCATATTAAAATGTTAAAAGTATTAAATATTTTTCTTTATTTAAAAGATTAAAATATTCTGTGTAACGTCATCAATATATACCGTGCATGCGTGTCAGTAAAATTTGGAGCATTGAAATTGTCAGAGAAGCCTAGAGGACTGAAGGAAAATAAAAGTTGAAAAGGTTGAAGTTAAACTAAGATGAGGTAAGAAAATAAACATGGCAATGGCATGTGTATGGATGAAGTGTTTGTACAAAGGGTAGATATGTGTTGGACCAACCAGGGGGAGAATACCAACTGTGCTCATAGGACTGTTTTGTACGCTCCTGCAAAACTTACACTGCAAGAATACCTCAGAGAATTTAATACAACCAAACTATATAAATATCTTTGTTCCACCTTTTTCTCTCATTTTACTTATATACCCACTTTTTCTTGTTTGTTACGTAGGAGAGAATGAGTCTTCTCCCTTAGAATTTAAAGCTTGTTTGATTTTAATTACATGATTAGAATCATTTTTTTGAAAATCAAAATTAATGGTTAAAAGTAAATAAATACAATACTATTTTTTCTTTTACTTTATGTGAATCAATTTTACCCAGCTCTAAAACGATAAAATAAACATAATCTTAAGTATAATGTCTAACTGTTTTTTAAATGGACAATTATAAATAAATTTACATGATTTGCAAGATGAGTTAAACGATTATAATTTTTTAAATTTCTATCAAATTGGTTCCTGTATATATATTTTTTTAAATGTTTTAAATAATTATAATTCTATGTGATGAAAATGTGAGTGTAGAATAGGTGTATAGAATATGAACCCTATGTAGGAGTATTGTTTAGCAATTCATTTACTATCAATATAGCATGTGGACATGCTTTTACTCGCAATCTTTGTTTGCTAAGGAAGTGGCCATAATCGGCTAGGATGAAATTAGGGTCACGTTAGTGCATGTTTGATTCAAGACAGATTTTAATCGATTAAACTTAAACGGGTTAGATTAAATTAGATTTGTCAAATTTGTTAGCTAATTCAAATCTAGATTAACCTGATTAATTTCAAAAAATTTCATTTTTTAAAAATAAAATGTAATTTAAAAGATTTTTTATTTGACATATATATTTATATTTGCTTTTAAATTTTTTCAGGAAAATATTGATAAAAACTAAAAACACTTAAAAAATTCACGACACAATACCTGATTCAATTATGGTTAGAGTACATTCTTTATTATTCGATTAAATTCAAATACTTAAACAACTTTTGATTAAAATATAATCTGATCGAGGTTGGGTTGGTCGAATTTGCTGGTTTGATTGAATCTGTGATTACTCCAATAATCTAAAAGTTATGGTCGAATGTGCCAAATAGTTAGCACGTGCTTTCTACAAATTATTTGATTAATTAATTGATAATAGTTATCCGTTCTGCCATTTTCTCGTTGTTTTAGTAAAGAGGAGAGAAAAGAATGGTCAAGCATGTGAGGACTGTTTTCATGTTAAATACGGCTCTTGAGAAAATGTGATGTCAATTTCTATAGGAATATATGATCTTCGATTTCTAAGGTAAACGCAGAATCAAAATATTTAAATCCTCCGAATCATTTGAGTAACAAACTATTCCTCCATGCATGCATGCTTCCAGCAGTTTCACATTATTTCTCTTTAATCACCTTGTTTAGATTATATAAACCTTCTTTTTAATTACAATTAACTTACACATCTTTAGACTTATACCCTGAATTCCATTTATGAATAACATATTTTTTACATATGATTTAAGAGCTTTTGCTGTATTCTCTTACAATTTTTTATCATCTTATACAATATGTATTTGATGGGTATTTATTATCTTAAAATATAAAGATGATTTACTGATTAAAAGAATGTACATATAAAGAATAAAAAATTTAGAATTATTTATAATTAGTAAATAGAAGTGAACCATTTGAGGCTGCATAGTGCAGATGCATATGAATCTCTGGGTTTCCTAAATGGAAAAAGGTTTAATGTAAGTGGCGAAGTGGGGTGGGGGGTTCTGCTCTCTCAGCTCTGCTTCTGAGGACTGAGGACTGTGGACTGAGGTAAAGGAACAGAAAAAGTAAAAGAGTTTAGTAGCAGTAAAAGCTTCAACCGTACAATCTCCTCAGATACCCATGCCCTCTTCAGACACCAACTCTTAAATACTCTCCTATTATAATACTAACACTTTTTAGTTATTTTATTAAGTAAATTATATAAAAAATTATTGAATAATTATAAGTTTACAAACAATAAGTTTTATAATTAAAAATCCTGCTAATTGGTATCTATAAAATATATCAATAACAATTTTGAAAAATCTGTTTATAATATATTTTTAATTTGGCATAAAATAATAAAAATTTTGGTCTTTTGTGGTGTCATGGAGCTTTTTCTTTCTCTCTTCTCTGGCTTTAGTTTATGGATTTCCGTAGAGGTGTCAGAGACAAGAGGTGGCAGAGAGACAGCTTAGGTGCAGAAGGTGCAGTGGCATCAGAAGAGAGAGAGAGAGAATGCATGAGGCATCATCACAACATGCTGCAGCACTGTAATCAGAACCATTAGTTTTATTCATCTACAGAAGATTCTGTAACCCAATGGTCCCTGAAATAAATATACCTACTCTACTCTCATCTATGCCTATTCTCATTTTAATACTCATAGCCCACAAACACACCACTCTCTTCTCTTTCAATTTATACTTTTTATTTTATTAATATTAATTTTAAGTTTTTATAAATTACAAATTTTTATTAAAATATAAAATATTTTTAACTTTAATTTTAAAAGTTAATATTAGAAAATGTTATTTTATTAAAAAAATAATTTTATATCTTTACCATAATTGATACTTTTCATCTTAATGAAATAGATGCTTTTAATTTAAGAAAATATGTTCTACAAAAATACTTATAATTCAAATGAAAATTATTTTATTTTTTAATTACTTAAAATTAATTTTAAAAATGAATGTTAATATTTTTTATTTCTTATATGTATTATCTTTATTTGTTTTATTACATTTCTTATCTTATATTTTCTTTTCTTCTAATTTATTGAATGCATATCAAACTTTTTCCTCTTTCACTGCACCGTGACCTTGAATAACTTGTGTTTGGTTTGTTGATATAAATATATCATCACTTTGGTGTAGAATTCTATTTTCCTCCTCTACTTGACTTGTTTGAGGATGAACGGAAGGAACAGGTTTCCCTTTACTCCTTCACAGTGGCAAGAGCTTGAACACCAAGCTCTTATCTTCAAGTACATGGCTTCAGGTATTTCCATTCCACCTGATCTTCTCTTCACCATAAAAAGGAGCTATTTTGATTCCACACTCTCTTCAAGGCTTTTGCCTAACCAGCCACAACACTGTGAGTTTAAGCTTAAGTTTTCTCTTATTTGTGTGTGTGTGAGTGAATGCATATGAATGAATGAATATTTGACAAAAGGGTGTTGTTTGGTTGTACTTTGTGTTGTGTGCAGTTGGATGGAACTATCTTCAGATGGGTTTGGGAAGAAAAATAGACCCTGAGCCAGGTAGGTGTAGAAGGACTGATGGGAAGAAATGGAGATGCTCAAAAGAGGCATACCCAGATTCGAAGTATTGTGAGAGGCACATGCATAGAGGCAAAAACCGTTCAAGAAAGCCTGTGGAAGTTTTGAAAACAACAACAAACAGTAACACTAATGCTTCTTCAACACCAGCGATCTCATCAATCACTAAAAATACCCCAACAACCACTCATTCTCTGTCTTCTGAGACACATCATCACCCCCCTCAACATTCTTGCTATGGCTCTTCCTTTTTCTATCATCACCCCACATCAAGGTCCTCTGGGATTGGCTTGTCTTTTGAAGACAATAGTGCTCCTTTGTTTCTTGACACTGGCTCTTGCTCTCAGTCCAACACAGATTGCAGGTGTTTCTCAAAGCCATTAAAGCATAGTACTTGAAAGTTAAAAGCACTTTATTCAAGTGTTTGTGAATTGTGATTGATTGGTTCTCACTGTGTTTTATTTTTTATTTTTTTAATGAAAAAAGGAGTAGGTATGTTTATGGAGAGAAAGAGGAGGTGGATGAGCATGCTTTCTTCACTGAGCCATGTGGTAATATGAAAAGCTTCACTGCTTCTTCTATGGATGATTCTTGGCAACTCAGACCTCTCACTATGAGTTCCTCATCTTCTTCTTCCAAACAAAGAAGTTGCTCTTCACTGTCCAATGATTACTCTTACTTGCAACTACACTCAAAACAAGAGCAAGATCAAGGTTGCTACATGTTTGGAAGTGGTGGTGATGGTGATGAGACACTCATCAAACATGGCAAAGAACCTCAGAAAACCATTCATCGCTTTTTTGATGAATGGCCCCACAAAGGAAGAGGAGGATCATGGCTTGATTTGGATGACAAATCATCCACAACCCAACTTTCAATTTCCATTCCCACCTCTTCTCATGATTTTCCTACCTTCAGCTCCAGTTCCAGAAGCCATCATGGTAATTACTAATTCTTCTTCTATGTTCATGTCAATTACTTTGACTGTTTTGTTTCTTTCTGATTCCATGTTTTTAGGTTCTCAATGATCATCATATTAACTTGGCATTTTTCTATAACTTTTATTGGTTTTGCAGATGGTTGAGAAATTGGGTTCTTGTACCTGAAACAAAGGCCAAAAATGTACCCTCAAAGTGGGGTTCAGAAGCTTTGAGGTCTTTTTTCAACCACACCCCACTTGTTTTCTTCTGCCATAAATGCAGTTGAAGTGAATTTGCCTCTCCATGGAGATCTAATGTGTAGTGCTGTATGCTAATGCTTTCCTAATTCAGTTCTTCCTTCCAAATATAGTATCAAACTGTCTCTCTGTGACCAAGCTTAATCTGTTTAATGATTAAGCTAACATTCAATTTCTAATCTTTTTTTTTTTTTGTTAATCATTTTCTACTTCATAGCAACAATGAAATGGGGTGCACCATGCCCCCCACGGCCCCACCCCCCAAGAATTTGCTTGTTTTGTGACTTGTGAACATCCATTTTAAGTGTATTGGGTAGAACCCCCTTTGTAATCTCTAGTTATTGAAGTTTAACCAAAGGCAAACTTATTGATTGCTAATAAGGAATTGCATATATTTGCGTAATAAGGGGAAACACCCTTGCCCTGTTGGCCTTGGAAGAAACAAGGTGTGCCCGAAGTGTTTTTCTTATCACTATTAGAATTTTTGTTGCCTTAGTTTTTTTTTTTTTTTCTGTTATAAAAATTCTTATTGTCTGTGTTGACTCTACAACATTACCCAATTCAAAAAGTTTGACTACTTTACCACAATGTGCTGCATTACCAGCTTGAGCAATGCTAAAAACACTCTTTTAAATATATATATATATAAATTTGCGTTGTTAGGATTTTCCCTAGCAGCTCGCGCCTGATCAGTGGCAATCTGGCTGGATATATGAGCATCGTTTCAATGATAGAAGATACGTGGCAAGGATAGAAGAAAATGTTAATAATTCCGCAGAGGTTCTTTCTTTCTTCTTTTAACGCGTGTCATATATACTTCGAATAAATTCTCAATCCGTTCTTAAAAAAAGAAAAAGGTGAATGATGTATTAATATTTGAGACTCTAAAATTTTATGTTCATTGTTCACAAATGTCGATTTTATCAATCTTTTTAATGAACTAATGAGTTTATTTATCATGTTATTAATAAATCTCTACCACTAAAGAAACGAAAATAATATATTCGAATAAAATGGATGTAAAAATATAGTAGTCGTAAAAAAAAGTGTATGTCCATCTAACGTTGCACTAACCTTTGGGATTGACCATAAGTAAACTAAAATCTTATGTGCAATTTATGCTCCCCTCATTCCTCGTCGGTTGAAGAGAAAATATGTGCAAGTCATTAATATGAACAGGTTACAAGTTTTTTAGAGTTTTTATAAAAAGAATAATTTTTTCTCGTAAAATGATATGAATATCAAATGTACATTGAATTTAATCATTGATATTCAGTAATAAAATACTTATTCAGGAATAGTTAGTATGCAGTTGTTTTAGCTTAATTAATAATTTTGAGCTTGAATTTTAAATATGTAATTATATTCAAAATTCAAAGGAAGCAAATTACTGTTTAGAGTATTTTTGCCTGACTGAAATATAATTATCACCCGTATAAGTGCTAATAATTAAACAAAGTTCATAAAAATACATGTGATTTCAACTAAAAAGTACAATCCTAAAATTAAAACAAATATATTAGCATAAAATCATACATGTGACTCTAAAGTAAAATATCATAGAAGGGGTACAGAAGTAATCTTCGTGTGTGATAAAATAAAACTGAGTTCGACATGTGATAATAGTTTAACACCTCGATTATTTCACTACTATTGGTATAATTTAAACTTGAGAAGAAAAGTTTTACTCTTTAAGGAATTGTCATGATTTTTTATGTTAAAAATTACATAAAATAAAAAGAGAAATTCATGTCAATTGAAAACTTTTTATGAAACATTAGTGGCTAAATTACTATTTAACAATTGTTTCAAGAAGTTTCAATGGCAGCAACAAGAAAAAGAAAAAGAAAAATATTGAATAGAGAAACTCTCATACATTTAACGATTTTAGATGTGTCAATTTATTATTTTGATAAAAAAAATTTAAATAAAAAAAACCATGTACATAATTACTCAAAATTTCACTTATCAGATTCTATATCTTATTAAGCATATTGCATTTTGAAAAATACACTAGAAATAGAATATGAAAAATTCACTATTATATATCTAATTAATACATAATATTAAAAAAAATAGATACAAATTTTTGGTTAAATAATTATTTTATGATCCAAAACCATGTGGTCTTAACCACTCATATTCATACACTTGTCAAAAAAATTTAAAAATGCTTACATATCAATTTTTATTGATTAGGACTAGATGGTCCCACACAGACCATCCAAAATTTTTTCCTTAAAGTATATTGCGAGAAAGAACAAGGCGAAGGCTTTCTTTGCTGCTGAGCTCAAAAGATTATATCAGCGAATTGTTATTTTAAATTTGCTTAGAGATTGAACTATCACTGATAAATTGCCTTTCATAATCCTTTTAACTTGATCCAGAATTCGGAAATCACCAAATAAGAGAGAAAATTAAATGATTGGTGAACTATAACACAAGTTAAAAGAATCGAAAGTGAGTTTATCAGCTATTTTGCATTATGTCTTCAAATTTTTTATTTTATTTTTTCCATTCTCTGTAATTTTTCTTTTTTAGTAGTTTTCTTAGGGAGTATATCTTATCCTCCTATCTTCATAGTTATCTTATTCCTTAAGAAAATTGCTTTGTATAAATTAAAAAAACGATAAAAAAAGGTGAGGAAGAATTTGTAAAAGGGTATTGTTTGTGGTTGACCCAGTTTTTGGGCTATTCTTTTTTATTTGAACCATTTTTCTTGGCGCACTTCGTTATTTTCAATTGGGCAGAAGCTTCAAGGGGTAAACTTTGCTACCATATTCCATGGAAATCCATTTGATGAAGGTAATCAACTCATGAATGGGCTACGAAGGACACTTTACATTTGCTTTTCTTTTCTTATTCTCTTTTTTTCTTCGGCCACACACATATAGGCTTTTCTAGAAAAAGCCTCTTCAACTTTCTAATTAAGTTATATACATCACATTAGCAACTGAGAAGAATAACAATGTTATCCCTAGCATAAATCATTTGGCTAATAAGACATGTCTATAACCTGTTGGGTACAAAATTCAATATTGTTTCTCCTCATCGCTGGCATCATCTCCATTTCTCTTATCCCCATCCCTGATTTCTCCATCACTCTCCTGCATATCAGCAGAATTTTCTCTTGCAGGACTTGACTGCCTCTGTAATGGTTCATCATCATCAGATTCTGACAATGCTTGCCTTCGCCTGCCTATGGTTGAGGAAGGTGCAGCCTTAAACAAATAATAAGCAGGCAATTATTTCATCCAGTCTATAGGTGATCAATAAAATTGAATTCAGTGGTTGTCGATTGTAGAGCAAATTGAGTTATTGGAAGAAACATGGAGGAAGATGGAAATAAAATTTTGTGAAAGATATAAGATGATAATAAATCTCTGTAACTTACGACAGCAACATAATAAAATAATTAGTCACTAGTGTCCCAAGTAACGTCCAGAGGAAATGATTCCAGCATTGTTATTAGCCTTCTACTGTCATGAGATTAAAATAAAATGGATGACCAACAACCAACTCACTTGATGATGCAATTTTTAACAGAAATCCAGACAGATGGTCGATTACTAATTAGTGCATTGTCAGTCAGACGGAAAAAATATATTCCAACCAGAGGGTAGTGTGCATAACAAAAGTTTTCAAAAATCATAATTTCAATTAAATAATAAATTACCGTCTCGTCATCTGCATCAGAATCTTCAAGTCCAGCTGCTGCAAGAAGACCCTGAGCGTCTTCCTCAGCGTCATCATTCATATGACTTGGAGGCTCCTCTCTGTAGTTTATGTCAGCTTCTTCCTCCTCCATTTCCTGTTCATCCATCATATCCGCTTCTGCTTCCTCTGTGTCATAGCGTGATCTTGACTGCTTATCCTTCTTTCTCTTCTTTCCGCCTTTTCTTCTCCTCTTCTCCCCATTCCCACCCTCTTCATCATCTGACCTTTCCCTCCGTTTTGAATGAGTGCTGCTCTTCCATTGCTCCTAAAAATACATAAAAGAAGTTCAGAGTTTTCGAAGAGGACCACCTCTACTACCATATAAGTCATGAAGTCCATTCACAAAGGACCTTCAAATACAATAAATATTCCTTTTGAAAGGAGAAATGCTGCATCCAAGCATGGCAATATAAATTGGTACATGTGATGATACACAGGAGCAGAATTGAATGCACGCTATAGTTTATAGCCAAGAGTAAGGTTACTGCATTGCAGTTCAAATCGTGAATCGTTAAGCTAATTTTCGAATTGTGAATAAAAATCTTTTCGAATCATAAGATTCAGAGACAGAAAATTAGCTTGAAGTGATGAATAGTGCTCAATGTCCCAAATCAAAATCACAAGTCATAAAATGATTATTGAGCGTACAAATTGTCTATTAGACGAAGGAAAATAGTGCAAACGAATAGCTGAATAGTGCATAAAATGAAAAAGTGATGATCTGAAACCCCTATCAATGAAATCATAGTAGTAAGTATAATACTCAAATAGGGTGCAATTAGCAGTGCTTCTTCAGCTTCTTTTTATTCAACAATTTAAAGCTCATTTCACATTTCAATTTCTCAGATGAAAATTGGGGAAAGAAAAGTGCGAAAAAATAGGAATAGCTGAATCATGTAATTCATGCATGTATCACAGATTCAAAATGATCAGTGATTCATCACAAGACACAAAAGTTGGTTAGCAGAATTGTATCGAAAGCACATGCAACTCAAATCAGCAATCTTAAGATTCTAAAAGCTATACCTAGGAGGCTGAACAAAATCTTCAAAATAAAATAGACAACACAGCATTTGGAAGATTTTAAAAAAAGGAACAATTTGTTTAGATATCATTTCTTTGAGATTCTTTTACCAAAAAAAGAAAGAAACTTTTTTTAAAAAATCACTTAAAAAAAAAAGAATCACTTTTAAATCAGGTTTTTTACACAACCTATACATCACCCTTATTTAAAACTTAAACAAAAAGGCACTTACCTACATGAATTTGACTCTTGTTAATTATTTCCTCTCTGCTTGCACTAATGATTAACCAATTTCCAAACCAGTCTTTTTTTTATTTTAAAAAAGAAAAGAAAAAGTAGAAAACCCTTGTGTAACACTTTTCAGAAGTATAATATTCCACATGGAAGAAAAATAAAGAGAAAAATACTCAACAAAGACTAAACACACAACAAAGGGAAAAACCAAAAATATCCTAGCCTTCTTCTCTTAAAAGAACATGTAGGAATCATTACCTTCACGCGCTTAAAATGTTCCTCCTGTTGTTGCACTCGCTTTATTTCGTCCTCTTGTTTTCTCCTTTCCATCTATTTCAAATTATAATAAAAGAAAACTAATTTATATAGAGAAGACATGCACATCAACCAATATGCATGTAGTAGATAATGCGAAATTAAGAACAGGGCACCTGAAATTTCCTTTGCTCTTCAGCCTTTCGCCGGGCTTCCTCAGCCAATGCAACCTGTCGAGCAAGTTCTTGTCTCTGTCGGACTTGCTGCTCCTCACGCTCAGCTGCTTCAAGATGAACTTTTGCAGCCGTAAGTAAGTGGTTGCAGTATCCAACATGAGTGTCAATTTTCTTCTCATCAAATCCATGAATATGTAGGTTGGAAGCAGCAGATAACTGACTAAATACACGAACAGCATTTTGCAGTTCAGCAACGGTTGCTCTCACCTAACATTAAGAAACCAATATCAGTTAGAAAGCATTGCATCAAACTAGATCCTGTTCTAGCTGGATCAGCTATAAAAAAAAGAGGTTAATAAGGAATTGCTTAAATAATGAAGAAACTTAAAAAAAGAGCCAATACACCAGAAAACAAAACACCAAATCATTAATTATTCGACAGCATATGTTATCCTTGCACAAAAGCTAGACCTCTTTTGTAGTTATAGCCCTGGTAAACTCAAATTATAAGTTTTACCAATAAAATATAATTATTTAAATGACAATGCTGACAAGTGCTCTTGAGATATTGATTAGCAAAACCAAAGTAGAAAGTATTTAATGAAAAGGAAAGCATTTATTGCATTAAAAACATATATATGCTTGTTAACCAGTGGTCTTTGAGCACTCGTTAGCATAGCATCACTGTTATTTAGAAAACATGTCTAGTATCAAAATGTCAAGTTCATAACCAATGTTCAAAATTCCAACTCCATAACAAAACAAATCAAAGTAATCAAGTGAAGACATTACTCAATACATGACTCAAATGTTATATCATATATAGCATCGAAGACTAGCAATAACAAATATTAGTAGTTTAACAAAACAGAACAACAATAATTGTGAAAACATAAAATTAGCTTCATAGACTCTAATTATAATTATAACTATAAAAATAAAGCTCAGTAAATCCAATATATATTGTGGAACATAGGCAATCCAACTTAAGTACCCAAAAAATCAACTAGAATTTTTGTTTTGCTGTCAAATTCAGGTAAAATCCAGACTCATCATTCAACTAATAAAATAGAGTTCGCCGAAGTATTAAGCCTAGATACTAATACAACACGTGCAATTGGACATACATTTAGGGAATTCTTAAACTTTCAAGATACAATTTATGGCCTAGATGTTAATATGAAATAAAAAAGAAAACATATTTTTATATAAATGCACAATATTTATAGAGACATTGATCATATCACATTAATACATAACCACATCAGTGGATGATCACAATTTATTGAATGAGAGAAAAGGAAAAATTATATTCAAAACAAAAAACCATAGTTGCATATGTTTCCCTTGCACATATCAAAACATATTCTTTCTCTTATGAACATGTCAAAGACAACTTTTTCCTAACAATTTACAAGCACATAAAACAAAGCACATATTCAAAAAAAGTTTCAGCTCTATATAATTGTCTACTATTTACTATAGATTTTAGGATATAGAGGAAAAGATAAAGCTTTATGTAAGTTATACCAAAAGTATTGGAGCCATATCCCTAGTGTATCAGTCAAGAACATCAACAATAATAATGATACTTGGAGGATACTCCCTGGATACACGGATACACACGTATGCATATTGGAATTGGATGAAATGATACTTCACCATTTTGGAGTATCATGGCTTAATAGGTTTCCAGTCTAATTTATTTGGCCTGTTGTTGACCTTCTAGGTTTATTTACAAATCAATAATTCAATTACAGAAAACTCAACATAAATTATTATTGATAAATTAAAGTATGATAAAGTTTTCCACGATCAAGCTAGGTGTTCTTTATGGTGCTATTTATTCCGTATTCTTACTTTAAAGAACCCAGCTATAATTAAAGGTGAAAATAGGCATCCCCACATAAAATACTGACGTTTATGAGCATCTTTCATCAAATATCTCAATAGATCTTTTAAGATATATTCAATGGCTAAAGAAGAAACCTCATCTGCACTTCTCTTTGCCTTTTGTAGTGTTGATGCTGAAAACTTTTGCATTGCAACCCCCGCATCAAACCTTAAAGTATAGTTTGAGGGTGCCAAATGGATGGCTCTCAGTAGAGTTTTTATACAGTCTTGCCACTGCTCAGCTTCATAATGGGTACGAGCTAAATATAGAAGTATTTGAGAGTCTGTGTTATAATAAAACTTCCGCAAGCAGTTTTGGTACTGCATTATAAGAAAGGTCATCAGCATAGGATTGTTGTAAAAAAGACTTAAGTAGGAGCTTGAAAGGAATTTTAAGGTAAAAATAGAATAAGCTCACCATTTTTACAGCCAAAGAAAAATTCCCCTGAGCAAAATAAACATGTGCCAGATTTATCCAAACATCAGGCATCTGGACAAAAACACTACCACTGGCAGCTTCTTGAACCTACCAAAAATTAACAAAAGGAAATGACTCCATGGACAAAATTTTATACCCTCTATAATCCAAAGATAAGCTGACATATGACAGCAACCTGTGTAAAGATGTCCTTTGAAACATCAAAATGGCCTTTTTCTGCTAAGACTACCCCAGCACCATTGGCAGCATATAAATTAGCAGGATGCTGAATAAGAACCTACAAGTATTTCAAAATAAAAGGGGTACATATAAAATAATATAACTCCATTAGTAGGACAATATTTAAATTATGAATGTGGAAAATAGATAAACATAAGACACGATACTTCAGGAAAAAATAAATAAAACATAAGTGTTGAATCAAGGAAAAAAGCACAAATAATTCCAATGCATACTGCTTGCTAATAAGTAATTAGTAATAAATTGTCGTCCTCAAATAGAGAACAATTTATCTTCTTGAGAAAAAAACACACATGCACGCGCTAACAAGCAAATTATATTATTCATTCTTTCTATTTCTTTTTTTGGACACAAACATCTCTCCCAAAAAGCCTAAGCTATTAGTAATAACGCCAACAATCCCCTCACACTAGCTTTTAAAGCATGGACATTGCATAAGCCTGCGGCTGAAGTTTAGTTTCAAATATTAAGGATGGAGACAGCAAGGATCAAACTCCTGCCCACTTGTTCATAGAAGCTCAAATACCATATCAAGACAAGTTCACCAGGTGCTTAAGCTGTTCTCAAATAATGACTTTGTATAGTAGATTTTATTTCTATACATATCAAGTGAATGAAATACAATGATTAGTGCAAATTTTGTGCACAAGCATAGGTCTACAGACCAAAAATTGGGAAATAACAGCAAAAAAGCAAAAATAGCTCTAATTCTCATTAGACAGTAAGACAAATTAAAAGACCTACTCTAGTATAAAGTTCCTTGGCCTTTTCCAAATGAGTAGCCTCTAGCTTTGGATTTCTCTTCTCGTTGCGAACTGCAGCAAAGTAGTTCCAGTTTCCCTATTCATTTCACAGCCAGTGTATCAATTGAATTATCATGGTAGCACAATAAAGTTATGAGGACACAATCATTATGAAGCTTCAACTGGGATGAACAAAGGTAGAATACCCCATGCCCGATTGGACTTTAACAATTGCTGCAGGAACAGGATTACAAGAATTTGGGATACAGAAATAATAAAGTAAAATGTGCACCAAAGAGCAGACATACCAGAGAAAGAGTAGCATATGAGTCCTTGCCATCAGTTGCATCACTAGCTGACCGGAGAGTTTCTTTTGCTTTCACCCAATCATCATTTTTCAATTCCAACTCTCCAAGCATAGATAATGCATTTGGACACTTGTCATTCACCTTCAAGGCATCATTAACCTACAGAATAGAGCATCAAATAGTAAATTTATATAATTAATAAATAAGAAAGAACAGCAAGGAGGCCATAGGGATAATAGTAACCAGTTCAATGCTTAACAAAATGTTGTTCCGAGCTTTTGCAATTGCAGCTAGCCTCAGATACGCATCAATATAGTCTGGATACTGGAGACAAGATAATAAAATAAAAAGAAATAAATAAGCCAGTCGTAAATCATGTCCCATGTGGTTAAATATAGTCATGATCAAATAGAGTTAGTTATCATCCAGTTGAACTTTCATAAAATAGTACTCTTTAGTTTACCAACTTAAGAATACAACAATGTCCTGCAATAATAAAGGCATTACAAGATTAATTGAGAGAAAGCAGGACAATAACAAACATTAAAAAGAAAAAGTTCAAGTCAGCATGGTAACAAAGAAACATTTAACATACATGCATTTCAATTTGGGGATTGTTAGACCAAAAAGAGGGGAAAAAAAAAGAGAAACCTTTTGAGACAAAAAAAAAAAATCAATTTGATGATTTTCATCCCTAAAATTGATTTAAGGTTTTTGTTCTATGCCTAAAAAAGTGAAAATGTACTGAAAGCATTACACACATGGAGAGATCACTGAATAGTTTCAACAACACTGGAAGTTTGAAAATTATTAACTGACAATAGATCACTTAATTATACATTCAACACTTCAAACGAAATAACTTTTCAAACATCACAGGAGTAGCAACAAGAAGAATATGATAATAATTTGTGTTGTGAAGTTACAAATATATGCTTAAAGTAGGTATAATTCGTGTAAAATTACAGAAATTCTAAAAATGCATCGGTTCATCTTCTTGAGAATCAATTGATGCATACATAAGCATCTTGAACTCTCATAAACAAACATACCTTGAACAAGATCAGGCGATACAATATGCTTGCAGTTCCAGAGTCATTTAACTGCTCAAGTAATCTAGCCAGGTTAAAGAGTACAGTGACTTTATCCCAAGGAACTTCCACATGGTGACCGTTACTTTCAAGATCATGAAATAACTGCATGTCCTTGAATTGAAGAGTAGAAGTAGCAGCATCAATGGAAGATTTATTTTCCTCATTAATGAAAGAGAGCCAAATTCCATCACCTAGAGCCTCCTTAAAAGTTTGTTGAGCAAGCTGATAAATAGAAGAAAACAGAGCTTAACAGTGGTAAGTATGCCAAGGAAGGGGCCATAACATGAGCATTGCCGCTTTTCAATAAGGGTACAAACCTCAAATTCCCCCCTTTCAAACTGAAGGACACCAATATTATTGAATAATTCAATTGGTACTTCCTGACCTCCCTTCTTAAAAAGTGTACGAGCCTGTACCAGATTTACAATATCAAGATTATAACAGATTTCAGAAATGATGATTTATTAAATTTCACAATGATAACTTTTCCAAACAACTGAATGGAATATCATCACTCTTGGCCCCTTACAGTTTTGAATGCATCCAGTGCAGCTCCTGTGTCAGAAAGAATTAACAATTCTCCCAGTTCAAGAAATGCCTGTAATACAGGGAAAAAATTTATAAGAATAAACCAAAAGCAAGATAAGGAATGTTGATCAAATCATAAAGTTCACTTTTTCGTGTGTTTCACTTTTTCGTGTGACCACTCATCTATCTTAGGATTCTTATTTTTACAATTCCCACTTTGTTAAATAACCTAGTTGACTCATAATGTATAAATAACAACTTGGAACCTTATAATATTTTTCATTCTGGACAAGGATTCCATATGTCAAACAAGTGGAACAAGACATGGTACAGTACATGGGACTCTCTGTAGTCCAAAATATATCTTTCGCAAGGTGTTCAATAAATTATACAAAAGAAAAGAACCAGAAGCTTTCACCTGAGCATCTCGGGGATCAATTTTGGTAGCTTTCCTAATAAAGTCCTGCGCCTTGTCAGTTTGACCAAGCTGAACATATATGTGCCCAAGCGCCTATAAGAAGAAAAACAACACCAACACAAAATTGGGGAAGGAAGGACAAATAATATTTAGTGACATGGTTAAAAAGAATGGTAATCCAATCAAATTGTTTTCTGATCACTTTTGCTTTATACACAAACCTAATCACTGATTTCTTTTGAGTGGAAAATTTTGGGAAAATTATAAAAACAAAACTCCTGGTAAAACATTTTATTTTTTTTTACAATAAAGGAATAATTAACAACCTAATTGGTTAATGATGTTCATAGTGTGGTTAATTAGTATTCCTCCAAAGCTTAGTTTGACTCTCACAGCTGACAAAGCTGGTGTTCTCTTTTATCATGAGTATTAGCGTCTTTTGCCTTTGATTTCCTCTTGTGCAGAAAAAAATGTGGTTAATGAGTAACCACTTAATCTTGGAGTAAGAGCATAAATCTTACACCAGCATAAATTAATCCCTCCTTTATTAATAATATTTTTACCCCAAATTCCTTTTTATAATTTTCCCAAACATATTTGAATAAAAAAAATTAGTGTTGGGCCTGTTGACATCCACAAACATATAGATAACCATGACATATATCGTGATTGGAATTGAACAATGCAAGACTTTAATGATTGTTTCACATCATTACATGTTCTGTAATCTCAAAACAGAAAGGCATCTTCTCAACTGATATTTTCCAATCTTGCACCTTAAATTACAGCAAACTTAGGACTTTAAACGACTCTTTATGGCAAAAGCATTCATAACCTAAGAGATAAGTGATATAGAAAAGGTTTAAAATATAATGAAAAAACAAAAATCAATTTTATGCACTTACTTTCAATGTCTCACAGTTATCGGGGTACACCTCCAAGACCTTTTCAAAGTTTGAGAGTGCACTTTTAAAGTCTCCCAACTTTATCTGCACTTGTCCCAAACCTGGAAATAGCATTAAAAATTAAAACAGTGAATTAAGTGAGGAATTCCAATGACCCTATGAAAAATGTCTTTTCAAGGTTTGTATAATTATTAATTATTCCTGGGATAGTGAACTTGGGATGGGAATACAATACTCTTCCTATGTTTGGTACAAATTTTAGAAAAATATTCCTGGGTATTTTTTATTTCCAGGAAAGTGAGATTTCCAGGTTTTCATTTCTTATTCAAGGAAAGTGAACAACATTCCTGATCATAGTGTTCCTAGGAATGTAAAACTATACCTTGAAACAAAATCCATATATGATACTATTAATAGAAAGTGTCATTAAAGCATGTAGTATTAAGAGAGAGAGAGACAAATTAGTGTGTTGGAATTAAATAAATTCTTTACAATGTGTAAAGACCCTTATATTTATAAGAATACATATGTAATTCTAATAGGTCAAGCCCCTTATTATAATATTAACATAAACCCTAATCCTAATAAGTCTATTATTGCTATTCATAACAAAGCATAAGCTCTAGCAAACTCAACAAACACGCTACATTTTCATATTACTGAAATGTGGCAATAGACCTAATCAAATCACAATACCAAAACATGATTGGGTGTTTTTAGAACACAATAAACATCAGCTATAACAGTATCAAAACAGGAGGGAATAGAACCTATGTATATTTGCTAACTATAGAAGTAATGATGATGCTTATAGCAATAATTTCATAGCTAAGAAAATGCTAATCCTTTTGCATGCATGTGACAAAGTTGCAGAAATAGTAAAAAATTCCAAGTTTAATGTAGCAACTAACCATAATAAGGAAACACAAATTCATGGGGCTTGTTGACTTCCTTGACAGATGCCATGTAATAAACACCAGCTTTATCATAGTCTCCCTATGGTGAGGAAAAATAAGTGGCATCAGCAATATTACAGCTTGAAAGTTGAAACAAACACTAAAAAAGAAATAGTGACTTACAAACATTTCCAGAATCATCTTTCAAATACTAGAAAGTCAAAAAGATTATTGTAGAAAACACAGACAAGAAAAAATAAGTAATTGTTTCCTTTATTAAAAATTGGATATATGATCTATAGCAATTTATTAGTCCATTCAAGCAAATAAATCCATAAAATTTGAGAAAATACAGAAATACAAATCAACTTGACCAATGTAGTAGACAATATTGGGTTGCAAGGGCAATTTACATTGCATCTGTAGGATCATCATAACTCTAACACATCCATTTCACAAAAAATCATAATACAAGTTGAAACAAAAGACAGAAGGTGGATATTGTTAAATGTCTACCACACTAGATACAGAGAGACTGTTTTTATGGATGCCATACAAACAAAATTGGCAGACAAGTGAACACATTATATAAGATTTTTTTAATACAAATTGATAAGCAAAATGAGATTGTTTTAGCCACCAGTTTATATTTGTTATGCTTATCCTTCATGAAGAATGAAGTATTTCAAGATATCTTTTTCTAGCTTCAATCTATTGCAAGAAGTCTAACAATAGTGTATCTTCTTCCATATTAAACTATTTCTTGAGGACTGATGAATAATCAAGCTACATATCATTAGTGTTATGACCATGAGTGCAATTTACAGGTGCACATAGCAGACTAGAGTATCATTTCATCTTGGAAGAAAAAGAAAAAATAAGATTCCAACCTTGCTATGGTAAGAGCGTGCTAAATTGTAGTAGGAGTGAGACTTTGTTGGACCATGATTGGTAACAGCTAATGCAGTTTCCGTCAATTGCTCAACTAAAAAATGTTGACCAGTGAAGAAGAAATGATTCGCAAGATAATTCAGAGCCATTGCACAGTATGGGTATATCTCAAATGCCCTCTGCATTTTTACCATTCCCTTCCTGATTCCAGCAGCTGAAAGATGTTGTATGGCATCAGAATTAGTCCACTAAATGAGAAGCTAATAGTAATATTATCAGATAGGTAATTAACAAATATGCATGCTGTGCACAAGAAAATGATAAAGGAAGAGAAAGTGAACCTTCATTAGTACGCAAGTCCATTATTGCAAGTGCAACAAGAGCCTCGACATTTTCTGGATCTAGCTGAAAAAAATAAAACCGTGAAGCATAAAGATATCAGAACCAGTAAAATAACTCAATGATTGAACCATTAGTCATTAAGAGATTCACTTGCCTGTAAAACGCGCTCAAATGCCTGTCGAGCCTTTTCAAATTGACCTAATTTGTAGCGACATAGACCTATGCCAAGTCTCACAGATGCAGGGCAATTGGGATACACTTGCAATGCCCTCTTCAGTATAGCAAATCAAAAGAAGAAAAACAGTATTAAATTGTGTCTACAGCACTGAAAAACTGTCAGAATTCAAGTAATGTACCAAGCATAATAATGATATCAGGTTTCTGCAGCCTTTATTATTATTATTATTTTGCATAGATTGAAGAAACCAACCATCAAAATAAAATAGCTACCCGTTGAATTTAATATCACTTATTTAATCCATTGAAATTTCCCTCATTAGTCTTTAACATGACAAGTTGACAAAAATCATAAGACTAATCCCCAAACCACTTGAATTTTGGCATGCATGTTGTCATAATTATAAGTTAAGAGAATGGTTTCACAGAAATTAAATACTATTAACATTAGCATGTCCAACACCGATCAAGTTTCAAGGGATTATCATTTGAACTCAAATTAAAATAGGGTTTTGAATATTATCATTCTGAATAATAACAATAGTACAAAGGAATTTCCAGTATATAGACTTTTGCTGATAACTACAACCATTTGCTTACAATAGAGCTAAATTATTGTAGACGAAACTGACATAATAGAAGGAAAACAAATCTGTTACACTTAGAAAGGAGAGGAAATTAAAAGGAATAATCTGTCCAGGTATAGTACAATCTACAATGATGCTAAGCATTTGATTTTGTTATTAATCTTAAATGACAATACTGATGTGAATGCATATCGATGTAATATGTAAACCCTTAATCATACATCACTTCTCACTAGCAAAGAATATGGCTATATCACTGACCTTATACAATTCAAGCGAATCAGTGTATCGTCCCCGGTTGAACTCAACACATGCCTGCAGATATTCAGTAAAGATATTATAAGAGCTACAGTACATACATGATGAAAACTAAGTGACACCTCAAACTGGCCCCAGGTTTTAGTATTCACATTCTGAAAATGAACAGAACAGATAAACAATAGATGGATGTGCTTTTCAAATTTTGAGCAAAAATATGGCAAATGTAGATTGCTAGAGTAGCAACTGATAAATGTAGATCGTTTTTCAATAGTGTTAGTAGTATTGTAATGAGAATAAGAGAATCAATTGAGACAAACCAGCACAATTGATACTGAAATGAGAATAATGGGGCAAATTACCAGAAAGAATTCTTGGTAAATATATTTCCAGTTTATTAATGAGGAAACTTTTTTACACTTTTTACAAAAAATTCCTGCTTTGTAATTTTACCAGAAACAATTGCTACTATATGAAATGAAAGGAAGAATCATTGGGGAAGATTGGAGCAGAGGAAACCATGAAAAGATCGTGAAGAAGACAGAGTGACGGTCGGCTGCAAACAAGGTCACACATCGTCAGTGACCAATGTCATCTAGGGTTCGAGGAAGAAAGAAAAGAAGGAGGCGCAACTAAGTTTAGGAGGTTGGGGCTTAGGTTTGAGCAAAAATATAAGTTGGGTCATTCAAAATTGGGTCATATCCATTGGGTTATGAATGAATTGGGCCAAGATCAAGATCCAAACCAAGATTTCATGAAATCGGTATAAAATCCCAATTTTACGATTTAAATCCCAATTTCAACTGGGAACAATTTTTCCTGCAATCTGAATCGGTCTGCCTTCCAAAATGATTTTACCCGATTTTAACTACCATGGGTCTATGATTACTTGAAGAAAGAAGAGTCATAGTACAAGTCATCTACCCTTACAAAGATGGTTAATGGAAAATCACTAAACACTTGATGTAATGAACTCATGACAATTGTGACTAATAGTTAAACTTCAATTTCTAATTTGCAAATTATAGATGTTATTGGCACTTGGTAATAGAGATTAAACAAAAAGGAATGAAAATGGTTGAATGAAGAGAGAACTGTTTAATCGTAGAACTTTTCCATTCAAATAAAAAAATGGTTGAATGAAGAGAGAACCCAACTAGTAACCATTTCAAAACACTAAAAATGAGAATGGTTGAAATCACAAATGCTAAAGCATTGCCTGTGAGTGCACAAACCTAATATATCTACCATTATACCTGGCCCAAAAGAGCGGGAACATTATCACGGTCTCCATCTAACACAATCTTAAATGCAGCAGAGGCCTGTTCTACTTCACCCTTTGCTAGCAAAAGCTGACCTGTAAGCATTAACTACGAATTAATTTATCTGCAGTACATGACACATCCTTCTGATGACACAAGACAAACTAGATGTTTAGCAAACTAGATGCTTGCAACTTGTAAGACATTACCAAGATATAAGGTAATAAATATCCCATGATACACAAAAAGAACAACATAATCATTGAATTTATCTCAAACATCAAACATGTTTCAGCAGCACAGGCCAAAATACAGATTATTCTCAATAGTCAACATGCCAAAAAATACAGAACCACACAATTTAGACAAACATATGATGAGGCCAAACATAATCAAATGAAATCCTTTCAAAATATTAAGCATAAAAAATCCAAAGTTTAAAACATTTGACTTATACGAATATTGCCTCAGAAGGGATACTCAAGGATACATTGGTAGGAGTGTAGGAGATCCATAGGATACCTAAAGTTATTGCTATAACACAATCCAAGATATTCAAATAGATATCATCCTCATTGTTGTGAAATTACTGATCAAAATCTTGTTCCAATTAGACACGTTCCACAAAAAATTCACAAATTTATATATTAACCTTTCCCAACCCAAGTAGAGGGCTCATGCATGTCAATCCTTGATGCTTTATTGTAATATTGTGTTGCCAAAATGAAATGCTCCTCCTTCTCCCTTTGTTTTGTCTCTATTTTTCCAAGGTAGCTATAGTAAGCCCCAAGGGCATTTAAGATAGCAATTCTCTCATATCTAACATCAGCATAATAGTCATCGATTTCTGCAAAATGAATCAAAACAATCAGTAGTGTTGGATTTAGTAAACTTAATTGCTAATATAAATATAAATTAATAACAAAGACAAACAAGTCAATAGACCAAACCCACATACAAGTCAAAAGAAAGTATACCTGGACTGGATCCTTCCTCCAGAATCTGACGAAATTGATCAATCTTTCCCTGCTTGAAGTACTCCCTCTGCATATAGTCGATATTAGAAGTAAAGTTGAGAACAACTATTATGGGTCAGATTGGTTAATGCTTGTATCGAAGTTACGAGAGAATCAGAAAATTTTCACTCTTGCATAAAATGTATTGGAAATACCGCACATTCCATTTTAATATACACACAAACAGCCAATACCAAAGCAAAGAAAACAAAACTAAGTATTACGAAAACCTGTGTTTAAATAGGGAATGCAGTGTTATAGACATACACAAACATGCATGATATTAGAAATTTATTTTATAGCAATTGTTGTCAAAGCAAAGAAAACAAAAACAGGTAATACGAAATCAATGCTTTTAATCAGGGAATGCCACATTATACTCTCACACATACACATAGACTTTCCAAAGTTATGCAACAGAGAATATGTGGCCAATCATCAAACAAGCATAAGAAGAATCACTAAATGATAAACAAATCGAAAGTGTGAATAACAGCACGTCAAATTTGAATCAACAAAGCAAAAAGCAATCACAATCTTTAAATTTAAACTTGTCAACAAAAACAGAGACAGAATGAGCAAATGCTTAGAGCAATGGGGTGAAGCATTTCAAATCCGAATTCAAAGTGACTAACGAACCGCGATGATGAGCCAGAGATCAAGAGGGGCTTGTTCAGCCTTGAGGATGTCGAGGATGTCGGAGGCATCCCTCGGAAGCTGATCGAGAGCAACCCTAACCTCCTCCTCCGAATTCTGCACAGGTATGTACACCGAAGCCATTGATTAGGCAACAATGCTTCAAATGCAACCAATCAATGACGTGAAACCCTAATTAACTGTATTGTCTTAGGCTTCCTAGGTTGATGAAAGCGGAAGCATCATCAACAGAGAGAAGTGAACATTGAAGAAACCCCTTTTCCTACTCTGAGAAGTAGCTTTTATTTTATGTTTAGTAGTGACTGGTGAGCTCCGTTTAAATAGATATCCAAATTTTATTTTTCTTTTTTCTTTTAGACGTCAAATTTAGCATTTTTCTTTCTTTGACAGATAATCTTTATGGAGTTATAATATTTTTATAACAAATTTTTATGATATTTTTTCTTTCTTTATCATATCATTTTTCTTTTTTCTTTTTTAATTTGTTAAAGAACTTATTTAATTAACATTTCTCATCTTTATATGGTGGGGAGGTGCCTCTCAATTTGGTCAGTGCAGTGTATACATGAACTGTATTATGTTAATTAAGCAGTGTAGAAAATATTGTATTATTTAATTTAAATTTTTTAAATGATATTTTGGTCAATTTTTTAATAAATTTTAAAATAAATAATTTTTTAATTAATAAAACTAAATATACACTTGTCAATTTATTATAAGCTTATAAAAATTGTAAGTTAAATTATAATTAAATTAATAAATATGTACATGTATTGCACAAGTTTGTTTTATTTTTTTATTAAATTAATTAATTTTAAATTAAAAAATATATATAATAAAATTTTATTATATTAAATATAATTTATAAAAGAAAAGAAATACACAATTATAAAATAAAAAATAACTGTTAGTAAATTTTCAAAAATTATGTAAATGAAATCATATTTAATGATATATAAAAAGTTAAAAAAATAAAAAATTAATATAATAAAATTTATTTTTCATCATAAATATAATTTAATAATATATAATATAAAATAATTATTTTGAAGGTATAATTTTTTTAATGTTTAATATACATTTTTAAATATAAATATATTAAATTAATTAATAAAATAATTTAAATTAATAATATTTAAATTTGAATAAGATTTCAAATAGGATATAATTTTATTTTAAAATAATAAGTAAAGATATTTTTATACAATTAAATTAAATTTTTTATTTTTAACATTTGACAGTAATTATTTTAAATTTTATATGTAAAATAAATTTTTATTAAATATTATTAATAATAAATGTTATTATTATTTTTAATATTATATCATTATAAAATTAAAATTTTTATATATAATTAATTATAATAAACTTTCTTTAAATATAATTCAAAGATAATAAGTATAAATTAATTATAATTTTAATTTTAAAGATATACAAAATATTATAATTAATTTTAATTTAATGTAATTTATAATAAATTTGTTTATATTTTATAGTTTTTAGTAAGATGTTAAAAATCATAAATTTTATTATTATAAGCATATAAAGTAATATATAAATTTATTATTTATATGTAAAATTAATTTTAAATATTATAAACATTAATAATAACAAATTTTACAATAAATGCATTGATTAATAAGTAAATGTAATAAATTATATATATAATAATTAAATTAGCTTCTAATAATATCAATTTATAATAATTTTTTGGATCATGTTATTAATTATTCTAAATAATATTAATTGAAAAATATTTAGAAATTCTAAAATTATTAAAATAAGATAAAAGTATATTGATAATATTAAATATTTTATTTTTATATAAAAATTAAAATTAATTTCTTAACTAATACTCATATCATACTTATTAACATTTTTATGTAAAATTCGTTGATGGAAGATATCACGAATCAGCGTACCATGGTAAACAAATTTTCAAATATAACATGCTGGCTTGTTGGTATGTATTGATAGTGTTGAAGGACAACAAAAATGCATTAATAATTACATTCGTTTAACCTATATTTGGTATTTTTAAAAAATAAATAATTACTACTTTTCCAAAAGTTTTCTTTAAAAAATTGACAAAAATAAATAATCTAGATATATAGATATATATATTGGATACTACATAAATTTATCTATTCATATTATTCATGTCTCAAGAACAATTTAAATAAAATTATGAATGATTTTTTTATTATATATTTTATAATAACAAATTTCTAATTTTAAATAATTATTTAATTAATTTTAAAACATAATAACAATAAACCTTAACTTATTTATAAAAACAAGTACATAATAATGACATAATTAATTAGATTTTTTAACATATATAATTTATCTCCAACAATATCAAAACATGCAAAGGACCGAAAGGAGGGAAAGGATAAAGCAGTTCAAGTTTTTATTGGAGAGGTGAAATCCATGGGGGGCAGAGAGAGAGATTGTTGATTTGACAATAATTTTTTTAACCGGAGGAATTATTAAACTTTAACTATGATTAAATTAATAGCAAAAAAAAAGGCATAAGAAAAATTAATTTTTCTTGTTGTGAAATATCTTTTGTTATGAATGATTTTTTACATATATTATAATAGAAATGAAAGAAAATATTATTCTCATGCATTTAAATATTTTATTCCGTTTTTAAGTAAAAGGTGTAGATAGATTTATGCTTGATATTTAAAAATAATGAATAACCTATTCCTTACATAATTACATTAACATCTTTGAGTTATCCATATTTTATTAAAGAATAAATAGATTATGTCTAGATTGTGTCAATAAATTATTTTCACATTTTTATACCATGTGCAGCTTTGGTGTTTTACAAACACTTCATGTTATGTTTTTGAAATATGGAATGATATTACAAGGTTTTGTGACGAAAGGAAATAAATTTAGAAATATGTTGCATTTACAAGATGAAACTCCCATAAAATAATATAGTAACAACTTGTCAAGCCAAGCCAATGTCATGTTTGCCATGCCTATTTAGCTATTTACTAATTCTAATACAATTTTGGTTTAGCATTTTAATGTTTTGTTTGATTATATTTAAAGATAAAAATAGGTTAGACTAGACTTTTTATAAATAGGTTTAACCTATTTAATAATTTTAAAATTTAAGTTTAGTCTATTATAAGCTTTTTATTAAGTTTAACATGACTTTTTTAAAAGTTTAACTTAATTTATTAGTCTTTTTAAAGGCCTACTTCATATTAAAACATTTAATAGATCGTTAAGTTTTCTTTTAAATAAGTTGTTAAATCATATAAATACTAAGTATGTTTTTTTAAAAGTTATAAGGCTTATATCTAAATAAATTATTAAAAAAACAATTCAATACCTTGAATATGTATAATAACATTATATATTTTTATTTATCATTTTCAAATCACATAAATATAATCGAAATAATGTAATGTAAATCAGTATTATACGTATAAGATATGTAAAAAAATTATAATAAATAAGACTCTCTCTCTTAAAGAGTATGTAATATAGACATTTTTAAATTCTAACGAAAGGATTAGAGTTTTTAATTTAAGATTTTATTCTAAAATTTAATTAATTTAATATATTATTATATTATAATTTTTATATAAAATTATTTAATATATTATTATAAATTTTAAATAGGTCATTCTAATAGACTTTTTCTTAAGATCAAGTCTGATCTATTTAATTAACTAAACTTTTTGAAAAGTTAAAATTAAACCTATTAATTAAATAAATTAGGCCGAATTCGATTTTAAAGAGGTTAGACCTTAAGCCCTTATCAAATACTCTGACATATTTTCATCCATAATTATATTTGAAATAATGAGGGTTGAATTTTTTTAATTATTAAAAAATATAATTTATGAGAAACCATCATAGAAAGAAAAAAAGAAGGTATCATATATATAGAATTTTAGATTCTCCATCTCTTTCAAATATTTACTATTTGAAAGTAAGAACTACTATGTATCCTAACATGTTTTTTATTTCTCTGCTTAGAATATAAAATAACTTTTTAAATATTGAAAACTATGAAATGTAGGAAATGAATTGTTTGAGCAACAGAGGTATCCTTGGGTCGTATTATACAAAGACAACAAAAAGGAACCTAAAGATCCTAAGGTAGAATAAATCATTGAATATAGGAGATAATCCTTAAGTTTAATAATAAATCCAAATCTTGATATGTACAGATCTTCAATTATAATTAATTTTTTAAATAATATGTACCTATAATAGTTATGTAATGCTGATGTACTAACATTTAATATCAACTTTTATCATGCAAATTCCTTGAAACTCCAGCTCTGATTGAAAATCAATACAAAACATTGTTTATGGTATTATATTTAAGTTTGTATCATCATATACGAAGGACTTAGATTGAGTTAGATGCTTTGGCACATATCACAGCTTGCCAGGCAATTTGTTCAATGCCAATGTTGACAATAAAATGTATTTAAAGACCATTTATTTAATAAAATAAAATAAAAAACGTCAAAATCGACATGTACATCCTATGAGAATGGCTATGGCCATTTATTCCGTAGATTAAGTTGAAAGGTTGACTGCTTAAATCGCAACAAGTTGTGTATTTTTGTGTGTCAAAGATTCTAAACATGAATAAAATGATTAGTAATATGCGTACACAGGTAGGTAGTCTACTATAAGCCCGTACATTCCATGCATAAACTGTAGCAACTTCAACATAACATTAGTTTTCAGATAGGCGATAGCTTTTAATTTTTTTAAAATTACATGTATCTTTTATTAAAAACAATTTTGTTCAAGTCAAGTAAAATTATTTACTAACACTCAAACTAAATATTACTTATTAAACTAAAACAATTTATTAGCAGTGAATCTATGTAATCAGTGATATTTATCTCTTTTAAATTAAAAATATATATACTTTTAACCAAAATATTTCTAATTATAATATATATAAAGTGCAATTATCTATGACTTTTATACCAAAAAAGCATATTCTTATCCACTTATTCTAGTCTAGTGATAAATTTAATTTTGGCTCCCACAAAAAAAAAAAACTAGAATTCTACCTTTTTAACTGCTATTATTTCTACATATAGATTCCAGTACTTATGCTCATTGTACAGCGTTGACCAGTCCATTCATGTTCAATAGGCCATACTAAAAATACACAGCCCGGTTGAAAGAGAATTCATCAACATATTTGTTTTTAGGGCAAAATATATGTGCAGTTTTTTAGGTAATTTTAAGATGTTGTTTATTGATCAAAACTAAGAAGTTTGCATTTAATATTATTAAAAATTATTAAGATAAAATTTTAATTTTAATTACTCCTTGTGTCTCTGAAAAATAGTCTCTTTAACCAATATTATTTTTCTCAAATAATAGTCATTTTACAATTTCAATGTAGTATTAATTTTTTCCCCCAATATTATCCTTAAAATAGTTATTATCTCAAAACATATTTTCTATATTCTCTCAATTTATTTATTGCATAAACAAATTCTAAAATGGGTATAATATAAAAATTCACAACACTTTTAATAAAAACAAGACACTTGAGTGCATTTTTTAGTTCTAAAACCACAGAAGGATTGTTTTCCAAAAACGAAAGGAACAGTAAATAACATTAAAACCACTGAAAAAGCTGCATCTAAATTGGTGATCTTAGTTATAAAGGTTCTGGTTATCCCAGCCAATTTGTGTTGGCATGATAGGCTTGGTTAACCTCACGGCTTTTGGTTTAATCACCGGGTGGGAAAATTCTGAAGGATAAAAATCCAAGGAGCTTTTGGTGCAATTGGGAGATTGAACACTAGAATTTGTGGTTGTAGTTGTGCTTGGGAATTTGTTGTTTTCCTGCATCTCTTCTACTTTCTTGCTCAAATAAATATTCCAAAAGTTTTCGATCTCAGTTTCGGTGCGTCCTGGTAATCGTCCTGCAATGATAGACCATCTGTGGTACACAAATCATCACAACATTGTGTTATTTAAAAAATAAACCGACTTTCATTTTCATGCATCATAACATTTTTATTTTGTCAACCAATTATAATGTACAATAAATATGATACTGAAATTAATTATTATTAAAATCAATAGTTAATATGAAAATCCATGAAAAATATTTACTCGTGAATGCGTTCCAATTAAAGTCAAATGAAGTTATAAGATTGAAATAAATTAAGTATGTAAAGAAAGTTCAGCCAAAAAACTAATCAAATAAATGAGAGAATCTCGTAACTTAAGTGTAGTAAAAAAAAAAAACATAAATTAATGAAAAAATGTGCATTTACTGAATCAACAACAATGTGTTTGCAAGGCTGTAAAAGAAACACGTTTGAAGGTGGCCTCGAGAGAAGGCTGCGGAAGACAAGTATTGCCAAGGTGTGAGATACCTATGAACTATAAACTCTATTAAATTCGTTGAATTTAAAAAATATTAGTAAAATTTACTAAAAATATTTACTATATTACATTTCTATGTAAAAATTAAGACTTTCAAGTGTCTAAGATTAATAATAAAATTTTGTATTAACACTTTTTTGACTTAAGATTATGAACCTGTACGTGAGAAACAAAAACTTAGAGAAAATTGGACTGTCATCAAAGTAAGTCTACGAAATATTGGACTGCCAAATAGGTGTTTTAAAAATTTAAATCATTATTATATTGTATTTTTCAAGTTTTTATTATTAAATTAATTATTTTTCTATCACTTTAATCTTTCATAATCAACGATTTGATATTTTAGATCTTCAAAGAATTCATATAATCAAAGATATTTTTTAAACGATTATATGAAATTTTTTTCTCAAAAAAATAAATAAAACTTCATAAGTGATTAATTGGATCCCATAGGAGATCTGATTTTAAAAACAAAAAAGGTAATGGGAAGAAGAAATCTCCTATTCTACCCTTCACAAAGTGGAGAAGAATGAAAAAAGCAATACCTATTCCCCAGGAGCTTATGCAGTTTAATTATGAGCTCTTCTTCATCAGAAGAAATGTTTCTTCTATCGATTGCTGGCTTCAGATAGTTCAGCCATCGCACTTTGCAACATTTACCACATCGGTTCAAGCCTATATGTATCATACAGAAAGCACAACAAACGAAACAAAATGAAAAATAAAATAAAATGAAAACTAGGAGGAAAATAAACGATGCATTGTGTACCAGCTCTTCTGGGAAGGTCACTCCAATTTCCTTCTCCATGGACTTCAACGTATTTCATGAGGATGTCGTCTTCTTCCGAAGACCAAGCCCTTTTTTTTTCACCGCAAGTTTCCATTATTTTGGATTTCTCTCTGTGATGTGAATGCATTTTGGTTATCCTTTGTTTGTTGCATTTGTAGCCATAAGAAGGAAAGAGAAAGACATTCACTTGGAATCACACCCCAGTCCAAAATAGTCCTACCATGTACAGCCACAAGTACCACGTGGTAAAGTTCAAGAGGAAATGAGTAAGTGTGGGTCTGAAAAGAAATAAAAATTAGGTTAAACTATCTCTTAAAGTAAAAATTACAATTTATAATATTAAATAAATTTATGTTTGAATGAATTTAATATAATTTTAAATATATATTAACAATAAAAAGAAAAATATATAAAATAACATAATAAAAAAAATTAAAAGTTATAAAATTTATTACAAAAATTTTAAGAAAAAACATTTTTTTTCAAAATTCACTAATATAAAAGATTATGAAACAATAGAATGATTTTTTAAAAATTATGTAAATAAATAATATAATATACTAAGATTTATATATTAACAACATTTATTATTATAAATTCAAATTATTTATATTAATAGTTTAATTTTTGTTATTAACAAATATTTTTTTTAAGGCCATCATATGTTAGGTGGCGTGCACCTTTCAGAAATTGATGAATATCACTAATGTATCATTTACTTTAGCAAATGTCCCACTCACATCATGAATTAATAGATGAGACAGAGGCAGCATCAAGTGGAAATTGTTTTACCTTGATGGTGAAACCGGCAGTAACTTTTTAGCTTTTGGTTGCATTAACATAAGTACTCAAATAATTAATCGGGGAAGTACCATATTTCCATTACTGAGAAGAGGACCCAAAAAAAAAAAAACGAAAGGAAAGTCAGAGAGAGAAATGATGAGTTTTACAAAATTTATTGACTTCACAAAATATATGTATTTTTTTAATAATGCACCTCTCTTATCACAGGGGAAAGTTATTTTTTATGCCAACAAAATTTTTGCCGGACACACAGCAAGATCATGTCTTCAAGTAATAATATTTCAATATAGAAAAATATAAGTTGACACTCACTTTGTAAATGTTAAATGGATTAACAAATTTAGAGAGATAAGAAAAAAAAGAATAAAAGAGAGAATAAAAAATATATAATGAGTGATATAATAGAAAATGAAGAGATAAAAAGAATTTTAAAAATAGATTTAAGAAAAAGAGGAGTGTAAAAATATAAGAACTGTTCAATATAATATATTTGTGCAAAAAAGAAGAAGAAGAAGTAATATTTGACAACATAAAAAATAATAAATATTTGTAGGGTTGACGACTATGATATAATAGATGAGGTTAAATTACTGTTTGTTTTATATGAAGACATGTACTTGCATTTTGTATACTATCTATTCTACTAGTTTTCTGGCACAAAAAAATGGTATTGATGATTAATAACAACAAATCCGGGTGCTTATCCCAACTAGTTACATTCATTGTGTTGAGTATTTCACTCCTTTACATGTGTTAAATAGCAAGATAGCTTTTGTTTAACTTCACTACTTTAGGTTTGATGACATGGTGTGGAGTTTCCGTAGGCTTGATTATGAAGGAGTTTATTGAGCAACTCGGAGATCGAACAGCATGTTTGTGCTTGCTAGTTTGTTATTGTTTTGCTTCTTTTCAGTCTCCTTCCTCAAATAAACTCATCATTGGACCAACAAAAACACTTAAAAGAACTATACACAACATTATTTTATGTAATGGGAATGAGCCAATTATATACTGAATGAGTTATCCTGGTCATCAAATAGACAAATACATCATCTCCTTTTACATAAAGATGGTAAGTAAGAGAATGTGAAGTTTGGGATTTAACTCGAGATAGGGTGTGTGTGGGTTCCAGAAAAGAAAAGCAAACATGTTGAGTAGCAAGCATGAGTAAATAAATCCCACATTAAATAGAAATAAAAACATTATTAACCTTAAGGTTTTAGATTAAATGTGTTATGTAAGTTTAATTATATTACTTCTATATGATTTATTGACAAGAGATCTACTCTCATATCAAAGCTAATGGTTCATTTAAGGATATGCTCACTGGATGAATGAAGAAGAAAAAAAATATATTTTTTGCTTATTTGGATGAATGAAGAAGAGATTGAAAGTAAATAAATAGAATATACCAAAAAAATATATTTTATAATAATAATAATACAAAAATAAATTTAATAAAAAGTTAAGACTTTTAATGTTATAATTTTCTGTGTAGTTTTATTTTTAGAATTATTTAACACCAAATTAAACATAAATAAAAAAGAAAATCCGGCCCCTCATAATGTTCAAATCAAGCTGCAATGAGAAGATGTGGTAGTAGTACAGATTTGTTACAGTAACATGGCCTAGACTAGCTTTTCGATAAACAAGATATGCTAATTTATGTATAATATAGGTTCACACAGTGGTAGGCCTTGAATAAAATTCTTAGAACACCCAAAAATTTTGTAAAAGCCTTTTTTTGTGCCAGCGGGATTAATGTTAAAATATCATTAAAAACACAATTTTTGACATGATTAAAGTTCTAATTAATTCCTAATAAAATTTTAGGTAGACATGTCAGATTGATTCCTTTTAGACTAATATGTTTCACTAAAAATAATTCTAGATACATCATTGCCAAACATTTATATGATATTTGGGTGGTAATTTAATTTATGGCATTGTTCTCCAAGTTTTCTCACCCATTATTTTTGTAATTCAAACTATGATTCTATTTTGGATATTGCAACTTGCAAGTCCATTACAACTATTTCTTTTTCCTTGGAACTGTTTGATGATTTTGATTTAAGAAACAGCATGTTGTCTCTTGAACTTGTATAGATGTTGAGTATAGGAGTTTAGTAAGTATGCTAGTAGAACTCACTTGGACCCATTCCCTTTTGATTGATCAGTAATGTTTTGTCACCATGAAACCTCTTCTGATTCTATTTTGGATATTGCAACTTGCAAGTCCATTACAACTATTTCTTTTTCCTTGGAACTGTTTGATGATTTTGATTTAAGAAACAGCATGTTGTCTCTTGAACTTGTATAGATGTTGAGTATAGGAGTTTAGTAATTATGCTAGTAGAACTCAGTTGGACCCATTCCCTTTTGATTGATCAGTAATGTTTTGTCACCATGAACCTCTTCTTCTTTCTTTTGAAGGAGGTCTCGAACGAGAGGGCTTTGGTATACAAATATAGTTATTTTATAGAAATATTTTTTAAAAAAAATAGGAAGAAGAAAAATAATAATAGATTGCGAAATCTTTCCAAAATGAACGTGTAATTATAATGCAATAACATTGTGTACCAGTGGTTTTGGGAAGGTGACTCCAATTTCCATCTCCATAAAGTTGAACGTGGTTCATAAGGATTTGGTTTTCTTCAGAAGAGCAACCTCTTTCTTTTCCACAACAGGGCTTCGTTTCCATTTTGGGTTCCTCTCCATGCTAACTGAAAATCCCTTGTGTTTGTTTATCTTCGGTTTATTACATTTATAGGCATAGGAAAGGGAAAGGAAAGATATTGTCTTGGAAGAAATTACACACCAATCACCAATCTTTAGGATAGTCTCTCTCTGCAATATTTCTATATATGAATTGCCTCGTGCTGGAAATCTATAACTAGCCCCTCCACCTACTTTGTCAGTGTCTTCGCTATCACTGTTCTCTATTCTACAGGATAATTGCATTCTTTAAATATCAAATTATTATTCTTGTATTGATCTTTTTTTAGTGTAAATAGCGTATTTTGTTTTACAAAAGACAACATTATTTGAGCTGTAAAGTACTTATGTCACGATTAAGTTAACTTTTTTAACCATAAAATTTGAATATATAATCTTATTTGAGAGAAATCAAATAATATAATATTGATATAAAGAGTAAATAATATCATACATTTTTAATATTTTTAGTCTAAATTATAAATATCCTTTACATAAAATAATTTTATTTGAGTTTAATAAGATTATTTTATGAGATTTTTTTTCAAAATTTTTAACTAAACTATATATCTAAGACACCAACTCAAATTCTCAAATTAAATTAAATTAAATTTTATTAATCAACTGTGATGATTAAAAGGTATTGCAATTGATAAGATAAATTATATATTTATTCTGTAAAAAATATTATAATCAATAAACGAGACTACTAAATTAAAACAAAAAATAGAGGCCGAAGGAATAATGATAAGAATCATTTTAAAAATTATTTTTTAAGAATTTATTACAATTTTTTTAGTATAAAAAACAAATAAAAGAAACAAATTTCCAATTGATGCCAAAGAAAAGCATTTAAACTATCAATAACATATGAGGCAACAATCAGAAGCTGCAGTTTCAACCGCAACCATATTATTGTTCAACAAAGCAACACAAACACAGATAAAACACACACATGTAAAAACCATAAAACAACTGAGAACGCACATTAACATAACCTTATAAAATACAAATTATGGCACCACATAATCAATCACCACCATACTCTCCACGTGCTCCTTAACCTTGTTAACCAACCCTTCGTTCCAATCCACACCCTCCAATTCCCTCTTTCCCGGAAAAATCGCAAGCGAAGCTATCGAAAAACCCTTCGCTCTCTCCGGCGTGATGTTTTCCCCGCAAGAGAATTGCCCAATTCCTCTCACACTGTCCTTCATTCCTCGTACTGCACCCAAAACCTCGTCCTTAACCTCGTCTCTTTCTCTCACTTTCAAGAAACTGATGCGGAGGGCCGAACCTGTCGCCGGCGGCGGAAGGGATGGATCACCGGCGACCCAATCGACGACCATGAGATCGTCGATGATGGGTAAGAGGAACTCCCTTGCAGTGCCAATGTGGTTAGGATTCGCGTTGTAGGCTTGTAGATCCTCCTTGGAGTTGTAACGGCTGTGGAGCATGTGTGTGAAACGGAGATCCGACGTTGTTGTGTTGGCTCCATTATGGAGTAGTGGGCCCACCGTTAAGTGGAGGACGCAGTCAAGGTTCGCGAGGGAGTTAAGCGCGTTGAGCATTGCGTTGACCTTGGAGGGTTCCGTGTCGTCTTTCACCTTGACGAGGACGATGTGCTCCACCACGCCTTGTGTTGAGGACATTCTGATGGAGAGTCGGGTTCTGAATTTCGGATGGCGGTGGTGTTTGGAAGGTGAGAAAGTGAGGGAAAATGATGGAATTGCTTTCAGACTCAGATCTTGTGACGGTGGGAGACAGGTGATCGAAGTGAAGATGAGATGAGTGCGTGTTTCACGTTGCCTTTTTAAGGTTGCAACTACCCAAAGGATAAGAGTGTTCCCTGTTTCCAAGTTGTTGTATTTTGTGGCTACTTTTTTTTTTTATATATGATTTTATTTTTTTAGAATTCAAAAAATATGGAATTTTTTTAACATTACCATAACATGAATGGCGATTTTTTATGCAGTACAAAAATTTAGAGATAAAAAAAAAGTGACAAAATTTTTAAAGTTGCATGATAATTTTTAAAAAATATATTAAAATTTTAAAAAAATTAAATCATCAATAGCGATTTTTAAAAAATAATTAAATATTTAAAAATTACATCAAAAGTCGTAATTGATAATTTTTAATTTAAAAATCGTCATGGTAATTTTTAAAAAATTATATTTTTGTAATTTTATAAAAAATTTCATATTTTTTGAATTTTTAAAAAAATTTATATATAAAAAAATGTTCCATTTCTTGTTCCTTTTATGAATTTTTTAATGTGTTTAAGGATATATAATAAAAATTAATAAATAATCACATTTAATATTATTAATATATTAAACTTTAAATTTTTTAATAATTTCTAATTAAAAAATTATATAAAATTTTAGTATATACTTTTAAGTAAATATTAAAAAAAACAAATTATTTTATTTGCAAAGTTTACAATGCCTGGGCACTTTTATATTTTTGGTAATGGGATCTTAGGCACTTAGTTTATTGTTTTGCACTTGTTTTTTTGTCAACAGGAACTTGGGTTGAATAATTCAGTTAGGTCGGTATCAATGGATCATAGGTACATTTCTTGGGGAAAAAAAGAAAAGAAAAGAAAAAGAGGTCATATATGTTCACTCCAACATTTTGGGCTGGTTTCCTTTATCCCCCTTCAGTCTTGTTAGCACTGCGTGTTGATATACTATAAAATCAAAATCAGTGTAGTCATGCAAAGTAGTTCGTGATATTTTATATATATATATTTCTTTTTACTTTTGAATTGGCTACTTGCCTGAAGACCATAACTTAATTTGGATTAACTTTTAGATTTTGAGAGTTTTTCATTTAAGGTAAATATTTAACTTTTATTTTATGAAAAATTCTTTGTATACAGTTTGAGTTTAAAGAGGTAAAAATATGTCTTTAATTAATATACTAAAAACTATATAACTTTACAAAATCATTAGAACTTCAACTAACGGCTTTGGGACACGGTAGGATTCCAAAGGATGAAACCTTGTAGATGGACTTCCATCATTTTGAAATAGCTCCAGCATATGTAAATTCGCAAGTTCCTAGAGCACAGATAAAAAGTTTGTGGTTCATGGTTCAATCTGAGTATGGTAATATAGCAATTCTAAGAACACTACCAACTAACGTTTTCATCCTAATATGGAGAAGACAACATAAAACATGAATGTGTAAACAGGGCAAGTAGACAAATTAATGACCCTAAGAAAACATGTAATACAGTGAACATAAAAAAGTGCCCACTTCCAATGATTATTTACAGTAAGATGCTCATGAGGATTTGCAGAAGTTGCAATAGAAAAAACTAAAGAAGGATAACAGCTCCCTATGCTTATTCACAGTAAGAGTCCAACAGCACTATAAAGACCAAATTTAAATGCTAAAGTCATGAAACTGACCCTACTTGTTAGGACATAAGACATTTGATACCCTAAGTTTTGATGGATAACAAATATACATATGATTAGATTATTTGTTGTAAAGAGGCATTTGAATTATGTCTAATATACTAAAACATGCGTTTGATAAAATAGAGTTTAACTAAAGAATCTTGAAAGTATCTTTTGAAAGCTTTCTTAACACAATTCTGAGATGTCAAGGCATAAGTCAACTTTCTACAAAGAAGATTTCTTAAGCTCCATCCTTAAAAGTACAAAAAGGATACGTGACGATAAGACATTTTTACCATCGTGCACTTTACTTATTCCAGAAGGGAGAGTTCTCCAAAAGGTAGCTGAAAGTTTCTATGATGTTTCTACTGCACAAGGAGATTTAAATAAACTTTTTGCATGTGAAGATAAGCTCCATAATCTAATTGAATTAAATGCAATCTTCAACTTTCCAAATTGTTTTACAATATTGCTAAAATCAACAATAGTTTCTAGCGTCTCTCGACTTTAATATTATACTCCTTCTACTATTTTTTTATAAGGTATCTTTAACTAAATTGAACAAATTAGTTAAAGTAATAGAAGTTAATTTTTTTAAAAAAATATAAATTATTAATTTTATTCTCATTTAATATAATTAAATTTAGTCAGACTATCAATATTTAACTTTATTAAATTTTAATTTAAGTTTCTATCTATTCCATTTATTGAGAAAGATTTAAAACAATAAATACTTCATAAAAATTATAAAATACATTAATAAGAACTACTAAAACATTCAGCACAATGTCTCAAAAAATATGAATGGAGGAAATAAAAAGAAGATGGAGATTTAAATGCTACTAGATATTCAGAAACCACAACATTCTATCTGTGCATTTACTCCTAATTCTTTAATTCATTTACTCTGTATTTCGTATACATAGTTGTGGAGAGGAAAATACTTGAATTATCTTGTTCATTTATTATTCTCTTAGGGATAAGTATTAGCTTAATTTATTTATTTGTCTTTTTAAAATACTTGGAAGGTGGGTGAAATATAAAGAAACTTTAAAAAAATGAGATTGAGCTTAGAGATAAAAACTTGTAAATGAGGGTGTGGATATAAGAATACTATTTTATAATAAAAAATATTGTGATAAAAGATTAAACTTAATTAGGTTTTAATGTATAAGTTTTTATGAAAAAAATTTCATCATAAACTTAAACAATCCAGTATTTCCAGTACTTCTGTTCCCTTCTTGTCATTAATGTTACCAAATTACTTTCACTTGTACTATGATTTCCAATGTAACAACTCTTCATATTTTTTCTGTCTTTGGCATTTAATTATATATATATATATATATATATATATATATATATATTTGTTTCATCTTTTAAAGTCTTATATCTAATAAAATTTATAAACATTCACCTCTTCCAACTTATAATGTAGTGAGCCTAACAATATTGCAAAGTTGAGTAGCACATAAATGAAACAATATTCTAATAAAAATAAAAAAATCTCGACCCCATTTTTCTTAACTCAAAATATTGAACACTAGTTTTGTGTTTGTTATTCTTCTTTCTTTTAAATTGATGACTCTTATTTTTATTTTTCTTTCTGCTCCAAAATTTGTAGCTGTTTATTTTAATTCCCTCCTTAAGATGGGTACAAACTCTAATTATTATTGACCAGTAAATTTGAGGCTTCTTTTTTAATTTAAGAAAATGTGTTTTGTATAACTAAAGAAAGTTTATCCATTTAATTAGATTTGAATCATAATCCACAAAAATCCAATGTCGATGTGAGAACCCCGTTTACATTCTATAGGAACCTCTAAGCGCCTTTTAAGCATTGAGGCATACCTTGACCTTAGTGAGTGAACCCTTGGGACTCAATTCATTTAAAACTTCTCTTACTTTTTAAAAAAAAAATTTAAAACATTACCTTATTTTTATTCTTTCTTATTTTAAAAAATTTGTAACAAAATAGTGAAAATAATATTTTCTTGTTTTCACTATTTTTTATACAAATTGTTAAAAATTTAAAATAAAATAAAATAGTAACATTTTTGTAATTAAATATTAGATGTTTATAAGGTTTTAAATTATTTTAGAAGTGATTTATGAATATTCTATGATATTTAAAATTAATTAAAGACATTTAAGTATTTTAGATAACTTTTTATTTAAAAAGATAGTTAAAATATTAATTATTTTTTTCTAAATTATAAATATCCTTCATTGAAGTCAATTATATTTAAATCAAATAAAATTATTGTGTCTCTTTAAATATTTTATATTGTTATATTCACTGAAGACTTAAATTTAAAATTATATATTAATTTAAAATAATCTTTCATCAACCGACACGTGCTCGATAATAATAAAAAATATTAAGTTAGAACATAAAATATATATTATAAAATAAAAAACATAATAAAAATATACAACACTGCTGTTATCTTACGCATAAAAATATTTAAAAAACTTATTTTATAAGTATAATATAATAAATTAAAATGAATATATTATACTTTCAACTAAAAGATTTATTTTAAAAATGTTATTTTTTACGCTTATTAATGCTATACAGCGCATCACCAAATATAATTAAATATTTTTTATATGAAATGAAAATTCATTTAACATCAAACTATAAATTATATAATATTAAAATTTTATTAAAACTTATATTATCATATTTAATTTTATTCTTCCAAAACTATTAATTATGCCTATTAGCAGACTTTTATGCACTGTCATGTGTCATATTTAATTTAGATTAAGATGTTTTTATATGCTTTATTTTTGGAATTCACAAAGCAATATCTATATGACGTAATTAAGTGTATAGATAGCGTTCTTATAAAAATTTAGTTAATCCCTTTCTTTTAAATTAACTTTAAATTAAATTTGATATATTTTTAATATGAAATTAAATTATTTAATATTCATACTATATTACTTACAAATATATAGTTTTATAAATTTTATGCGGATTAATATTATTGTTAAATTATCTCACATTAATTAAAAATATATTTACAATACATTTTATGAAATTAAAATAATTTTTCGTTTTTAAATTAAGTTTTAAAAACGAATTAGTTTCGATTTATTTAAAATTTTTAATAATACTGAATATGCATCATAACCATATCATTAATATTATAAACTATATTGTATAGAATGCTGCTAAATATTAGGACACAGTGGGGTTCGAGCTGAGCGTGACTGTCAAATCTTACATCCTCTCTCTCTCTCTCTCTCTCTCTCTCTCTCTCTCCTTTGTTCCAGATATTCCATTCCCTCGCCCATCCTTAACACACTCTGTTTGGTGGTGTCGTCTCCATCCCTCAATCTAACTCTTCTACCACAAAAAAAATGTTTCCAGTTAATAAGGTACGAACTTGAGAAAAATAATATATAATGTTGTCATGAAAATTACTATTAATAAACTAGTCAATGATTTATTTCATTGGAATTTTATATCTTCCAAAAAAAAAATGTGAATTTGGTTATCTCGTCCTTTTTTTTTATTTATTCTCTTTTGTGGCTCTTACATTGATTTTATCCATGCTTTTCTTGTTTCGCTGCTGTTTCCTTCTTCTGCGCTCATCTTTTTCTTCATCGAATAAAATATTCTCAGAAGATCTCTACAATTTAATGGGTTGGAGATGCGTTGGAACTCGGAATCGTCAAACCCATTTTTTTGCTTTTTAATTTTTTGTCATACCCAATTTCTGTTGCTAGATATTATGCTGCTGCAAGTTTTTCAAGTACGGTCTCCGATTCTATCTTTTATTAATGCCAAAATGGGTCTTTGCTTTTATTCAATGTATGTTCACAGTTTTTTTTTTTTTTTTTTTGTTCTAGTGTGTTCACAGAATTTGGTCAATAATCTTTTTCTTTGATTTTGTTTTCCGTAATTGTTTGGAAAAAGGTTAATGATATTGTCTGTGTAGCATAGCCTCATATGCTTTGCATCATTGACCTTTTTTAATTTCTGGGTCTTTAAGTTTAGGCAGCTATTTCCTGAGTACAGTATAAAAAAGTTCCCTTTTAAGGAAATGGGATCTGCTTTTCCCAACTCATAAAATAATAATAAAACTTATTACTATCAATAATATTAGTAATAATAATTTATGCTTATAGTTTGATTCCTCTGGAAAAGGAACTCATGGAGGTCATGATTTCTACTACAGAGTTTGTCTCATCTGCCCAAATGCCTTAAACAATTCCAAAACTGGTCATGTTTTGTCTCTCTGTTGTGGTTAGTGCAGGCCGGTACAGATAGGGGATATATTATTATGAATAAATTTTAAATACTAACTATATAGTATATTATTTTTCAATACTCCCTCACCCTTTGTTATCTCTTCTCATCTTCTTTCTGCTCATGATGCAGGGCTTGTAGTTTTGACTCGAATTAGCTTGACTCAAAATAGAATGGAAGGAGACACATTCTCTGGTCTTGGCAATGGTACCAACATTGATACCAAGATCTTGCATACATTTCAGAAGAGCTTTGTTCAAGTCCAGAACATCTTGGATCAGAATAGGTTACTCATCAATGAGATAAACCAGAATCATGAGTCCAAGGTTCCTGACAACCTTAGCAGGAATGTGGGCCTTATTAGGGAGCTCAACAACAATATCAGAAGAGTGGTTGACTTATATGCAGATCTTTCAAGTTCCTTTACCAAATCCATGGAAGTTACTTCTGAAGGGGACTCCAATGGTGCTGTGAATTCAGATGGGAAAGGTGTCCACAAGAGACACAGGCCTACATAGAGTGTGTTGCCTTGTGATTCTTTTGCTTGTTGAAGTACTACTTCACAATTGTGTTGAGGGTTAGAACACGAGATATGATTTTGTAGCTGAAAAAGCTCTATTTTTTGTATTACAAGACTTTCTCTAGCTGTTCATCACTTACTCTTCATATCTAAAGTGAAAATTCCTCTCATTGTAGCCTTGTAATTTTGGATCTAACAGAAATCAAGCATGTCTGTGCGACTAATTCAATCATGCTGCTAATGTTCAAAATAAGAAAGTCATTTTTTTTTTAATTTAATGCGGTTTTTCCTTTGATCTTGTTACAATGCATGTAACACTGACAATTTTAACTTCTATACTATGTATGTGTTTGAAAACACATTAAAAAGTTGTGAAATCAAACATGCCATATATTCACATTTATAGATTTTTCGAAAGGAATATGGGAGTTTTTTCTTGTTTATTTCCCCATTTTTTATGATGAGTTAAGAGTTAGATTGCCTTAGGTATGGCTTTCAGCTTCCATTAACTTCTTTCCTTGTTAAAAGGAGTTAAGGCCTAAAGGGTCTTCATCAATCTTTGCCCATCATTCTTTTTGACGGAAACTCGCATAATACTTATATTTCCTTTACAAGTTTAACTCAAAATGTTGTTCCTAGTTCTCACTTTTGCTAATAACTGAAATTGAGAAAGGGATTGCAGAAACTGTTTTAGGCCCATTTTCATGTAACCAGAGCATTTTTAACAAAAAAATACTGTTCCAGATTTAATATTGATGTGTGTTGTTGGGGGTGTGGGAACTGAGAAAATAGTACATACACGAATACACATGTGTGAAGATGCCTGAAATAGTGGGAAGAAAGCAGCTTTAGGTAAATTTTTTTGGTTCGGGATCACACAGCACCACAAGAACAGAATCTCAGATAAGAAACAATGTGCTTTTGACAATTTTATTTTACTTTTTAATCTTTATACCCAATGAATGTAAAGTGACAGTAAGTTTCGGGCATTTAATAAGGAGGCAGATTTTTATTTTTTTATTTTATTATTATTATTATTATTATTATTACATGCCTTGTATCCACCCAAGAGAAGAAAAAACAATATATTATCTTTATTTCTATTTAATTTTTTTAGAAAGAAAATGAAAACTTAATTTGTATTTGTTTATTTACATAGAAGTTTAAAAATATTAACTGTTGTTTTTTTTATAAATATCTTTTATATTCTTAAAGATATTTATTAAGAAATTATTTACAGTGCAAGTGCATTTAATGATTTTTTTATATATTTTTATTTTGTAACTAATATTCTTGTCATACCTCTTTTACTCTTCTAAAAATTTTAAGTGCAAAAAGTAAAGTAATTATATTAATTAAGTAGCCCAAAAATAAAAAGTGTACACTAATAAAAGATAAATTATCAAAACAATATAAATTTTTAATTATAATTTTTAGTCAGACAAATAAAAATAATATTTAATAAGTAATGTGATAAAAAAAATTTACAAGGATATAAGATGATTATGAATAAACTAAACAATGACCCCAACAACATGACAAGGGAGTGTGAGGGGTCCAAAGGTTCTCTTTTGGGATGGAATTGAACTTCTCAATGGTTATCCCTCCATTCTCAGGTTCTTACTTTTTTACCTTTACTTTTTCCATTTCCCCTTCCTTTTTATTCTTTATGCAATAAATGTCCTCAGTGACAAACCTTGTAGACAATAGTTGATAATAATTCTCTAGTTTGGATTTCTCTCTCTCTCTCTCTCTCTGTGTGTGTGTGTGTGTGTGTGTGTGTGAGATTGAGGAGAAGTCTTTGATGCTGTTGGTGGACCCAGTGAGTGGCAGGCTAGTTTCCTAATCTTAGGAGAGAGACCCACACGAGTGATTGCTAAAAATGGCCTCTTTCTGGTTTAGATTTTGCACATTCAAGCAGAGTACCTTTTTCTCATCTACAAAATTGATACATCAGTCCATACTCTATATTCAAAATCGATTCATTCAGAACAAACTATAATTGTGAGGCCATCATTTCTCCATTGGTCTTACACTCAGATATCCAATATTAAATATAATTTCGTTATTTGAATTCTTAAAATTAATATATGTATTATTGTATGTATATTTTTTTTTATAAACATTCTTTTGTTGAAAGATATCCCATTTAAGGTACTCAAAAACCATTTTTCTATTGAGTATCACTTGTCATATTTCATCATTCATACAAATAATAAAATATAATTATAAAGATTTCGTACACAAGATGTTGCGTGTACTTCGAAGAGAGTGCAAAATATAATGTGTTTTAAAACTTAATAGTTAACATAAACAAAAGTCCTTTTCTCTAAAATGAAAATAAATATTATGACTGCAAAATATTATGAAAATAAATATGTTAACCTTATCAACATATTGATTCATTATTCATGAACTAATGACTTTGTATGCTATCATATTCATGCACCTGTGCACAAAAGATGATAAGGTGATAATAACACTAAATTACTCCTTTCATGAACCATCCAAGGAGAATGATTCAGTCTTGTAAAATTAAATGCGGTAATAATAACACTATAAATTATTCCTTTAAAAATTATTATCAAATGACTAAATGTATCTTTTGATATAAATTACAAATAAATATTTAGTTAAATAAATCTTACAATATATAAATACTACATATAAAAATTAATTTTTATTTCTTATAAAAACTGTTATTTTTAATCTTTAAATTTAAATTTAACTAATTAATAATAATAATAATAATAATAATAATAATTTATTAAAAACATTTATTATACTTATATAATAAATATATGTTTTTTAAGTAAGAACTTGTTATTTTTATATCTTTAAACTCAATTCTAAATCTAAAAATTAACAAATGCTTCTTATAATTAAGACTAAAATATATTAATAATTAAATTTTTATAAACACTAGAAGGAGAAAAAGGAGTGGAAGAAAGGGTCTAAAAAATGCATATGCATGCAATGCTTGAGGTAATAATAATGGTCTAAAAATGAAATATAAAAATAGGTTTGGTCCCTACCCAAGCCAAGACAAATTAAACATTGTCTAGTACATAACATGTGCTGTGGGAATCTACTTTAGGCTCTGTTCCTTGCATTTCCAGCAAATAGGTCGGAAAGGAGGCCATCTCTAGTTAGCTCTTTCAAACCTTTTTGATAACAGCCTGTTGCTAATCAATGTTTAAGATTCTTGTTAAGAAATTGATAAATGTTTCTTTTATTAAAAAATGTTTACTCACATACTTTTAAATTTAGTAATAAACACTCCTTAATATTCACTTTCATGCAACTTATTGATATCTATATCTTTTGGATGCAATTTAGTAATTTGATTTTAAAAAAACATTTGTAACACACTTCCTAACCATAGTCTTTAAGTGAAAGATTTATACTAAAATATCATTCATGAATGTATTTTTCAATAATTTCTAATGCAGTGAAACGTAGTTTGTTTAGTTTATTAATTGCTTAACTAGTACTTAAAAATAATTAGCAAGACCCTGTTAAGTTATATATTTAAGAATATTAATAAACTTTATGAAGTTGACCTCAGCTTCTGATTGGCGAATGGTGACGTCAAACAAACAAATGTTCCTTAATTGGGTTTCAGTGATTTATTTATATTTGGATGATGGATGATGTTTATAAGTGATGTTTCACCTGTCAATATAGGCAACACAAGTCTTCAGAAAAGTTCATCATCCTTTTTTGAGTGCAAAATTGTATTCGAAGCTTAATTAAATCCTGAAATCGTAAATTGGATTTTCTTATTTAATCCATAGATGCTTTGCCTAATAATATAAATTATTTTTAATTTATAAAAAAATATAATTTATTTTTTAAATGTGAAAACAGATTTAGCAAAGCTCTATTAATAATTTTTTATATGTCTCCAAAAAATTATAATAAAATTTTATGTATAATAATTTTTAATAAAAATTATAAAATACAACAAAATTTAATATATTGGTATTATTAAATATTATTTATTAAATTATTCAATTTTTTATTGAGTAATTTTAGACACATATTAGAAATAATTCATAATACTATATATATATATATGGAAGTATCCAAATTCTTCCTCGACTTGTTACCAAACTAACGGAAGCGGCGAAGAGGGAAGCGGAACGAGATTTGTGTGCTCTTAACAAAGAAAGCAATTCAATCAATACCATAGTCGCTGATATTAGGTTGAGGCTTTTCGTTTTCCTTCTGTTCTGTTTTTTCGCTCTCTCTCAAATCCGTTTCGTGCTTCCTACTAGTAGCTATTGCTTGCATACTCTGTTACTTGTGCCACCAAAAATTTGGATAATTCATGGGCGGGGGGAGATTGAAATGTGGAATTAAAAGGTTGGTTTGATTGGACTCGTGTTAATAGGTTCGCTTATAAGGTGTTTGTGATAATGCCTCAATAATGAAAATATTTAAAAATAGAAATTTTATTGCTATTGGGATTGAGAAATTGATTTGGTTCTGACCTGTGTTTGTGGAAAAGCCTCTCTTTGGATTTGTACTGTTCCTTCAGTGGTGGCTCGTTAGATTCATATCCCTTTGTCTTGGGACATCTATTAGTACATAATGTGTATTCTTATTTGTTTCTATTTTCATTTTGAAATTTTTATTTATAACTACAAAACTGTCATTATGTTTTCTTCTTGTTATTTTTAAAATAAATGAATTTTAGTTATTAATTAAAACCAATTCCCCAAAAGTAGGGAATTTGACTACAAGTCTAGCATGCATCGAGTTTATGGGCACTGAATCAAATCAGCTCACACAGTGCCAGTTAGAATCTAATTCTTTGTGGAACTGTTATGCACTAATGAGTGGTGCCTTTATGTTGTTAGAGATGTGATAACGTAAAATTATGTGTTCACATACTATAAAGTTTTGGAATAGTTAATGGATAATATTAAGAGGATTAGAGTTTGATCCTTAGATTGTATCATCTACACTTTAGGTTCAAAGAACTCTTGATGTAATGACAATTATTTGTGTTTACTTAAGTTTTCGAGATAGTTGATTAATGAGATATGTGACAGGTAGTTAAGCAAATGGTGCTGTGTTTTCCTTCAACACCTAAGAAATTGGCCATGACCATCGCATGCTTTCTCTCTGGTGCTGCCATTTTTACTGTTGGGGGCCACCTTTCTTACCTCAATGCTGCACCACAACAAGCTCGAATCAAAGCTCGCAAGGATTTGGTCTTGGAGACGTTGAAAAGGAAGTATGGTTACATTCCCCCACAGGAAGCCCGAAGAATGGCTCGCAATGATTTGGTCAAAGAGACATTTAGTAACATTGGGTTTAAAAAGTAAGAGAGGTCCTAAAAGATTTGGTATTCATTCTTGCTCCTTTGTACTCCTTTCTCTTTTTGATTCCTAAAAGAATGTGAGAATAAATGCTTATTGCCAATGCTAGTAGCAACCATACCTCAATGTTGTTCATAGTAACACCTTACTAAGTTTCTGCTATGTTTATAGTTCCACTTTTATCTCTCTCTTTTTTTTTTTTTTGGGTCCAAGACTATTTATTTTTCTTTGTGATTCCTTCCAAGTGCCACGTAGATATTTAGAGTCTGTTTCTGTGTAAAACACCTTAGGACATTAGGACATGCGTGGGTGGAGGACCGGAGAAAATAGAAGGACAAATTAGTTTTTAATTTTAAAATCAGTTATAAAATATTTATAAAAATAAAAGCAATCATTGAAATAATAATATTATTATTATTATTATTGAAAAATCACGGATAAGGGGAATGCTTACCACGGATAGCAACTTAAGGGATGTTTAGTTTACTTTTGGTTGATGAGTTTTACCAAAAAAGGAAAAAAAAAAAGAAAAATCACTAAGAAGAAAATGAAGCGTAATAACCTAAGTTCTGAATTATTGTTATGGTCGCAGTCATTACGAATTAATATTGCGAATGTATATGATTTTAGAAGAAAAAATAGTTTAGAATCATTTAAACTAATTACTTTGATTTGGCTTAGTGTTGAATAAAAAATTTACAAAATTCACTGGATAAAGAATGCATTGGTTCAATTTGCGTTATAAAGTTGATAACTTATATAAATATTCCTAAATTCTAATTTTAAAAATATAAAAGATTGATATGTTATAAAAAATACATAAATTTCTTATTAAAAAACTAATAATAGCTCTTTAATTTAAGATAAATAAATTTATGAAATTCACTGTTTATAAATAGTTTATAGTTTATATTAAATGGTAAATTCGAAAACTTATACTATTTAATAATTTTTTTATAGAATACAAGGTTAATTAATAAAATTGTTGAATTATCTTATATTATTTTCATTATCATGTATATTAAATTTTATAAAATTTGATGATCTGTAAATATACTATTAAAAATTAATATTTATTTATATTTTAAAAGAATTTTATAAATTAAGATAAAGTAATGTAATTGAGTAACCATACTATTTTGATTAACATTATTTTTTTCTTTTATTTTATTTAATAAAAAATTTTCATTAGAATTAAAAAAAGAAGTAGATTGCATAGATCAAATTTGTCTTCACCATAAAATATTGATATGCATTTTTTAAAATCAAATTAATGAAACTTACCTAAGATTAACAATATCCCAAGAAAGAATAAATTGATTAAAATACATTAAATAAATTTTATTAGAATCTATTTATAAATAATTTTATATCTCAAAAGTTTGAAAGATAAGTTAAAACAATCAAAGTAATTTGAATAATTTTTTTTTTAAATTAAGTTAGTTTGAAAAGGTTTACTTTTGAAGTTCACTTTAGGCTAAGACAAATATTGGGTTTGCTCAAGTGAAGAAATCGATTTCATTACCAAAACAATTAACTGTTGACAAAAAAAAATAAAATTATATTTTGAAAATCCTCAAAGTCCCAAAACAATTTTAAAATTTAATAGAATGTATTGTGTTTTCAATTTTATTATGTGTAAATTTTTTTTTGAGCTTTTAATAAACACAAACTACTACTAGGGAACTCCCTGAAGACTCTGGAGTTTGTGACACTTCGTGGTGATAGTAAAAGGTTACGATGGATCTTATGTCATGAGCTATTTTATTTAATTTTCAATTGTCAGTAGTGATCTTATTGTAATTAATTAATAAGATTAGAAGGTAACATAATCATAGAATAATTGAGTTTAAATTGAGATATTCATAACATAATCATAGTAACACTTTTACGAGTTTTATTTGGTACACAATATTCAAAAACCAATATCTTAACGAAGAAATTTTAAATATGTTCCACTTAAAATAACCACTCTTTCATAAAATCATGTTTCATCATTTGATACAAAGTTTAAAATATAACTAAGGTTCTTGCTAACTAAGTACCTTAAAGTCAATGGTTAAGAACTAAAAAGTGATATTTTTTTTTTAATTAAAATCATATTGAGATGCATTGAAAATCATAGGAAAAGGTGAATTAGTAGCAATCTTGTGAGTGTGTTTGGTAGCAAGCTTATAGCTTTTTAGGGACTTATAGTATTTTTTTTTCAATAACTAGTAAAGTTTTTTTGGTGAAAAAATAAATAATCAAAGAAATTTTAATTTTTGAAAGCTAAATTATGAAGTAACGTTAGCTTATTGAAAATTACCTATTAATATGTTTTTCTATTTTTACTCTTAACTTTTAAAAATAATCTATATTCAAATAAAAATCATCCTAATATTTTTATTTTTATTTATTAAAGTTATGTTTAGTATAGTTTGTTTAGAAATTTATAGTTTTTAAAAATAAATTAGTAAAACTATTTGATAATAACAAAATAGGAAGAGTTTATAACTTATAAAAACTAATTTTAAACAGCTTGTTGAAGTAACATTAAACTTATAACTAATAATAATTTTATCTTATATTTATTCTTATTTTTTAAATAAATTACAAATCTTAAATTTCTCTCTCTTCATTTAATTCTAATATTATATTATATATTTATTTTATTTATTTAATATATTTTAGATAATTTTATCAAATAAATCTAATTCAATCAATTACTTATAAAATATAAAGGTTTTAGATATAAGTTATAAGCCTCTCTTTGACTTATTACGTTATACATTATAAGCTTTCAACTAGTTTTATCAAATACAGGTCTAATATATTTTAACTGGTTATACAACTAATTTTATTAAATATTTATGAGATGCATTTAAATAATAATTTAATTAAACATTTATTCAATAAAATTTTATTGTATTAAAGGTTTATATTATAAATATGACCGTGAAGGGTTTGTATTATAAATATGAGTATGAAACTTATTAACACGAGAAAAAAATATTTATTTTGACAAGATATATAAAAGAAGTTATTGAAATAATTTTTTTTTAAAAATTATAAAAGTTAAAAGGATAATTTCATAATCTCTTTTCAAAAATTATTTTAAATATAACCTAAGTTAAAAGGAATTCAAACTTGAGACCACGTAAGCTGGAACAACTCCCTATTAATTGATTCACATGTTTAGTAGTAGTTAATTATAAATATAAATGTTAAATTATAATTTTTTAAATAATTTTTTTAATTTGTGTTCTTTTAACCGGCGAAACACTAGTCAACATTTGTCAATAATTAAATCAAATTTTGTCCGCATTTAAAGAGTTTAGGTGACATATATTTTAATAAAAAAATATATAAAAACATATAAAATAATAATTAATTTATTGATTTTGAGAATAATTTAATGAGATAAATTAATTTTTTTAGAGCATTAAATGAAATTATTTGGCAATTCAAAGATCTGTTGACTTTAAGAATCTATAATCAATATAGAAAAATAAAAAAAAATGTATATCATTAAATTCACTGTTAATTAAACGTACACATTTATTTGTTTTCTGTAAAATATTATTTTAGTTTGAAGGTTTACAGTCAAATTAGGATCGAAAACACTTAAAAAAATAAAAAGTGGGTTGTTTGACCATTGACACCCAGTTGCCATTAGTACTGCTTTAACTCTTGGATACGTTTCAGTTTGAATGTTTTAATGTGAAGAAACTCTTTCAATATGTTCAATCTACATATGTTTGTGGTGAAAATTTTGACTTGATCTCACACTTCACCTTGGAAAGTTTCTTTAAGGAATAAATTCTGGTGAGAGATATTAACTTTAATTTGATTTTTTTTTCACAAACTAGTTTTTACACCTCTCTATGATTTTTTTATTACATTATACGGTACATGATAAACTTTTACTTCATAAAAAATATTTTTTTTTCTTTGTAACGTAACCATCTCATAAAAAAAATATTTTTTTCTTTGAAAGTTTATGTTTTTTCATTCTACTAAGAGTATTTCAATTTCATACCCCACATAGGCCTATGACAAATTATTCTAATCTGACCAGTCTTGACCAATTTGTGTATAAATGAAGACACAGGAGTGAGGACTCACACTTGCTAGAAGAAGCCTTGGTAGTTGTTGGCATAGAGAACATGGATTCTTCAAGCATTATGTCCTCACTCTTAAGAGCACTCACGGTTCTCCTTTTCCCTATGTTTCTAACCAGAAATGAACATTATTTTGAGCTTGAACTGTTAGAAAATTATATGGAAATGGAGATTCAAGAACAAAGGGAGCAAAATGAACCTCATGAAGATGAACCGGCTGGCCAAAATACAACGAAGGACAATGTCCATAAATGGTTTGAGCAAGAAATTGATTCGAATGTTAAGTGGTGCTTGGCTTTAAACAGGTATGTATGATATTGATTTTCTCTTATGTACAAGCTACCCCTTTTATGTGTAGATTTTGGTTGATCTCATAACGATGAATTTTGCATGTTCTCTTAGAGTGGTGTTTCAAGGGGCAAGTGAGTTCCAAAATCTAATTGTTCTTGCTACAAAGCGTTTCGGACAGGTATGTTTTCTTGCTGTCGGTTTTTGTGACACATAATTTTGTGATAAAATTACACCTTTATCTTTATTTTCCAACCAACGGTTTCATTATCATATATACTTTCTTTAGAAAATTTTCATGAGACAAACGTAGCCTATGTTTTCATCAAGCTCCACCACCACACACATTTCTAATCTTCATGCACTTTACCTCTTGACGCGTACACATCCAATTTGTTTTTTTGTTAGTGTGTTGCTCTCGTAGACAAGCTCGGTATGTTCAAGTTGCTGTAACAATTCAAATGCGTTTTTTTTCCTCCAAAGTCCAAACATAGATAAATTAATTAAATGAATCACTACCTATATTGTAAACAGATAAATTAATTGTTTAATTTATTGTCTATTATGTGCAGGCTCTCGTGATTGATGGGCATTTGCAAAACACAGAAATGGACGAATATATTTACCATGAAAGCTTGGTCCATCCTGCTTTGTTAATGCATAATGAGTATGGATATACTTCTAACTATATATCTATAAATGGTTTTTATCCCATATATGATTATATATATATATATATATTATATTCTAACCAAGTAATGACTTACTAATAATAGACCCAAAACTGTATTTATCATGGGGGGAGGTGGAGGATCTGCAGCTAGAGAGGTACTCAAGCACAACGACATTAAGAAAGTGATAATATGTGATATCGATAGTGTAAGTTCTTCATATAGAGATTGCGTCACATTCATTGTTAATTGGTCATACAGATTTTAATTGAAAGTTCTTTTATACTAATTACTTGTTGACCCCAATTAAATGTTATCCACAGGAAATTGCCAATTGGAGCCGCCGGTATATGACGTCAAACCATGAGGCATTGAATGACGAGAGGCTTCGAACTGTTTACAATGATGCAAAGTGAGTAATTTCGTTCTTTTCTTTTTCTTTTTTTAGTTTTCAATTAGTTGGGTTACACAGTTCAATTGCACTCAAGTTCATTTGTAGACGAGAAAATTACCAGTTGAATTTGGTGACAATTCATGAGATCTTTCATTGTTATCTGTGTAGGTGTTATATTAATTACATTTCCTCTTTCTATCTTTTCATTTATGCATGAATTAAAATAACGTAGAGGTATTTGATTATGACTAGATTAAAAGATTTTAGTATGATTTACTCTTAAAAAATTAAGGTACGTGTTTATTTATTACATACAGGGATGAACTGGAGAAGTCTGAAGAGAGGTTTGATGTGATAGTTGGAGATCTTCCTGACCCAAATGAATCAAAGCCTTGCAATAGCCTCTACACAAAATCCTTTTATGGGAATGTTGTCAAACCAAAGCTCAAGGAGAATGGTATCTTTGTCACTCAAGTAAGCCATATTTGATTGTTCATTTTCTTTTCTTTTTTGCTTTTTTGTTTCCAAATGAATGAACATGAAAGAATCAGTTCCTAGCCAGATTGCGAGAAATCACTTAGGTCACACAATTAAAACTATTAAACCCAACATTCATGTATACACAGGCTGGTCCTGCGGGGATTCTTACACACAAGGCTGTATTCTCTCCAATATACAACACCATAAAGCAAGTTTTCTCTTGTAAGTGACAATTCCCTTTAGCCATTAGAGATGCATAGTATTGCTTTTACTATTATTATAATTGTTGACTAATTAATAAACATATATCTTGACTCTTATGTAGATGTGATTGCATACACAGCTTTGGTGCCATCCTATGGAGATTCGTATGGATGGATCATGGTGAGAATGAAAAGCAAATAATTGACAAAAAAAGAAAACATTTTGGATACAACATATGCTCCTTCAAGTGCTTCCTATCATTTTTTCAGTGATATTCCTATATTTGCCCAACATCTTTATTTTTCTTGCACCTCATTTTTATTTTTATCTAATCTTTTATATCACATTATCTGTCGTTTTTCTTTTCTTTTTTTCCGCCTTCTACACGGCGTAAAATAATGACTTTCCTATATTTTTTGCGTAGCTATAAATGAACATAATGTTACAGTACTTACAAATTAAGTGCATTACGAGATTAATTTCATTTTCAGTAACGGATAATATTTGATCAAGCATTAAACTTATCAGGCTTCAGATGAACCAATGAATCTTGACGCCGAGCAACTCAACAATAGGATTGGTGAAAGAATAAGGGGGGAGTTAAGCTATCTCGATGGCCCTCTCATTGTTGCACAGACAGTCCTAAACAAGACCTTGAAAAATTCGTAAGTGATATATACTAATAAATATATTACATGAATTTAAGCATTTCATTAATTTTAATTCATTAGTTCTGAATGTGTTCTTCAATTCATTGCAGACTTAAGGAAGAGACTCGGATCTTAACTGAAGAAAATGAGAATGTGGGATTTATGCGTCAACGTGGAGTTCGCAGCGAGGCTTAGTATCTAAAATATGAAGTTTAACATGATTAAAGGATTCAATTAATAAATAATGTTAAACTTCATTTCTTAAATAATAAATATATTTTGAAGTTCTCTACCATTGATTGTAATCTTCCAAAACAAAAATGACAATATATATTAAATTAGACAAAAGATAGTTTCATGAACAAGAAAAAAAATAAAAATACGATTAGGTTCACTTAATCATAAGAACAATGCTAACATCGCTTAATCATATGAAATGAAAATGGCATCAGTGTTAGTAATACAATACATAACTTGGGATACATGGGAGGTGGATAGCAATATAACAATATAACATCATGTATCATTCCTACAAATTTTTGTGCAAATGATCTTTATACATTAAGCAATTACCTTAGACCAATAAAAATATCAACTATTAATTAAATTTATTCTTTTAAAAGTTTTTTTAAAATAATATCAAATGATTATAACATGATAATGTAAATAAAATAAAATAATGTAAAATAATCAACAACTTGTATAAAAGTATTACATGACACTGACACCTAAATTAATTAATATGATTAATGAAATTTATAAAATTTTAATCACAATAAATTTATATAATTTGTAAGTATAATAATAACTTTTTAATAAATTTTTTTAATATATGATGAAAAAAATGAAAAGAGAATATAAGCTGAGTTTAGGTAGAAAACATTGAAGGGTATAACTGTAATTATAATTCTTGTTTTTAAAAAATAATTTTCTTTTTTAAAAGTTAAAAAAATAATATTTTTTATATGATGAGTTTTTAAAATTAATTTTTTTAAAACTAAAAAATAAGAATATTTTTAAGGTGTTTTTATTTTTTATTTTACTTTCTCATCTTGAAAATAGTTTTGAAAGTTAAACTAACAAACAAGTTTTATTTTTATTTTTTATCAAAAAAATAATTTTAAATTTGTTTAAAATGTATTTTTTATAAATTTAAAACCAAAATAAAAACAAACAAGCCTTTAAATTTTTTAAGAATGTTTTCTTATAAAATATAATTAAAAATTTTATTTTAAAAAAATTCATTTTCTGCAAATATTTTTAAATTATTAAAAAACATTAAAATTTAACAATAAAATTTAAAAGAATCCCCAAATGTCCTCAAAAGACAATTTTGCTGTCTAAAATATAATTGTTTTTATAATAACATATATTTTTAATGATATTTAATTGATAACTAAATTCTATTCATTATATTAGGACAAAAGATATGTTATAACTATCTTGACAAAAATGAAAGGTTTTAATTCTCACCATTTTTTATTTAAAATATTAATTGCAAATGTATATTTTAATTTCTAGAAATTGTTCAGATTACTTCTTCCCTTCCTTACTTTTCCCTCTCCAAACTTTATCAATCAACTTTGGAGTTAACATGCGCATAATATAAATTAAGGCTAGTGGTGTTTATTTTTTCTTTTTTATAATTCATTTAATCTCAAAATTTTTTGTTTAATTTGAAAGTTTAATAATTCAATGTTTATATAGGAACGTGTGTAAAATTTGTCTCGCTGAAAAACTTTGAAGTGAGTTTTTATTTTTTACGTTTTAAAACAGTAATAAAATAATATATATTTTATTATAAATAACAATATGAGTTATTAAATATATTAAATTCACTCGTCTGACTTACTAATTTTGGCAGATGTCAACTGGAGAATTCAAACTCATCAACTTGTTTTACCTGCTTCACCTTATACACATTTTAAGTAGATTAAGTAGCGGTGTGCATATTAAACCTGTGGAAATATTTTTTTTACAGTTATAATAAAAAATTAATATTTTGTTTTATATCTCTTTATTTTGATATAAAGTTTGTCATTTATTTAAGTTTTTATATATATATATATATAACAATTGCTAAATTAATTATAAAAATAGTAAGTTATGATATTTTTATCAAATTTTAATTGAAGAATTTTACGATCTTTGATCTTAAAAAGAACTATATTTTAAAAAACTTACAACTTTTAATTTTAAGTATAAGTATGATGATTTTTTCTCTTTTCTTATTAGCAATTGATAATTTTTATATCTTGTTGTTATAAAGGTAAATAAATATTAAAACAATACTCTTTATTAGTTATCGCTATTTATTTTGTGTTTAATTTCTTCAGTTAAGAGTTATTAATTAATTATATTTTTAATAAAGTTCACTTGTCTTTTAATATTAGATCAAATATATAATAATAATAATAATAATAATAATAAATTTTCAATAGAAGTTATTTTCATTGATTCAATATGTATTTAATCAATTCACCATCTGTTTTATAAGATTTGATTTTATGTTATTAGACCTTATATATAATATCTATAGAACTAATTGTTGAGTCTTTATCTATTGATCAAATTGTTTAATATTTTATTTAGAAATATTATTGGTTGATTTTGTACTTGGTAACTAAAAGTATACCATTATTGTGTTTTTATTTCTTGCAATGTATTATCACTATTGTAATATATCTTTATGTACTATATTCACACAATTACTTGGAATGTGGCTAAAATTATTAGTAGTAGTAAATGGATGATAATTAAGTTATGGATTCAAAACTTAAAACAGGATCCTTAACCCATTCATTAAAGTATACAGAAACTTAATGCCGCATATTTCATTGATCCATAATCATGTCTTCACTTAAATGAATTTAAAGATATTCTCAACATTAATTTTTTGCAGGACTCTACATTAATTGTTGAACCATTGAAATGAATTTTGTTTCTAGATAACCACAGAATCTATACTGCAAAAATCTAAATTGAATTCCAAACTTTCCTTTTTTTTATTCTTCTTAACTAAAACGAAATGCATCAACCTGCGTAGTTTTTGTCCATGGCTAGAATAGCTTCATAACCAAGCCAATTGTAACACATTAATTTGCCAAATTTCTTCGGACATAGCACAGAAAAAAAAGAGAGTAGACGTTGAACATATTCCTCTTCCAAATTGCAGAAGACACAAGAAAGGCTATTGTTTGTTGATAAAACATGCACCTCTTTTGGGGTGATTCATTTAGTTTAGAGTCCTTTCAAGCATAACATTCCATGTGAACATAGGAGTTTCTTGAACTACGTCCTCTTCATGTATGTATTTTTTAATTTCAAACCATTTTTTCTGTTCTTACTATATAGCCTGGGGTGAAGAACACATACGTCCTCTCTTCAACTCTTTTATATATAGGTGAAGAACTCTCTATGAATTCACCATTAGCATTGTTAATGTTATGTGAGACACTGATAATATAGTTTACTTGTATTTTGTAAAAGCATTGACTATTAATTCAAGTGTTAAAGTTCTTAATACGACATAACAGTTTTGTGAGTTTAATGTTTGATTGTGGCTTCTAAAATTGGTTGAATGTGAAGAATATAGGAAGCTACAGTAAACATATATTAATTCATGATTGAACATTTTTCGTTGTTTGTATTTTGAATGCTCATTAATTTAATGTGATTTATTAATATACAAATGATATTTACCCATTTCATTCAAGTTAGAGTGTGCGCTAGTTGGTTACATGGTTAAGCAACTTAGTAGTTTTGTAGTTGTTTCTAAACGAATAACATATATTATTTTAATTGTTCAATGTGAAAATTTTAAAACTTTTAAAGATTAGTTATTTTTATGCTCATCATTGTTAACTATTTATAATGTTGAGCTATCCATTTATGCCACAGTTAATATTTGACAATTCATTCATTTTCTAAGTAATAAATAAAATGATAATATGTGTTATGATATATTTTAACCTAGGATTTGTTCAACAACTACAAAATTGGCATAAAAAATATTTTATTATTGAAAAATATAATAGTCATTTTATTTTGAAGGTGTTTATTAGCTTTCAAATTCTTTTGTGAGGCTTCAATGATTTGTTTTATTTTTCATATAACGTTTCGTTGAAAGAAAAAAAAGTGGGAAAGAATTATTAATTTTTCATGTTTGATTCAAACTTTTAAAGAAAAAGGAATGAGAGAGGGCTAAAATGTTTCTTCATTCAATTTCATCTCTCTTGCAAAATCAAGAATTTAGAAAGGAGAGAAATTTTTAGACTAATTATATAAAATTATTTAAATGAAAAAAAACCCTTACTATGCAAAAAAAGAAAAAGAAAAAAAACAGAGAGAGAGAGAGAAAAGATAGGGGCAAAATCGTAACTAAGGTTATCAACCCAACAGTGTCAGGTTTTATCCCTCCGGTTCATTCCCTCGGAAATGATAATGCTTCGTTCGTTGCATTTGGGTGGAGGGTTTGTTTGGGAGAGAATCGAGAATCGGAGGGAAAGGAGTGAGTATGTCGGTGAATCTGACGGCAAACGCGATTCCTGCTATCGTTGGCGGCGACGTGAACGCGAAACCGCTGGTTCAGGTTATGGAGATTACGTTAGTCTCCAACCGCAATAACTCCCAGCAACAGCGATACCGTCTTCTGCTTTCCGACGCCGTTTCGTGTCACCACGCGATGATCGCCATTCAGCTTAACGACCGAGTCCGAACCAACCGAGTGAAGAAGGGTTCCGTTGTTCAGCTTCTCGACTATATATGCTCTCATCTCAAGAACCGCAAGTCTCTCTCTCTCTCTCTCTTCTGCAAAATCTAATTTTCAATTGAAGTAATTTCTTTAATTATACTCAATTTAATTTTGATTAATTGTGATTTTCATGGAAATTTCACTTTTTTATGTTATTCGAGTTTTCATTTGGTTGGAATTTCACTACTGGAATCTAAATATTAAACCTTTGAGAATATGCATTTGTAATCCATGATAGTTCGGAAAATAATGGTTCAATTTTTGTGCGGAATTATTAGCATGTTGTGTCCCTTTATGTGTAAGATTTATAACTGTAACCTCTTTTGAAAATCTGCAAAACCCTAGCATTTAGTTGTTGAAAATGCTGGCATATGAATGGAGACTAAAGAGTAAAAAATATTTTAAATGCTTGAATTTAGTTGGAATGTTGCATCTGAACTTTAGGTTTGTAAAATTAATTTATTAATTCTGTGTTTGTTTTTCCTTGTTCAGGATTATTATGGTTCTCAACATGGAAACTATAATACTCGATTGTGAGATCATTGGGAATCCTAAGCCATTTATGGATTCTGATTTACCAACTCCGAGAGCCTTGGCTGATAACAGTAACACTGTGGAGAATTTGCCCAGGGTTAATAATAATAATAATAATTCTGCTGCTCAAAATGCAAGTCATAATAATGGGCAGGATTTCAGGCCAACGGTTCAACCTCCATATCAGCCGCGTCCAGTTTACAAAGGCCGCGGTGCAATTGTGAAAAATGAGGCACCAGCACGCATCATTCCTATAGCTGCTTTAAATCCTTATCAAGGTCGGTGGGCCATCAAGGCAAGGGTAACTGCTAAAGGGGATCTGCGCCGCTATAATAACGCCCGTGGTGATGGGAAAGTCTTCTCATTTGATCTCCTTGATTCTGATGGAGGTGAAATTCGAGTAACCTGCTTTAATGCTGTTGTGGATCGCTTCTATGATACAATTGAGGTTGGTAAAGTTTACTTGATATCCAAAGGTAGCTTGAAACCTGCACAGAAGAATTTCAACCATTTGAAAAATGAATGGGAGATTATTTTGGATTCAACTTCAACGGTTGAGCTTTGCCCAGATGAGGATGGTTCTATACCTACACAGCAGTTCTCCTTCAGGCCTATAAGTGACATTGAAAATGTTGACAATAATGCCATCCTTGATGTTATTGGGGTAGTGACTTCTGTGAATCCTTCAGTTCCCATCTTGAGGAAAAATGGAATGGAAACCCAGAGAAGAATTTTGAGTCTAAAAGACAGTTCTGGCAGGAGTGTTGAACTTACACTGTGGGGTGAATTCTGCAACAGGGAAGGACAAAAACTGCTAGAGATGGTGGATAGTGGGCTTTTCCCAATTTTGGCAGTCAAAGCTGGGAAGGTTAATGAGTTTAGTGGAAAGTCTATAGGCTCGATATCTACCACACAGCTTTTCATAAATCCTGATTTCCCTGAGGCTCATCACTTAAGAGACTGGTTCAATCATGTGGGTAAAGATTCTGCATCCGTATCAATTTCTAAGGATATTATTCCTGGAGGGCCAAAGAATGAGATACGCAAAACTGTGTATCAAATCAAGGATGAAGGTCTGGGGCGGTCAGACAAGCCAGACTGGATAACAGTGAGGGCAACCATATCATTTATCAAGACCGATTCATTTTGCTACACAGCTTGCCCTCTGATGATTGGGGATCGACAGTGCAATAAGAAAGTAACTAGGTCAGGAAACACAAGATGGCAATGTGATAGATGCAATCAAGAGTTTGAGGAGTGTGATTACCGATACCTTCTCCAAGCTCAAATTTTGGATTGCACGGGATTAACTTGGGTAACTGCTTTCCAGGAAGCAGGGGAAGAGATTATGGGGTACTCAGCGAAGGACCTGTACTTGTTGAAGTATGAACAGGATGATGATGAGAGGTTTGGAGAAATTTTCAAGAGTAGACTTTTCAACCAGTTTGTATTTAAGCTGAAAATCAAAGAGGAATTATATGGCGATGAACAAAAGGTGAAGATTACTGTAGTCAAGGCAGATAAGGTGAATTATTCTTCAGAGAGTAGATACATGATTGATTTGATTTCCAAATTTTGTAGGCAGTAATTGAATTGTAGCTTGGTATCAGCATCTTTTTATGCGATGAGCCATACCGGTTAGTATTAATGTACAAGCTTTACTTAGAATCGGGTCATTAGTGATTGAGTTGCTTAATGATTTGTATGCCCATTGTAAAACATACCTTTAGATACCATTAGTTCAAATTTCTTAATTTTCTGTTTCCTTTTTTGGGGGATATGTCTTCTTATCATTTTCACATAGGAACATCTATATATTGGGACATTTCATTGCTCCCAGTGTTAGCTCACATCTCTATGATCAAACTATTGTCGATTCATCAACTATTGTTCTTCTTACTCTTTGATCCATCCTAATTGTCTGTCAGTTTCATATTCCAGAAAGTTCTTTTAGAGTTGTATTATTTCAAAATGTTAATCTACCATTGGTCTGCTAGTTAATTTCGTTCTTATGCATCAGAAACATGTAATTAATCTGTTTCTATAATATGCCAAAAAGAAATTACACTTTAAGAATTGAAAAGCTTCTGCTTAAGTGAAGCACAAGAGTCAAATATTAGTACACAAAACAGAGGGTTCAGTTCATTACTGAATAGCATTACAGATACATATCATGATAGGAGGGGGAAAAGGTAAAAGTAAAAATAAGCAGCGCCTCAGAATTTCACTAGCTTCGCTTGACGGGATCGAAATTGGAAACACCGATCACGGCACCGACTATGACAGCAAGCACAACTCCACCAGCCACGATGCTGAGCAAGAAGTTCTTGAGAGAAGGCGTAACAGCAGCTTCAGCCACATCAGGAACCATCAGTGATGCTGTCAATGCAGCTGCTGTGAGCCCTGTCACAACTTTCTCCTTCATGGAGGCCCTGACTTGAAACCTTTCACTGGGTTTTGAAACTGTCACTGCCTTTGAAGACCGTAGAGGCTGTGGCTTCAAGAATGCATCAGAGCTAGGCACCATCCTCTTCTGGCTGGCATAAGTTAGTGGCATAGCCATTGAAACTGCAGAAGTGGAAGCCATATGTTTTCTATGGTTTCTTTCTTCTTCTCTTGCTACTTGTTTGCTCGCTTGAACCTTCTTTGAAAACTGAGGAAATGGGTTGGGTATGTATGTTAACGAGTTTTGAGAGAAACGGTGGAGGGGGCAGGAATGGAATGAGAGGTGGAAATCTTCGGCATATTTGCTTGTATCTGATGTGGCAGCTTCCTTATTGGAAATTGATGGATAAGGTTATCTTATTGGTCCAATCATCCCTCACTGTGTTTTAATTTACTCTCGGGTCTTGAATTGGATCTTATGTTTCCGCACATTCCATTTTTCACCGGACATACAGGCTCGAGTGGCTATTTGTTGTTTAGCAGTATCTTTGATATTCCTGCTGTGTGGTATAGGCAGTTTGAACCAAATCAGCACAACTTGAAATAAAGTAGGAAAGATTGGGTTAGTGTCTTTCTTTGGAAAGATTTCCAAAATTCTAAAAAATAAACATAATGATGTAACCACCTTAGTTTATAATAAAATAAATAAAACATAAAAAAGTAATATCAACGAAGTGCAATACAGTAATTAGTTGAAAGTTTAAGCATGTTGATCAAGATTTGTTTCTTGATTGTGTATATAAAAACTGCTTTACTCAGCGAGACAAGATTCACTTTGATGATTCTATCTTTTAAAATAAATCAGTTTAAGATGGTTGGGGAATACCCTTTATGCATAAAAAGTATATAATAAAATCATAATATTATACACTTATATCATTATCTTATTTATTAAACATTTCTATTTGAGCGAATTCGATCTCGTCCTAACTAATGACTAATCTTAATTATCCGAACATGTTATATTCTCAAGAATCCCCATCATAACCAACATGTTATTAACAATGACAACATAAGAACAGCAATTTATGCACAATTCAATCCCATTATGTTTTTGCTTCTTCTTTTATGAGCCATCGCCTTTAATTTCACAAGCAAACTTTTAATGGAACAACCCACCGTACCCAGCCATCTATAGATTGATTTTATCTATTAATTAATGATGGAATCATTTGCCTGTGTCATGAAAAGGAGCTATTGGAATCCAGTGCTTGCAACTTGTCTTGTCAGAGGTTATGGGTGTGCCGCTGATGTCGCGATTCATGCATCCCACGTGTCGAAATCCAATGGCATAGTGCCACATGTCATCATGGCGTTATATAAATTAAGACGTCCTCTCTCACAATGACTTGATGCAAGAGCTAACACATTCACTTTTTCAGTTTTGTTTTTTTCTTTTAATTCTTTAACTTTAACATAATTTATTTATTTAATAAGCTAAATCAGACCTAATTCTGATGTAAACCAAATCTAGCCTGTAGACAAACTATGGAACCTAGTTTTATCCCTTCTTATTTTACGTGCAAATTGTTTTTCTTCTGATATTATCAACTTTCAGCCTAGCACCGTGCTAGTGCAACTAGTTGGGTCAGCGGCATCAATTCATACACATAAAAGTTTCAAAAATCCTTTACGTAGAGTCAAGTTTACATGTAGAGGCAACATTCACCAAATTAACAATAAAACAATAACAATTGAGGGTATGGATTAACTTAACGGAAGCTTTTCGTCACTTATCATAGACTTATCCAAATCCAACAAAATTGTATTACGTGGATCATACGTGTAAATCATATATCTTATGCAAAACGTGATTTGAACTTTTCCAATTCTGCCTCATATGGCTATGCCCGCACCCAGTCCCTTCTCTTTAATATTTTGCAACTTGGCATTCGTCGTGCAATTTGCAAGTTGTGACCTCAACAAGAGTACAAAAACCATGACACAACTTCTGTTCTTTCAAGCAACTACCCAAAGGGAACTCTTGGTGTGATCTGTTACTCCTTCCCAGAACAATGCCACTAAACCAATTTCACTTTTTTCCTAGCAACGGAAATCCTCACTTTATCACACCATCTTTTGGTCTCAAAATGGAAAGACTACGCGGGAAACCATTAGCCACAAACTAAGAGAATAGCACTGAAAATTTGTGCCACACTTGCTGCACCATGTGAAATGAGATACCAAATCATGAAAGGCAACTTCAAAATGTTCGCGCCGTTGAGTCTTCTGACCTTTCATAACTAAGATGAACTTCTTGTGGCAGCAAATGATATTTAATATCAAGATCTTCAAGAATTTTCTTCAACTCCAGGACTAATTCAGATCTTCGGCTATTTCTGTCCCCATAATTTTGAAAATTTATGGTGTGAGTAACAGACAAACCCATTTTCATCTTGTTTACATTCTCAATATCCTTCACCAATACACTGTGACTGGGATGCCAGTGTTGTGGCCTACTCTCCAAGTATCTGGAAATTTTATCCAAAAATATCAAAATATTAAGTAACTTGAAATACACAACAAAGTGGAGACAATGCACAAAAGAAATCAGTCATCTCTAGTACCTAGCAAAATCACTTTTGTATTAACAATTGCAAAACAAAAACATTTTCCCTCTTCAGAAATTTTTGAGGAGTCAAGGGTTACAGTACAAAAGGTCACATACCTTTGCCTGTTAAACAAGCACTAACGAAAAAGAGGAAGTTCAATCCTCTTCTCCACACCAATGGAAAGGGGAAAAAAAATGAATTCAGACTAGTTATATTCATAAGCATTGTAATCTAATCTAACACTATGGGTAATTTTCTGGGACAAAATTACCTTCCAAAGCAGAGACATAGTATATTGAACTGAAATCTTCTAATAAATTTTAGAGCTGGAGCATAGTGAAAACTTACGTTTTTAACCTCGCCTTTAAAGCTCCAATACTCTCAATAGAAGTAGAAACATCAACTGCAAATTCAACCAAATCACTCATTTCTGGACTCCTGTAGAAGTTACTGATTGGCTTGGTTGCAAGAACAGAATTTGGATAGAATATCTTTTCATTGTCATATCTCAAAAAGACTGTAGAAAGTATGTTCATCTCTTCTACAATCATCTGTGAAGTATAACGATATGTCAGCCAAGTACCTTTTTGTCATAAGAATGTTAACAGAGCTGTTAGAGTTGAAAACTACCTGAACACCATCAATCACACAACGATCACCAACGTCGTATGGGTGCATCACAAAAACAAATATAATAGCTTCAAATACAGTCTTAGCTGTGTTTCCAAATATAAATACCACAAGTAAAAGCTGAGATGAAATAAAGACAAGAACTTGAGTGGTTAAGAAACCCATTATAAGTAGCCACACAATGACGATCACCAGAAGGACAATTACAGAAGCAAGCTTATTCAACTCATCAACGGCTGTTTTGGTATCATTCAGTGAATGCACAAGTGATCGGCGTTCAAGGTAGACTTTGACCTGCAAACAAGAATTATATGTGAGCATCATGCTTGTGGCATTGAAATGAGTAATAACATGATAGCTGGAAGGAAAACAAAAGCATTCTGTGAAGGACAAATTTATATGATTCGCAGTGGATTGTGAATTTAACAAATCCAACACAGTTTCTATGGCTTGATCAAACTATCCTATGGGCATTATAGTTATCTATAGGCTACAGAAGTCTCAGTGCAGCAAAATTAAAAATAAACTGGATCCTGAAATATTTGTCAACCAATTCTTAGGATAAAACAATGGTAAAGGAGTTTTTTTTTTTTTTTTTTTTCTGACAAAAGTAAACATTTTGAAAATTAAAACTATGTAAACGTTCAATAAACAAATTATAGCGCTTCTGATAAAATAAAGTGCAATATATCATAGACCATATCAAGAGACTTTACCAGCCAGTTCTTCAGAGACTTCCTCTTAATTTTTCCAGTCTCAACTGCACCTTCAAATAGTGGAAACACATTTTCCACTTCTTCATTTTTCATGAATCGCAAGAGGTCTTCCTTCTCAATGTACCTAATAAATTCAAGGGTCAAATGACAACACGAGACAGTTCCAGAGAAAATGAATAAAAAAAAATATCAGTGAGTTTTCAGAGGGTAACAATGTTACTTGCTTCCTGGCTTTGCTACATTCCTAAAAATTCGATAAGCAGCTGCCTTTGCTTCCCACTCACTAGTAATTTCATTATCCTTCTGGTCACTCTCGTCTTCATCGACACCGTCAGGAGTATAGGAGATGGTAGATAACCCAGAACTCCTTATCACATTAACCAATCCTTTCATGGTCCAAGCAGAAACTTTCTCTTGGTTCATTTTCTTGAGCTTGTCCACATCAATGACTTGTTCTTTCTTCCCTTCATTCTTATTGTCTCTAATCATGGTCTTGAAACTGAGTCGGCCACTATTTGAAGTCTTGCCTACTGTTTCAGCCATCTCTATCAAGGGAGGGCCAGAAAGAGCCCTCAGAATGTATTGATGAAAGATTGATTCTTGAACCCTATCAAAAAATCTAGTAGATTGGAAATATGAAGCTAACAGCTTTATCAACAGTGTCTTTAGTAACCATATAGCTGCTCCAATAAGACAAGACGCAAGAGCCCTAGTAATATAACTAAGAATCCTAGTAACTTTCCTTGTTCTCTTAACTCCATGGTTGAAAAGCAAACCCCATGCCAAAAGTACCAAACTCAGCCATATGAAAGCCTGAACACTCTTCTTAACACCATAAACAAAATACAAAACCTTCCTTTTAAACAAGAAATTCCTTTCAATCAAGAAAACCAGAACATTGATAAACCACTCAGTGACCAATCTACCACATAGAATAACCAATGCCAATACACACCACTTCCACACTTCCAAGCCCCATATTTCCACATGTTGCAACTTATACACACTCAAGCTTGCAATCAAAATCCCCACAATACAAACAAAAGAAAACCACTCAAACAAACCCATCACTCTCCACTTCTTACCAAACCTCTTGCTCACTTCAATATTTGCAGTCTTGTACACTTCTTCTTCTACATCATCTTCCTCTTCCCCTTGTGTTCCAATCAAAGGGGTTCGTGGGGTAACAAGGGTTGCATCAATAGCATCCCTTGGAGCATTAACTGTAACATTCTTGTTAGGAGAATTCCTTGAAGATGAATTGGAACTTGTCATTTGAGCTTTTCCTTCAACAACTTTTGCACCTTTTGGACATGGATGTTCCACCATTCTGGACTTTGGCTTCGAAAATTCCGACCGACCCAACAACCCACGTGTTGTTGTCACCAACTCCGTGGAAGCTTCACCCTTGTTTCTGAGACTCTCAAGTTCAGTGACTTCACCATGTGAATCTCTGAACCCTTTACCCATCTGGGTATTGTGCTGAGGAGAATGGGAAGTGTTTTCAGCTACTGGGGAACTTCTACAATATGTGCTATCCTTCGTTATGTACAAAGCCTCTTCTGTGTCTGAAATTCTTAGAACAACCTCGTTCTTTGTCACTTTCTTGTCTGCCACGAGTGTTTTTTCTTCTTCCATGTCAAGGTGAGAACTTTCTAGCTTCTCCAAAAGCAATTGTTGGGTTTCAAACAGTGAAGCATCGATTTCAGCTACAACGTAGCTGAAAGTAGCACTAGGTTCAACTGGGGGTCAGTGAAGATTGAAAATTTCCCAGAAAGTTTGGAACTTTCTGAGAATCCCGCCTACAGAAATAGAAATGCTAACTTCGCTGCCAAAACAACGAGAGTAAAATCTGTTGTTGCGTTATCCAACCCGGTAACTATCATTTATCTGAATCTGAAATGGTTAGTCTTTTATTCTTTTTTTTTTTTTTTTTTTTGAGTTGGTCAAAAGAAGGAACACAAGGAATCGTTGGAAAACGTAAACAGAGGAGCAACTAGATAACGACGCTTTACGTGGTGAAACGTGGTTCTGATTGTGCATGGTTGAAGACAATTGTAGCTGAGTGCGATTGATAACAGAGTTAGATCGACTCTTTATTTTGAACTGTTAAAACTTAAAAGCAAAAGTTTTCTACGCTTACCAGATATAAATATAAAAAATAGAAGAACGAGGAAAAAAAATAGATGACATCACATGACGGAAAGAGAAAAATACAGAAAATTATTAAATAAATATTAACATTCCTATATAATTATGTTAAAATTTGTTTCTTTCATAATTATATTATTAATTTTTAAATGAAATGTATAATAACAATACCAAAGAAACCTTTAACTGCTTTATGATTTTTATAAAAAAAAATATGTAACTATAATAAATTATTAATATTGCCCTCGAAGTTATAGAGCTAGTTATCACACTTCTCAAACACTAAAATAAAATAACTTATAAGTGGTGTGAAAATTTTACGTTGAACTTGTATTCACCAATGGCAGTAGTAGCAAAGCATTACTGCAATTTTTGTTTTTGGTGGACAAACATCGCTGCAAATAGGTTGCCACATTAAAATTCTGGTGACCAAACAAATAATCGACATTTTGCATTGAATATAGGATGATGATAGGTGTTTTATCCTTGCATCATCATCATTTTATACTGAACTTGTAAATTGAATTAGATAAGTGAGGGCAAAGTATATCAAAGAGAGAGGATATATAATTAGCTTTTTATTTTATGTTTTAAAATTCTCAAGTATCATCGGGCAAAACTTTGAACTATATTTATTTCACCAAGTGATTTTTTATTGTATTTAAAGGTTAAAGCTTTTGTTTAGTCCAAGTTTAAATTATTTTATTTTTCTAATTAGTTAATACTAAAGTGAAATTATAATATAGTGTAGATATGAGAATACATGAGTAGAGATGAGAATGAGTTAGGCCAAATGTTAAATGAGTATGTTAAATGAGTCTGACCTATTATACAAAATTAGAGTTTGAATCTAAATTTATGACCTGATATAGGTCAAATTTTTAGGTTTAGACTGACTTTTTTAAAAGTTTGACTTAGTTTAATATCTTATTTAGTAATCTATTTATTGTTAAGACTTTCAAATATAATACTAAAAAATTAAATTTAAAGGACCAATATGTCAATAAGTTAATAACCAATGGACTAACAAACTGAATCGCTTCAAAGATATCTTATTTCAACATAATCATATTTAATAACTCCACACAATTTTATATCTTAAATAATTCAAAAGATAACATGTCTATATTATATAATCTCAAATTCCAAATTAACAATTAAGATGCTTATTACGAAAAAAATAAATAAAAGGTGAGACTAGAACATAAAACTCAATAAACAATTGTTAAAAATAACTTTTATTTTTAGTTTATGTAAATGTAACTTTAAAGAATTATATTAAAATTAAGAAATTGAAAAATATTTGAATTAAAAATATTAAAATAGGAATTAAGAAAGAATGAATTTTAATAATGAATTAAAATATTTTAGAAATTAGATAAAATTTTAATTAATAATTTTTTTATGATAAATTTTAATCTTAATACTCTAATAGTTGAAGTTTATGTTTGGTCTAAGTTTAAATTATTTTATTTTGTTAATTAGTTAATACTAAAATGAAATTGCAATATAGTACGAGGATGCATGAGGCACTTGATGTATATGGCCTTAAGCATTGTCTCCACAAACCTCAGCCACCGTATACGTACAGTCCTTTAAGATACTTTTATATTATAAATTAAGGATGTGTTTAAATGCATAAATTATTTAAATATTTATTTTGTAACACTACAAAAAAATTTATTTATTAACACAAAATTATCAAGTGTTAGAATAGTTTTTGATAGGATAGCCTTTGTCTAAAAAAACATAAATTGTCTATATAGTTTTTGAAAAATTATACTAACAAATTATGTTTTATATTAATAGTATATATTAATATTTTTGCTAACAAAATAATTTATTGGTATAATAAATCATATTATTAGTATAAATCATTAAAGCTTATACTAACAATTTATTTTTTAGTAGACAAAGACTACACCAACAAAGATTATCCTAACACTTGACATTTTTATTTATTAATAAGTAATTTTTTTGTGGTGTAAATTATTTTTAAAATGATAACTTATTATATTAATTTAATAATAAAATAGATTAAAAATAAGTCAAAAAATTATTAAAATAAAATTTTTAAAAATTATAAAAGTATTAAATTATTTTCATAAATTATCCCTATACTCGATGTGTATCTCGAATCATCCAACCATGTCTCAAAATCTTTTTCAATTGCAAACTTATATTAATTATCAATGTTAACCAATTCTAAAGAGCATATTGATCATTAACGATGTTGAGCTCTTCTGCAACACTGAAATTCAAATATACAAAAATAAATAAATAAATAAGCTAAAAAAGAGCTCACATGAATCATAATCCTTCATATTTTAGTTTTCCTTTTATCTCTCATCCAAATCCTTACTACAAACCTCTTTTCTGGTAAACCCTTGAATCAAATTTCAATGAAGAAAACACAGTTTGTCGGCAAGTCGGTGACAACAGCACGTACGGTGGCTTGAGACATTATCGTCAGAACTCATTCTCATTATTTTTATTCTCATGGCAAGAGAGTTATAATAAGTTTATTAATGTTAAGGCTGAGTTTGAGTAGAAATTTTTTTATAAAAATGCATATTTATTGCATTAAAGTTATAAAATGTAGTAAATATTTATTTTTTTAATAAAATTTGATTATTATTAGTTACTAATTCGGTCCTTAAAAGTTAACATTTTAAGAAAACAAAAACTTATATTTATGATTCTTACCTTCTTCTCCCACGAATAAGGAAAAGATCCCTTTCCTCAGCATGAACATTTCCGTAACTAAAGTACCCAGATGTAAACATTTCCGATAAAGCTGTATATAAAATAATTACTAAAACACAAACTCTACCATGGGTTTTTCCAAATATTAAAACCACGTTATTCTTTTCAGCAAGACAACACTATTCTTACCTTTTAATATAGCAACATGCACCTTACACATCCCTGTCTTTTAGTCACTTAGTTGTCATGACAAGATGAATATATATCACACAACTGAAAGACCAAAATGAATTGTATCATTTAAAGCAGTCTATGTAATATACCGTTTCTTTAATGCCACTTAATTGAAAACATATTATAACAACATTTCATATCTAGGGACTAATTTAGATAATGAATTTAACTGTTCATATTAAGCTTAAGTGTCATTCATTATGTACTTTTTTTCATGTTATCTATTTCACAACTCTATCATGTTGAGAACAAAACACATCTCCTTTTCCTTTACCTCTTTGCAATGAATTCTTAAAGTACAGCCAATTGTAACATATTTTTATTTTATAAGATGCATAAATAAAAAAATCATCTTATTTTTAATTCTTGTTCAGACTTTATTTAGGATGTCCACCATAATGTGGAGAAAGAGAAAGTTAGGAAGAAAAAAATAAAAATAAAGTTATCGATAATATAATAACAAAAAAATAGAAAATAAAGGATGAAAAATAAAAGAAAATAGATATAAAACATAAAAGAATTACACATGATATGAACAAAATAACATTTGGAGTGTGTTTGAAAAAGTTTTTCAACTGATTATAAATTTATTTTGCTAATTAAGAAGTTTATTTGATAAAACAATTATATTTAAATAAAAGAACTAAAATAATTAGTTACCAACACTTTATTAATTGATTGCATTAAAAATACCTACTAAAATTAGTTGTGTTAAAGTAACATATAAGTATTTAAAAATTTGTGATAAGGCAGTGATGATCAAAATGAAAAAAAAAAAGAAAAGCTTATTATAAAGTTAAACATTACATGCATGACGTAGTATTTAAAAAAAAACTACTAAAATGCTATAACTTATGAAAATAAACTCCTTTGTTGAATATTTTTAATCTGATCAAATAAACTTTTGAATCAGACAAGTTAACCCAAAAGCTTTTCCAAACAACTAAAAAATGCAAAAAAGTTGCAATTGTACTCAAAGGTGGTATAAAACTTTGTTATTACACTTTTTTTTTTATCATTTTAAAGGAAGTTGTCAAAATATACTAATAAATTGCAAATAAAATTAAACATAATAGGTGTGTTGATAATTTTTAAGTTTTTCTACGAAGATTGAATAGACACTTTGGTCCACTATATAATCCAGAATAATTGACCAGAAAGTACTTGATTCCACTAAGATACAAAATAGTCATTTATTTGTTGTACAGATATGAAAAAAGTGGATGGGAAACCAAACAAGCCCATAAAAGAGGTCATTTATCTGTACTTGATTCCCCTCAGATCAAGAGAAACCATTTATTTGTATAGATATTAAAAAAAAGGTGGATGGGAAACAAAACATGCACACAAAAAGGTTGCTTTAACAATTTTCTCATTGCTCTTCATTGCTTGGGAGGACTTGAATTGAGCCAACAACAACTGTCCATGAACAAAATCATTCATATCTCAGATTAGAGAATAAAAAAAATAATAGCTAAGCTTAAATTTTAAATTACTTATTGATAAATAACTCATTTAAAACACGCACACATATGAAGATTAGTTTTTAAAAGTTATACAAATTAACTATTATATTAAAAGTTTTATCATATAGTATTAAAAAAGGTTTTATCACACACTTCAACTATTATGAATATGCACTTGCTTTAAATCAAACAACCCACTCTCAAAATCATCATTATCTTTGTCATTAAAGCAATAAGATTCAATTGTTATCCATTAAGGAATTACCAAACCTCGGACGTCCTTTTACTCCACCATTAAAGTAGGTCACTTTAGAAGGAAAAAAATTATTATTGAGAAGACCAAAATGAAAGAAAAAATTTAAAAACTAAATTGAAATAAAATAAAAATAACATCAAAACGTACAAAATAAAATTAGAGAATCAAAGTACTGATTTTTATTATTAATTATTTCTATTTACAAGATATTTATCTAGATAATATATAGTTATAATTTAAATCTTTTGTTGAGACTAAAAAGAATTAATATTATATGCATATACACTATTAAAAAATATAAATTGAATATATAGTTCTAAAATCAAATATTATTTTATTTTTTTGAAAAAGTAGTAGGAAAAATCATAAAAATAATAAAAAATTTGAAATAAATTTATTTAATAAGAAATAACGAAAAGGATTAAGAATTTCTTATATATGAAATAAGGTGTAATTTTAAAGAATTACTTATATTTTTGAGTTATTATATTTTTTTATATATAAAATAACTACCTTACTGATTTAACTCCGTGCTTTAAAACAATGTTTGTATAACAGTGAAAGTCAAGTACTAGTGACGATCATAGAAGAGAAAATTTTTAAAATCCTATGAACGAGTGTAGTTGTTTTAATGTTTCTGGTGCTTTCAAAATCAAGGGTCCATCTGCATCAAAAACGAAATCTTGAAACCACTAAAAAAAATTGCCAAGCTGTTCAATAATATGAGGCAAGGTCCCTTTCTGTGTTTATTGGATGACAATGGCTAGTGGATATAAGGCAAAGCTCTATGAAATGGCTCAACTAAAAAGAAATATGAAATATATAATTGAAGAAAACTACCTTCACATCCCCTTTTTTATGAAAAAAGAAAGAGAATTAGATGTTAAGTAATGTACAAAGCTGAGAATACAAACATTCATTTTTCTTGATTCTGTGTTAATATATTTATTTAAATTTTAAAGATCAAAACAAAAAATAAATTTCTGATCATTTAAATAGTTTTTAAAATTACAATTACAATAAAATTTCTAAACAAAATACTTTTTATAATTATTATAAAACAAAATTTTATTTTTTATAAGATTTATAAAAAAATCACTTTTTATTCACTTTTAAAATTACTTAAAAAAAAAAAAGAGGCTGCAAATAATTCAACTTTGCACAGGGTAAAGGGTTCACCGCTGTAAGTCACTGAAAACATTAATTATGTGTCGCTTATAATAATAATAATATATTAAATGAATATTTCAATTAATTCTTAAACAATATTACTTTTTAATAATTATATATATATATTCATTAATTTAATCTATCTATATGCATATATGACTATGTTGATTCAAAGAATTCTAAAAGTATCTGAAAAGCATGACGAAGAGAAAAAAAAATTAGAGGATAATTGTGTGAGTGAATTGAGAATGAGTTTTAATTATATGTTGATCAAATAATTGAATACATTATGATAAGTTCTACATACACATAAGAACAATAACATAATCAAATTACAAACATTAATAATGTGTAATTATGCATAGCAAAGTAAATTAATGAAATTAAATAACTCTCAACTTTTATCGTTATTTCGAGACTTAGATTTTATTTAAAAAGTTAGAGAAAGTAAAAAAAAAAATTAAGATAAGGAAAGGAACGGGTTAATACAAAACCTCTAAAGTCCGAAAAATTTAAAAACATTGGACTATGAAAATTTTAGAAAGTTTATAAACTCTCCTCTTCTTATTTAAAAACTTTTAAATATAACTAAATATTAAAAAAACCAAAGGTTTGGTGAGGAAGCTATTTGTTTACGTTTGCTTAGAGGAAGGAACGTAATGCTACTGAAGTTTCTTCATTAAATCTTATAAAATATTTGATTAAAAAATAAAGAATAAATTAGCAACTAGTAGATTTAGTCAAAGAATAGAACGAGATAAATAAGGTTACCATCTAAAAAGATATAATATCTTGAGATAGATTTTCAATCTTCAGCGTAAATATTTTAATCAACACTACAAAAATATTATAAAAATTAATTAGAGATCATGGAAGGAAGTACCCTTCAAGTATTTGAAAATTTATTTGGTTGTTTGCCAATGAGATTCTTCAGGAGCATGCATTTATTAATTAATTAACACACATTATTGATTATAAAAAAAAGAGTTTTGTCCTAGTAATGGTAACATACTAAAAGCTACTTACAATAATTTTATACAAGTTAGGACTATCAACATTGATGTTGTTGTTAGCAGAGAGTTTAAGACCAACGACTATAGGTATTTTCACAAGCTTTGCTATAGTCTTGGCCTAAAGGTCATCAATGTGTGAACGGAGTAAAGAAAAGTTAACCTAAATCATAATTACAAATGAATATTTAAGACTTTTAACTTTTTCTTATGACTCCTTTATTCTTAGACTTAATTCCTAATGTCTCAGTTGCTTTACGTTCGCTGTAAGGATTTTGTATATAAAATTTTCAATAAATGGCGGTGAAAACAAGAAGCATGCATATGTAACTGGTCCAATAGAATTCTACTATCTTTTAAAAGAACAATTCTATTTTTATAAAAATAAGGACTAGTGACCCAAATATTTGTTCAAGTTTTATTCTAATAAAAAAATTATAGATACACTAATTTTAATACCATTCAACATGCAGAAAATAGAAATATATTTTGTCCTTTATCTCAATTATGGATGAAAAGAAAATAAACTTAGTGTTTTCTTTACTATTTTCAAAATTTGCAGTGCCGCTCCGTCTGGCCAATGATGATTCCAATTTTGCGAGGGAAGTGTCCTCTTATGGAAGAAGAATGCTGACAAGTGTGTGGATACTAGTAATTTTTTTATTAAAAACATAAAGTATATTTATTTTATATTTTTAATGTATTTTAATATAAATATAAATTTAAAAACTATTTTTTAATCATTACCCGGATTAGCAAAACGCTTTAACAAATCAAATTGCACTGCTTGCTATTGCTAACTCTTCCTTAATTTCAAACAAATAATAAAAATGATTTATATCTTATAGCACTATCGCAGTACGGCTCTGTTGGAAAGAGACATTATGAGGATGAAATCTTAGTAAAATCATAGCTCAGTTTACCTGTGAATAGAAGCAATTCTGATTTCTCGATAGATACAAAAATGGCTTAATTTTAACTGAGAGTATTACAAGCAAAGAAATAGAACGTGCAAGAGAGACATGAGACTTATCTATATATCTGGTCACTCTCACCCATCTTTGTTCACTGCCCCCCTTATAGTACATTTCTTTGTCTGCTCCTCTTAGTCTTCTCTAAAATAGTAAATATTCCATGACACATTTTATCCCACCTGAACAAAATAATATTATCTTCTCTCATTCAATGATAACATAACCACCACGGCTTTTAGATTAACCACTTAACATTAATTTAATTTTAATAAAAAAACTAAAACATCTAATAATAATTCTATCTCTAACCCATTGGATAGGATTTTTTTGGTCTAATGTCTGGTTGCCTACAAAACATTCTTCAACTTGTTCTCTAACATTCCCTCTCCCAATTTCACCCTTCAAAGAAAAATGGGGGATGTTCTAAGCCCCTTCACAGTCTCAACCCCTCCTCCACCCTCTTCCTCGTCAAGCAAGAACAACATGCCCATGTTGTACTATGGTCTTGTTGTGGTGGGAACTGCAGCCATAGTGCTAGCCATATACAACCTCATCATCATAAAACGTTGCAACAGGCGCCACAATCAATCACAAGCATCAGGGCCAAATGGGTTGGTAATTGATCAAGGAGTGAGTGAAAACACAAGAAGCTTTGACACCCCACAAAGGAACTTGCTTTCAAGCTTCAAGTACAAAAAAGAAGTGGTAGCAAAAGAAGAAGGAGAAGAAGAAAATGATGATTACGAATGTTCAGTTTGTTTATCAGTTTATGAAGAAGGGGAAGAAGTGAGGAAGCTACCACGGTGCAACCACTGTTTCCATGTTGTGTGCATAGACATGTGGCTTTACTCTCACTTTGATTGCCCAATTTGTAGAACACCCGTTGGGCCTTTTTGCCACCCTTTTCCGGCAGAGAATTCTCGTGATGTGTTGATGGAATCCGGTGGCATCATCAACACTGTTAATTGAGCTCAGAAATAATGTGTGGGGCCTTTGTCCTTTGCCGATGGGACGTTCACTGAGCGACAACTTCAACACCACCACTTTAGGTTCTTAGTACTTCAGAACAATTTAGGGTTAAGAACCAAGGGGCAAATTTTTACCCATTTTGCTTATTATTCACAAGCACTTTATTTAATATTAAATATATGTAAATCATTTTTTTAATATATATTTTTTATATAATTTATATAATCTCAGTTTTTTATTTTTAAACGAGAGGATATCTCTTTTGTTTCTTATTGTGATATGTCTTTATTATTATTTAATGCTTATTTTCATGCTTTTTAAACTATCTAATCATCTTTTATTTTTAAAAGTTTGTATTAAAAAAATTTTAATGTGAAAATTTGTATTTTCAAATTAACGTTTTAATTTTTTTCATCCCTAATTTAAAATGATTATTTATGTATTTAAATTAATAATATATGTGTTTTTATTCAGTAAAAAAAAATCGTTTCTTTTGATTTTTGATTTTTAATTTTTAGATAACATTTTATATTTATTAAAATTTTGGTTTTATTTTTTATTCAATTTAAACATTCATCTTAATTTTCATTTTAGTTAATCCTCTCTACAATAACAACACATCTAAGAGAAGCATTTTAACAGTGCTAACCTATTCCCATTTTGCTCTTCTAAATCTACCCCCAACTCTTTTTTTTTTTAACCTCATGAAACTCCTTCCACCGTTGCCACTACCTTCACTAGCAAGTGCCACAACACCAACCATTCCCCCCCACCACTAATTAAGTGGCAGCCCCATTGGAATCAACCCCATGTAGCAATGGCTTCCAACTATTTGAAGTCATAAGCAATATCACCATTTTCATCAACCCTCACACTTCTCATCTCTTCACCTTTTGCAAATCACTAAATACTAATTAGCCTCCATTCCCAAAGCTTTAAACTTTGTCAATTACCACACAACAAAAAGTTAAAGAACCACCCTACCACAACATTTTCCTTGCTACTTAGCGCCCCAATTCCTAAACCAAGCTTCCCATGCTTTACACTTACAAAAAATCTAACCACCCCAATATCCCTTCCACATCCATATCAACTTCTCTTCTCTGCTAATGCTTAATTAAAAAATGTCCAAATAGTAGGGTATTTGCTTAATTTGTTCAACAAGGTCCCCTTCTTCCAAAAGTAGCTGACTAAAGAGTTGCTAAAGGTGTTGGTGAAATCAAGTCATGTGAACAAAGTGCTCCATGTCTAATGGTTGGTGTTGGGAGACTCCTAGAAATGATTGTGATGGTGGAGGAGGTAAAATGGCAAAGGGAGTGGCGCGAAGCAAAAGAAGGAATGAGATGAAATTGGAAGGTTACTATGTGAATGTATTAGGGCCATTAAGACGATTCCCTGCGTACTAATTAAAATTTATAATGGGAATGGGCATGTGTTTCGATTATTATTATTTTAATATTTTTTTAAATGTGTCTAATAGTAAAAAATATAATTTGTTAAACATTATACAGAATAAAAAAATATGTATACTGATTTTTTCTTAAAAATATGGATTTAATATACCTTAATACATTAGTACTATTAAGTGATAATATTTAATAAAATAATTGTATATAATTTTTTTATTATATGTAATGTTTTACAAGTTCAAAATTACTATAAATATATAATAAAAATTAATAAATAATAATATTATCAACACAGTGAATTATGTAATATCTTATAATTTTTAGTAAAAATTTATTATACATAAATTTATTGTGTGTTATTAAAGACATTAAAAAATTGTATTGTAATAGTTAACAATATTTGCAATTAATTATTATGAAAATTGATTATATAAAATAATTTTTATATTTAAATATGCTTAGATAAAAATGATTTTTAAATAAATTAATTTTGATTGGATCACTCTTTTCTTTTCAAAGTAAAGTTATAAAAAGTAAAAAGTTACGTGTAAAAATTAATTTTATATTTGAAACAATCATTTATTAAAAATAGAAAGTAACTGAAAAATAAGTTGATAACTTTTAGTCATAAATTTAAAAAAAAATTATCTTAAATAAAATCATTTTTTAAAACAGTAAAAAACTACAAGGTAATTTCTAAAATTTATCAAATAAAAATAAGTATTTCTTAAGCTTTTTATTTTATCACAAAAAATAATCTAATCTGAATCGACAATAAGATAAAACGAAAATGAATTTATTTATTGAATAAAATAAAAAATGATAATTTTTATTTTATCATCATGTTTTTATAATTTTTTAAAATAATAGAATATAAAAAGTCTGTATTATATTATCTATATGTTTATTATTTTTTATACATATATTAAATGTAAAATAAGAGAAGAGACTATTTTAATTTTATTTTATTATATTTTTTATCTATATTTTATATCCTTAGGTTTGAATGACCAAATTACATAAAATATATATATACATATATATATATATATATAAACTAACATATTAAATAAAAATGATACTAAAAGCATAATTTAATATTTTTATTTAAATTAAAAGATATGTACAGTATACAGAATGTAGCTAAATAAAATACAAAAAATAAAATAAAATTATACATACTTAAAAATTTAAAATTACAGAGTTTATAAATTGGATGATGCAACTGCCTTTTCTATTTAAGGTGGGTGGGGGCGGCTTTCAGCACTTTATTGATTCAGCTTAGGCTATTCGCTGTGGTCCATTTCTGTCTGCATCATTTCTATTTCTCCTTTTTTTAATTATTATTCACTTTTAATGCTATCATTTACAAATTTAATAAATAAATAATATTAAATACTATGCTTTTCAAAAATTGTTTTATTTTTCCTAATGTGTGTAAAAAAGGCGCCGTTAATAATTCCTAATCGAATTAATTAAAAATTGAAAATGTCAAAACTTGTGAATATGAATTTTTTATTGAATTAGAATGAATATTAAATTTAATTTTGCAAAATAATTTTTTCTCTAAAAATCGATGTAATCTAATTCATGAATCTACTCACCGATTGAGGCATTAATAAAGTAAAACTATATTTTTAAAAATATGAATACAATTATTATTAAATTTTAATAATTAAAATTAATATATACTCAGTACTATCCTACCTATTTTAAACATAATTACTTTCAACAGAAGACACATGTAGTTTATACAATAAATATAAATATATATATATATATATATATAATTAAATGATTTTTTTCTAGTCTTAAAATCAAGTTCAATTCAAAGTTTATTCCAATTCTAGCGTGTAGCCGTTGAATTGCATTAAACAGTATGTCAAAGGAAAGGGTCAAATTGAAGATGTGGTGAAAAGTATACACGCGAAAGGTCTCAAATGTTTAGCCTCTTCACTCGCGAGGATAAATATTTTTGTAAATTAATAAAATTATATTTTTAGAATGATGTGTATAATAACCATACAATTTTATTATATATAATTTTGGGAACGTTCAAAATTCTAAGTATAGATGAATTGATTCTTAAGTATATACATTCATTAAGTTGAAAACACATTATGGTGTTTAATTGAATATCAAAACATAAAAGGTGTGCATTATTTGGTTTAGATTGATTTGAATTGGAGATGGTAGCTACAAGGATTTAGGTGGGTAGTATCTAGCTCAATATCATCCAATGTCACTACTCTGGTGACACCTAAATCCTTAGTAATAAGGATCTCTATCAAATATCCACTAAGGAATCAAAAAAAGAGTTTAGAAACAAATTTCGTCCAATACAATGATAACAATCCTATTGACATAACACATTTAGATATTTCAACAAAAAAAGTTCTCTGCTGCAATTTACTTATTGATCTAGCTTTACGATGTTCAAACAAGATTTTTAGTGTAAAATTTCTAAAAGAAGGATGCTGATGTGGTGTATTCTGCTCTTTAGGCATTGATGGTGCTAAAACTAGTGTTGGGTTCACAAAAATCTAAAAAGAAATTTTATTCTTGCTTTTTCAACATTGATAATGCCATCATTATGTGCTTATTGTGATAAAAGGTGTTTAGATTTCAACATGTTTACTAAGTGACAATTTTGACACCACATTGAGGACGCTCTACAAAAGTTAAGGCAACATTCTTAAAGTGTAGTTTGCATTTCACCTTCTTCATCAATTGTGCAAGAGTCTTGCATTATTGACTCCAAAGGCACAATGCTCTTCCAAAGAAATAGTCTTACAAGCTATATGCAGAAATAACATTGAAGGAATATATGACTGACCATGTGATTTTAGAGTTAAAGACTCATTACTTATAAGGTACCTGTGCTTGAAGCCATGAGACCTAGAATAAGTTGTAATAGTTCAACATTTGTTGGGCTTTTATATTTCAAACATTGGATCTAGGTAAAAGCCACCATAATCAATTTTTAAAGCTTAGTAGCTGCAAAGAGTCATAGATGCTTGAAATGAGGCATTTAACAAATTACTTCCAATAATTTTAAGCTTTCATGAGGTTTGAAATGTTAAACTCGTGACATTAACATTATTCTAGTAGAGTGTAAATGTTCATTTAAACAATTAATTTAGGTGTTACAACTGAGAGGTTTTTGCTAATTAAATGCTCAGATTTGTTGTGTTTTAAGATTCAAGGGAGGATTTTAAAATCATGTACCCAACGATGTTATCCTAATAAGTCGCTATCTTAATTGTATAGCTAACACAATCTTTGCACAACCAAGTAAGTCTAGGTTTTAAAAATAAAAATAAAGCATTGTTCCTCATTTTTTTTAGTAGCGTTTCCTCCTCTTTCACTCCTTCGACTTTAGAACATCAGTTCATAATGTTAAATGAGCATTTTGGGGGACACAATTCATAGTTTGAATAAATTTTGTTATATGCATGATTATTTTGTGTAAATATTGATGTGATTTCCTATTTTATAAGAAATGCGTATTTAAATTCATATTTAATCGGTTTCAAATTTATGTTTATGTTTACTCAAATTTATTAATTATAGTTTGTGTATTAATGTAATTTTAAAGCATGTTAAAATACTGTTACAAACACAATACAATTAATTTTGAAAATGAATAAAAATATTTCTTATATATATATATATATCACGAAAGTGTACATCAAATTGGGAAAGAATCTCAAAATAACCTAGCTGATTGATCAACACGAATATGTTACATATTTTTTAAAATTAAATTTAAGATTTAATAACATTGAGAAATATTTTAGGCATTGCTTACTCTCAGATTGGCAAAAAAGAAAAAGTTGAAAAAAAAAGTATATATGCAAAAATGTTAAAGTAATACTTACAGTCAAAAGATAATAGAAAACTACTCAAGATAGTTCACATACAAAGAAAGTTATCGTAGGTACAAATAAAAAGAGTGGAATGATATAACTTTTAACTTAATAAATAAAGTAGAAGACGACTTAAGAAAACCTTAGACATAAAAAAATTTGATCTATAATTGAGTACAATAGTATTGTGTAATTTATGTATCTAATCTAAAAAGTTTGATTTTATTATGTTACACTTTTCACCATCCTTAAAAAATATTTAATGATAAATAATACATAAAAAAATAGTTTTTTTTATTTATTATTATTGAATTTGATGGTGTTATTGTACACTTTCCACAGTCCTGTCATCGCTTTGATTCAATACTACTTCAGTAACATTACTAGAAATCCCACGTTGCCGGATATTGTCATTTGAAGATATGATCAGATTCACAAAAACATTTCTCCAATTTTATTATATCCCTGCATTCATTTTAAACCCATTTTTGACAGGCGAAAATGTATTTGATGCACAGAGAGAATCAGCCTTCCATGTACATCAGTTTGTATGTACTTACACATAACATATTTTTGGGTGAGAAGGGAAATATACTACTGCTACAAACTAAATAATTCAAAGGTTGCACTATTTAACATATAAAAACTGATAAAGGAATTTTATTTATTTAAAAAAACCATCATTTTATAATTATGAGTTCATCACATCGTGGCACCACTTATCAATCTATATGGTACATATGAGCATCACTCTCCCTATATCATAGAGGATAGACTACATTTTTCTCAAATTATCTAACCTTGACTGTAAATCACTATCTAACCCATTCTCATCATTCCCTGTAGTTTCAACTTGAGGTACCTTACTCTTTGCAGCTGGGGCAGCAACAGCTGAAGATGGTGCATTCACAAGCTGTGCAACAAACAAAAACTTGTTATGCTTTGTTATAGTGACAAAGTCATTTAGTTTTAAGTGAAAAGAGATGTTGAGTGGGAAACAATAAACATACCTCTTGGTTTATGTCAATTCCAATCTCATCAAGAACCTGATTCACTAGGTCTTCTGTTTCTTCTTCTTCTTCGTCTCCTTCCATCGCATCGTCTATTGCATCTCCCATCATCTCAGTCGTCAATTCCATCTTCTCATTCTGTCTCTCAAATTCTTGCATAATTTTCTGCAGAGATGGCAAGTTCATTTGCCTATTCATTTGTCCCATGGCCTTTGTCACGCCTTTCATAGCCTCACCCATTGCTTGAGTTGATTTCAAAGTCTGAACAATTGTAGAACAAAAGAACAGCTTTTAGTACTTGGTTAACATAAGGACAATGATTTTTTATCAAAATTATGCAGGTGTTAGCCAGTTAATCACAAACCATGAAACACGAATTCCACAAGCCTTAGACAAAACTATTATCCTATATTTAACAATATCAATAGAACAAATTACAAAAAGCCTCAACAACATACCTGAATTCTGAGTGATACACCTTGGAGCTGTGATTTTAGCTTATAAAATTTTTCAATCTGATGTCTTGTTCTAACAAGATCTTTTGCCATAACTCTAACAGCTCCCTGGACAACGTTACATGAAATACAAAAATGGCATTGGTGAAACATGTACCGTAAACAACAGAGAAACACATATAGACAAAATTATATTTGAGTTAACAATTTGAACTCACTGGTAAAAGAAATTGAAAATCATTAGCAAGCCATTTCCACTATCTTGCAAGAAGCACACTAGTTAACATTTTACATTTAATCTCATGCTATTTTTCAGAACACCCAAATCGGATGTGAAAGAGTTCAAATTTAAGAAAATGATAGTCATATTCATTTAACTTACGGGCTGTTAAAATAATTGAAAACTAAACAATACAATTTTGTGTGATTTTGCAGAGATTGAGAGGAACTTAAACTATATTCACCAATATATTGTATACAACACCATAAATCTCATTTTCCCTTCAGCATGCAATGTTGCAAACGACTAGACAAAAAATATCAGAAATGACAATGGAATTGAAGTGTCAAATACATTCTAGACACCCTGAATTCAATGAAAGAAGGATTAAAAAGCTTCATAAGGTTAAAAAAAAAAAATGTGATCCATTTCACTAGAAGTAATTCTAGTATATTTCTCTCTAAGGAGATAGGAGACTTAAGAATCTCATTAGTTCTACAGCAGTAGTTAGCAGATCCATAAGGAAAACAGGCATCATATGATAAAATTAAGTACAACAATTTCACCAGAGCAAAGAAGCTGAAAATAGTAAGAATAAAAAAAGTAAAACGAAATGAATCATCAGCCATAATTCAACAAGCTATGCCACAACCAAAAACTAGGTAAAAGAGGCAAATGATGTAATCAAGGCACAATCACAAACCATACCATCTGGCCTTGTTTGGCACTTTTCTTTATCTCCAAAATCAATTTCTTCTCTTGTGCTTGTAAACCTTGCCTCTCGCGCTCGATTTCTCTTATTGATTTGTCCAACATCCTCTTATTTTCCCGCAGAAGCTCTGAAAACCACAACATTAGAGTCATGTACCGCGAAATCAATATGGAGTGTTTCATCTCGCAAAACGATGTGTTAGCAATAATCCTTACTGATATACACTCTCATTTGAATCAATTAGACAAGTAAATTGGCAAGTTACTAGTTTCTTAAAATTTCGATTCTCACAGTTGCAAAAAGCATGTTTGAAATTGAAAAGAAAACGGGTATAATTGTTCTAATTTCTGTATATTACCAGAACAAAGATAGAAAAGCTTATAAAAAAATATAAAATACCAGAAATCTTAAGGTAAATATCTAATACGGCAACCACAAAAGACAGAAGATAAATAAAAGCAGAGGGAAAATATAATTATAAAAAAAATTTAACATTTTTAGAAATGATCGAACAGGTTTAGACAATGCAAAAAAAATTGATGACGGTTGATAACCCTTTGATCAAAATTGAGCAACCCCATTTTGAAAATTCAAAGATTTTTTTAAAAAAATTTCTTCTGAGTTTCATCCGGGACGTGATGATGAACAAACCTGCGGGTGTTTTTCTCTTTCCAAAGATGAAACTCATGGCGCTGAAACGAACAACCTTAGCAGAGATCGAAGAGAAAATCTAGAAGATAAGAAAACAAGGTGTGAGATACGTGTTCAGCGTTTGGGATTTGGTGGCAATGCTTTTGATCGTGCAGCTTGCTTACGCGGTAAGCGTTGAAACAGAGGAATCATCAATGAACCATTGTTTCCATCTTTTGCTACACGTGCGGAGTAGTTTCCTTGAACTTACCATATAGAACTTTCCATCTTTTGACATATACAAGTGTTGGTCATTATGTTGTAACTTAGTGATTTATTTATTAACGATGTGACACAGTGACGGGGTTCAAAGTCTAAAATTTTTCTCATAAACATCAATTTTGGTCTCCGAAACACTTTAATCATTCAATTGATCTCTAAAACATCCTTAATACAAATTACTAGTAAAGTGGTAAGTTTAACTTGGTAGTTGTGTATTTGGGTTGCAAGTTCCAATACGATAGTAGTTGTGATTGAGAGGTGATCGTGTGATGGTTCTACGATATTTAACCTACAATGACTTGTGAGTTTATGGTGACATTGCAATAAATGGAAGCCAAAGCATAGTGCTTGGGTGGGGTCAGTGGTGTCAACAATAATGGAATGTGACGATTCCATTATAAGGATTAAATTTTGATTAAGAGGATGTTCTGCGAGATAAATGGTTTTCAAATGCGATTTTCAATCAAAGAAGACAAGGATGTGAAAGAAGTTGATTTAGGTGTATAGGAACTAAATTAACTAATTAAGAACTTTTGGCCAGTATATTAATTAATTAAGAATTCTTTTAAAAAATTTAATTTATTTTTTTTAAAGTATTTGTCAAATTACACATAAATTTGAGAGGACAAAATATCTTTTTAATTTACAAAATACTACAAAATTATTATTTTTAAATATTAAATTAACCAATTTTTAAATTTTAATCACATCATACCATTACATCACTTAGTAAATATTTCACTTACCATGTCTAATTGAAATTTAATCTATTAAATCAATATTTATGTTTAGATAATTAACACATAAGTAATATTAAATACTAAAATGACGGATAAATTTTAAGTTGGTTACTAAAATAACATGTTACTCAATTTGAGATGAATTTTTGTAAAAATGAAGGCGACCAAAGTATCAATATTTTAAAAAATACTTTTAACAATTTAACTAATTAATTTAAATTTTTTATAAAATAGTTGTATACAAAATTTTACTAAATTTAAATACTAATTGATTACTTCATTGCTCTGTTATATTTTAACAAATAATATATTATTTAAAGTATGAGTAACAGGATAAAATTGAGTTGCATATCAATGTATTATTAAATTAGTAATATTATATACATGAACTTTATGATAATATTATAATCATGATAAAACTTATTTTGATAAAAAAAAAAAAAGTTATCACATGTATCATTTTACTAAATAATACACACATTTATACATAGTTATAAAAAAATATAAAATAATTCAATAATTAAATTAATTAATATTTTATTTTACAAAAAGTTATTAAATAATATAAACGTTCAATTGTAATATTTTTTTGGGGGTTGAGAGATATTTACATTTCGAACTCTTGAGATAAGTCTGCCTATCTATACTATGGGCCTTCCTCTTTTGTAGTAAATGGATCTAACTTTTTGGTTTCCCCAAAATTCTAGTTGTATTAGCATACTATAAGTTTCAAACAATCGACAAAAAAATAGAAGTTTCGAACAGAAAAAGGTATCCAACCCAATATATTAAATAATCAATTTTAACTTAGCCACAGCACACAGGTACTGCTTAGGTCATATTTTTGAAGGTGTCCAATTTTTTGGGTACTTAGATTTTTGGAGCCTTTGGGCCAGTACTGCCTAAGGCATTGTATTTATTTGGGCCATCAGTTGGACTCGTGTGGCCTTTGTTTGGCCAAGGCCGCTTATTTCCTTTGCCACCAAAAAAAAAATGTTGACCAAAATAAATTTGTTTAACTAGTTTTACGTAGAATACGTGAAATAAATAAATTTCCTATTGTTTGCATAGGCTTGCAATTTAAACAGAACTAACAAGTATACTATGTTGAATGGGTGTGCTTATTGAAAAGTAACTACATATAGTTTATTGAAGGATTGGATATCTTTTATCTATGTATTTATTTATATTAATTATTACAACCTCCATTTATTGTTTATAAACCTTGTTATTGAAAACAATGAGGAAACACAATCTTAGAATAGCCAAAACGACATCGCAAAATAACATTGAAAAGTAATAAATTCATATTCAGTGAGGGGTTTGTGTTAAAAAGTAACAAATAATTTATTATACGAAGATACAACTTGTAGCCGTGTATTTATAGAAATTATTACAACTTTTTTTAGTATTTATACATCTTGTTATTGAAACTACAAGGAAACACAATCATAGAAAGAGCCAAAACAATAGCGCAAAATAATGTTGAAACTTAACAAATCTAAATTTAACGAGGTGTTTGTGTTAAATTAAAACTTGTGACTTACTTTTTTAAGAACAAAAATAACTAAAACTTGTAAAAAATAGAATGAAAGTTGTACCACAAAAAATGGTAGTTAGTTTGAGGATATATAAAGCTCAATTTCATTTTCCTTAGAAACTCAATATCACACAAACATTGATCTTTCCTGGTTTTCAGCAACATCATGAAGATCTTCATTCTTTTTAGCTTTGCTTTTGCATGTAGTTTTATGAAAATTGTTGTTTCAAATGCTAATCCTGTTTCATATGAAGCTATTTTTAACTTTGGTGATTCTATAAGTGATACTGGAAATGCTGCTACTTATAATCCGGCTATGCCTAGCAATAGTCCTTATGGCTCAACATATTTTAAACATCCCTCTGGGCGTATGTCGGATGGACGATTAATAATCGATTTTATAGGTATTTTGATCTTCTTCTTTTTTAATAGCTTAAATAAAATTTCTTTACATGGAAAGGAATATAAGTTAATGTATCCCTACAATCATACTTTTTATTGAATAAATAATCAATTTATGGTCATTTTTATTATAGCCGAAGCATATGGATTGCCAATGTTGCCTGCCTATTTGAATCTTACCAAAGAACAAGACATTCGAAAAGGAGTAAACTTTGCATATGCTGGTGCAACTGCCCTCTCTGAGAATTTTTTCTTACAAAAGCAAGTTAATATACCAGTGGCAGCTGCTTATTCATTGAATGTTCAACTTGATTGGTTTAAGAAGCTTAAGTCTTCCCTTTGTCAAAATAAAGAAGGTTTTATTAAAGTTTATTTAATAATGTTTATGTTAAATATTTTAAAATATTTTAATATTACTAACAATTTTTATTCTTTTTTTATGACAGAGTGTGATAATTTATTTAAAAAATCACTATTTATAGTTGGAGAGATTGGAGGAAATGATATTAATGCGCTTATACCATATAAAAATATTACTGCACTTCAAGAGTTGGTTCCACCAATTGTTGAAGAAATTACCAACATCACAACTGTACGTTTTATCAAATATGAGTAATTGAATGTTTAGTTAAATTTCAATACTTTAGTTAGACTTGATTTGAAATATAATTAATTTGAAATTGAATTTAACTTTTGTTTTCTTATTTATTAGAAATTAATAGAAGAAGGAGCAGTAGAGCTAGCGGTGCCAGGAAACTTTCCAATTGGATGCAATTCTGGTGTTTTGACAATAGTGAATAGCGATAAGAACGATGACTATGACCAATTTGGATGCTTAACTTCTTACAATGATTTCATTGAAAATTATAATGAGCAAATAAAAAAGGCCATAGATATATTAAGACAGAAGAATTCACAAGTTAAGATAATATATTTTGACTATTATGGTGCTGCTAAACGTTTATTTCAAGCTCCACAAGAATATGGTAAGTTATGTTTTCTATTGTTTCTGTATTTAATGAGTTATAGTTACATGTGATCACTAATTTTACTAAAACTTATTTCAATAATGTGCATTGATTTATGTAATGTAGGCTTTCCTTCAGAAAGAAAAGAAACTTTTAAAGCATGTTGCGGAAAAGGTGAACCTTACAATGTTGATATAAATATATTTTGTGGAAGTCCTGCTTCAATAACTTGTTCAGATCCTTCAAAACATATAAATTGGGATGGAGTTCACTTTACTGAAGCAGCATATAAGCAAATTGCAAAAGGAATTCTTGAAGGCTCTTTTGCAAATCCTCCTCTTAGATCCCCTCCTATCAAGATAGAATAAAATGAGAATAAACTTTAACCATGTCTTTTATGCATGCTTTGACATGTATGGATGAATGTACACAAGCAAAAAGTTGCTAAAATAAGATTATGTGGAACTGCTATATAATTACAATTGTTTTCTAAATTATTAATAAAATATATGTTCTTAATTGTTGTACAATTCTAATTATGAATAGTTATAATACTTGTTTGCTTCATTTTTTTTGGTTCTAAATTTATTAAAATTTGATTTTAACATATAAAATATGTTAAATAAAATTATTATACATCTAAAAATAAGATATACAAATAAATAATAATTTTCATTCAATAATTAAAAAAGTATAACTTTATTAAAATTTTAAAATCATTTTAAAATAAAATTGATGCTTAACAATAAAAATTAAATTAAATTATATCATAATTTTATATTATATTTAATATTTTGAATATAGCATGTGTTTATTTTTTTTTATTATGAAGCTACTTAAATAACACATATTTAACTAATATTTTATAGATGAGAATAAGAATATGTTTTGACCATGTCTTTTTTATCCATGCTTTGGTATGTACGAATGAGCGTTGCTGGGGAACAAGGAGCATGTGGAGCTACTATATAATTACAATTATTCTCTTAATCGTCAATAAAAAATATGTTTTCATTATGGTGTAATTATAATTTGTAACTGGTTATAAAACTTGTGTGTTGCACGTAATAAAAAATTAATTTAAATATATTGTATGCTCAATAAAATATTATCTATTATATCTATAAAATATATAAATAAATGATAAATTAGGATTTTATCATAATCTTATATTATATTTAATATCTTTAAAAATGGTAACGATTGTAGTGTTTTAACGGTGTTTGGATCAAGTGTAGAGCTACATATAGTGTTTAAAAGCATTGGGAATTTACTTAGGAAAAAGAAAGTGTGATTGGGAGAATTAAATTAAATGCTGAGATTTGCATAGTTTTTACTTTTCTGAGTATAATTATTTATAGGGGATAGAAAAAGCACCGTACTCACCACACGTGCGCACGTGACTCATCACTTTTCTATACAAAAGCTGTCATGCGTCTGCAATGGTGATGTGAGCCCCACTTAGCCACGTGTGGCTTTTGCTTTACATTATTATTTCTAAAACATCGTTTTTTCACATTTACTTTTTATAATATTAATAAATTATTAATTTCCCGTATATTTTAATATAAAATTGTAAATTTATTTATTTTTTATTACCATCTTTAAAACATTTGTTCATAAAATCATTCTTCTTACATGTTTCTTTATTTTTCTTTTTATCGTACCATTTATTATGTTTAGTATTATTTTTATTTTATTTTTTTCTTGATAAGTTTATATTTAAAGTATTAAAATAAAATATAATTAAAAATGGTGTGAACATAACGTCCACAACAAAATGAATTATTGTCGGACAGCCTTATATGAACTAAGAAGGCTGTGGCGTAGCCAAAGTAACTTATACCAACTAACTTTGTTTTTTATTATTAAATCCGTTTCTTAGTTGTTCTACATAATTCCAAAATGCAAATTCCAATAATTTCAGTATTTTAAAAAAATTGTAATAGCATTAAATTAATACCTATATTTTATTAAAATAAAATTTTAATTTTAATTGATAACTTAAAGAAGATATAAATTTTATCCTTACTTATATCTATGTTTCTCTGAATGCTAATTAAAATTATAAAAATTATAGGAGTATCACTTTTAATTTAATGAATTTTTATTCATATTTTTTTATTTTTAATAAAATTTAAGCTAATAATTAAAAATACATTACACACTTTTCTTAACATATTTTTTATTATCAATTAAAATTTATTAAAAATATAAAATCACGAGTATGACTCATTGAATTATAAGTAAAATTTATATAATTTTATCATTTTAAATAAATTTCAGTTAATAATAAAGAATGTAATTGAAAAAAATGTACTAGGAATGCATAACATATTGTTAGTATTTCTCTTAGCAAAATCAAACACCAACATGCTTTGTGGCCTGCATTAGCCACCCGTGTCTTAAATGCATAAACTAGGCTTTTCTAATAATAGTTTTAGAAAAGAATGAAAAGGACTATAGCAGAATTTGGAGAGGCTAGTTGCTAAGGTATGCACCCTTCCATGGCAACAAGAAGCCAAAGGGATTGTAGGTTTGGATATAGTAGGTATATATGGCTGCTTTGTGTGGTCCTTAACTTTCAACCTACTGTGATAATGTGATGGTGCTTCCACATGAGCTTGCTGCACATTTAAATCTTCGTATAGTACTTGCCACTGCTTGTGCTTGGTTGTTAAGAAACATCCCCACTACTGCACACTGCCATTATGTATTATACATGCAATGGTAATTAATTGCAGTATTTTTTTTTTTTTAATTTTAACTTGATCACACTTAAGTGCATATTTTAGAAACACTTAAATTTAAAAACAATATTATCTTTTATAAATTCTTTTGAAAACTAATAGAAATAAATAATTATTTCTTTAAAATACTAAATCAAACACACATTAACTATGACTTCAACTTATGCTTTTCTGCCTCCTCAAACTTTCTCTTTCTCATTTTCTGTCTCTTGTTAACATAGACTAAACAAGTTTATAACAGAGAATCACATTCAAACGAATTTTGTATTTTGTCGAGTAATGTTGTTTATGATTAACTAAAGCATTATTTTTGTCATTTTTTGTGTCTCTAAACAAATGTATACTTGAGAAAGCATCAATGTATCATAATTTCCATTTAAACCAACAAACACACATGAATCATGTAATAAAAACTGTAATATATTATGAATAAAGCACATTTTGCATGCAATTCTGGATATGGTTTAAGTTTAGTTAGTGGTAAATAAAAACATTTATTAACCTTAGTCCTTAATATTGAATTTAAATAACTTAAGATGATATTAGAAAAGAGAGTAATTATTATACTTTCATATCTTTAATGTAATAAATATTTTTTTAAGAAAATAAAAATTTAGATGCTTAAACTCATTTCTAAAATTTGAAATTAATAAAATCAATAAAAAAAATTATATCATTGGAATCATTAGTATTTTTTTCTCATAAAATTTTCCCAAAACTTGCTTTTTGAATAGGTAGTATCACATAATTTAGTAATAATATGGATCCCTTTCTTATCCAGGTGGAAATTGAATTTACAGCTAACTAAACTTCCTTAATGAAGTTTTCATAATGTAGGATTGATAAGGAATTTGGCAATGATAGCACATATAAAGACTCAAATCAAATGTCACCCGCTAATCGCTTTAACTTATATTATTAAAGCCTTCCTATGTCATCACTAATCTCATTGTTGGCAGTAAGTAAATCATTTGCTTTCTTTGTTAACTTTTCATTTCTTCATTTTAATCTTTTACTTTAGGAAGGATCATTAATTAAGAGATATATGCTGTTAAATGTCAACCAAGGTGGCCACTGGTGTCTCATAGCATATTACCAGTTCGTAGAAAATAACTTTCATGAATGCCTTTTAGTTTTTAATTTCGCTATTTAAACTATTAAAAATTGAAAATATGTATGATATTATATACTATTTGTTTTATTTATTTATTTTCCTTTGTATCTGTAAGTATCTCAAACATACATTCCAATATGAAAGAGAACATCTTTAATATCTATTACCAATGGAGCAAGCAACATTTTCCTTTATTTTTAACCTTTGGTGTGTTGTTTTTCTCGTTTGGTGTAAAAAGTTATTTAGTTTGAATGAGCCATCATGCCTGATCCTACCACATGTTGACTTCTCCAATTCATATCGGAGGCCCTACATTGTCTGCTTTGCATCTAATATTTCACTTTCTCCATTTTATATGTTTGGTTATCATTTGTCAATTAGCTAGCCTTCAATTTTGGCTTTACAACCTGCAATATCAGTTCAAATTCACACTCTAATTGCGACTTTCAAATGAGCAAAATGTGGTGAGTAGTAATCATTTATTGAAATCTCCTATCACGTTAAAGTGAGGGAGATTTTTACTGTGTTTCACCAAAGGCCATGTGCTAAACCAGTGGAAAAGCTCCTTTTTCTACTCTTCTTTTCTCATCAGTGAGGAAAAGAAAAAAATCTCTTAAACGACAATTTTTATCCTTGCTTTTTATCTCTCCAGCTATGATAAGATACTATGCATTTGTAACAATTTTGGTACATAGTTTAAGAAGAAAAAAAAATCTCGATCATTCTCTTTCTTTTGCTTTTTATCTCTTTTCAGTTTGTCGTAGTATGCTTTGACAAAATTGTTCAAGTGAACGTGAGAATGCTTTCAGCTATTACGCTCTCTCAGACCCTCGATATCCAATTTGTCCCAAAATTTGTCCAATATATAATATATGAACAAAATTTAAGCTGCAGTATTAAAGTTTAGTTTAAATTAAAAAATAACATCGAAAACGCTTTAGAAAGTACACTTAAGTTTTATCCATGATACTATATTCCTAGCACGCATGATTGAAGCCTATAAGGCACCCCAACTATGTCATTAAAAAAATTGAAATAAAACGTAGCACACGTAAATCTCCTTGAAGAAAGAATAATGAATTATTTTCAATTGAGCTCCAGAAATCATGGAATTAATTACATCCCCCTTTTTTTTTTCTCATGAAGAGGATACAAATCTACAAACGAAGACCATTAGCGATGGCCTTATTCGTTTCTAAATTTGTAGTTTCATAAACGGGAAGCTCTTCTTGGTACCTTGCAGCTCCAATAAGATGATCCAATTCAAACAGGTCCGAACTTGAATAACTCAAAGCATCATCGTCATCGTCTTCATCACCATCACCATCATCATAAAAACCTCTAAAACCGAACTTATTATTATTATTACCCTTACCAGAATTTTGGTAACCCTTCACAAAACCATTATCTTTGGCCACAACACAATTCTTCACCTCCTTTGTCATGGAAGTTATTGTTCGAACACTTGGTAACGGCAACAAACTTGGATCGTTCTCATAAGTGTACCTGTGGCTACATGGTTGAGAATCCTCTCCAAGGATAACACTAACTGGGTAAAACCTCACGGTTCTTTTGGTTCCGTTGGTGGGTTTTGTTTTGCTCATGCAAGACCTTCTCGAAAACGAAGACGCTGAAGAAGAGAAACACGGTGACTTAGTTGTGTGTTCAAAAGTAACATCCTCAACAGCACCAACGTAGCACATTTTGGCCTTTTTCACGTTCCCAGAGTTGAAGATTGAGCTAAGGAAACTAGCTATGCGACTTCCCGGTGAAATGGGTTGCTTCACTTTCTGATTCAACTCGCCGTAGATCTTCAAAGCCCTTAACTTTGTCCTCGCAAAACCACCTTGACCCTCTCTCTTTGGCTTTTGCTGATGTTGCTTCTTCTCTGACTTGGGTTTTGATTTGTGAATTGTTTCTGTTTCTGAGGATGAGAACAATGACTCTGAAGAGGTTGAAGTTGAATTCAAGAAGTTAGAGCTGTGGGAGTGTGAGCTTTGTTTCTCGATCCAATCTTCTACCATAACGGTTCGGTGAAGATTAGTCTTCTCTTTGTTTTGACTTCTGTCTCTGTGGTAGTTGTTGTGGGTAAATTTGCTCTGTTTTGGGGTGTAGGTGGTTGTGTCTTTGAAGTGACCCAGTTGTTGATCCTCGTCAAGGTTGGATTTTGATTCGTCGATTGAACGGTAAATGGCGTCTAAGAGGGATGAGGAGAAAGAGGGGGTTCTTTTTCTTTGAGGGTATGATTCATCTCTCGTAATTTTTCTCTCCATGTTGTGCATGCTATGTGGGGTTTGTGCACACTACAGTTTCTGCTATCACGTGGATTTATAGGGAAAGTGGAAGCATAGAAGATGTTGGGAGGGAAGGGAAAGGGTGTGTGTGCGTGCGTGTGGTGATGAGAGGAGAGAGAAGAGTGAGAGTGAGGTTTAGTTTAAGGGTGGAGAAGAGCTGTGATGTTGGGGCAGAGAATGTCAAAAGCTGCGACAGAAATTTAATAGAGGGGAAACTAGATCATGTGAGAAACAGAGAAAGATTGCGTGTGATATGAGGTTTTTAAGAGAGAGAGAGAGAGAGAGAGAGAGAGGCAGAGGGTGGAGAATGGGGAATTTTGGTGACAAGTGACAACGTGGGTTGGGATCGTGTTTTTGTGTGTCTGTAGCGAGCATTTTTAAGTGTTTGTAGCGGCAGGGGAGTGTACAGCTTTATGTGAGCATCAACGTTAATGGGAAATATGACTTTCATCAATCACACTCTTATTGCCACCCCTTTTCATTAAATTACCACAAACCTTGTAACTTGTATTTTATAATTCATCAAAATATTACAAAATAAATAACATTTATAGTTAAAAGTTAAAATTAATTCAAAATATATTGACTGATTAAAAAAATATCACTTTGTGTGAGTATGAATTTTATTTAACAGGTAAGAATAAAAATATTAAACATTAACTTTTGATAAATTAGATATTACTTAGAATATTTTTTTATTAGTTCACTTTTAACAATTATAGTTTTCTTTTATTTTTTTTATCAAACAAATTTATTAACGTATTAAAAAAAGTTACAATATCTTAAATACACTTATACTTTATTATCATCCTTTTGAAATTGATGATAACATGATGTGTGTTTGGAAGGGTATTAATAAATTTTCGTTTAAATGAATCTGATTTTGTAAAATTAGTCGTGTATAAAAAGTGGTTTAAAATAGTGTATTAAAAACTTTTTTTTTCTTAAAAGTAAGCTTATGATAAAACTCAACACAAAATATAATTTTTACTGTGTTTAAAACTAAAATTAGTTGTAATAAAAATTGTTAAACATGTTACATGAATTTTGTACAAATTTATATTTTCAATTTTGAATTTAAGAGAGAAGAAAGTAAAGGAGAAGAATTATTCGATCAAAGTTATTATGTGAAAGTTTTTAAATATAAAAAAATTATATATCTTAATTTTTATATGAATTTATATTTTAAAATTAAAAGGTGTTTTTTTTAATCCTTTCTTTCTATTTTTTCTCTTTCTTTGTTTTTTCTAAACGTTTAAAAAACGTCATAAAACTTAAATAAAGAAAATTTTATATAAAATAAATAAGAAAAGTGCGAAACCTAATAACTCGGACGATAAAGATTAGATGATTAATAAAAAAAACTATTTAGGAATTCTGATTTAACAAGACAAATATGATTTTTAAGATCTTTATAGATTTAGATTGCATTAAATAATAGTCTAAAATAATTATTTATAAATAAACTTTAATGATTTAAATAAAAAAGAGAAGTATTTGACGAATATGATATATGAATGGATGAGTATGAGTTTTGAAGAACAAGAGCTACGAAAAAGGCGCACTGCCGCAGACACGATGGAATTGTGTGCGCTTAAAAAGTTGAAAGTGACTTCCATGCGTGTGGGTGGCTCATCTTTTTCAAGCCATGCCCACTCATAGTTACTGTTTTACCATAATAACTTTTTTTCTATAATTATCGTGTTAATTAAGTTTTGGAATTTTTTATTTTAGTAATACTTTTAATTATTAGACTCTATTACAATTTAAAGTATTTTGACACCATGTAACATGTTTTGGGATTTTATTCTTATTTTAACCACAATTTCAGTTATAAATTTTTATTTTGATGTTTATTATATTTTACGAAATATAAGAGAGACATTTAAATTTTTTGTCAAGTCCAAAATGGGTTCGTTCTCGCATTTCATTGGTCAACTTTAGCCTTAAAATTGGACCAGAAGTGTTCATGCTGACATACCTTTAGTATTTTGGTTTGGGTATATTAGTCAATGCAAGCCCAATTAAGGCATCTGAGTGCTCCTTGAAAGCTCATTTGGTGGGCTAGTAGATCAGCAAATGATAGCTTAGGAACTCTGAAAGAAGTTATAGTTATCGATAAATTTTATGTTGCTCTAAAATATAGAGATATTCTATATTGTTGTATATGTGAAATAATTATAATTATTAATTTTAATAATAGAGCTAGTGATATATTTAAAAAAGACATAAATATCATTTAATATTTTAATATAATTTATAAATAGTATTCAATATACTAAACACCATAGCAAGCATCTTAATTATTTATGAAAATCATAGTATAAACTGAATAATTAAATCATTCTATAGTTAAGGCCTTTTGAATCCTATTATTTATCTTCCATTCTCCCTTCTTCTATGCATATTCTATACTCCATTTAAAGCTCAATTAATGTTCTTAGAACTAATTAAAAAGAAGCAATTAGGATTTGTACTAGGTTAGGCTTTTACTTTGATGCTTTTCTTTCTAGTTTTGTTGATAAATGATATGAAAAACTAGGTCCATATAAACCCAATTCGGGATGGTCAACGTTAATTTTTCACTTTCATTTTTCTTATATTTTTCATTGCAATTTTTTGAAACGTAATTATGAGTGTCTCACAAGTAGTTTATTTTAAGAACATGTACACTATTAATATTTTTCATTTGAGTCGTCTTGTTATATCCAAGGACGTATTCGAGTTAAGTTCACTTTGCTAAATTATATGAGTTCATTCAAATATAATTCACAGTACTCTATTAATATATGGATCCAGAAATATACCAAAATTAATTTTAGAAAACAAATAATTTTTTTCTTTCATTTTATAACATATTGTTAGAATATTTGTATAAAAGAATAAAAAAATTACATACAATATTAATTATAAAAAATATATAACACTCGTACGAAGGGTAATAAGTAATATGTATACTGCGTATATATTACCAGTCTAGTCTAATTTCAATTCAACCACAATTAAATTAATAAATTGTAAAATGGTGCTTTTATCAATGATCGGTCCGATTTAAAAATATTAATTACACTTTTTATTTTGAATATTGCATTCATTATTATCAATCTTTTCTAATAAATTTAATCACAAATTAATTTCATGCATTTTTTCTAATGTTATTCAATCATAAACTAAAGGGATGTGATTCATTGTCTTTTTATATATTGTCTTGGATACTTTTACATTTTTATTGCTTTCCTTATTTAGTTTTTTTATTATTTTACTTATTTTCATACTTTGGTATGGGACCATAAAATTGGAAATAGATTAATTCATAAAGTTGACTGCGAACAAAAGCTATCCTCATGCATTGTTCTTTGGCTATAAATAGTCATATGTAGAACATAAATAATGATATAAAATTCAATAGAAATATATAGCAATAGGAAAGAGAAAAAGGTTATCACAGATAGCTATGGCAATGGTGAGTGGAGTGAAAAAAGGAGTTATGATAATGTTAATGATTATATTTGTCATAGCTCAAGCTGATGAGATTAATTCATCTACAAAAGTTGAGACAAGTGATGGATTTGAGGGATATATTTGTCGTGCCAGGTGTTACACACAATGTCAATCTGCTTCATTCTTTGATTATATACAGTGCGTAAGAACTTGTCAGGCAAAATGCCAAGATACCCAAAACTGCATTAGTAGTTGTGTCATGAACAAGCCTACCAACACCAACACTGGTATCTTTTTTTTTTTTTTTAATTCTTAGATTGTTTTGTTTGATCTTGATTTTCTTTTCTACGTTTTTTCTTCTTCGTAGATGCTCGTGGAGTGGATGCAATGATCGATTCCTGTTTCCAGGCGTGCAACAAGAAAGAATAACTAATGTTTATATTATGCGAGACTCGATGTTCAATAACAATGTAAAGAAAATAAACGAGTCTTAATGGGAAAAGTTTCTTTGTTATTGTTGATCATTCATTCCTCCAATTATTTCCATTCTATTTTGGTTATTTTTTAGGTTAATTAAGAAATTCGTGTTTGCTCCAAGTTATATACATAAACTAAATAATGAATATTTGATAAAATAAATAAATTAAATTGTCATTACACAGCAAAAGCTACCTGAAATTTATGATTGCATATCATTATATAATACTAGTCAGCTGTTAAAATAGGGTGGCCATCTAACCCACCAAAATTGACCTGCCAGGTTAAATGCTATGGATCCATCAACCTAATTCGCCTTGTTTCAAAAATAATTTTTAAATATTTTTTATTATTTAATGTAACTTTTTTTGTTTTTTAGTTAATTTTTTGTGGACTAGTCCATTGATTCAACGTTACATTAATTTTATTTATTTTTTAGTTTATGACAAGTTGACTCATTAAATTGACAATTCACTCTTAAATAAGTCAGACTAAAAAATATGACTCATTTTTTAAATGGAGTGGCTCAAATTAGTCCATTTTTAGATAAACTTTCAACAAAACAAGCTAACCCATTTTGCTACTCTTAATATTAACTTAAATACTATTTTATGGACAATATTAATAAATTAACAAGTACATAAATTAACTAAGAGAGAATTGTTTTGATTTAATTAACGATTTTACATTTGAGTTTTGATTACATAATTGTATTAAAGATTTGTTTGAAAAAGATTTTATGAAATTTTTGTAACTTATTTTAATAAATTTTTAATTTAGTTTATTAAAATAAGTTACTTTTTAGTTTATTTTAATATTAAAATAAATTATTAGAATAATTTTTTAATATAATTTTTCATAAAATATTATTAATTCATTTCAATTAAGCTTGTGGGTAAGTTGAGAAGCTTAAGCATGCATGAGGCCAGTCTAATTGATGTGAATTTTAAAAAACTTTCAACATTTCTTTTAAAATTTAATTTGATGTTTCTTATTTTCATTCATCCCATGGTTAATAATATTATTTTCATTAATAGTAAATAATCTAAACATATTTAATAATGTGTTTTCAGAAACTATTTTATAAAAAAAGTGTAACTATTTTTACAATAAAAGGACAAAAAGTTCAGTTGCAGTTATTAAATTTAACTTTCCTAAACATTAGTAACTAGTGAGGCTTGATACACTTATAAGTTTTGTCTCCTTAAAACTGAATTTAAGCATTTAAAAATATTACATTTTTATTTAAAAAGGTAAATTTATTAAATGAAAGTTTTAAAAAAATGTGAAAATAGTAACTATTTTCACTTTTTTTTTACTATCGTTAGTTATTTAAACTCAGCTTTTAACACTAAAGTTAACATTTAATTATATTTATTTATGTTATATTTTATAACACTAAACTATCATGTTCTATTCAAAATTTTGTTTGACTTAAGCTTATTTGTTAAAATATGTGTGAAACCATTTAGATGTAATTGGTGGTAATTTGATCAAAATCTGTTTAAAGTAGCAAGTTGTTTAGGCCATAACAAAAATTAGGTTATTATCGTCTAAATAAAGATAAAATGCTGCAAAATCTACCTCATTAGTAGTTAAGGTGCAAGAGATAATGTCTAAGACTGATGATTGAAATTTTTTAGTGCAGAAATTTCAATTCAATAAGCAAATTAATCACTTTTAGATGGAAATATTTTCAAGGCATCTTATAGCTAACTCGACAATTGTGTGTCCTATTAACCAGTTTATGAATGAGACAAGTTAAGATGACAATTATTATAACATGGATCATATTAACCGGTTTATCAAAGATATTGATTAAAAAATAATAAATTAATTTAAATTTCCTACAAAATGAGCTGAGCAGATACATCTATTGATTTAAGAAAATCACTTTTGATCCTAAACCAACATCCTTTAGATTCCTCCAATTATTGAGACTGTTAAGTTCATTTATTATATCAGATATCTGATCTGAATGCCGCAGTTGCAAGTTGTATGCTTAAGAAACAAAAAACAGTGAACAGATTCATTCTTCATATCCAATATCAACAGCTATATAATTTACACCCATTACTATAAGCTTCGAGAAAATATTGCTACCCTAACTAACAGAAGCTAAGATTCAAGAGAATAACTAGAATCGATCGCTGAAGATGAGAAGCGACCATGCTATGGTCTAGGAATGTATATAGCCCAAAAAGGTAGAGGTGCAAGTAGCACCCCTCATATATCCGATCACCTATAACGGGACTTTATGTAGCTAAAAAACATATTGTGGAAATTAATAAGAAACACCACCTTCACATTTTTTTGAGCACCCTTTTGAAAAATTTCACAAGTATTGTTCATGTATTCTAGCGCGGTTCTCTTCCCACCACAGTCTAGCATGCATCTCTCCAAACATTTCTCGACTACAGCACAAATGAACAAACACCAAGAAATAAATTTTCGTACAGTTAGTTCTATATCAGAATACAAACCACAAAAATTAACTCAGATATATGGGCATACGTAGGAGCAGAATGACTAAGAGTAATAGATCAATCAGAATACAATATAGAAAGATCAGAATAGTAATTTGAAGTCACTTTTGTGTTAAAATTGAGTCTGGCCTAGGCACTGAGCCACAGGCTTTAGACAAAGGTATCCATAATTTCATAATCCTGTGTTCTATTGACATGATATTGCTTATCGATATTAAGCGGCAGTGAAGGATTGCATTCCAACCCATTTGAAGATGCAGATAGTTTATCTGGCCTTTATGACATGGTCGGTTCAATGTAGTAGGAGGATAAACCAAAATTTGAAGGATAGTATGTCAATTAATCGTACTCCACCTTTTAACAGTTTACATTTTTTGCTGTAGCAACAAGCATAATGTGATTTTCATTTCAAATTTTTTACCTAGTCAAACAATCGTAGCCTAGACTTAATGATCCATGAACTACCATGAACAATCAATGTCAAAGGCCATAATTCCATAACACTTAGCTGAAGCATGAACCATGCTACTTTAACTTGTACTTCCAACTTTAATTTCATTATGAAAAATGAGGGAGCATTGGTTCAGAAAGGTGTGTCAAATTCCAAATGGTCATCAAGCTTTATGTCAAATATTAATTATACTAAAAACTATTGGCTTGGTAGAAACTCAGAAATGACGATCTTATATCTTCAACATGGTGGCTATCTATTAGTAGCTTGGTGAACTACTAAGCAACTCCTGAAATCCAAGGAGTGATGTTTAATAGTTTAAGCCACACTACCTGTAGTGAGGAGTTAAATTGTCATTTTCTTGACATACAAGAGGAATTACCCAAGTAAATTGTCTAGAAGAGGATCATCTCGCGTGACACAACTCTTCATGTACAAATTTGTGTTTATCTTTTTAAGATTTTTGTAGGGCTACACTTATATAAGGTCTATCATAAAAAAAAGAAACATAAAACTTGCACATCATCTGATCATGAAATTTAAACATGACAGGAACCAATCTTAATATTATCTAGGTATAAATTGCATGTTTGTGGCAGTCTCTCAACTTCTCAAAAGTGTGCTTATTTGTGCAAAATTAAGATAATCTAAAATAAAGTTGCTGAACGAAACACACAAAATTGGTGGTAAACATACCTGAACCTGACTCTTCTGAGCTCTTTCTTGCCACCTGGCAGAGCTCTGATGGTAATATAAACCCCAGGTTCATCCTGTTCAACCCATTCAGTGTCCAAGTCACTGGCATTGCTGACCGATAGATCCTCAGAGTGATCAGCTTCTCTAGATGAGCTACTCCTTATAGAAGCATCCATTGAAGATATTTCTGTCTTGGCAGCACTAATGGTGGATACCTTTGGGGTTGAGTTCACACCATTGGGATCATAGTAATGCTTGGAATGCATTGATTGATGATCAAGGGAATCTGAGGATGAGTACCCCATTCCCATCCCTGTTGGACGGTATAAATTACAAGGTGGCCTTTCCCTTGTCATTGGAGGTGTCAAAGGGATTTCTTCTATTGATTCACGCTTTGAACTCTGCTTTCACAACATGCATTCATCAAAAACAGTAAAAATATGATCAGAGCTCAGAACTTCCACCTCAGTAAACTACCAAAAAATGACGACAGGAATAACAAAACTATAACTATTTGTAACAAAGGCACAATATGTCATAGACCACAAATACTTATCAGAGTAAAAAAAGAAGAATTAAATTTCTTTTATAACGTCAAATTATTTCATGAACCTCCATTTTTGCATAGGTTAACTTTAATTTATAAAAAAATTTAATTTGTTTTACTTCTTTGTTTTTGTTTGCTTCTGATATAAGTATGGACTAAAAAGTTTATTTAAACTGACTTATATATTACAAAATAACTACTATTTAATATAATGAATATACTTAATTTTATAAATTAAAACAATTTTGAATAAAATGTATATTTTCATCGTTAAATATAATCTTTTAGCAATGAAAAACTATTAATAGGCAAGGCCTTGGCCAGAGTAAGCATTGGTATTAGCAACATGCCACCATCTGCATTACCAAATTACCAATAGTTCACAGCATGAACTGAAAAAATACCTACAGTCTAGTTATGATCAGCGATGATTCTGAGTTTTAACCCAAGTGATTGAAGTGAGTAAAAATGCAAATACAACAACAGTACAAGTTATAAATTAAGTGTGTAATAATAGCTTGCACGCATGTCTAGGAGCTACCTAAATTCAGAAGTTACCTCGTCTTCAGACCTTGGTGGAGTTGGAAGAGGGAAAGCTTGGCGGTTAAGCCTTTGAACGTTGTAAAGTTCCATGACCTTGTCATAATTCTCTGCCCACCATCTTTGAGCTTGCCACTTGTTAAATATATCACGACTATAAATTTAAAAATAAATCATAATTCAATTTACCACTCAGTCATGAAGTCATCATATAAACAACAAATAAGAATGGAACATTATGGAAAATAACATCAGAATTTTGGAAAAGATCTAGCAACGCAATCATAATCTAAGAAGTTGTTTGCTAAGGAAGTTTTGAAAGACAGGGGAAAGGAAGATAATTTTTTAGTTTTAGATTAATGTAAAATTATAAATTATTTATGATAATAAATAACAATTAATGGATTATGCTAATTTTAATTTATCATTTTATTTAAAAACTATTAAACTAAAATATATTTGTTTAAAATTTTTTTTCTCTCAACCCCCTTTTCCCTAACAACTCTTAAAAGTAGTGAAAAAATGACAGTCTTTGCCACCTCTAGAGTATTGTCATTATTTTCTTTTTTCCTTTCTTCAATCTTGACTAATACAATCCAGCTTTTTCTATATTAAATATATTTATGGAGTGATCAGCGAGACTCTATGCTTGAAACATGCAACTAATTCCAAATTGTTATTATGATTAGGTCATTTCGTTAACCAGATTATTATTAGATGAATTTTTAATTTTAAGTGGTGTATGACACTGTTCTCAATTATGCTGGGTCACCCCCGAGTAGATGCTTTTTGACAAAGAATTCTCATATGAATAATTAAAAGCAAACCCGGCCATTCTGTGCGGAAATAAAGTTGTGCTAAGGCTAACATTGACCTCACAGTGGAGCTGTCTAAGCAATAGAAAGCAGGTGGGTCCAAACTTTCGTGTCAACTAAATCACTAATCGCACCAAACAATGAAATGATTTTAACATTTCACTAGGTTTTGGTATTAGCTTAAGACCTATGCCTTAAATTTCTGAGCTAAAAAATTCGTGGGGGATAAAGAGAAAAAAAAAATCATTTATGCATTAGATCCACTAGTTCTGGTTGAGATTACACCACAGGTCACCAAGTAGGACCAAATACACTAATACCATAGATACTTTTATCTCCCTAGATAAAAGAAAGACAAAAATAAGAAATTTAGCTAAGAAAAAAAAAGGACACGACTGTGAGCTATATTATTACCTATCCACAACTTTGCTAGGTCCCCACCTAGTACCTAGTAGAGAGGTTCACATTTTGTCTTGTATATAGTAATGGAGTGGAAGATGATGGGAGCATTCTCCAGCAAATTGCATATTAAAAGACAAAAAACTGTTAATAGGTGGAAGAAAAGAAAAAGTCACCAAAAATCAGGCATCAAGATATTCAAAAAGAAAGCAGAAGAGCTTCCTCCGACCAAACGACCGGACCCAGATTTAAAGGTTCCCAATACAATTAAAACTGACCCACAGCCATTTTCAAGTCACAATAAGTTCTAATTTTGGACCCACTTTTTGGATTGCTTTTCCCAAGGGCGTGAAATTACAGGGGAATGTGGACCCCAACCCAAACCCTTTTGTATACCCAGAGGAGCATTCATACTCATCACTTAAGGCATTCAGGAATTGGAATTTCGATGCTTCACACTAATCATTCATGGCGGAGATGAATCACCATAATTGATAGCAATATTGATTTGAAGGCAAGGGTCAAACCTATTACCTCTTTTCTAATCCAACTTCCATTATAACCAAAACAAAATAAGACAAGGCTATTTGTTAGCCTCAAGTTCTAAATTTGGATTGTTTCCAGAAACAAATATTCTATAACGTTGAAGAATCATCACTCACCTCATTCAACATCATCCATCACACGACTTATATATGTTTCATATACCATAGTGTCCTAAAACCCCATTTTTAGATGTTTATTATATTAACAATTCATTATCATAACTAAAGATATTTAATCTCAGTTTTAACTTTTACACCAATGAATCACAACCAGATGACACTATTCTGTAGCATAAATTTTAACTATTAAAAAATATTCCATTCGTTACACAAATAATTTTAAATTCAGGTAAAATTTAAATAATACAGTAAGAGAAAAAAATAGTTTTAAAAGTATATATATATATATATATAATCTTAAAAGTATATATTTAAAAGAAAAAATAAATTGAGAATGACATGTTTATAGTACTATAAGAAAAATAGTCCTTGAACTCTTAAATTTACTTTGTCAGAGACAAATAAAGGCTCAAACTTACAACTCTTCAAGTCTTATGTTACTGGACTTAACCGACCATTGAAGTTAAGACTCAGTTTTTCAATTCCAGTAAACAGATTATTCAAAAGCATGGAGAAGAAAACATATAATAAAAAATCAATCATCATCCATGGAAACAAATTACCAACTCCTACTACTTTTCATCGATGCTATAAAACCAAACAAAAACTCACGGCATTAACTCCAAATCTTAATTTAAGGAAATAATTCCTTCTATAATTTTCAAGATAGTTTTTTTAAAATAATAATTAAAAAATTCCAGTCAAAACATAGGCTAAGATGAAGAAGCTGTATAGAATAAATACAACCTATGGTATAACAACTGTATAAATTAAAAAAAAAAGTAATAAGAAAATAAAAAGAGAGATAGATAGCGATGAGCAACAGTAACAGAAATGGAAAAGATAGGGTCCGATTGTGATTATGAGTAGAAAGCGGCCACGACACTAACCAGAATCAAAGGAGCTCGGTTCAGCATTGACCAACACTGTTGAGTACATTGTAAACGGCACCAAAAGCAACAATACGACAGAGAGAGAGAGAGAGAGAGAGAGAGAGAGAGAGATGCATACCTGAATCGTATCCGCTTGAGATGGTTACCGCCACGCGGAAGCGACACGAAGGTGATCAAAACGCCAGGTTCGACCTGCGCCACCCACTCCTTGGGCTGCTCCTCCTCTTCCAACACCACAACAAGCCTCCTTCCGCTTGAACTCGGCGTGCCCTCCCCACTGGATATCCCCTTGAGCCTGGCCTCCATTTGCTTCCCCCACCTCCGTCGCCACCGCTCCGAGTCCGAGTCGGACTCGGCCGCGTCACTCTTGAGTTGACTCTGCGTGGCGCACGGAGCACAGTGCTTGTAGGCCCCTGACGCCTTCAACGCCATGTCTTTTATCTGGCCGGTGAGGGACTTCACGCCTTGCCCTTTGGCTTCGGACTGGGTCTTGGGACGTGCTATGCATGTAAGCATTTTTGGTTGATTGGGTTAGAAGTGGAAGATGGCATGCGCAAGTAAATAGTTGAGTTCAATTACAAAACCAGAGATTCTCTGCGAAAGAAAAGAAGAAAAAGGAGTTAATGGGTGTGTTTTTCTCTTTTACTTTTTTGGTTGGTTTGGTTTACGTTTACGTGGCTAATGCTTTGGAATTTGCTTTCTCTTGTGTTAAGGTTGCTTCTTACATGTTAAAAGCAATGGATTTTTTTTTTCTGGTCCATAGAGCATTGGAAACCTTTTGTTTTTTGTTTGGATTTGGATCGGCCCATGGTTAATTCAAATAGTGTATCGTGCAAGAACAAAAATTAAAATGAGTGTTACATTTTACGTCATTCTTTTGAAAACTTAACTCTCAAAATTATCTTTCCTATTAAATCTTTGGAAGTAATTAATATACTTTGAAAATTATATTTATGGCACTCAAAAAATTGAAAAAGATAAACGGAAGCTTGGAATATACTACATATTTTATTTTGTATACAAACAAAGAGTAAATCCTTATAGTATAATTATTGACGATTTTAAAATATCACGTAACTTTAAAATTATGCGACTTTACAAGAAAGTAATCCAATTTGTATGTTAATATTCATTCGGGGTAATTCTAATGTGCCTAAAGCTAACTATTATTCAGATATAATAATGGAGAATATGGAGTTGAAAAAATAGGAGGGCAGACTAAAAATTTATTAGTGGATCAGGATAATGTAATTCTGACCATTCATGTTTAGATGTGTAAAAAAAATTTTAAATTACATACATATTATTCTTCTTATTAGTCTAAGACTATGCAAAAAGAAATGAAAAAAAGTTATAATTGTGTGTTTTGTGGTAGTATAAATAATTTAATTTCATTAAAATAATATTCTTTTTTAACAATAGTGTGTGTTAAATATTAATAAAATAATTGATTCTATTAAGTATCATTCTTTAAGGTGGCTCACGTTATAACTTTTGAGAAGCTCGATTGTGTATGTAAATTAAATTAACGATTTCTTAATATGTATTGTTAATATTTTTTGTGTCCATTTAATGTAAACAATTAAATATAAAATTAGTTGTTCAAATTGCACATTATAATTGGGTTTTAGAATTTTAATTATCACATTTAGATGTTAATTTGGAATTAGAATTATAATTCAATTGACCAATTTCATGAAATTCTATAACAACTAATTTGGCCACTTCAATTCCTAACTTACACACTATGAATTTAAATTATTAATATTATAATTCACAAATACATTCTCATCTATCGTGTCTCCTTTTGTTTATCTTTGTGGTTGCTATTTTTCTTCAAGCACTTTCTTCTTTAAATACTTTTTTGTTTCTCTCTCTTCATTTGTTATCTCTTTTACCTTTGCATCTTTCTTCCTCTTTTTATATTTTTTTTTATTCTTTTCTCCTTTTCACTTTTTTTTTTCTATTTCTCTTCCTCTTATTCTTCTTTTACGTCTTTTTTTTTACATTTGTTTAATATATGTTACTATATTATGTTGTATTGCTATTCTGCACTTATTGTAAACTATATTGTACACTTTTTATCTTTGTCGCAAACTATACTGTTTATATTAATTGTATAATAATTTGTTTAATATTTTTCTTGAATTGTTAGATGTCGAAGTAAATATTATAAATTAATTTAAGAACTATTGAGAGTGCAAGAGAAATAAAAAAGAAAAAATTACTATTGTTAGATGCAATAGAGTAATAAAAACATGATAAAAATTACTATAATCAATTACATTTTACTTATCATGTAAGTGTAGAATAATTAGTTGTAATGTTTCTACTTATTTTAACCCATGTCTCAATATGTGAGTTATCATAAACACTTATATTCAATTTATATTTTTAATTTTAAAAATTAAATTATATTCATGAGAATTTATATACTTTCATTTAATTTATGAAAAAATTAATTCATAACATAATATTAAATTTTAATGATAAATTAAACATAAAAAATAAATTTATTGTATAATAATTTTTGAAAAAGAATCATTTATCATTTTTAATAATTTATTTAATAATTATTTTATATTATTAATTAATACATTATTTTTAAAAAAGTTATTAAATAAATTTTGAATAAAAAATAAATTACTTTTTAAGAATTTAAATTTTGCATGACACTATAAAATTTGATTTTAACTTAAATTTTTAATTTTATATTCTAATTATTTAAATACGCTAAATATATATGAAATTGAAATTACAATTCTAAATGTCAATACAAAGAACAAGCCCTTAAAGATGTAATGTGTTAAAGTTTTGTACTCTAATTTTATTTTTAATAAAACATTAATATTTAACTATATATATATATATATATATATATATAATTTAAATCATCCTTTATATTTATTTATGTATTTCAATTTTTAGTGTAACTGATACTTTATTATATTAATATTATAGTGTGAATTTTTAATATAAAATAATTGTTCTACATCCAAGTTGCATAAGTTTATTTATAATTTTTAACAAACTGGTTTGATTTAAAATAATTAGAAATAATAAATATTCGTAAACATATAAATATAGTTAAATAATTATGAATATATATATATATATATATATATATATATTAGTTTACATGTTTATGTAATTATTTATATTTTTAAACAATTTAAAACTATATATATATATATATAGATAAATAAATGATTATTAATTTATATATAAGTGAATTTTATGTGTAATTTGAAACAAATAATTTAAATAATATATTACAATTTAACAATTGAAATCGATAAAAATTATTATTTATATTAAATTGTTAATAAGATAAAAATGAGTATAAATTACATCAATATAATTTGAATCATCCCTATTTTTATTCATGTATTTCAATTTTTAGTGTAACCAGTATCTTGTTTTTTTATATCAACCAACACCTTATTTGATATTATATTAATATTATAGTGTGAATTGTTAATATAAAATAATTGTTATACATTCACGTTTATGTATTTTTCATAAATTGTTTTAAAATAATGAAAGTATATAGATATAAATAAATAAGTATGAATTTAAATATAAATTTATTTTTATTTTACCTATAAATAATAAATTTTTAAAATCATAAATTTTTATTTATTAAATAATAATAAAATTATGTCATACTAGAAATACAAAGATAATTATATATACTTGTATATTTCAATTTATTGTGTAATTAATATTTTATTTAATGCGATATTAATATTATAATGTACTAATTATATATATAAATTAATTGTTATGTACATGCACTGCACAATTTCGTTTATATATAAATAATTATAATTTAAACATAATAAATTAGTTGTTATATTCATATGTTGCCTAATTTTATTAAAAAATTGTTTTTTATGAAAAATAAAATATTTAAGTCTTTTTTACTTTTATATTTATAAAATTTGCTAATTCCTAAATAAAAAAATATTAAATATATTTTATGATCTTAAGATAATAAATACATGCATATTTTTATTAATATTACTTTTGTAAATATTTAAAAATATAAAAATAACACTGTAAAAATTTTAGGTGAAAAATACATTTCAATCCTAATAAATAAAGGAGTAAATTGGGTTATTCATGACAACTCGGCGCCGAACGTCACTCAATAAGGGAATATGAAAAGTGGAGGGACATCTTCGAAATTAAAGCTGCTGTCAAGGTCAAATATACAATCGACTTAATTTGTGTTTTTCCCAAGAATCGCTCAGGCCACACGATACGCGCATAGCCGATCGTGCAATTCTTCTTCCGTTTATGAAAATTTTGGAAGATTATTATTATTATATGTCTTTATTGTTATTTTAATTAAACCTAAAATGTATATTAATAAAAAATAAAATCATAAAATTAAAACTTCAAATTTTGATAAGAGATTAACATTTAAAATACTTAAAAAAGTATTTAAATTGTATGTTATCGATGTTATTCCAAGTTTATAAATAATTTAAATTTTAAAGAATTTTTGTTTATAATTAATTTCTATTACCAACACAATTCAGTGAAAGAAGGTTAGATTAAATTGATGGAAACAAATGATGAGAGAATGAATGAGTGTAGATAGGGTTTGAAGAAGGAGCGCGTGAGGATGGTTACACAGAGGAGGGCGGCGGGAGGTTAGTGATAAAACGAGGGCCCGAGGCCCAAGGGTTGAGGAACTGTGTAACGGATACATCATGACCTCCCGAGAAAAGGACGTTAAATAAAAGAATCGATACAAATGTAAAGAGAGAGTGAACAGGTGTGCATTGTGAACAAAATGGTGGACCTGGTCCTAGTTTAAGCCCCCTTGGATGTTACTATGAGTATTTATGGGTACTTTGGACGTGTTTGTTTCATCACACATCAAGGCCAAAGTATCCAAAGAGTGAGAGAAGGAGCATTCTCTATTCTAAATAGAGTGTGTGAGATACTTAGAGAGGCTTAGTGGATATATAAGTGGTTCGGGTGAGTTGGGGTTTCAAGAGAGGAGACATGCCCAACTTCAACCCAACACTTCTAAGTACTTGCATCTTCGTACCTTACCAGATCCCAAAGGTACTCTATAGTACCTTCTTCTCATGTTCCTTTTTCTTTTTCTCACTCTCTTGTTATTTTATCTTATCCTCTTTGCTCATTGAACTCACCATTTCCACATTTCTTCCTGTTATCTCTCTCTTTTTTTTTCTTTTATTTAAATTTTCCCGCATATTTTTTTAAAAGTGAAATGGTGTATATTTATTTTCTTTTGTACCTTATTTTACTGTTTATTTTGATTTATTTTATTGTATGTGGAATCCAAGTGGTGAAGTTAAGATTTGTTGTTTTCCATTTGCATGTGGAGTTTGAGGTCGGCTAATGTTGTTTAAGTTTTAAAAAGTGGTTTTTGGGGGTAAAACTTTTGTCGTGTCTTCTGTTATCACTTCCATTCTGCATGTTCTCTCCGTCTCGGTTTTTAGTAAAGGAGGACGTTGAGGATGGAAAATAAAAGGTTTTGTATTTTTTGGTTTATTTTATCTTAAAAAGGATTCATTCAGAGTTGATCTAATTATTGATTTTAGCTTGTTTGATTGTCTGGCATGTGTATGTCTTATTATTGTTATGAATGATCATATAATTCATCTATGTTAGAGTTTAGGGACACCAAACATGGCTATTGAGCTTGTTTGGATGAGATGCTAGCATGCACCAAAACATTTTTTGGTTATATTTTTTATGGAGAGTTGTGGCATTAATGATGCATTATTATAGGTTTTTTTTAATTAAAATTCCGATTTATATCTTGTTGGCAATGTTTGTGATTTATACCATTTTGATGAGATCAAAACAAGTGAAATTGTGAAAGAGAAATAAAAAAGAGCTATATTAGGGGCTTGATGTGGTCAACCAACTTTTTTTTTTTTTTTGGTTATATATATATATTTATTATTTTTTTCTTCATTGTTTTCACAAGAGCCTGGCAGAAAATATTGGATTCAAGATCTCTGGTAGAGATTAAGTTTATTGAATTTTATGGGCTTTATATCCGGTTCGTTAATTATCTGGTTCCATGACCTTGCCTCCACATACAGGTTCTGTGATCATTTTGTAGGACGTGATTGAAGATTTTGAGAATTATGGCTACAATGCAAAAACGATATACACCGCAAAGTCATATTTGTTGTGGGAATATTATAATTCAAAGTCATATATTTTATTATCACTGTATAAAATATGCCAGTGCCCTAAAATTATTATTTTTTTCAGTACAATGTACATTGTAAAATACCAACTACCGATTTGTCCTTGTGATTTTCTGTCCAAATTACCTTACCAAGTATTGATGTATCACCATATATTGTTTTTACATGGAAGACTGCCGGCTGTGTAATAATATTTTATGGAAGACATGCCAACCTATGAAGTACCGGCACCTTTCTAATTTGAATTGTTGCAGTGTCAATCACATTTTCAGCACCAATACCTCCTGTAAACTTGTTTGACATATGTTGAGCGACCCTTATTAGGTGTTCAATTGAAAAAAATAGTTAATTCGGATACTTGAGTCAACACTTCAGTATGGATAGACACACACTAGTTTGACAGGCAATTATACCTTTTTTGAAAGATATAATTTTATCTTTTTGTGTTAAAATTTTTTTTAGAGAGACCAAGTGGTTACATTATAAAATATTGTCCCTTAATTAGCTGTATCATGACCTGTGTCCATTTAGTGCTTCATAGGTCATAATTAAACAAATAACTGAGATTGATCCATTCTGTAATGGTCTCTCTCTGTGTGTGTACATTTTCATTATGTCATAGAGTCGTGATATGCAATACTCTGATGGGAAGAAGACGAACACTGCTGTTTTATTTTTTGACCTATATTTCTTCAAAATAATGTATTATGTTTTATAGGAGGCTAGAACCGCTTATAGTAAATTTTGATCATTCAAATTTTAGTACGTACATTGTTTTGATTTTAGGACAACTAAATATAAAATTGGAACCCACAGTTTAAGAGGTTGCCTCAACTAGTGTTGTAGGATCACTAACGCTTTTATATTTTGTTCTACATGAGTATCGTTGTACATGTGTGTGGCTTAGGCTTATGCTTTGTATGAACTTTTAGGTGAAGAAAGTAGAATACCCTCTTTGATTTGAGAGCAGCTAAGGTAATTGTCATCGATTTTTTAATTTCCTTGTTTGTGTCTTCTATGCTTACGTTTTCTGGTTGGATTTTACATTGAACATGTTGCATGTTGATGCAGCCTTATCTACTTCATTTGAGTGCTTATAAAACCTAGGGTATACTGCGCTTTGGCTTATATAGTTGGAGGGGGGAATGCTCTACTTTGTTTTAGTTAATGTTATATTTTTGGGTGTAGTTTTTATGATGTTTATTTTCTCCCTCACAATTATGAGGAGTTACTGGTAAGTTTCATGTTATTATGAAGCTGTTTTGATTTCTTCGTTATGTTATGTATCCTCCACTCTTTTTGCTCCTGATATTTTTTCTTTACCAGTGACGTGTACCCTTCTAAAATCGTATCAAAAAGTATCGAATTTGTACAATTTTTATGAGTCCATAGATTCAGGGGGGATGAATTCTTTGAATGACTGCATTTTCATTAATTGGCATTAATAAGCTATGAAAATTTGGTGGATGATAAGTTTACTATCATGTGTTATACCCTTTGGTGACTTACTGATTTGGGTATGAATATGTCCTTAATTTGATGACTATATTTGGTCTGTTCCATATGATATTCTATTGTAAGAACATAAATTTTTGGAAGTGTACCGCTAATTTTTCCATTCTTTAGGAATATATGCTGTGTTGTAGTTCCTGTGGTGTGTAAATATGTACGTGTCCGTTTGTGTTGTTTTCTTATATATCATGCCTTAGATAACTTTCTTTTATGTGTATGTGATATTCCTTGCCTCATTTCACCTTTGGGCTGTCTAATATGTAACATTGTCCCAGGTCAATGTCTAAATTTTAATTAATGACTGTGCTGAGATGAAGCCATTTCTCCTTTTCAATCATCCTGATACCGAGTTCAATGTTCCACAAGCTAGCTATAATCACCCAATGGTATGAGAAACTGCTTTTTTGGATTTGTAGTTTCCACTTTTAGTGACTAACTATCTATCCTCCAATTTCAGGCTTATACTGCATATCCTTATGGCGATCCAAATTTTGCTTATGGACCACAGGCTTTTGTAAGTGTTATGTATAGTTCATTTCCCTTTTTTTTATGGATTATCTTAATATTGATGCACTTTATGGTGTGTGATTTTGGTGATGTAAATTTTTTGTTGCATTTATTATCGGTGAAGGGAATTTTGCATTGTAATGTTTTAACATGTTGTCACTGTCTTTTAATATATTTTAGAATGAACCCCAAATGATGCCCCAAATGCTAGGATTAGCACCCGCCAGAGTGCCATTACCACTTGATCTTGCAGAAGATGGACCTATTTATGTTAATGCGAAACAATACCATGGTATACTCAGAAGGAGACAGTCACGAGCAAAGCTTGAGGCTCAGAACAAACTTATCAAAAGTCGTAAGGTATGCTGCATAAGATGCGTTTGCTTTTGTCATTCAGGACCTTTCATGCTTTGAGTCAAAAAGTATTATTTCATGCTGTTTACATAATATGCCAAGTATAATCCCTTCTCTTCTGGGGGGAGAGTGATCCAAAACTTACAAGGGTTAAAATTATATTTTATAAAATTATAACTAAAACATGAGTGGTAGTTTTGCATTTTGTATAACCATCCTGGGTGAATGTGGTTCCACCCCTTGTGGCAAGGGTAGAATTATGAAAGGCCTGTGCCACTCTTTTTCTTTTGTGCCACTAGAATTAAAAGATATATTTAATTATCTTATTTTTATTGAAAGTATTATGAAATTTTTGTTTATACCCATTTTAAAATTTGTTTATCCAATAAATGAATAGATAGAGAAAATAAAAAATGGGTTTTGAGATAATTATTTTAAGGGTAAAATAAATAAATAAATCTATCTTAAAATTGTAAAATGACTATTATTTAAAAATAAAATTAGTTAAAGAGACTATTTTTCAGAGACAGAAAGAGTGCATGTTAATTACAGGTTAAACTATTTCACTTGCAAGCCAGTGTTGTAATATCTCTGAACATCAAAAGGTTATTTTTAGAACTCATGGAACTGTGATACGGTAGAATGAACTGTCGCATTAATTTGTAAACAAATTACTATTCCATTATGTCAAACGTTGAATCATATAACAAAGGTGTTGGACCAAAAGGAGTGGTGTTAGTTTGCATATAATTTCCTCCTCCTTTAATTGTGAATGCAGCCATATCTTCACGAGTCTCGGCACCGCCATGCATTGAATAGGGTTAGGGGATCAGGGGGACGATTTCTGAGCACCAAAAAGCATTCACAGTCAAGTGCAGAATTTGTGACTGGTGCACATTCTACCTCTGACCCTGTCAACATGTATCAAAAGGAAGAAGATCCATCAGAGTTGGAAAGTCATTTGTTGATGACCGGAGATAATGCGTGTTTAACTGGTGACGGTGTCGATTTCGGGCAGGCGGAGCTCATGTTTATGGGAAACTCTTCGAACATGGCTGGAGCACCACAATGCAGCGGGGGGTCACTTGCCTTTGGTGGAAGAAAGCGACGTGCTTCGATTGTCCGGTGAGAGATGGGACTGACTGAGCATAATGTTTTCCACTGTTTAGGCAAATCATCCTTGGCTTAGGCGCTTTTGTTTGTGTTTCATGTGTTGTTGTTAAAAATGTATGTGTCTTCTGAGAGTCCTTGTTGTCTGCATTAGCACTGAGCCCTTGGATTTGCCTTGTGTTTTAAAGTTGCCTTTGCTTGTGCTAGATTTTGTACTGGTTTAGAGTATTTTCTGCTTCAAACTTTTATGTTTGTGTTGTATCCACGTGTAATTTACTATGTAATGTTCTTGGTTTCAAATATGTTATGTCCTGCACTGGATTAATCAAGCTTGCTTCAACTTGTAGACAGATCAACACGTCTACAGATTGTCACCAGTGGAACCCCAAGTCTTCCAACTAGGTTTTAGTACGTTTTTGGTACCTATATTTTTTTTATTTTATTCTTTTTAAATTCAGTATTTTTGGTCCCAATGTGATTAATTAAGAGATTGTGACGTGTGAATTTTTTGTAAAAACGTCATTAATAATGACCAAAAATGATTAATTTTTTAAAAAAAACAGACAAATTAAAATTTTGAGGGTTAAAAACATATTTAGTTTTCAAATTATATTTTGTATATATGCAATATGGATATTCCTCAGCCAACATTTTAGCCGATGAGCGAAAATTATTCCCACTTTGTGGAAGTGTCATTTAATGAAAGTTGTTGATACCAAACCTAAAAACACTTCAAATGATATTAAATTATTTACGTTATTTATTAAAATATTTTATCGGATAGGATTTATTGACAGTCTAAAAGATTTACATCAAATTTTAATTATATGAAAAGTTATTTAAAAAATATGTAAAAAATATAAAAGAATAATAATTTTTTAATTGTTAAATTATTTGATTTGTATAGTTAAAATTTAGTGTAAATTTAGTGTCAATAAATCTTATCTCTATTAATATATTTTTAAAATAGTTTCTTTTATAAAATTTACTTATTGATTCATTGCCATTGGTAAATAGAATCATATACTTAAGTACATCCATGTTTGTCAGCTGTGAAGTAACCTAAAAATTTAGGTAATTACATTCTTGTTTAACTAGTTATAAATTTATATTTGCTTTAATATTATTAAATGTGAGTGTTTAAACAGTAATGAATTTGTTTATTTTAATGTTATTGATTATAATTTGATATTAAATTTAAGTTTGTAAAACTTTTAACATATTTTAAAACGTGAAGTTTTGATAGAGATTTCAAACTTCGCTTATGGTATGAGTTTTGCAAAATAATAATTTGTGTTATTAGTAATCTATATCGATGCGATTACATATAAAGCATTTTCATCGACAAGATTATTAATTATTTGATTAAATATTTGGAAAGGGTCGTAAATATGTTTTATTATTCATTTGAAAATTTAAAGATAAATGTTAAAAATGTAGTGCAAATATATTTATTTTAAAATAATTTTAAACAATTTTTTTAACATTTTGCTATGTTTTATTTAACTATAAAACAAACTAATACTTTAAATCGGTTTAACAAAACGATCCTTTATGTTTTTAGCAAAATAATTAAGTATCTTTTCTCAATTTTTGATAAAAAAAAGTTCAGTTTTTTTTTTTTTTCTTTTCAGGTGGCAAGAGTAAAATATTTATTCAATAGATAAATTTCTTGCCTAAAAAACTAAACTACGATTTCTCGCGAGATTTACTTGAATACTTATATGAAAATTTTTATGGTGTCTAAAGAAAACTGATAAATTTAAATACATTTAATAGATAAACTAATAAGAAATTAACGCATATAATTTTATATTCTATGTGATTACGTGATATGCATTTTTTTTTGTTGTTTCTGAAAAGTTGTATTTAACTATTTAAAATTATATAATAACTTCAAATATTAATTTTATCAAATTAATAAATTAAAATTTAGGTCCTTTATAGAAAATATTATGTAATCTTGTTTGAATGCTTAATCAAACAACAATAATTAATGGTGTCTTGTTGTGTAATGAAATTAACAAGTTTTGAGGATTCTTGATTATTATTTTTTATTTTATATAAAGTAAAATAATTTAACATAATTAAATATAGAAATATGATCATAAAACACAATGATCAATTTTGATGAGATTTAATGTAGCTATGAAATATAAATTTTTTATGTACGAGTGATATTGAGAGAAAGATCAACGTAAATAGGATATAATTTTTTACTTCTCTTAAACCCTACAATGATGACACTTCTCAACAAAGAAATGATTGATTTTATCTAATTTCTTTTATTAGATACTTAAATAAACTTAATATAAAAAATTAATTTTTATTTAGAATTTTCAATTACAAATTATCATTATTTTGACCGTACAACAAAGATTTTCATAAAATTCAACTTTTTTTTGTTATCTTCATCTCTTGTAAAATTAGTTCTTACAAAATTATTTTCCCAATTATAATAATTAAAAAAAATTATTTTAACAACTCTTTTAAAATCATATCACTAATAACACATAAATAATTAAATACACATGTTTAATTTATATTAAACGATATAATAAATATATTTAAACCCTTCAAATTTTGTAGAGTAATTAGTGACTCTTGTTTTCCTTAATCAAATATTTTTTTTTCAACTTAAAGTATTGCACATGATAATTTGATTTTTTTAAAAATAAAAATTACTAACCATATTACATGACTCAAGTCAAAATTAGTTTTAAGTTACCCACGTTAAGATATTGCAAAGGATATATAATGTCATATTTTAAAAATTATCTTAAATTTCTCAAACAAATTAGAAGATGTTGATCAATTAAACAAGGTTTCAAAAATTATCTCAAATTTCTTAAGCACTTTGAATATTGAGAATGGTGACTTGTGTTTAACTATTCCTATTTAAGCACTCTTGTATGGTTTTATTGCAATCAATTGTCATTTTTTTTTTTTTCCATCTATTCTAATTCAGATTTAACCTAGGTTGTGTAACTAAATGTGATAAGTGAATTTATTATTAAATTTTTTTATATATACAAATACTTAAACTTAAAATCTTATTTAAGCGATATTAAGTTATTTGTCACTCAAATTAACTTTCGTTAGTCAAACAGTTGTCATATTAGTTTTTAATTTTCACAATTGTAATATTAATTTGTTACTTAGAATATTACATATTTTTCTTATAATTAAATGACTAAAAATATCTAAATATTATTGTAATAATGAATACAAAATAGAGAAATTATACCAAGCTAATTCAACATAGCTGACAAATAATTAAAAATGTTAATTGTATTAATTAATTCAATTTCCAACTATATATAGAAATAAAACATATTTAAATGATTTTTACCTTTTGTACAAAAGTTGAATAAGAGAATACTTTCATACAACAAATATGAGAATAATTATTATTATTCTTGTCTTCATTCGTTGGGGAAGTATTGACATTGGACACTAGTCCATTTGCTTTATCATCTTTCCTCTCTCTCTTTTATGCTGCTTACCCCTTCTTTTTAATATTTCAATTAATTTACTGCTTGCATCTGATGTATATAATAAACTGAATAAATAATAATTTTTTAGTTGTTATTAACCTTAAAAATTCTATTTCAATATTTTAAATATTAATTTTTTTAAAAATATTTATTATATTCAAGAAATAAAATACAATAAATATTTGTTTAAATAAAATAATATTATTAATAATTATTTAAACATAACTTTGGTTTTGTTTAAGAGTTAATTTTAAGAAAAGAAGCAAAAAATTTATTAGAGCTTCATTATTTGAGAGTTAATTGTAAGGAGGTAAAAAGAAAAATATTTATTTGATGACAAACGTTGATAGTTTTTAAATATAAAAAAATTGCTAAATTTTAAATTTAAAAATTTATATAAAATAATAAGAATTTTTTTTGTAAATATAAAAATACAGTTTATACAAAATAAAAAAATTAAATAAAATAACAATTTTGATATCTAAAATTTGAAAATAAAATTAACAAAGGAGTGACAAAAATCTATTATAGCAAGAAAAAATGTAATTAAAACATAATTTTTAATTAATTTTAATTTTAAATTTTACACAGAACTAATTATTAACGAGAATAGTTTTTTTTAAAATGTTTTGTATTTCTAAAAAATATTATATCTTAAAAATTTTACTTTCATTTAATGTCATTAAACTTAAACTTTCCTATTTATATCTACTCCATTGATTCTACTTTGGGTGCTTCTGCTGCCAACTCTGTTTGTCACAAATGAAAAAATTATTAAATATTTTACAAGAAAAGACCATTATTTTTTTTAAAAATGGTCATATAGAAAAAGTAAAATAAAGTATATATATATATATATTTTTTTTTCTCATTCAAAATATTTTATTTTATAGTTATTTTGTAAACTATTGTGCATTTATAATATCACTATATTTTTTTTATATAGATCATAATTTTATAGACTATAAAATATTGAATTATAATATATAATATTCTAATTCATATATAAAAATTGGTACATGAACGTTTCATTTACTTAACTTATATTTTAATATGAATAAAGTCAATAGTAAAATTTAATTATAAAATTAAGATTCTTTTTAACATTTTCTAAATAATTTTTTTTAATATTTTAAAAGTACATATGGTACACGCTTATCCGTTAACATAATTATCTTTGATTTAAAAAAATATCAATTTTATTTAGAAAACACTATATTTTCCAAATTGTTTTTATAACACCCCGTTCGTTATTTGTGTTTTGCTTGTTATAAATAGTGTTTATTTTTTTAAAATTATATATGAATATTAAAATACCTAATTAAAAAGTTCAATAAATATTTATCTATAAATAAACATTTAAAATAAATATAAGAGATGAATCTGGTTAGGTAATTATATAATAATTTATTAGATATAATATAGAGTATAAACAGAAAAAGTATATTAAACTATTAGAACATTAAAAAATAAATTTATTAGAAGAACTGCAAAAAAATGGTTTATTTATTTGCTCTTCACTTTCCACTTCCCTCTTAGTTGTTGTTCTACGTATCTGTCTTTGCAGTTTGTAACACTTGAAAACTGAAAGGGGTAATGGACGGTGGAGCACACTACAACCCTCGCACCGTCGAAGAGGTTTTCCGAGACTTCAAGGGTCGCAGAACCGCCATGATTAAAGCCCTCACCACTGGTCTCTCTCTTTCTCTCTCTTAATTCTCTTTTTTCCTTTATTATTTATTTATTATTTTATCCTTTTGCAGATGTTGAGGAGTTTTACCGGCAGTGCGATCCTGGTTAGGGTTTACCCCTTTCTTCTCTTCTGCCTCCTTTCGTTTTTGTTTTTTTGCCTCTCTTTACTCTCGTTTTTTTTTTTTTCTATTATTTTGGAGGAAAGAGTTCTGTGTCTGATTTCTGCTGTGATGGTTACTTAATTTTACTGCATTGTGTGTGAGTGATGAAAACTGGCCTTTTTCTTTCCTAGTAAGTTCCAGTTTTTTTTCCCTTTTAATTTTGAACTTGTTGAGCTCACATTAGTGAAGGTGGCTAGTGATTTTGGTTTGCGTCGATGCTTTGTGGGGGTGAAGTGGTGAACTTGTTTTTCATCTTTCTTTGATATTTATGGATGATGTTCTTACCTTCGCAGACCCTCAAACCAAACTATATGAAGTAAACGTTTTTCTTCTTTTGACCTATAGCTATCTTCTTTATTTTCAAACTGTTTGGAGGAACTTATTTGTGATTTTTCTTTGCAATAAGCCCACGTATTGAGCTTTTTGATTTTATTGTTCATTTGCCAGGTTTTGAACTTGTAGAAAGAAGCCCTTATAAAAGCTTAGCTTAGACGATTGTTATCAATCTCAGATAGCTGCACCTAGCAGCTGATCCAAAAAATGTTATAGCGGTATAACACACAGTGGAATGGCCACTTTTATAATATTTTTATATAGATTATATAATTTATACCATAAACATATAAATGCTTAAGAATTAAAATACTACTCAAAACTCATGATATATTCATAATTAACAGTAAAAATTCACAGGTCTTAAGCCAAAAATACAAGTAAATAACTAAATGAATAGAAAAGGTCAGCAACAAAACCAACATGGGAACCTTTTCAGAGTTCAGAGAGGTAGTGTTTTGAAACAGAGGATATGAAGATAATAAAAGCCCTAACTTTTCCTTAAGGTCTGAAAATTGGGATTAATCTCATTTTTATTCCCCAATACCCCCCTAAATAACACTGGAAGAGGGGCAAACGTGGGAGGGGGGGGGGGCGAGGGTTGTTAATCCCCAGTGGCATTGTGCAGCTCTAACATGCTATTTGCAGCAATTTTGCCCACTATTTAAGCTGTGACAGCCGCAAATGAAAAATGCTCCATGATGGCTTTCAAGGAGCAGACAATGGTCCCTCTGTGCTGAGACTGTGTTATATTGTCACTATTGCTAGCTATTAATAAATCTGGCTTGGATGTAACTGTTTTTATAGTAATGTTGGATGTACACATGTGTGAATAGCTTACCTAAGTGCTTGTTTAACAAAAGATTATGTCACAATTTAAGCTTATTTTGCTACTTTTTGTGGTGGTCAATCCCAAATAGCATGTGGAGCAGTTGACCCCAAAAATGCTATAATGGACTAGCAGGTACCAGGATGACCACTATTTTGAAGTTTTAACATACACTTAACATAGTTTATACTACTCATATACATTTCCTGAAAAATAAAATAATACTCAAATTAAAGACATTCTAAATTAATGATCAAAATTTAGAGTGTGTGAACTTAACACATGTCTAACAAGCCAGAATTGAGTCTCACCAGAAAATGACTGAGTAGGCTGGAAAATGACCCAAACAGAGGTGAGCCTAGGAGGAGATAGAGTGGGCGACCAACCAGAGATGAGAATTGCTGGAATCTGGCTGGAAAAGTGAATTCTGTCTGTAAAACAGCATGGGTTGAGGGGGCAGAGAGCTATTGGGTGCACTGTGCACAAAAACAAACCCACAAGGTCCAGAACAAGAAATGTGTGTGTGTGTGTGTGGAAGGGGGGTGTGGATCCCATTATAGCCCTCCTAAAACAGCTTCAAATGGTAGTAAATGGAGGGCAAAAGGGCTTTTTGCCCGCTGTGTGAATTGCAGCCGTGATGGTCATGACATTGGCCACAATTACTGCTGCTCCAGCCGCGACACTGAACTGCAATGCTAGAGGCTTCAGGGGAGTGCCAGGGGGCTGCTCTGTGCCATGACAACGCTATAGTGCTGATATTGAGTGCTATTAATTACTATATGCTTTATTGTGAAGCTTATTTAAATAACTTAGAAAGAGCTTATAGAAGGGTGATAAGCCACTTTTATAAGCTTAATAAAATAAATTCACTTTTCAGCTTAAGTGCTTATCTGACGTGATAAGTCCAGAAAAGCTCAATACTCTTCCAAACACCCCTAACTAAATATTAGTGAGCTGCCAAAGTCCATTCTTTTCTTGAACCCTTTGAAGGGTCTCTCTGCAAACTAGCTTATGGTTTTTTATCCAAATTTGGCTCAATACTAGTGATAAGTATGCCCGTGAAGTCATATTTTGAGATGGTTAGTATGGAAGGCCATAATATTCTTATTTTATTAAGATTCTATTTCAATGGTGTTAAATTTGCAATTTAACATGTAGAATTGTTCATTTCCATGTGTTTGAACCATAGAATGATCCCAATCCCAGTAGAAAACTTGTTGGTCTAGGGCAGAATCTGTAGGAACCTGACATCTTAATGATCCCAGCTGGTGCACCAAATCCAGCAACAACCCAACTCTAACCCAGAAACAAAAACCTGCTGAATCATATCTTCATCTATTCTGGAGTGCTACTGAAATTAACCCAGAAAAGCCTTTGGCCTTGGCTGATGTGAACTTGGAGCTGCAATTGGATTATTGAAAGTCTGGTCTCTGCTCTGGAGCCTAGGAAAGAAAGCACAGTTACAACACAGAACATAGATAACTACACCATGGACATGGGTATGCAGCTAATATTAGAAATAATAGAATGAAACATGTGCAGCTGTGGGATAACATGTAAAATTAGTGTAAAACATATATTTTTTATTAAAATAGAGAATTAGTGTGTGAAAATGAAAAATTTAAATAAATAAATAAATGAACGTAAAAAACTTGCTAAATGTGGTTAGGAGTATCTGAGGTGTCTGACATGGATACATGTTCGACATGGATATGGTGCTGTATGCAAGTTTTCATGCTCCTTGGATGCTGAGTGGACTGGGTACTGCAATTACCTCTCTTACTGTGTAAAGCCAGTTCTCTCTGTTTATAGATGCTGAGGGCTGGATTGTTTTTTGGAAGTGGAATTAGGAATTTGGCTCATTATAGACAGGGTGCTGTCGTACTGATGTGTAGTTAAGTTGTTATTTTGTATGAGTTTGATACTGTTAAAAGTTTGTGATATTTGGGATAATTAAAGGTGCAAATAGTTGTCAATTATGTTAAATTAACCTTTTCATTGTTTTTTTCTCCTTTGCTTCCATTAGCAATTAAAAGATCATTGATGGTAAAGGCATAATGTATAACACTTTTCTATTTTTTCTTGAAAAACTTTACTTTCCATTTTGATAACATTTTAATGAATCAATATTTGGTTTGTATTACTTCTGTCTTTTGAAATCTGTAACATTATATACTTCATCCACCTAGGGTGAAATAACCTCTTATGACACACCTATTTTATATCATTTTAAGAATTTATTAAATTATTAGTAATAATATTTAAGGTATTTTGCCTTTTTTGTTATTTGTGTTGTATGTATACATTATTTTTTAATTTTGTTATATGAGTTTGAGTGACAAGCTTGTTTAATATCTTTTCGCACTTTATATTCTTTTTTCCTATTTTTTATGGTTTAGGTGCCCATGGTTTCTTGGTTTTACTTTTCTAATTTAGATATTTGACAGACTTTGAATCAAACATATGGGGTGAATGAAGCTTTTTGTTTACTTCTATTTTTGACTATGTGGAAATGAAAAATTGTTAGAAGTGGATTTTTGTAATTTTCTATTTTACTTGATTTCTTGGTTTTAATCTTCTAATTTTGCTGAATGAAGCTTTTGGTTTACTTCTATTTATGACTTTGGGGAAATGAAAAATTGGTAGATCTGGATCTTTGTGTTTTTCTATTTTGCTTTCAATGAGTAAGACTAATTCCCTAGCATATGATATATTATTGGTTTTAATAGCTGAAACTAGCTTTATTTAGCAGCTTCATTATCTCTCAGTAATTTGCAAGTTAAAATTAGATGTTGAATTGCATTATAGTATTTAGCTGTTTTGTTTTTTACTTTTACATGTAGCTCAGAAATCTTCCTAACCAATCCTGTATTTTATCAAACAAATTTGTCCATTCTCTTATTTCATTCTCTTTTGTATGTTCAAATTCTTGTATTATGTTGTAAATGATAAGCAAAGCAGAAAACATTATTAGAAATAAACTACTTTGTAAAATTTATTGAAGCATTATTTGTTTACCTGTTGTACATCAGAAAAGGAGAATCTTTGTCTTTATGGATTTCCCACCGAGCAATGGGAAGTTAATTTGCCTGCTGAAGAAGTTCCTCCTGAACTTCCCGAGCCTGCATTGGGCATAAATTTTGCTAGGGATGGGATGCAAGAAAAGGACTGGTTATCTTTAGTTGCTGTTCACAGTGATGCATGGCTACTATCAGTGGCTTTCTACTTTGGGGCAAGATTTGGTTTTGATAAAGCTGACAGGTATGATAGTTTTTTTCTTCAATCATTTTCTGTGTAATTATTTCAGCAATTATATTCTGCATTGCATGAAAACATTTGAATGCAAGCCATTCTTTTGTACTTTGAATTTATGAATGATTTGATTTAATTTTTGTATCTGTGCAGTATGTAACATCTGATTATTCGTTTGACTTAAATTATAATGCCTGAATAAGAATGTTTTATATGAAAAGATTTTCAGTCAACACAAACAGTCAATATGACATTAACAATATCTGTCTACCTCATGTAGATTAGAGCATTGTTTTATTTATGCAATTGCAATAGGAAAAGCAGAAGTGAAAAAGCATAGGCAAGGCAATATTTGTGTCTGGATCTTTCCCTTATAGGATCAAAATGGTTTTTGCAATTGAACTATTTCATTAACAATGTCATGTTTGCCTACTTGTTAGTCATTGTACTCATCAGGAGATTCTAATCTTCTCTCTTTATAAGAAAACAGGGGTTTGACACACAGCATTGTTGCAGGGGTCTACCTGACTAACTGTTAGCAATTAAATTTCTGTATGTGCAGGATCTACATAACAAGCTGTTAGCAATAAATTTTTTGTGTTTGTGTTGGAATACAGAACTTACATGTTGCTGTATATCAAAGATGGCAAAATGTGGAAAAACAAAAGTTCATTCAAAAAGCTAATATACTAATGATTTATATCCTGATATGTGATTACGCATAAATCTTCATGCAGGAAGCGCCTGTTCACTATGATTAATGATCTGCCAACAATATTTGAGGTTGTGACTGGATCTGCAAAGAAACAGGTAAAGGAGAAATCACCAGTTTCAAACCACAACGACAACAAATCGAAGTCCAGTTCAAAAGGGGTAAAATAAAATTTCTTGTTACCTCTACTCATCCTTGTATATTATTTTTTTTCTATTTATTTTTTGGTATCATAATTGCAATTTTCATTGTCGTACTCTAGTTCGGCAGATACACTAGCTTTGTCACTATTGTAGATCCATATGTTGGTCTGAGTAGAAGTAGGAAATGTGTAATTAGCATAATGCTAAATAGGGTTATTACCATGCTGTTTACTTGTTCATTTATTTCGTTCATAACATGTCATTTTTACATGATTGTCTACTCATTGTAACAAAATAAAAATAGCGAGCATCTGAATCTGGGAAGTTCTCAAAGCAAGCAAAGGATGAGGATGAGGGATTGGACGAAGAAGATGAGGAGGAGCATGGAGATACCTTGTGCGGCGCATGTGGGGAGAACTATGCATCTGATGAGTTTTGGATTTGTTGTGACATATGTGAGAAATGGTTTCATGGCAAGTGTGTGAAGATCACTCCTGCCCGAGCCGAGCACATCAAACAGTATAAGTGCCCCTCTTGCAGCAATAAGAGAGCACGGCCTTGATATCATAGGGATGTGGGTTGGTTCTCACCCCTGTAAATCTGCTGGACTGCTAACTAGTTAGTTGCTTAGACATTCTGTTTTGTGCCATGTTGGTGCGTCGTAGGTATTCACTAGTTTGGTCATGTTAACTTATGTGGATAAAAGTGTTTTAATATTTGATAGTTTGCAGGGTATGAACTTCTCTAACCTTTGCCCTGCATTGGGATATATATTTTTCTTAGCACCTGATAACATATTTGTGCAGCAGGCTTCATTTGTTATATATTCTCAATTTTCTTTCATGTTTGCTAGAATGCTACATTGGATTGATCAGATTTATGATCTATCCGCGTGGCAGCATGGCATCCACATCAGCTTTGAAAATACGACCCAAGTTGGCTTAAGTTACACATTTTAACTCAGATTTTCAGAGCATTATAGTGCTTCTAGATTTAGAAACACTGATAAGCTAATATAACATGCCAAATATTTCCTGAACGAAGAGAGAAATTGGCCAAATTATAGATGAACTGGGAAAAAAATGTTAGATACTAATGGATATAGTCCCATAACTAGGGTTTTAATGTTTGAGATCTTGTAACATGAGGCACTATAGAGTAGTAGTTTATTATACTGAGGAAAATACATTATATACCTGAATAGTGAACGCTGTGGACTTCTAATTTGTCTTTATAAAATTTAATTTAGTCACTTTGTGAAATATTATAAATTTTTTATCTACTACCTTCTTTTAACTACATTTTTGTTACTAGATTTAAAGATTAAAATAAATGAAATTTTACAACATTTTGTTGTTAAGGATTAGAGCAAAAGTTTTGTAAAAGTCAAGAATAAAATCCAAGGTACACTATCTTACAAACCCAAATAGAAATTTTCTCCGCTAATAGTTAGAAGTGTGATGCTTCGAGCTGTGGCCAGCAGTAGCATCCTCGGAGGAGGGGAAGCAGGTGCTGATAATGATGAGATTACATTTTGCTATAATTGTTAAGAGACTCTTAATTTTCTTTATTTCACTTCTTATTACAGTGGTAGGATTCAGGGCACCCAATAAATTTTCTTTGCTGGGTGATTAAGCTGTGACGAATCATTGCAACTCCTATGGGGCTCCAATTCATTAGTGTATCGTGGTCGTGGAATAAATGATTATTTTCTTCATATATCATAATCATAATCATAATCAATAAAGCCATTGATTTATGGTCTATTAATAAAATCAGCAATAATTAAATCTATATTTGAATATTTTATGTTATATATCAAATAACACGATAACATACTGATAAGGGAATACGTATTCATTGTAAGTAATATGATAGTATTCATGACAGTACATAAATAATTTATTTTAAATAAATTCTTAAATATTTTATAAGTATATAATTGAAAAACAGAATACTAAGAAAAATGTTTAACCTTATAATTATCGGGGTGTCTAGATGGGGTTATATGTTTTTTAAGAAAATTATTTCGATAGTTCTATGTTGAAGTTTATTGAAATAGATTTTTATGGTGTTTAGATAAGTAATCTAATCAAATATTTATTTGAAAAATTCTTATTAAATAAAATTTTATTCATAAATTTGCGACAAGAAAATTCAAATAAGTTTTAAAAAATTAGACATGTCTCTTCAAAAAGCTTATTGAAATAAATTTTAAAAATAATACGTTACTCTTTGAAATTCAAATCAATTATTCTAAATATCTCCTCAATTTATTTTGATATATTTCTTACTAAATTGGTGTTTAACTAAATTATTTAGCTATACACGTTCTAAAAAATATTGGTTATACAGGCTAAAGTTGCTTTCCTTTGAACTGGTTTCAACAACGAAGTTGCTGGCTTAGAAGGAAGAAACAATGTCCTATTTTAAGGAAGAGAAAGTTATCCAACTCAAACAATACTTACAAAACATATTTTTTTATTTTACTTCAAAGAAATAAGTAAAAATTCAAAGTTATATCACGTTAAATGTAAAATAGTATCTTACTTCGTTTGAATGGTTGAAGTCCGTGGATTATTATATTTGATGATATCTTAATAAATCTATGACAGCCTTAAGTGTGGTGTCCTTGTTATTGACCTCAAAAAAAAGTAGTGTTGCTCATCTGATTTTGCATGCTGACACCAAATTTTCAACATAGCAATTCGACTAGCTTGACGGAAGTGTCATTATCCCACTCATGTGGAACCATTTCAATGAATTTTATGACAATGGATTTTAATGAATCAAATAAAGGGACAAAACGAGTGAATATTGAAACTATCTAAATCGCTTAGTTCCCTTTCCCATTTTTCTTTATATGGTTAGATTTAATTAAATTAAGTTCATATAAATTAAATTCTAGTTATTACTACTTCCATATTCATGGTATTTAAGTAGCTTTTTATTATTATTATTTTAGCATAAATTGTGTTTCCCTCTTAGAGATTTTTAAATTATACTCTCAACTTCTCTTGTTTTAAAACATTTACCATTTCTCCCTAAAAGAGATGAATAATTAAACATGTATAACCATTAAATCTATTTTTAAAGTAAATAATCTTTTAGAAATTTTCTTTCTCTCGATTTGATTGTCAGCATTATTGAAAGTTGACCATTGGTTTTGATATTATTTTTGTATGACTTTAAAATATGAAATATAAATTATAGATTAGGTTCTAAATCCAATAATAAGGGTGCTTTAAAATTTCATTCTATTTTCTAAAACATTAAAATAAATAATAAAATGTTCAATATTAATTATGGTGATACTAAACATTGTAAGAAAAAAGATAAAATATCATTCATAGGTGTACACAGTTATTCACCAATGTTAAGAATGATATTTATATTAAAATAAATTAAGGGTAACACATTTATTTCTCCTGAGAGAAAAATATGTTTTCAAATAAGAAAAAAGTAGGTATAATTTTTTTATTAAAACCATGTGACTCCAATTATTTTTTGTACTTACATTAAAAAAATGAGAATTGAACAGCCAGCACGTATTTGTGACACGATTTTAACATTATGCATGTTTATAAAGTTTAAAAAATAACAAATATTTTGTGCACAAACAAACGGAGTCAATTGCAAACAAATACAGGGAGGTTGCATCAAAGCATAGTAGGAGAATATGAAGATCATTATTCGTAGTCATAGAAATATTGCTTTCTTCCTACAAAACTAAGTGTCTCCAAGAATCCCAACAATGGCATTATGAGATTGTTATGGTGTATGAGCCATCAATTGTGCATGGAAGTTGAAATTGATCACCAAGAGCTCCCCAAACTTCCAACTGATAAAATCAAGGGATTGTTATTTGATCAGAGGTGGGTCTCTTTAGTAACAATTACAATTATATAAACTGAAAAGAAAAATTATTTAACAGCAGAGTGTATATAATATTTTGAATTTGGAACTGTGCCAAGTAGTTCTTAATGACTTTGGTGCAATGTCCCATTTCATTATGTCTCAGCTTGCGCATTATACACAATCATAATTAACCATGTAAATGAAGCCTCTGATTATTGTAGAAACAATAAATTACCTGGTCCCAGCAAACAAGTTGTGAAAATCTTGCTGTAAAGACACGCTTTTAAGAACCTGAAAGAGTAAGGTTAGTAAATATTAGTTAATTGTTACTTACAAGGATTTCTGTAAAAAAAATATTACTAATAGGAATGAACATGAGAATTAACTAAACCATGGTAACATCAAAGTTGATAAGGAAGTCCTTTGATTAATGAAGCCAACACATGCATAGCAGATGTATAATCAAGACACAATCTTCAGCTACTGAGCTGAGATTTTACGTTTCTTACAATCACAATAGGAAGACGTAGCAATTTTTATGAATCTAAATGCTAAATTGGTTTACAGAAGATATAATGTCCAAATATATATAACTTTTTACATTAAGTTAAAACCTGATTCATTTTCATTGCAAAACTTGTTCCAAAATCAGCAAACAAAAAAATGTCATGTCATTATGGTAATTAACGTTTTCATGTAAAATAAAAGCTTTCTAACAGTTCTTTAAAACACATGGCATCATTCAGTTCTTTGACAACATAACTCTTTGTTGTTCTAATGGATTAATATTTTATTCTTAGTTTATTTGTATAAGCAACTGTTTTGATGATCAAGAATATTACACACTACAAGGACATTGAACAGAATGCAGTTCTACTGTCAAATAATTTATCTGAACAGCTAGCCGTGATGCCTAAAAACACAAATTCCAATATGAATTTCAATGAAATAAATCAAGTAAAAGCACATTGAACTAAAGTGAACACCCAGTCACTTTTTCTAATTTGAAAAACATGATTTAAGAAACAACCACTGCTGAGTGCCGACTAAACTTCCTTAATTTGTTATCTAATTTTTTTTATCACAATTTATTTATTATTTCTTGACTTTGTAAACCCAATGCCTGTACGTTCATTTCTTCTTGCAAGTCAAAGGATGAGATGCAATAGTTTTAGCTGGAATCAGACAAAGTTCGGCATAAAATATTTTGCACTTCTGGAAAAAAAAAAAAAACTTGCAGAAAAGAAAAATGTTTGTAAATAAATTTGCTTGCTACTTTCAGTTTTAATTAATTACAAAAATTCCAGAAGTAATTTCAACGTAGAGAGAAAAAGACGTGAAAAATATCCTTGAGTCTTTTTGGACAGAAAAGATTTGAACTTGATTAAGTTGGGTGTACAGAAAATGATATTTCTTCTTTAAATATTAAGTTAAAACCTGATTCATTTTCATTGCAAACCTTGTTCCAAAATCAGCAAACAAAAAAATGTCATGTCATTATGGTAATCAACGTTTTCATGTACAATAAAAGCTTTCTAACAGTTCTTTAAAACACACGACATCATTCGGTTCTTTGACAACATAACTCTATTGTGCTAGTGGATTAATATTTTATTCTTATTTTATGTGTATAAGCAATTGTTGTGATGATCAAGAATATTACACACTACAAGGACATTGAACAGAATGCAGTTCCACTGTCAAAACGGTATCATGGCATCAAATAATCAAAAGATACCTAAACAAATAGTTTCACCAAAACTTACTATTTTCCATAAGGTTGCTTTTGCATAAATAACTGCCTAGTATTGGTTTTACATGCTATTTTGCTCCAAAGCTCATGCTATGAAGACGGAGGCTATGTATTTTTAAATGTGTCAACTCAAAAAAGTGATGGCTTAACTTTTTTATATCATTTTCTAAAACCAATGGAATAGTTCATGGATGTCTTGCTTATTAAACCACAATGACACATTTTGTTTAAAATCAGCATGTTCAATAAAGTATTTCTACATGGAAGCAGGATGCCCATATGCTACACAAACAAATTTCAGTCACTGTCCTGTAAACACATAATAAATAGAACATTGGTAGAGGTCCTAAGAATTAGCTGTCAATTATGGATGATTGCCGAGGCATAAACAAGATCATCGCTTACTATTTTTCTTTCATGGAAGTAAATGTTCAGGTGGCAAAGAATTATAATTTCCTGCAAAGAAAAAATAAAACGGATGCCTCAGCTTGTAACATCCGAATAGCATAACTAAAATGGACAGCCATGAATAAGATATTCACAATCAACTAGGTACAAAAAATACATAGACAAATGTATTAGAAATGTCATGCAACCGTGTGAAGTACAATGAACAGCTTAAAATGCCAAATCAACAGAGAAAGATAATAATATATCAAACCATCACTGTTATTGTTTATAGTTGGTCTGCTGTACCGTTATTATCAAAAGCCAAGCTTCCTCAGTAAATATTCAGCAATTGAGATGTTCTATCACGACAGTAAAATCAAAAGCCCTCTTCAGCTCCATCAATAGGGGTATATCCTCCAACGAAAATAACTTATCTGAACAGGTAGCCGTGATACCTAGAAACACAATTTCCAATATGAATTTCGATGAAATAAATCAAGTAAAGCACATTGAACTAAAGGGAACACCCAGTCACCTTTTCTAATTTGAAAAACATGGTTTAAGAAACAACCACTGCTGAGTGCCGACTAAACTTCCTTAATTTGTTATCGAATTTTCTTTATCACAATTTATTTATTATTTCTTGACTTTGTAAACTCCATGCCTGTACGTTCATTTCTTCTTGCAAGTCAAAGGATGATATGCAATAGTTTTCGCTGGAATCAGACAAAGTTCGGCATCAAATCTTTTGCACTTCTAGAAAAAAATAAAACTGGCAGAAAAGAAAAAAAGTTTGTAAATAAATTTGCTTGTTACTGTCAGTTTCAATTAATTATACAAATTCCAGAAGTAATTTCAACGTAGAGAGAAAAAGACGTGAAAAATATCCTTGAGTCTTTTTGGACAGAAAAGATTTGAACTTGATTGATAAGTTGGGTGTATAGAAAATGATATTTCTTCTTTAAATATTAAAGATAATGAAAAAGATGCAGAAAATGATTGAAATGGGAAGTGTAGATGGACAAAATACCTGTTGCTGTTGGTAACCCTAAGTCACTTAATCCATCTATGATCAACTTCAATTCCACGGATGTGGGAAACTTTGGGCCAAATTTCAACGTGCTTCTCTTGACAGAGCTTTCCCAGCAAAGGGGTTTCATATATTTGGAGTTTTAACAGAGAGGGAGGCAGCCTTTCTCCCACTATACTCTTCAGCTTGGAGCAGTTTGAGATGTTCAAAACTTGAAGGGAGGTGAGATGGGATAGGCCCTTGCAATCCAATGTCTCCATACTTTCAAATTCATACAGTCCCAGAGCGGTAAGAGAGGGAAGCTGTGGCAACAAAGGGAATGACTTCCCACTCTTACATCCAATGCTAAGATCAGTGAGACCCTGAAGCCCCCCCGTTGATGACAGACATCTCAGTAGTTTCTCACAATTATCGATATTAAGCTTTGTCAGGTTTGGCGGGAGACCCCCTTCAGGAAATGCTTCGATTTCAGGGCAATCCCTTATTGACAGATCTTTCAACTTCGGAAGCAGAGTATTCATGCGACCAGGCAGCCACTTCAACTTGTCGCAGTTGCTGACACCAAATCCAGTCAAGTTGGGTGCAGCAAACCCTTCTGTCGGGAACCACGCTAAATTGGGGCACTCACTAATGCTGAGACTGTGAAGATTAGAAACCTGTGACTGTGCCACCGACAGAGATTCCAGATTTTTACATTTGTAGATTGTCAGATACTTGAGATTAGGAAACACTTCTGATGGGAAAGATGAGAGTGAATCAAAGCTGTTGGTGATTTCCAGCGATTCTAACAGCTCATGTTGTTGCTTCGGGAATTCTAGTTTTCCACAATTCCAGATGCGCAGTCTTTTCAAACATTCTGGTAAACAATCCGCCACAAACGATACTGCAAGCGAACAATCAGAGATTCTTAAATCACGGAGACAGTTAGGTTGGGTTATAGCAAAGGCCCCAAACATGGATCCCACCATGTCGCACCCATTAATTGACAAATTGTGCGCTGACATTGGTAACTCTTCAAACCTTACTTTGATGCTTTTGGATATAGTTAAATGGCGAATTGTGGGAGCTCGAGGGAGAGAAGAAACAAGATCACCACATCTGTAAATCTGTAGTGTTTCTAAAGCAGGAAGGTGCTCAGGCAACTGTCCCCTCAATTTGGGACAATCATCTATTCTAAGATATTTAAGTTTAGGAAAAGCTTCATCTTTAAACGAATACCACTCCTCCCAACATGGCATATTTTGAAATGACAGATACTCCAAGGACAAAAAGGGTCTTTCTAAAGAAGAATGACCATTATCGTTCTTGTAAAATTCGGTACCAACAGTCTTAAGCCCATCAAAATTATGAATCCGCAAGGACTTGAGAGAGGATAGTTGTCCAAGTGAAGGAAGCATACAACAATTCCTGCAAGAGCTGAGACATACTTCAGTCATACTGTGGTAGGAAGAATGTCCTACCCAATCTGGAAATCTCGTACCCCTGTAGTTCACGATGAATAGATATTCTAGGCCATTGTGAGGTTGTAACTTGTCATATACTTCTCTTTCAGCATGCGATGAGGTTGTATTCAAATCACTATCCCTAGAGCACCGCAAGGACAACCTTTTTATGAAAGCCTTATCCATTATTCTTGCCTCTGCTGCTTCACCACTGTCAGTAACATTTTCCAAGTCACGAATCAGCAATGATCCGTGAAGATTTGAAAGGCCTCCTAATTCCTTTATGCCATTATCTTCATGTTTGCCCACGACGAATTCCCTTAAAAACTGCAAATGTTTTAGTTTGCTCATTCCCCCAGGCATCTCTTTCAAAGAACTTTCTCTTGTATCAAGATGTCGTAAGTTCACAAGATTTTGCATGCCACTTGGCAACATAGTTAGACTATAACATTCATACAGCTTCAGTGTTTGTAGATGGTACAATTTGGTCAATGATTCTGGCAATGTTTTGATACTTGTCTGAGAGAGATCCAAATAACGTAGATGGATCAATTCACCTATAGAATCAGGCAATATATCAAGTTCCCGACAACTGTTGAATGACAAAACTCTTAGGTAATTAAACTTTGATAGTATGATCAAAATGGCACTTTCAAAGCTGAACGAAGGACGTGAGAAATCAACTTGCAAAATAGTTCTTAAAAATTTTAATTCATCAATAGCATTGAAATTTTTTGAGATTGGATGACTCAACCTTCCATAAGACAGATGACGAGTATGAATCTTAATCTTGTCAACCGTCCCAAGTTCTTCTGACCTAAAATAGAAGTCTCCAGCAACAGATATCGCAAGGTCATGCATGAGATCATGCATCACGAAATGATTGTCATTATCATTTTCAAGTTGTTTGAAAAATAATCTGGAAGCTAATTCATCAAAATATTCAGCACCTACTTCTTCTAAAGTCTTTCCTTTCTTTGGTTGCTCTAAAAGACCTTCTGCCATCCATAATAAGATTAATTCATCTTTTCCAAATTTATAATCCTTGGGATAAAGAGAACAATAAGCAAAGCAACGTTTTAAAGGTGGAGGGAGATGGTAATAACTTATTCTCAATGCTGGAATGATCTTACTGTCGTTAGCAGAAAACCCCCACATTTCATTAGTGAGTATAGCATTCCAATCCTTGATATTGTGTTTTGCTCGCAAAAGGCCTCCAAGTGTTTGCGCTGCTAAAGGTAATCCCTTGCACTTCTTAACAATCTCCCGACCAATGTTTTCTAGAATCAAATTCCCGTTAGCTTTGGGAAAACACGCATGATCTGCAAACACTGACCAACACTGTTCATCGGACAAATGATTTACATGGTAAGGTAGGCAAGTTTGGACAACGGCAGCAACCTTTTCACTACGAGTTGTCACGAGAATTTTACTTCCCTTAATCCCATATTGAAAAGGTGTTTTAAAACTACTCCAACCATCATAATCATCACTCCAAACATCATCCAGAACAAAAAAGAATTTCTTTCCTGCTATTCTTTCCTTCAAATCAAGTTGAAGTAAATCTAAATCCATCTTCTTACAAACACCAGAGGTAAGTGACTCTATTATAGTCTTTGTAGTCTTAACAATATCAAATTCTTCAGAAACACAAACCCATGCTTTCAAATCAAACTCCTTCATCAAATTTTCATTATTATACACCCATTGGGCTAAAGTGGTTTTTCCAACACCACCTATACCCACAATAGGGATCACAGATATTTGATCATCAGTATCATCTTTCAATATATGAGTAACTGCATCTTGGTCATTCTCCCTGCCATATATATTCCCTTTGACGAGAGAAGTAGAGGGAGTCCTCCAAGAGAAGTTCTCCCTGGTAATGTGTTTGAGATCTAGGATATACTTGCGATTTTCAATATCTTCTATTCTTCTAACAACCTCTTCCATCTTATTGACAATCTCCCTATCTTGGAAATGAAGAAAGCGAGGGAGAAAGTTACTAACCTTCTTCTGAGTTGCAGCTTGGGTGAAAACACGATCTAACAAGTCATCAGCTACGTAGACAGCATCCCTGAGATTATGGAGCCAGTTCTTGACACTTGGGTTATTGATTTGCTTCTGCTCAGCATCAATAAGCAGAACTTCAGCTGCACAGAGAGCATTATTCAACCTTTGCAGCAAGTCTTGGTCAAGCTTCTTTCCTTGGATCAACTTCACAAACTCAGCTGAAGACACCCTCTCCAAAACAACGTTAATGAAAGCAGAGAGAAAAGCTCCACCCACAAGTGCTTCCGCCATGATTGATCAAATTAGAGGAGAGAAAATGGTAGCAGTAGCAAATGGTAGGAATTGCAGACCCTCATACTTAGTTAACATAAAGAAATTGACTTAACATGGTGATGTGGTCAACGTCAACGTGATTAGATCTGTGGAATTACGGGATATTATCATCTTACATATACCTACAGCACTAATTGTTAATTAGCGTTGATTGATTTGAACCGTAGCTGGAATTGGTGGAACTGAGGACAAGATTGTTAAATAATGTTAATGGATAAGAACGTGCAATTCTCCGAACTACTTTATATCAAAATGAAGACCCCGTCGTCATACAGCATTTTATTGTCACCGTTCCTTTTTAAGAAATATTTTTTATGTAATACGGATTCATAAAATTAATAATAGTAATAATAATAGCAATAAAGTTAATTTTTCTTAACATGATATATGCATATCAAATAAAATTTTTATCTTCAATTTGTAAATGCATTTCTTACTATAAATTCACACTAATATATAGTAATAAAATAATAACTAATGGTTATAGATAACTTTATAAAAATATAAACTATTATTTTTTTATTTTATAATAGAATAATCATATATATATATATATATATTATTTTATGGTTAATTTAATATAATATTTTATTGTAGTATATCATAAACAAATATTTTAATATTTTTTACAATTATGATTATATGATAATATTATAATAAATATGCATATTTATTTATATGTATGATATTTAAAAACTATATATTATTGTTGGAGGGAGATAAAATTGAAGTGAACAAAATAATAATCAAACTTGGATATTAATTATGTAATTTTAAAATGGACATAGAAGCTTGCTTTTATATATTTATGAATTATAACTATATGGTTAAATTATAATAGTTAAATGCATATATTTATTTGTGTGTATATATTAATATATATAAGAGAAAAATAATGATATTTTACACAAAAATCACTTATAAGAGTGGTAATAAACATATATTAGTGGCAGTGAAGACACTTGTTTTACCCAATAGGGAATTTGATTGATATAAAGTTAAAAAATTACAAAATTTATGGTATAATACTCAATTGTTGGAACTATAAACAGCTTATAAAAGTACCGCTGAAATTAGAAGATAAAACAAATATTAACATTTCAGATTAGTTTTCAAAACCAACCCCACATGCAAAATGCTCTTTCAAAATCATAGACCAAAAAGTAATTGCCAGCAAACATTTTAATCACAGGGACAAGACCATAAGGGTGCAGCTTAAATTTGCAATTGCAATATTAATTAACATTGTGCAAGAATACTCCACCTATTTCTGGTTGTGAACTGCAATATATTTTACCCAATGTTAATGTACAAGCACAGGTTCCATATGACAAAAATACAATAAATGCATGCAAAAGTTACAAGCGAGTTTACATAAGGAAAAAATGTGCCCACAACAAAATCCATCATGTTGTATCTCCAAATTGCAATTATTCAAGGACCAGTACAATTTCATTGATGCTCTAACAACCAAACAATCCTTCAGCACAAATTTCTGATTGAAGATGAGTTTAGAAATCAACAACTCCGAAAGATAATAAAAATCTGAACAATGGACTTCAACTAAGCCTTATAGTGTCATTTGGTATAATGACATTGGGATTTCTTATATGAGGATTTAGTGCTGCCAATTCCTTCCATTTTGCTCTTGTGCCATAAATTCGAGATGATATGCTCCACAAGGTGTCACCAGGTTGCACCTTTGTGGTAACTGGGCCACCAGATTTCGATGAAGCCTTAGACTTCATTAATGAAAGCTTATTATTGCTCCTTCCCATTCCATTAGCGAGCAACCAGCGCGAACCAGATTGTTGCTGGCTTGAATTGCCCCAAAGTTTCTTTTTTTGAGGCTCAGGTTTCAGACCTGCCACATGGACTTCAGTAATTCTGAACTGAGGAATGCTCTCTTCCTCTTCAGAAAATTTCTCCTCTAAATTGGTGTCCTTGATCTCCACTTTTGCCACTATCTCGCTCTCATCATCCTCATTGTTGTTGTTTCTGATCTCAGACACACTGCTGTAAATTTTCTGCTTTGGGAGAATGAACTCTCTCTCAACTTGTATGAGAGCAAGCATTGGAGTTCCAACCGGCTCATAATTTCTCAGAGGATCACGGAGTTGCACCATTAATGCCACGGTGAAATTGTTTCCTAGCAAACCGCATTTTCTGCTTTTGCCCCGTTTCCTCTCTCCCTTTGAACTCCCACGAATGAAGTCAAAAGAATTAGCATGATGGGCTGCAAGAAGTTTGGACGTATGCTCACTAATATTATCTATATCATCAATCTCACCAGAATCCAGCTTCATCCATTCATCAAGAGTTAATGATAGGCTCATTATCCCATCAACACCATCACCACTGTCTTTTACGTCCATCAATTGCAAACCAGCAGCTCCATCCAGGCCAAGGGTCCCACTATCATCAAACCCCTTGCCCTGGAGAGCTGAAATATCCCCAATGGATTGAGCAATGATGTTTGAAGGTGCTTCCTCTTCTGACATCCCAGATTGTATTCTCAAACCCTCCATTGAAAGTGCTTCAATTTTATCCATAGCCAATGGAGCAAGACCTTCCAATGAGACAAACTCTGAGCCTGTTTGGTTGGCCACCGAACTTGAACTAAGCTTACCAGACTTTGTCGCAGATGGTGTTCCTTTCAAGTCCCTTTGCAGACAAGCAATATCTTTCCCTGTCATTGAATCATGCTGCAAATGGCATTGCCTACATAAAGCAAAGAAAAATTCAATCAGTAAAGGAATGGTTACTAAGAACTCACTCCAAGACCAGTGATACAAACAGCACAGACTAACCTCTCAGTTCCCTCTAAGACAGGCATAGCTTCCCATGCTACTTGTTGCATTGTCTTCCCTGTGATATCTTCCAGGGGCATCAACTCCTTGGCCTGCATTGAGAGCTTTTCAATTCCCACTGAAGCCAAACACTGCATAATCTCCATGATTCCAGAACCCATTTCTGCAGGTACCACAACAGGGTTGGATACCTGCATGATTAAGCTCCCACCACTTTTACTGTTCTTGAAAAGTGAGGGATTCATAGACCGTACAAAACCACCATCTTTTGTCTGAAGAAAAGGGCCCAATCCCTCAGCAAGAGGAGGCAATGTAGGAGGCTCTTCAGGTGACATATGAATCGGACTTCCAAAACCAGCACAATCTTTGGGAGGAGAATGATGAAAAGCCTCCTCGTTCAAGCCCCATTCACGCATCAAGGCTTCTGTCTCCAAGTCTTCTAGTATCTGAGCCCTCTGTTTGCTCCTCAAGTCCTGAGACTCAACTAGATGCTCCTCCTGCAGATCTTGCAAAAAGGATGATGACCTAACACCTTCAGAGAAGTTCCACTGCTCAGATGCAGTAGAAGCACCATAGTCGTCATCTCCTTCATTATCATAGTCTGCGTTAAAATCAAACAAAGAAAAACCCCCATCCAGAGCCTCCTTCTCAAATTGTCTTAAAAGGAGCTCTCTTGGAGACTCTGGCTCGCTTTCAGAACTTAAGCCCATTGGACTATGATCTATGCCTAACATGCTTAAAAATTCACTGGCAACTGATTCTGTAACATCGTCCAAACTATATGACTTTTTCATCTTATATTCAGATTTTGCTTCTGTAGTTTTGGGAGATTCCAGTGCCACTTTCTCCAAATTTGAGACACTATTTAAAGCAGATTCAAGTTCTTGTAGGAGCAGCTCATGAGTGTCAAAGCCCTCCTCTTTGCTAGTAAACTCCTCTGCCACAGCCTGATCCGTAGAACTATCATTTGCCTCATCCAGAAAATCACATTTAACACTGTCATCAGAAGATACTTGTATATCTGATATACCAAGGGTACAGGTGGTATCAACTTTAGAAGCGTCCTCAGGACCAGTTATGTCAGATTCCTCTAGTTTAACGGGTTCATTTGGTGACAGTTCAATGCCCTTATCAACAACAAAAAATTCATTACCTTGACACAGTTCAGGGTTCTCTTTTCCAGAATCAGGTAAAGGGGAGCCATCCGGTGGACCTGTCTCCAGGTTTTCTTGAAATACATTGATTTCAGGTTTGTCATGCACTGAACATGTTTTTCCATCGTCAATCACATGCTCTTCGGGCTTTTCTTTTCCAAGATCAGATGAAGCATAGGCATCTTGTTTGATTGGCCCAAGATTTTCTTTGAACACATCAAGTTCTGGTTCATCGTGTTGAAGACTACATGTCTTTTCTTCCTCAAATTTCTTATATAAGGTGTCAATTGAGCTGGCGAGTGCTGACTTAGACAATGGCAGTACCTCATGAAGATCCTTTACCTCATCTGGAGCTTGAGATGAGTACTGACTAGGAAAGCCTTGTAAACTTCCAACACGTCTCATGCTGCTGCTTCCATCAAACTGTCTGGATTTAACTTCTGTCCTCGTCAAAGCAAGACTATTCTGTCTTGAAGTCAATACATTAGGAGCATTATGGCTATCTCTAGTAGCATTAGTGTTATCACCAACCACCGTATACCCAAAACTGACATTCATCACAGCGCCCTTGGCCATTCCTGTTAATCTAAAACTAGTAGTCCATTTCCCTGAGCTCTTCTCCTCCTCAAGCTCCTCTAGAGTGAGAGGAAGCAACCTTGTGAGATCTACCCGGTGCTTCCCCAAATCAAGTTCCGGCGCACTGAGAAGAGAAGCATAGAGCAAAAAATGCTTTGCTTCATACTTTGCAGAATGGTGAGGTCCACTCCTACTGCCATAGACCGAGCAAGTGTACGTCAACTTCTCTTCAAATTCAGCTACACATTGAGTCACCTTTGCCGGTTGGGTCACAAGGACCCCGTCGCGCCTCTTCCAAAACACAGCAAGGCTAGCATCATCAAAAGTGGAAGGCAACCCTTCAATCAAATGGACTTGGAGATAAAAACTACAATTGAACCTCTTATTGCGGATATGAGAAAGGGCCTTTAAGGGCCTCCAATTCCATATGGATTTCTTATCCTTCTGAAAGCTATCATCACCATTATTATTAGTACTAGCTTTAGACCTTGATTTGGGATCAGGTAACTGGGGTTTCCCAGCGGATTTAGATCGAAAATTTGAACTAGATGTTGAATTCCTTGTAAAGTTTCTGTCCAAGAACAAAGCTTTGTTTATGGTTTCAACATCCTTTAACAACTTCTTCTGACTACCAGAACCCCCTCCACCACTCTTCTTACCAGCTTCCATTCTCGACAACATCATCTTTAACCCAGAAAAAATTAAATAAAAAATAAAAGTAAATTAACATAAATTCAAATGAAACGGAACCCAACCCATATTTAAAAAAAAAAAAAAAATCAAATACAGGTGAATAAAAAATTATATTGCAAAATTTAATTCAAATAATAAAAAGGGGGTGGATAATAGATTGAGTACCGGGTGGTGTTGGAAATGAACCAAAACAAGAGGAGAAGCTGAACAAAGTTGAGGTCATCAAATCCAATTCATTTGCACCCTTCTCAAATTCAAAACTCAAACTCTGTAACCCAAAAAGAACCCATTTTTAACAGCAAAGTCAAAGTGAGAGAAATTAAGAGAGAGAATAAGAAGAATATAAAAGAAGCCAAAACGAAAACTTACAGAGAGAGAGAGTTGTGTTTCTCTGTGAACAGAGCTTGTTATCTTCTTCACCAATCTCTTTCTCTCTCTCTAGGAATTGCCGCTACCTCTTTCAAAACAAAAGAATTGAACAAAACAGACAAATATAAATAATTTATATATATGTAGATACATGCGTAATTTATTTTAATTTCATGCGCGTATTTATCTCAGTTATTATTATTTTCCTAATTTGAATTTTTTCCATTTCTGCACCTTACCCACCGGTTCGCATATTCTTTTAATTTTGCCTTTTCGAAATAATAATGGTAAAAATGCATAATTTTTAAGATTTTTTCTTTCCATCTAATTCTTGATATTGTCATTTTTCACACAAGTTTGCAGCAGGTAAGATGATTTGATAATTTTATTTCATTTTTTTACTTTTGAGAATATCAAATTATCAATTGAAAAACTCTGAGAGTAATACTAAATTCGTACCTAACATTTTGTAAGATGCGATTGGTTGATAACTTTTCTCAATCTTCCCATCAACTTAAAACAAACATACTTTTGATTATTTTTAATTTTGATAAAATTGGTACCAAATACTTTCATTAAATAGCAATGCTGGTATCAAATACCAATAAAAGAAATTGCACATTACAATTTACTCTTTTTACATTTTTTTTCTCTAATTTTCTAAATAAAAGTCAATCTTATTCATCGGACACTAATTATGAATATATTTTTCGCCACTTTACATATAAGTGAGTAGTGACTAACACCGCTTGATGATAATATTTGTATTTTAACTTACACTGCCAAAAAAAAGTCATATTTTAATGGTTTGACATTAGACTAGTATCTAATAGTATATTTTTATTTCGTAAAAAAATTATAAAGTTTTACAGTAATAATTAGTGTAATATATTATATTAGATGCTAATTTTATTGATAATATATATTATTTGTACATCAACTCTTATTATAATTCTATTATTTTGTTGATGCAAGTTTACGACAATTATACTAATAAAATAATAGTCGTTGAAAAAAGAGGACATACCTGTAAAGACAATTATACTACCTGATATTTATTTTTCTAGTAATCGATAACGATTGTTTTTAGTATTATGTGATTCAGATTTAAAATAAAATGTATCATAAGATGGTTACGTAAATGTCACTTTTTAAGCCTCATGAAAATGTAATGTCAAGTCAAATTAGGAATAACAAACTGCAATTTAATTTTGTAAATACTCCCAAATTGTGTATTAATTCACAGCTAAATAACCCTTTAAGTCTTTTCTTTTCTTTTATTTTTTTAATGAAAGATCCATTAAGTCTTAAAAGTTTACAAAATCTTCCACGTATTCAAAAGATGTATTAATTTAATAGGAACATCATTGAGTGAATTTATTAGCTGGTGGAAGACTGTTTTATCTTCTTTAGTAATTTTAAATTCAAATCTTAATATAATTCTACTAGAATTCGACAGTGAGAAATTTGCATTTTTAATAGTTTTATTCTACTCGAGTCCAAATAAAATGAAATATTTTTAAAAAATGATAAATTCCAATACAAATAATAATGAATCTCTATGGTATAAAATATGTATTTGGTTTACTCTTCTCAATATTGAGTAAAAAATGGATCTGAATTCATTTCACTTTTTAGTATAATACTACTATACACCATTTTATTCATGATAGACCTTAATACAATCTATTCTTACCTTTTGTTACCCTTGATAAATTTTATTTTTGCACGCTTTTATCCTTAAATGAGTATAATATGTAAAAGAGGTAAATTTAATTCCAGTACTCAAGAAAAACAAATACTTAGTTCAGTATCTTTTCTTTCTTTTTTCAATTATTGAAACGTTTTTTCAGATTCATGATTTCATTTCAGAAAGACTAAATTGCACTAATTCATTCAAGGTACAAAGTTGATATGAAAAGTACCTTTAACGTTTTAAAGAGAATGATTTAATCTCAATTAAGCTAATAATTTGGCCCAAAAACATCTTCATCATATAAAACAATAATAATAAAAAGAACAAGTAATTAAGAAGCAAACATTTGTATAATGTCTCAATAAAGTTGAAAAACAAGAAGATGAAGAGGTAAATGGCACATGAAGCAAGTTAAGGAAAAGGTAACAATTACATTGTTCCAAAAATGCAGGGAATGTCTTATATGATTAAAGGCTTAGCTGTCCCATATGTTATGCCACCTTCTTCATTCTTCATTTTCAATGTGCAAATATACTTAACTTTGCATCTACACTACATGTGCCAGTATCTACGTATCAATTATCATGTATCTCTCTTCCTTACCTTCTCTCCACTCATCGAATTTAATAAAATTTCACTTTTCTTTCATAACATTATTATTATTATTATTTTGCTATGTATTATCCGCTGTGTCCGTCAATCATTCTAAGTTTTAAATACAGTTTTTGGTATGTAAGCTTATAAATTCTTTTGGCATATTCTTCTCTCCGGCGAGAGTCACGTGACATGAATTTAAGAATTTTTTTAATCTAATTAGAAATTTCCTTTAATTTTTTGGTATTAATTAATTATTAATAACTAACCTCCTCTTTCATTAATATCGTGTGTGTGTGTATATATATATATATATATGTGTATGTATTGTCAAGGTTGTACCTTACCCAGAGAAAATAATTAAAATCAGTAAAAAATGAATATATTTCTATTTATACTATAATCAGCAAAAAATAACATAAATACTATAACATGACCGTGAGGCTGTTCCTTTAGTAAAACTAATTGTGCTGTTTTATTGAAATCAAAGAGAACCAATGCACGGGTTATATTGAAGTTGCCATTCGGTGACTATAATTGTGCATGGCATAACATTTATAGTGCTAATTTATAACTGTTTAATAGTGTTGTTTTCTTTAAAAAATTTCAATAAGAATTCGTTGTTGTATGATAAAGTAAAATTTGATACAATAAAAATTTGCGGTTTACTTAATATATTTTTCATAAAATGAGTTTGGAATAATAATAATAATAATAATAATATTATTATTATTATTAAAAGAATAAGAGTTTGGGAACTGTGATGGCCCACCCGCAATTTTCAAATTGAGGCGCCAACTACGTTGAATAATTGTGAATTTGTGAGTCGCATTCACAGTTGTTTCCAATAAAATGAACAAACATATACGACCAAGCAATCGTATCTTTAATTCAAAATTTGAAATTGTAAATATTAGACAACAATTAAGCTTGCATGCATTTGTAGTTGCTCCCTTTTATTCATTCTTCTGTCTTCTACTAATTTTGTTGGGTAGTAAGAATCAAAATCGTATTGGATTTTATCACAAGTTTATGTTCTCATGAAATAGATTTTTTACAACCCACTATCATGTAGATTGTGCAGTTAACCTTTAGATAATATTATATTCTTCCTTGTTGAGAAATATTTAAATTCTATTTTAATATTTTTAAATAATTATGAAAATTTTTAGTGATTTATTTTTAAGAAAAAGTAATATCATTAACAACTATTTTTAGTAGGAGTTCAATGTCAATCCACTATCAGTATAGAAACTTTTGCATTGTTAATTAATTAAAATATATTTTAGATATGATTTTTATATTAATTATTATACACACAACTAGTTCGTGCTGATATGATTTTAAGTTCATTAGAATTTTTTTTTAAGATTGTTATGTTACTATGAATTTTATCTTGATTTATGTTATATTAAGGTAGAGTTAGTTTAGTTTAGTTATTGTTTGGATAAGGTTACTTATTTTACAACAAAATTCTGTATGATTTTTAAAATAAATTTTCAATATTTATCAGTTAAAATTGAAGTTTTGCATCAATAATTTAAAATAATATTACATAAATTTTTATAAAAACGAAAATACAATTTTAATTAATAAATAACATAAAAATACCTTAAAAAATTAGACGTAAATTGTTCTCCTTTATTATATTTAATATATAGATAATTTTTTAGTGTAAATATTTGTGAAGTTTTTATTATTTTCTTTAAAAAAAAAATTTCTTTGCCTCCCAGGAGTGTATAAGTTAATTGGAATACCCTTGGAAAAAAAAAATACTATTAGTTGTGTTACATATTTTTCAAATTTCGATTTTGATATTACTTATGCACATAATCTGTATTCCTATCCATTCAATCACTTTTCTGCATCGTGAAACTAATTTAAAAGTTAATTGGAGCTTCGCCAGGAGAAGTCACTTAGACCAACAAGTAGCCTCTTTTTTCTTAGCTGAGATGCTCTTGTTCCTTCATTTTCTCTCTCTCTTTGAGATTTACATCTTTCTATAGCAATATAGGTGCATGGTGACAGGTGACTGGTTCATCTTCCATGCCTCATCTGTTGTAAAATGAAATGTTTCTTCGTTTTTTAGCATATCGTATTTTGAATAATCTGAACTTAATGTGCCAGCTTCAATGATCATGATCCACGGAGCTACGTTAGTGACAAAACCCTTACAAGGTCTGATATTCTTTATCGAACACAAAAAGAGGATTCTTTCTATTATCGCAAAAATAATGATTGCGATGATGTTGAAGTAGTAAGACACAGTGAAGTTGTTGTCAAGGGACAATGAGAAAAAAAGAAGAAAAAAAGGACGAAGAACTTTCACATGTCAATCTATGTAACATTTTCTTTAAAAATGTCATTAGCAATGATATAGTTCTGACTATGGAGAAGAGAAGGAAGAAGAATATCATCTTTATTTTAGTCAAAAATTAAATAATAACTTGACGAATGTATGAAATTTGTTTAATTAAAAAAATCATACAATTAAATATTAAAAAACTAAAATTAAACGATTATAAAAGTTAAAAAAATATAATTAAACCTAAAAGAATCTTTTGAATAATTTATTATATTTTTCTTTTGCCTTCTTTTTTCAAAGAGACTAAGAATTTTTTAAAAAATATATTTTATTTTTGATAAAACATGGGTAGCAATATATATATATTGCTAAAAAAGGGGGCAACACACCCAATACACACAAAACTATACTATAGTTCTAGGAAAACCAGTCCCACAAAAATTCAAACTCAAAAAAAGGAAATAGGGATTAGAAAAATGATAAAAGGGAGAACGTAAC